TATGTGTGCCATGCTAAGCTGATTTTATGGGACTGAAAAGGCGAATAAAAAGATGTATTCAATCCAAAGTGTTCACTGGCACGTCAAGATAGTTTTTAGTGAATGCATTGCGAGGATTGAGAAAATATTGCCGTACACTTTGGATGTTAGATAACAGATTTTCAAACAGCTGCACTTCCAGAAAGCTACTGTACAGTATCCTCATAGGGTCAATGTTGCAGCTGTTGAAAGATTCATTCTGATTTCCCCCTCTTTTATGATTATATTATTGATACTTAGGCATTCCGAGGTTGTTTTCCAGTACTCCCATGGTTTTCTTTTCCAAGGAGTCCTATTACTAACAGCCATCTTATTCTTCGCATTGCTCAGAATATCAATCTGATCTTCCGCTGGAAAACATTCAGCCTTTTCCACACAGCACTTGCAGAGCGTGTGAATGAGAATATGTCGTTTGAAAGGGATCACAAAAGACCAGAGGAGAGCCAAAGAAGCACCAGGATCGTACTTCTGAGCAGAAATTCTGATATTTAGGTGCTGGGATTCTTCACTCGGGCATGCAATGCATTTCCGCGATATTAATCCTTTCATCTTAGCTTAATCGTCAATAACTTGTCTTCCGGTTGAATAAGATTGACAGCCACTTACTTTCAAGTTGAATGACGTAGAAACTGTATGAACGCAAGGATTGGACACAGACAAGTTCACTCAGGGAACTGGCTGAGTATACTGTATTAGAATGATGCCTCAATAATATTGTGGGGACTTTTCTGTCTCTCTCTCCCCTCCCCAATATAAGAGTTGATCTCTCAAGACCAGGTAGGACGGTCTATAAATCTTAACAAGATTACTGAAATTGGAGTGGCAGAACTAACGTAAACCGGCCGGATATGAGCGTTAGGCTGTTGACTCACACCCGGATGGATAATCCCATTCTACTCCTTCATTTGCCAGTATTGAGACTAGGACCACGTAGCTTGTGCATGAACAGCGCCTACACGCATTACAGGATATCAACCAATTACCTTTTAGAAACTACATAAAACTAGAGTTCGTTGTTCAACAACATTTAAAGCTGTCAACATCTAATTCCCTTTTTCTTTTCCCAAAATGCAATTGATAGCGCTCATAAGCACATAAGACCATGGAGATAATTGGATATTCACTATTGACCTTGGTTGGTTTATACCACCAGTAATTGAATCGCAATATGCACGTTGAACGAACGAGGTTTTATATTTCAAGGCGACAGGGCTTCATGAAGTTGATACCATCATACAGCATTAGCAAGTTGACCAGTGTGTAACTTTACTGTAATGGATATAACAAATCAAAGCGTGTAGTATCGTCACAGAACCTTGCGTCCAAGTTGTAGAGGACATAGTAATGTTGAACAGAATGAGAGCATCCAAGATGAAATAGGCAGGACCAGTGATGATACGGCAACATATTTCTGGAAAACAGAAATGTAAGACTTTCTTACTCCTGCGGCCAACCGCATCTGCGACAAACGTTTTCACTGACTATGTATGACGGTCAACAAGTTCAGATGCGTATGATATCAATAGCATTAGGACTATAGTAAGATTGCAGTGAATGTTAGAAAAAAGAATGGCATCCAATAAGGCATTGTTAAGTCCGTGGGTTCGTTTCTGGTTTACTGAATTGGGCCCTTTCCGTCAGGCATATCGGCTGTGCGCTAGAATTGTCATAGGCTCAGCATGGTGAACTCAAACGTCTTTAATGTTAGCCTAATCAATACGTAGAAAGATATGAGCAGTTGATCTTTCTTTTTTTAGTAGTGGCCGCTGGCCTGCAGAGAAAATACAATGGCCATCATTATCGGCAACCTGGTGAACACAATCAATGGTGAACAGAAAGTTTTAGATAACAAGGGTCTTGCTTAGATTAACTTGGCTAGGCAACTAATTGGTCCTAACAACAACATCTTGATATATATACGACCTGTGTTGAACAGAAGAGCATTATCGAACCCGGCTATAACTACGTGAACTTGGATAGATCTTGTGATGCTAATTGTATCTGGAACAAAGTGGATATAGTCAAATGTGAACAATACTTGTAGTCAATGTTGAACAGATGAGCGTATTTAATAATAGGGTTCTTAGATGAAATTGGCTACACTCGTGTTTAACAAATGCGGCTGCGTTAACCGATCAATTTTTAAGACTTTCGTCACCTATGTTCGAATTTGCGCCTAGGGGCTATTGAAAGTGACTAATTTTGTCTCCCTGGAGCTAGCAGTACCTGCCTTGCGTGAGTCTATTCAATAAGGCACCAGAAATGATAAATCCTGACTTCTTGTTCTAAGCGTTGTGGATCATCTCCTGCGTGGTTCAACTGGCAATGTGCGGAAGCAGGAGATTTATCTAAAGTTTTGCGGCGGCCTACAATATCTATAGATCAAGAAAAGGAAACCAGTGAGCGTAAATAACAAAGCGAAAGAAAAAGAGGGGGCAAAAATAGTCAACGATGCGTCTGGTCAGTGAACGCTCTTCCAAGTTGGGGAAGCAGGTTTAGCTAGCCCTGTTCAAAATAGACGCCTTTTGATTTATTTTTCTACATTTTCCTAGCAAATCTTTCGTCTTTCCTCCATTCCGTCGAACCTCTTTTTTCCATTATTATGTTTGTCATCTCCTCCTCTTTGCATACTTCAACCCATATTGAGCAATAGGCCAAACTCAACGCCCAATATCCACGGATGACATACCAGGGCCCAATAACGATATCCGGATCTATGTGATTAACGGACACTCGATTGACGACTTTACTGTAAGACTGCAAAAGAGAGTAAATTTCGTTGAATATTGTACCCGACTGCCAAAGTGTTAGCTTACTATCCCGCGAGAAATTGAGAGCTACAGGAGTTTTATTTTCAAAGAATACAAGGAAATATCTTTTTAGTATACCTAACCGGTAAGCTGGTCAAGAATAAAGATAGCTTTCCCCACAAATTAAACGAGTCAAAAAAGGCCTATCTAGATTTAGTCTCGTATGCAAGCTTTCTTTAGTACTAAGCGGCATATAACTAGCCAGCGTCCAAGGTCAAGTGAACAGTCGAATATTCAGCAAAAATTGAAACCTACTTCTTAGATATATGGTTTTGTGATCTAGATGTTGGCTGTAGGTACGTACTAAATTTAACCTTAGCTGACGTCAATGGCAGTAATACTAACCAAAACATAGGGTTGACAACGGAGTCTTACGGGATATTTTCTTTTGGAATCTCCCCCGTGAAGCAGATATCAGAAAGGTTGGACCACGATCCTGGCAAATTAAGTATGAAAGCCTGGAAAGGTGTCGACGTGCGTGGAATAATGGCAAATCCAATGGGTGGCTACAGAGGTCAGTGCGTTCTTAAATACTGTAATACCGCAGTGTTTCAACTATGCTCACAAAAACCAACTACAGCGCTATAGTCAACATTTCTGATAACAAAAATTAAACGTATATTCTATCTAACACTTGGAACCATCTACCAAGGCTCCGATTTGGAAAGGCGAGAAGAAAGAACCATATACAGGTAATAGACGATCCAGACCGCGAAGAATCACGATCAAGTTGGATGCGACGACTACGTCCCAAACCCCATCGACGTCGTTAGCGATATCCAGAAACAGCGGAATATAGCACACCACAACTGATGAAGTGGTTGGACTGAAACGAGTGGTGGCTTTTTGCTCCCCCAGATGGCAGCCCTACTGCGTTTATAGACATCGTTTCACGAGCATTATGATACAGTACATATATTTACAGTCATTCTCGAAATCGGCTTGACCAAAATACACATGATAACTCTTCTCTGGCCCCACCGCCAAGGCCTTAGCGCAGATCCATCATTGAGCGGACCGCATTAAATGGAAGGACACCGTAAAATGCAGCTTGTATGGTACAATACCTTGCGATGTAATATTACAAATGTGTATAAGAATGGAGTGGAATTGTTTGGAAACGCATAGTGGATCTCTGCAAATCAGGTGGCTATTCAGGCGTCTTGGCGTTTGCTATAGCCTTTGCATTCGCATAACAATACGGGGAAACCTAATGCACATAGGACAAAAAGTGGAAGTGCGGAATAGGCATATTCACTAGTAAAACTACCAGGTAGTCAATTATGAAAACGATAGTATTCAGTCTATCTATCTTGTCTAGTATTTATAGGGGCAGAGAAGCGGAAAACTCTGCTACGTGGAAATTGCCCTGGGACGCCTAGTTTCCCTGATGGGAGATCAGGTGATCAGGATGCGGCAGATGAACCACCTAGGAAATTACTAGTAGAGGATTTACCCTGACATTATACACTCCTACCTCAATGCCCCTCCATAACCTCCCTCGTCTATCCTTCTCAGCAACATTATCCGAGAACTGCTGGAATCTCACTAAGATATAAACCACTGTTCCTCACACCTAAGTCCTACTAAGCCAAATATAGATCAAGGTGTTTGAAGACAGGGTTCGGCTTTAAAAGCGAAAAAAGGATCTATTCTTAGTAAGATCCGAAGATTATCGATGCAATTAGCGCACGGATTAATTCCCTAGCGATGTTATTAATGGCCTCTAAAGGCGCGGGCAAAATCAACGTCTATTATTTATTTTTTTCCTTGGTCGCGTCCGTCCGTGAACAAGCAGATCGACATGAAGATGTATCCCTTCTTTCTTAAACGAATCCTTCCTTTATTAGGACACACTACAATCTTCGGCTCTGCTCTATAACAGATTGCAAGACCTCGGAGCTTGTGACTGATCGTCATTCCAATCCCTAGCGGAATGCCACTCCATCTAATAGTGTCAAGAAAAGTGGAAGATCTATTCCCCTTTGCATGCTTAGCGCCTATCGACCCCCTAGCGCGATTATTCAAAATCACGTGACCTCACCGCTACGTGGTTAAGTTATAAAGCAAGGGTTGTCTATTTGACCCATCCGTGGTTGTAGAAGATATCACCTCAAACGACGGACGACAAGATACAAACACCAGCAAAACATGCGACCTATTCTAATCATCTCGGCATTTTTCTTCGCCATTACGATGGCTGCGCCAGCCAACGAGCCCCCTCGGTCTAATGCGTTAGCTGAGCGTCAGGTAAGTCCCGCCTACTGATGAAAGGAAGCCACGGGGTGAAGTCAGAGACATGGCTACTTAGATGCAGAACTAACGTAGACGACATCGATAGGGAGTAAGTGTTGATCCTCAACCAACGGAGATGGCTATCTGGATATAGGACTAACGCAGACAACATCGATAGCTTGTAAGTGTTGATCCTCAACCAACGGAGATAGCTATCTGGATGCAGCACTAATGCAGACGACATCGATAGGGAGTAAGTGTTGATTCTTAACCAACGGGGATGGGTATCTGGATGTAGCACTAACGCAGACGACATCGATAGGAAGTAAGTGTTGATTTTTAGCCGACGGGGATGGCTATCTGGGTACAGGACTAACGCAGATGACATCGATAGATTGTAAGTGATGATCCTCAATCAACGGAGATGGCTATCTGGATATAGGACTAACGCAGACAACATCGATAGCTTGTAAGTGTTGATCCTCAACCAACGGAGATGGCTATCTGGATACAGGACTAACACAGACGACATTGATAGGGAGTAAGTGTTGATCCTCAACCAACAGAGATGGCTATCTGCATGCAGCACTAACGCAGACGACGTTGATAGGTTGTAAGTGATGATCCTCAACCAACGGAGATGGCTATATGGATGCAGCACTAACGCAGATGACATCGATAGGCTGTAAGTGTTGATCCCCAACCAACGGAGATGGCTATTTGGATACAGGACTAATGCAGACGACATTGAAAGGGAGTAAGTGTTGATCCTTAACCAACTGAGATGGCTATCTAGATGCAAGACTAACGCAGACGACATCGATAGAGTGTAAGTGTTGCTTCTCAATCAACGGAGATGGCTATCTGGATGCAGGTCTAACGCAGATGACATCGATAGGGAGTAAGTGTTGATCCCCAACCAACGGAGATGGCTATTTGGATACAGGACTAATGCAGACGACATTGAAAGGGAGTAAGTGTTGATCCTTAACCAACTGAGATGGCTATCTAGATGCAGCACTAACGCAGACGACGTCGATAGAATGTAAGTGTTGCTTCTTAACCAACGGAGATGGCTATCTGGATGCAGGTCTAACGCAGATGACATCGATAGGGAGTAAGTGTTGATCCCCAACCAACGGAGATGGCTATTTGGATACAGGACTAATGCAGACGACATTGAAAGGGAGTAAGTGTTGATCCTTAACCAACTGAAATGGCTATCTAGATGCAACACTAACGCAGACGACATCGATAGAATGTAAGTGTTGCTTCTTAACCAACGGAGATGGCTATCTGGATGCAGGTCTAACGCAGATGACATCGATAGGGAGTAAGTGTTGATCCCCAACCAACGGAGATGGCTATTTGGATACAGGACTAATGCAGACGACATTGAAAGGGAGTAAGTGTTGATCCTTAACCAACTGAGATGGCTATCTAGATGCAGCACTAACGCAGACGACATCGATAGAATGTAAGTGTTGCTTCTTAACCAACGGAGATGGCTATCTGGATGCAGAACTAACGCAGACGACATCGATAGGCAGTAAGTGTTGATCCTCAACCAACGGAGATGGCTATCTGGGTACAGAACTAACGCAGATGACATCGATAGGGAGTAAGTGTTGATCCCCAGCCAACGGAGATGGCTATTTGGATACAGGACTAATGCAGACGACATCGATAGGGAGTAAGTGTTGATTCTGAACCAACGGAGATGGCTATCTGGATGCAGCACTAACGCAGACGACATCGATAGAGTGTAAGTGTTGATCCTCAACCAACTGAGATGGCTATCTGGATGCAGGTCTAACGCAAATAACATCGATAGGGAGTAAGTGTTGCTTCTCAACCAACAGAGATGGCTATCTGCATGCAGCACTAACGCAGACGACGTTGATAGGGAGTAAGTGATGGTTCTTAACCAATGAAGATGGCTATCTGGATGCAGCACTAACGCAGACGACATAGCTTGTAAGTGATGATCCTCCACCGACGGAGATGGCTATCTGGATGCAGCACTAACGCAGACGACATCGATAGAGTGCAAGTGTTGATCCTCAACCAACTGAGATGGCTATCTGGATGCAGGTCTAACGCAAATAACATCGATAGGGAGTAAGTGTTGCTTCTCAACCAACAGAGATGGCTATCTGCATGCAGCACTAACGCAGACGACGTTGATAGGGAGTAAGTGATGGTTCTTAACCAATGAAGATGGCTATCTGGATGCAGCACTAACGCAGACGACATAGCTTGTAAGTGATGATCCTCCACCGACGGAGATGGCTATCTGGGTGCAGCACTAACGCAGACGATATCGATAGGGAGTAAGTGTTGATTCTTAACCAACTGAGATGGCTATCTAGATGCAGCACTAACGCAGACGATATCGATAGGGAGTAAGTGTTGATTCTTAACCAACTGAGATGGCTATCTAGATGCAGCACTAACGCAGACGATATCGATAGGGAGTAAGTGTTGATTCTTAACCAACGGAGATGGCTATCCGGATGCAGCACTAACGTAGACGACATCGATAGGAAGTAAGTGTTGCTTCTCAACCAACGGAGATGCCTACCTGGGTACAGAACTAATGCAGACGACATCGATAGGTTGTAAGTGATGATCCTCAACCAACTGAGATGGCTATATGGATGCAGCACTAACGCAGATGACATTGATAGGGAGTAAGTGTTGATTCTGAACCAACGGGGATGGATATCTGGATCCAGCACTAACGCAGACGACATCGATAGGAAGTAAGTGTTGATTTTCAGCCGACGGGGATGGCTATCTGGGTACAGAACTAATGCAGACGACATCTATAGGTTGTAAGTGATGATCCGCAACCAACTGAGATGGCTATCTGGATATAGGACTAACGCAGACAACATCGATAGCTTGTAAGTGTTGATCCTCAACCAACGGAGATGGCTATCTGGATACAGGACTAACACAGACGACATTGATAGGGAGTAAGTGTTGATCCTCAACCAACGGAGATGGCTATCTGGATACAGGACTAACACAGACGACATTGATAGGGAGTAAGTGTTGATCCTCAACCAACGGAGATGGCTATCTGGATATAGCACTAACGCAGACAACATAGCTTGTAAGTGATGATCCTCAACCAACGGAGATGGCTATCTGGATGCAGCACTAACGCAGATGACATCGACAGCTTGTAAGTGATGATTCTGACGAGAATATTGGAGACAATCATACTAACAAAACCTAGTAAATCAACTATGATTCCAAAGAGGCTCTACAGACTCATGCTATACTGGTCTTAATGTTCAAGGCTGACATACACGTATTCTTTTTTATCGTGAAGTCGCTCAATGAACAAACAGTAGAGCAAGGGGGAACAGGTTTAGCAAGTGTTATGTGGTGCGGTGCGGCTATTAAGAGGGGTTGCATTTCATGTATGCCTTAGTATGGGTTTTGTCCTATGTGCACTAGGTTTCCCCGTATTGTTATGCGAATGCAAAGGCTATAGAAAACGCCAAGATGCCTGAATAGCCACCTGATTTGTAGAGATCCACTAACGTACATGATAAGCGAGTGAGACAGACAAGCGAGTGAGACACCCCAAAACCCCATACTAAATGCCGTATTTTGCGACCTCATATCTCCACACCAATGGGTTGTTTCGACTCAATTACGGTTTTTCTGATTCTTTATGATGTAAATAATATCTTGTTTTGGATTTAGTTAAAATAACTCAGTATAGAGTATATTACGATAAAATACAGTGTATTTTTGATTGAAACCCACCAAAATATATTCATCGAAACCAACGTCTTCATGAATAAACTCAAACTTCTTCAGCACTCTGTGATTATGACAAAAAATATAAGATTGCGATAAGACCTTTGAATAATCAATCGTTGTTGAGATATGAGATCACAAAATACGGCATTTAGTATGGGGTTTTGGGGGGTCTCACTCGCTTGTCTGTCGCTTATCATGTACGTTATAGGTTTCCAAACAATTCCACACCATTCTTATACACATCTTGTAACATTATGTAGCAAGGTATTGTACCTTCCTACGTAATATTACACGATGTATTTTACGGTGTCCTTCCATTTAATGCGGCTCAATGATGGATCTGCGCTAAGGCCTTGGCGGTGGGGCTAGAGAAGAGTTATCATGTGTGTATTGGTCAAGCCGATTTCGAGAATGACTGTACAGTAGAATATGATCTAATGACTTCTACAATATAGGAGCTGGCTCTGTTATCTGCTCGAAGTGTCACTTCCCCTATAGGTTAGATATTGGCGGTGGATACTCCTATTTTCGGTAAACTCCTGGTCTTCATAGCTTACATTATGAGCTGAGGTTTGTGAGTGGTGTTCTGAGTGAAAATTTTATTTTTAACTTCAGGCACCATAATGGTTTCTACAAGTACCGCCTGCCTGTTCAGCTATGCAGGCGAAATCAAATAGTGAGCTGCGACATTGAACCGATAGTGCTATGACCAAAATAGGCAGCTCTGTAGTGAGATTACTAACACAGCTGCTAAATGGTTCAACAAGGTGTCGAGCTGTGACTCCCAACCCATACTGTGGATTTCAGTTCATCTTACCGGCTCAAGCAAAACTCGGCACTGCGCAACTTGGATAAGAAAAATCTCCAACTCATGGAAAGGGGCCTATCTCCGTTGAATGGGTCAACGGCCAATGAGAGGACCTCGTTGATACTGTGCCTGAATTGCTGTTCACCAGATGTCAGTCTGATGTTGGCCTTACGTACGCCTCGAGGCTTGCAAAAGAGCCATGATGTATTCTAGGGTCGCTGTAGCTTCTCTTGATACACTAGACGGTGGAATATGGTTACCGCAGCTTTCCCAGGGTAGGTTTGTCTCGTTAATTTGCAGTATATGTCACTAATATGTAATAAGTATCAGCTCAGCCAAGCCTCGACCATTCAATATTGATAATTATAACTTGCAGCAAGCCTACACGATGCCTTTACTCTCATTTCCGCCGGAAATTATCTTACTCATTGCCAACCATTTGATATCTCAAAAAGAAGTTTTCAACTTTCTACAATCCAACAGAATGCTCTACCATTTGCTCATCGACAAGCTTTACGAGAGAAATGTCGAATCCGACGGTGGATCAGCTCTTGTATGGTATGCAAGTCACGGGAACGAAGTCGGAGTTCGGAACATGCTGACCGCGGGCGCGGATGTGAACGTTCTATCACCAAATCAGGCGCAATCGACAGCACTTTTGGAAGCTGTAATTCAAAAGCATACCAATATTGTGCACTTACTTCTTAAAAATGGAGCTTGGCCAGATGCGGTCGGTCTCTGCTCCGGAAGACCCTTGACTTTGGCGTCTATTAGCCGTAGCAACATGGCCATCATCAAGTTACTCTTAGATTACGGGGCCAAAGTCGACCCCGTTGCGCCTGGCAAACGTGCTCCACTGCTGGAGGCTGTTCGTTCAAATCAAGGGTCTAAAGTCTCTTTACTTGTGAAGTACGGGCCAAATGCACATATCGTGGAACGCCAAAATACAATGAATCTCTTGCACGTCGCAGCAAAGAGAAACGTCGCTCCTTCGATTTTTAAGATAATCATAGATGCCGGTGTCTATATCGATTCTCAAGATGGCAGGGGGGAGAACCCCGCTTCAAGTAGCTGCTGATCATTCATGCACGCGGGCTGTGAGTGTGCTACTACATTATGGTGCCAATCCGAATTTCAAAAACATGAACCAATTTTACAAAGGTTGGACAGCTCTTTTCTACGCCGCGAAACGCGGGAACTCGAGCGGCGACAATAAAACTATCATTCGAACCCTCATCAATCACGGAGCCAAGGTAGACGGGACGAATGAGGTGCAAGATACACCCTTACTCCATGCTGTCTCTCAAGAAGCCATCATACAAGCACAGGTACTTCTTGACAGTGGTGCCAACATTATGGCAAGAAACTCAAAGGGAGAAAGCGTGCTTCATTTGGCTGCCTGGTATCCTGATATGATGAGCTGGCTTATCGAAAGTGGGGCTGATGTGAATTGGGCCGGCGGAGAACAAAAAGAAACTCCAATTTTCTACGCTATCAGACAATCTCAAAATGAGGGAAATGTCCGAAAACTTCTATCATTCGGTGCTGATGTTCACTTCCAAAATACCCATGGGATGACGCCCCTCTCGGTTGCTGCACAAATGAGCTCCATCGAACTGACAGTCATGCTCCTCGAAAGTGGGGCTTTTGTCAATTCGAAAGACATGAAAGGAAAGACAGCTCTGCATCATATTGCCGAATCGGGCTACGGATCTCGGGCCCACGAAGTCATTGCAGTGCTGATTCAACATGGAGCCGATGTTAACGCTCAGGATTACTCCGGATATACACCTTTGCATAGTGTTGTTGCCCAACAAGGGACCTTGGAGGCTGCTGCAGAGTTGTTAAATGCTGGAGCTGACCGGCATGTCTTATCCAGCGACGGAAAGTTTCCGCATGACATGGTCCCTGTCGGCCCTTGGGCAGAAACACAACGCTTTTTCCTCAATTATTACCAAATGCAACTGGTATAATTATGTCAATTGCGAAAAGAGTAATATGTAATTAGCCTGACTGTCAAGCCTCCGAAGAAATTTTAGTCTTCTTAGGTACATGTCCCTAATCGTAAGCGAGCGACCCGGTTGGGCAACATGATGCCTCTGACATAAGCAATTCCGAGGACGAATAGGGACAACAATATTTCGCCATTTTGATGTCAGGCCAGAAGCGTACTCGAGGTCTAGCGCGGTTTCCACTTTGTTGAACTGGCCAGGGTTGGACGGATACTTGGTCCCATTGATCAGCTTAGCGATGAGTTTGTCATTGGCCGCCTCAGGACGGTATTTGCGGAGGAACAACTTTAGATCAGTATAATTCATAGACTGAGAATCTTATCAGCACAAGACCCATAGCGAGCCAGACAGAGGAATCGTACCTCGGGACATTTTCAGTTTTGGTGAGTACTGTACAGTATCCAGCAACTTATTATTCTTTCTATCGAGCCGACCACATTCAAACCCTCCTGTCCAATGACATTACAGTTTCACCAAAGAGGTTTGGCATTGCACTTCCATATTGTGATACATAATGCCAAGGTTCCTGTCGGTCTCATTTTCTGTGGCTGATAGTACAGTACGTCCCGAAACTGGTGCGACCACCTACACTCTTCGATTGATTCTCAAACCCCAATGCCAAGGTCCACTAGTCTAGAATAAGGCAAGAGTAGCAAAATTGATGTCAGTGCAATTATCCACCTGGTAATTTACAATGTGATCCAGCTGCTGCATTCCTAGCGCTTATTCAGCTAACCGCCACTGTCTATTATGGAAACTGGCGCCCGATGTGGAATTTACACGTCCATTTTCCACTCCGACAATTCCCGCCTGTCTGCTCTATAAATACAGTCAGAATAGCTAGTCTGAATAGAATCGATTTGATCATTCTCCAATGAGACTACTAGGTAGAATTACTAGTGCATACGCCCATCAGACATCCTGACAATTGATATTCCTGAATATATCGATTACCGTAATTACATTGTTTAGATACAGAATCATGTCTTGTGACTGTATTCGCGAGCCCTAAGGAACTATGATTTTCCGTTGTAACTTAATGCATAAGTCGGCAGAAACCGATGAGGTGTCACTTCCCCCTGATCACATGACTCCCGTCATCGTCAGGCAGTGGCCTTGGGTCAAATCACTGGCGATCACTCCGTCTAAGTAGATGGAACAGAACACCGCTGCCGAGTGTCACGCAAGGAACCTAAATAACCTAGAGCGCCAACGCCAGTTGTTCCAGTTTCGCAGTATCTATATTTTATCCACGTTGTTCAACTTGCGGAGTGGAAATGGAAGGAGCGCACGATCCGATTTATCTTCCTAGAGTCATTCCTCGCTGCCTCCGACAGTTGACGCAATCCCCACCATTGTGTCTACTTCAGGATCGGGACTTCCAAGCGATCCAGATCTTGAGGCAACATGGCCAAGAGTTGGGCAGTTCTACTCATGGCATTACTCAGGCCAGCAACCTTGCCTCTGGATTATCCGATATTATCGTCATTCTAGAGCGCCCTCGCAGTGACGAGTCACACCCCCCCAACCAAAGCTTCGATGGCTTCGTGAACGCCTCTGACACTTTGAAAATGGTCGATAAACTTCTCCGCTTTGCTAGTCGAGGCACTAGGAATATTGGTACCGTTACCGTTGTTAATGCATTTTCATTGCAACCTTGGAGAAAAAACGCCGATGCAAACCTCAGGTGTGAAGAAATTCTTGCACGATTTTTGCAGGTTAAAAAACCGCAGGTGATCATTCATTGTATGAACTCGGGCTATAATAGTCCGTGGATGAGAAGATTCAACTTCCCAGATGAACGTTACCAAGTACTGAGTAAAGTCGTCGAAATTGCCGACGGTCACACCGCTATCGTTATACCTTCATTTCATCCCTCGCATGCGATCTACTACTTGAAGCACAGACTAGAGCTGAGAGTTTTACTTATGTATCACTTTGCCTTAGCCTTCCATTCACTAAGTGAAGCAACGGCGACCCTTTGTTGCGCAAACAGAATTCAGAATCTATGCCTCTATCGGGGTGAAAGAAAAGAAGAAAAATGTCATTTAAGTGACTGGGAGCTGGCATCATGCATGTCAGATAAACTCAATAAATCCTATCTGCACTGCGGAAAGGATATCGTGCCGCTCTCACAGGGCATCTTTGCCGAGGAAAATCTGTCGGATAGAATCAACAGGGAGTCGGACACGTTCCAGTGCCTGAGTTTCTGGCTTATGCTCCTTCTCGAAAAGCCGCAGAAGTTTGAACTTTTTGGGATCACATCTGTCATGTTCCTATTGCGAAGAGCGCGGGTCGATCACAACCCTATCTATTCGAGAATATCCTCAGCGTTGCTTGACCTGGATGCCGAGCAAGAACATTGGTTCTACAAAGCAGAAGACACCAGCATAGCTGATGTACAAGAGAGGCTTTCAGCAGTCGCCCTCCATGTCGACCCTAAAATATCTGCTGCCATCAATGCAAACCGCAAAGCTTGTGATTCCGTTGTAAAGACTCTAGGTCTTCTTGAGCGAGGCGAAGAAATGAATTTTCGCGTCAAGATACCTCCACACTACTTTCCTGTTCTTTCACAACGAATGCCTATGGCTAAGTATCTGGCCAGCTCGCAAAGAATCACTATTTCCACGGCTTTGCGCATGGAATCCCTATCACAACACTGTTGGACCATCAATGAAACGCTGCAGAAACAGAGTAGAGAGGAGGGGCAGCTGCCACATACTGAAGTAAGGTTTCACGTCGAACGTTTGTTAGAATGTCTCAGAAAGTTGAGAATGGAGCTTGAAGCTGTTGATGAATAGATAGCTTTAGATTGATACAGTAAGTGATAGGCGCACTTATACCTTTGCCACATTTCATATGTGTGGCCTCTCGTGAAATGTAGAACGTTTAAGCAAAGTGGGCTATGGACACTAGGCAAGAAAGAAAAGAAAGGAAATGAAAACATATATATATATTAAGAACTGAGCGAAACTGCTCCAGTCTCCTAGGTTCCTGCCGCCTACTTATCGCCTCGTGACCCGACGGCGCGACCGCTCTTTTCAAGAGCCGTCCGTCCTTTGGGCGGCTGTCTTCGCATGGCTGATTTGGGAATGGGTTACGGTGGAGATGTCAAATGTATTGAATTTACAAGCGAATATGTACTATGTAATCCACTGTAAGAAGCAATACACGTCTCACTGACGAAGGTAATGGAAGAACTCCTAATATAAACTAGTGTGTCTTGGCGTTGGAGCCTGGAGAATCAATCGAAGAGTGTAGGTGGTTGCACCAGTTTCGGGACGCACTGTATCAATGCACGCATAGGGGATTTTATTTGCAGAATTGCGCATTAAAATTGTCCTCGCCGGCAAATAAATCTGGAGGTGCTAATTTTGTCTTGAATAAGACATTTCAGTACCCGAACGGTAACCAAGTGACGTCCCATCCTGGAACTTCAATTCTTTGTCATGTTGCATCAGAACACAAAAAGGGCAACAAAGAGACTCTACGCAGTCTCCGCAGGCTGAACCTTCTATGTTGGAGGACCCCCTCATGCCGCCTCTTTGGATCATAAGTGGTACCCATTGGAGTCCACAAAGCGTAAGCGACGCGAATAGACAACACTAGGAATAGACCATTAGTATTATCCTAGATTCAATCCAAAGTGACTGTTTCATACATCAAAGTTGCAGCAGCTTTCTTTATGGCTTCGCTTTTGTCGACGCGACGAAATTTTCCCGAATAATCCGCATGGCCAACAGCAAGCAAAAAAACCTACAAGGATGTTATTAATGGTCTTCTTCGGTTTGATGATACAGTAGCGGATGGAGAGACGCACAAGTTGTCCAGGGAGTGCAGCAGCTCCAGAATGAATTGCTCCACTCTCCTTGGGCGTCCGGCATCGACATATTAGTGTATGTGGGATGGTATAAAATCTAAATGGGACGAGCGAGAGGTGACATTAAAATAGTCCATTTTCCATAAAACCTCATGCAAAGACGATTGGAATCTACCTCCGTTTCTCTAAGCCCTACTATGGGTACAACGGTTTTGTTCAACATGGATTAAATTAGCCTGGTTTTCAGTAATTAATGTTATTGCAGTTTCGCTGGAAGGTGGTCGGTTCCATTAAAATAGTGGAGATCAACTGCCCTTTCATCTTTAAGACCCTAACCATGCTGTGCCGTATCAGTTTATAATGTGCAAATGTTGACCTGGTGGGTTTGCCAATTAGGCTAGCTAAGACAACTCAAACGATCGGGTTGATTTACCCCTAAGAGAATTCAAAAATATATTCACCGCAGAACAGTACGCATTAGTTGGATCCTCTGTCCGCAAAATAATTTATTATCCGCTCCTGGTCAACAAAGAACTACCGACTTCGATAGTTGTATCAGACTGAAACACATAGATAGGACTATGATTACAGCATTGAGAAGCATATGTGGATAGCTGTTCTAATTTCCAGCAGTTTTAACTATCTTTGACAGCAGCAGCCTTAACATTGCAATGCAAATATCATACACATCAATGGGAAATGATAAATCGTTAGAGGCAGATCCAGTTTCTAAAATCACGAAATTCAAAAGACCAGAAATGTTCAACGGCGCGTTACTTGTTTTCTGCCCAGACCACGAACCAAGCCAGACATGACATTATTGGCCAGATTGAGCACAGTTTGCGGTCGCAGAATTAGAAGTAAATTAATTGCCTCCAAGTGGGTTTACCAGAAATATGTTGTTCAACATGATACCTATATTCTGCATAAGCCCCGGCACCAAATGCGTGTCTGACCAGGAATAACTTCAAGCACAATGGCTGCATGTAAATTAGCTTGTACAAAGCCCCAGAACAAGCTGAATTGAGAATATGCTGCTGATATCATGAAGAAACTGCTATTTTCTTAATTACTATCAGGTGACCATATACTAGCTTGACATTTTGCCATAATACAGGGCTCCAGAACGGAAAGTTGAACAAAATAGAATGAACAAAGAGAGATTTCAGGATAGTATTTTACTTTAGAAGTTCAAGTCTTGTTACACTCTTTAGAGTGGCTATGGTAAACGAAACGAACAAAGTGACTTTACTTAGTCTCGAATGGTGAAGATATTCGGATTGAAGGTATTTTCCTATTAGAGACCCTTTCGTCTCTTCAAAGCCGCCCATACACCTCGGCAGAGGTTTTAAATTCAAAGCGGAAATTGAACGTCAGTTCACCAAAATACGAGGTTAGTCGTCTTTACAGGTTGCCGTGCTAGAGCTCAACATCACAGCCGTTAACAATACATACAGATTTGGCAGAAGTATGTAAAAATTGAACGTCTGTTGAATGTTCAAACGGTGAATTACTTGTTATTTCTAATATTGTTGCAATCAGACACTAGCGCGCTCTCGAGTGTCGTGTAAGGATGTTCAGCTATTGCTTTTAGAAATTGAATCGACTTCTCATCCTCGACTCATCATTTGCAGACAACCAATCTTCCTCATTCGCCCAAACCCAAAAACTACACAGCTGGACCTTCCTTATAGCGTATTATTTCAAATCAAATTAATTACTGCACTGTTTGACAATGAAGATAATTTCCCAGCACATGACTTGTTGATTGCTCATCTAAGAACATGGTACTAACTGACAGTCGTAGCCATGCAACCCAGGCCCTGAATCTCAAATAATTACTCTCACGGGGTAGTCATTATTGGATCCATCCTTCCTTGGCTGCAATATGAACAGGCCGGTCAACCACAAGGTTATCGCATCCTAAGGGTGACGAAACACAATAAGGTCCCCTACGAATATGCCCAATGGGACTTTTTATTTGGCATTATAATGTTAGTTTTTTTTCAGTATTCAAAAATGGCAACTACCATTAGTTAGGATGTAATCCGTCTTTTTAGGATCACAATAACAAGGTAAAGTTGAACTCAAGACGGAAAAAAGGTTATACTAGTCAAAAATCTCTATAGTGCACACGGACTTGGCTACCAGGATAGGAAGAACGCCATGAATCCAAGCTTCCATACGCTTTCTACCGTGGTATCAGTGGATTTCTACTTGAAGCAAATGTGACTGCTCCTAGAGCATTATTGGAGTGCTCTAGGAGTATAGTGTAGATGTCGCGATCTGCTCCTAGAGCACTTATTCATGCTCTGAGCCTAATCCGGAGGAATGGGAGTTTTACAGGATCATAGTACGGATTTTGTGGAACATCAAGAGTAAATTCTGTTGCAGTTTATCTTGAGCAACTGCATAGCCTGCCATTACGTACTAATTACATTAAGCGTGTGATCAGTTCGACAAAGCATGGAGGCAGGAGACTGTCGGGGATTGCAGCACTGGAGGTTTGCATATACAGTAGTAGTAGTAGTAGTAGTAGTATTCATTTACACTGGCCCCTCGCCGAAGCGATATGCAGTATACGACAACTATATGACAACCAAGCTGCGGTGGTTGTTAGCCCAAATTGCCATCTTATAACCTCGATCCCTTTTCTTCTCATCCTCCGTTGCCGTGTATGATCTGGATGAACGAAAGATCACCAAATTCTTAGCGCCGCATCACTTTTCAGTTCCCAACTATCTCACTGCGTTATAAGCAAAGCACACTAAGAATCCAGTCATCAACGAGCTTAAGAGCCTCTTCACTCTAAGCTACCAGTCATTTGACAATAGAGAACAAGTAGGATAGTACTGGTTTATGAGATGATATCTAAGCTCCTAAGTTTGTTAGGGTCTTTTGTGTTCTTATTAAAATCCTCCATCGCATCTATGGCTCCTTTAATCTGGAGCTCCGCTTGTACCAGACATTGACTAATATTATCAGCCTTCCCCGCCAAAAGTAGGTGGAGCTTTCGCAATTTTGAATTTTGAATACGTAAGTTAGCCTCCTGGGCCCTAGAATCTTGCAGCTCGCTTTCCAGCTTTTTGTTCATTGCTGCAGCTACTTGTATCCTTTGTTCAAGCTTTTGTGTCTCCGTATTTGCATCGGGTTTGCGGCTGTGGTCTGAGAATTTTCCAGCTAGCTCCGCTCGGACTTCGCCCTTTCGAACAGCTATGACAAGCTCAATATAGAGGTTGGTGGACATGTCGCTAAGATGTTTTCGAAACAGATGTGTCTTTTTTTCTTCAAAAACCCATCTATATTGATCCCTTTCTAAAGGATGAAGTCGCACCTCTGATGGAGACAACTCAATGCCCAGTCTATCTTTTACTTGTTAGCCAACCGAGAAAATTTGGAAGGGTATGTCTTACTGATATGATTTGCAAGTTCTTCCCTACAATTTTTCCGTTCTAGTGCGCGCTTCCTATTGGCTGGTGTCGACATTATCTACAGCACTTGCAGTTTTCAAACATAGACACTGAGAGCCTCGACCGGAAATTCTGCCATGTAACCCAATTTCATCTTTAGTAGACCGTATATCAAGGATTGAGCCTGAACTATGTCATAAGCTATGCCAAAAACCAGCGAAAACTGAAGTGCCTTGAAAGATCAACTGGTCAACGTCCGATGGATATCCCCCTTCGCAAAATCATCCAGACTAAACTAGGGCTGGATATGTGTCAAAGAGGTCTCGACCAATGGCAAAATACCTGAGTATACGAATTTCAGAAGTAAATACTGTATATTAGGTCGGAGCACCCCGGAACAAACCCAGAATAAACTTGGAGCATATCTGCATTCCGTACCTTGTCAAGTTCAACTTGATTCCAAGCGCCACCATGCTTTCAATCCAAGAACCTATTAGAACTTCAATGAAAACAATAAGTTTTCGTTTTCTTTTTTCTGGGGTGTTGAACATTTTTCGATGCTCACTGGCAAGTTGAATCAACTTCATAATTGTTTTTAGATTGGAGCAACAGGGACCAAAAGCTTGAACAGATACTAGTCATGTCCTATTTGAATAGCGATCTGTTTATCTTTCATTATTATATGTTAGTGGTTGCATTTCGTGAGGAATTTTGATCTTACAACTGGATGTCGTGGTTTGAACGCCTGTATGGTTTGTCCATCATGCCACAATCTATAGACCTTATACGGGCTAGGGCCGAAGCTAAACAGTATCTGGGAGAATGTGATATTTGCTTCCGCTTTCAGATTACATAGATTTGAGAACTGGACGTGTTTATTAAATCTCGCAGTTAAGATGGGTGAGATTTTGTTCAGTTACTGTATCAGCAATTGAAGATAGTAATTAAAATACATCACGATAAGTACATCCTCGTAGAGTGAGGGTCGGCAACTTGTGACTACATTTGTTGTCACGCACCATTCCTATGGAGAGTGTAAATACGCATAAATGTTTGGGATTCAAGAGCAAGGATAGAGTAAGCCGAGAATGGAGAGAAGATCGAAAATGATATTGCAATATATAGAGAAGAAAAGCCAGCAGACGCACATTCAGTCAGAACGCTATCGGATCGTCAAAAGTTGGAATGAAATCTAAATACTTATTCTCTATTTGATTCAGTCCATGATCTCTTATGTCCACGAGGAGGCTGATAGCAGTGTGTGTCGACGAGATGAAGTACCAAATCGTGGAAGTTCTCAAATTTCATTGAGCAAGCAGGATGTTCACAAGAATAATACCCCTTTAATTTAGTTAAATGGGCTTCGACATGACTGTGCCACTTCGCGCGGTTGACCATGAACTGGTTCATTCGCTTTGATGGAGGAAGATTCGCATTGCCTAAACAGAACGGGCAAAACCCTGCCTTGATTGGGGCATTGCGAAACATCAATGGATCACATCGCAGTAGCTCCTGAGGTCTTTCAAGATGGTTTTTGCAGTGAGATTCCCACTCTGCTGGGTCGTTAAACCAACTATCACATTCAAAACACATTTCTGCAAAATCGTACTTGCTCATATGGCAGAGTTTAACTTTATAACAACGATAAAGGTGTAGCCATCTTCGATGAGGATAGAAACTGAGATTGTTAGCGTAGAATCATTATCAATAATCAGGGGAACTAACTTGTCCATTCCTTCTCCACATGGACATTTCCCATCCACTGGCTGGAGACCAGAACGATAAGCAACAGGGCGTATTTCTTTGCAGAGAGACTCCAGCGCCTCTAACGCCTGTCTTCCTTGGCAACTTCGTAAGCTAACCCTCTGAGGGAGCACTGTCGCTAATAAATCTCGCTCCGGCATAACCCTTCGTCTGTAGTGGAAAAGATTCTGTTCGTGTAAATCGCCTGGGTGCCCAGAGGACCTCATCAGCGTATTGGGCTGCAACATTTGAACCATTTTTAGCTCCTCTTTATAGAGTCGCTGCTTTTCATTGTAAATTTGATGCTGCTTGACTTGAATTTCGCGTTTCTGTTCATGGTCATTCGTAAAAGGTAGTAGAGAACTTAGAGAATCCATGTCTCTGTTGAGAGCACGAACGTCATCCCGGTCTTCGAACTCAAATTCCGCCTTTGCGGGAAGTGACTGTAACAGTTGAGGGTTTTGATAAATCCCCATTCCGCGGCGGTTTTGGATATGCCCATGTCGGCTTTCAATGCCAAGATAAGTTGCTGGGCCATCGACTTCGCTAAGCGGATGGGCATAGTACTTTCCATATGTGTCTCGATTGGACTGTCCCGCGAATTTCATTCGTGCCGATTCGGAGTGCTTCTTATCTGCTAAGCTTTAGCTAGCGACTGAGGAACGTCAAACGCTGCGGGAATGTACCTGCTTCCATAAGCGCCCATCTTCGGCAGGCGCGGATGGTGACATTTCGAATGAACCCACTACGGTGACCCAGCCCGACAAACTCTTTGCCAAAAGCATCTGCTCCCCGAGCTTTTCCGGTACTCTTGTTCACATGTTGCTCGCTGAATGGTCGGAATACTGGAACCTCCTGAACATGTTCCTTGAAGACAATAACTTGCAAGACTTCATTTTTGGTAGGAGAAGTGTTTGTGTAGGCTTCTGCCGTATTCAGAATCTCACTAATGGAAGAAAAATCCCGAAATGCATCGTCGGCAGATGCCATCGGCAAAAAGAATGTAAGAAGATTGAAAAAAAGGGGTACTTCCTCCCTGTAAATTTCGTAGAAGGCGTGGATTGGGAGTTCCCATCGTTTTTTTCTCCAGTGGCCTTTGACGAATTCTCGCTGGTAGGTAAGTACTAGCACAGATTGTCCATCAACATTCTCGATACTAAGAATGAAATGCTAATATAGTGAATTAGTATAGAGCCTGTCTTTCTCACCATCTATTCAAATCAAACACTTACCTTGTAACAGGCCGCCATAACTCTGGCTTCTAGCTCCTTATCTTCCTTAACTGTGCCTTGTTCTCTTGACACCTTTCGCCGACACGTCGACTCATGAACCTCTCCTGTTCTTGCTGATGTGAAACAGTACAAAAGAATCGCCGCGCTTAGTTGCACTCTCGTTCTATCAGGGATCTCTCCGCGAAACTCGTGAAAGTCCCTACACCATAGCTGAGTCATAAGCACAGTAAGGTCATTTGGCGACAGCCCATCTTTATCCATTTCGTCGGTTGAAAGGGAGATCTTTTCTTTAAGCCCTTGAATAATCCACTAGACAGATCGATTAGCATACCAATCAACCCAAAAACAGGGGAAAACGTCGGACCTCTCTCAGTGTTGTCGACACCTCTGTCGAGAAGTTGTATTTTCTCCTAAGGGACATGCCTGCCTCAAAATCTCTGCGAAAGGACTCAACCGTTCCAATCGTAGGCTTCTCTTCGATCCGACCTTTCATGCCACGCGCTGCAAATTCTAAAAAGGCCTTATAGGTCTTGATGTTTGGAGGGTTTATAGCTTGGGGATGGAGCGAAATAAACCTGAAATGAACAGACAATTGAGTAAGTTAATATCACTCCGGAAACGATGCTAGTAGTACTAACTTGTCAAAAATGTCAAGTGCACGGTCATACTTCTCTCCGGTACGTGGGAGAATAGCTCGGGCGATTTCCGAGTTATCATGCTCACCAAAATCAACAAGATGGGAAAAATTCAATAATGGGTCTTTAGATTTCATTTTTGAAATGACGGGGTGTAGGGAGGAGTAGGAGAATAAAATATAGGATGATGGCCACCCAGCGGCATGGTGCTGGGTTTTATCTTTGCGAGATCGCTAAGACTTTCCCTGCACTAGAATGAGCAAATGCACCTGTTCAACTACGAGTTTCAGCCTTCAGGCATTTTTGGGTGAAGAGTATTCAGGGTCCTGAATTGCCGCCTGAAGCCGCCTGAAGAGCGGCGGGATCGCCCATGCCCGATTGGGCGACCCTGGGTGACCACCACCATACATGTGCTGTTGCATGTAACCTTCCCTTTTCTTTGTTTTTTTTTTTTGCCTTGGATTCCAATTAAAGTCAGCTACTTGTAGTCTATATATAGGAAATATATGGAGGATATGAATGTCTCTACTCTCCTATTTCCACATTGAAATCCTAATATGTGGAAGAGAAAAAGAGCTGTTGTAGAACACTGTCATTGTGAGATAACAAATGAAACGCCATCCAATGAATGCCACAAACAAATAGTCCTAGAAACACGAATGCAATCCACTCGAAGGCATCCCTGGAGCAGAATCAACATCAACGGTCATGATAATGTTTTTGTCCAATGATTTATCATACTCTATTTCTCGTCATCAGTCAAAAGCCTGATGGATTTTATTGGGAATCGTGTCATTGCTAGGCGCTCTGTGTTGCGTGGAAAGCTTTCATCGGCCAATCGTGAGGCCAGCGGGACGCTTGGGCCATTACAACCCGATTAGGACGCAAATCTCTGATTGGGCGATCGTTCCCAGGTCCACATCTATGCCTATTTGAACATGCAACTGGACGACTTCAGGGTCATTCACTCCAGAAAACAATAAATGCTCCTCGAGCTTCCGGTATTTCCGGGTCAAAATGGCAGCAGACCCTTAGCTGAGCGCCGTGTATAAAGGTGCCGCCACTGCCCTCCTGAAGGTCATGCGAGTTGAACCTCATTTGATATCGATCACACATCCCCTTCATTAGAGAGCACCCCATTCGACCCTCTAGATTTTGAATCCATCTCCTCGCGGTCTCTTTCAAACCCGACACCATGGCCAGCTTCTTCGACTTCGTCCGCGATCAGCGCACCAAGCTCCCCATTGTCCAGGCGCCGGCCACCCTCACAGGTGGAACCTACGTCGTGACCGGCGCCAACACGGGCCTGGGCTTCGAGTGCGCAAAGCACCTGGTCCGGCTCGGTGCCGCCCGCGTCGTACTGGCCGTTCGTTCGCGCGAGAGGGGCGATGCCGCCCTGATGGCAATTCGGAAAGCAACTGGCCGTCACGACGTGGGCGAGGTGTGGGAGTTGGACCTCGCGTCGTCTGACTCGATCGAGGCGTTCGCCAAACGGCTGGACGCGCTTGACCGGTTGGACGCGCTGATCGAGAACGCGAGCATTATCATAACACGATTCAATGTCGCCGAGGGCATGGAGCTGAGTCTCATGGTCAACGTCGTCGGCACGATGCTGCTGGCCGTCCGCGCACTGCCCAAGCTTCAGCAGTCGGCGCACAAGTTCAACATTCAGGGACACCTCGTGGTCGTCTCCAGCACCGCGGCCCTCGGTTCGAAAATGAAAGGAACTGTGGATGGGCTCCAGGGCGACGTCTTCGATGCGCTGAGCCAGGAAAAGAATTTCAACGCACGTGTCCAGTGAGTGACAAGCGCACCGTTGATGCAAATGATGACCAGCCCACTAACCTGCTCCGCCCTGTCTCCCAGGTACCCCACGACCAAACTGCTGCAGATCTACGCCGTGCGCCAGCTTGCTTCGCTATTCCCCGTGTCCGAAACGAACGTCATTATCAATATGACGAACCCCGGCCTATGCTACACGGAACTGGACCGCAATCTCCCCTGCGTGGGCCGGCTGTATATGGCCGGGATGCGAAAAATGTTGGCGCGGACCGCGGAGGAGGGCAGCTGGATGCTTCTTCAGGCCGCCTTCGCCAGCACCGAAAGCCACGGCAAGTGGTGCTCGGAATGCGCGATCAAAGAGTAAGTTTATCAGGCTGTGACCTCATCATTTCGAGCATGTTCTTGATGGCGCTCATTATTCATCCCGGATATCGCATCACATCCAAGTCCTAACCTTGATCACTTAGTCATGTCATCCCCCCGTGGGTATCCGATAACGACGGCGCCCGCACGCAGAAGCGCGTCTGGGTGGATCTGGTCAAGAGATTGGACGCTCAAGGCCACGGGTTGGATGTCGGGAGGCTTTTGGCAGAGACAACCGAGGCAAACTGAGTGGGACATCAGAGGCTAGGAGACGGGGCTTGCGGTGGACAAACGCGATACTGTTCAGCCTCGAAGTCTCTACCGTGTAGACAGCCCCTCAGTTTCCGTAATTGGCCCGCCCCATTGACCAGCCATCCTTGTGTGTAACGGCCAAGGTCCATCCCGCTCTTTTATCGGGCTAGTTCTGAGCCTTGAGTACTGTTCTCTCTAGCTAGCTCATAGTCCTCATCGTCACAAGAGATCGACAGTTGTCCGTACTTTTTCAGTGTCGAGCGCAACTCATCAGGTTTATTACTCCTCTGTAGTGGCGAACTCTATACCGAAACGTGGGTGCGCAAGGTCCCACAGCTCCTTACCCGGTGAATCATGCCACGCCGCGATCCACGGGAAGTGGCTTAGATGCTCCCTCACCTCCTTCCAGGTCTTGAGGTCGAGCGCTGCCGCCAGCGCCCGGACATGCCCGGCTGCAAACGATCCTGTGTCGCACCACTGCCCGCCTTCTGACGCCGAGAAGGCATAGAAGAAGACGAGCCAGAGACGCAGCAGTGGGTATCTTTCCGCTCGGGCAAGGCCGTTCCCCTCGTCGTAGTCATCGAGCCGTGCCCGGAGCAATTCGGACAGCAATCGGGAGTAGATCGATCGCATGCGACCTGTGCGATACAGGACGGTGGTCATAAAGGCGAGAAGGCCAAGCTGACACATGTCATCGAGCTGATGCGACGGCCGCGCGCCGCTGAGCGGGGCAAAGTCCACCAAACGCTGCGATATGGAGATTATTATGTCCTGGTAGTGATAGGGGTCAAGCTGCACCGCGTCCCTGGCATAATGACAGAGGGCCATGATATCGAGCGTGGTATGTTGCAAAGCTGCGCATGACTGGGACAGCGGGTACGGTAGAGGCTCGTTGCTGAGAGACGAGACGACGCGAAGGGTCGCCGGCGCATGCTGTGGGCCGAAGCGTGTCGGCGTGCCTGCCAGCAGGGCAAGCTCCATATCGGCACGGCGGATCTTGTTCATCAGCTCGCGGTTGCGCACTCGCAGTGCCTCCAGGCCGCCCGGCCGGAGCTCGAGAATGCGCTGCAGCCCGTCAAGATGGATGCAACTCTCGCGCACGGCACCTGAGAGGTTGGCGTAGATGACAAGCGAGATGACCACGGCGACACTGGGGTCCTGCGGGACGGCAGCGGTATTGAGGTCACGACGGAGCAGGCGCAAGGCCTGCGACAAGTGTCGCGTTACCTCGAGCGCCTCGTCGGGGTGGCCCCGAAAGACCGACACGTGAGCGCCTGTCATGGCGAGGCCGCAGTGGAACACTGAGGTCGTCAGCATGTACCAGTTAGATAATGCACAAGAGCATGCACTTCCCACATAGTCTTACAAGATCGGTCCAGAATCATATGCTCGAACCAAGAGCCGAGCTCTTTGGCTGGGCGGCAGAAGACGCGTGGGTAAATCTCCTCGCAGACAGCGTCGTGATCTTCAGGCAGTCGTCAAGGAGTGTCCGGACAAAGGAAGAGGTTGCTTACATTGATAGAACAGGTACCGCATCGCCGGTGTGAGGGGCGTGGGTAGCGCAAAATACGAGAACTCCGCTCCGGCGAATGGATTGTAAGGTGAGGGCATACGGATGACTTCCTGGCATTGTCGCTTCTTCCGACCTCTGGCCGGGATGATCCTCCCCAGGTTCTTCCCCATCATCGCATGGCTGCGGATCAGCCTGCGTGATTGTCCATCAAGAGGCGCGCTGTTATCAATGAAGCGGAACTCCATGGCTTACTCGGCATCGATGGGATTGTTCTGGAGGTGAGGGAGCCAACACCATCCGTACCATCCGCCGGCTTTGATAGGGGGCTGTCAAATAAAGTTAGGTGTGTGGCGATGTGCTCAGCCCCGCAAATGGCCAATTGCTTACCACGGTGTACTACCTCACGCAGCTAACGGGAAAGAACTGTAAGCTTATGACCAAAACGCAAAAGAGCCACATCCATATCTGTATCTACACATCCCCAATAACATGCCATATCACGGGCAGACATGTATTGAATTAGAGGCGAATCTTACTCGGGCCTAGAGCTGGCTGTGGCAGAGGTTGATATACATAGCTAAAAATCCGGTCACGATAATATATTTGTTCTAAAATTTAACGTACTCTATCACTCTTCATTAGTCAACCGTCTAGTGGATTTTAGTGTGAATCGTGTCTTCAAAGGCGCAATGCTACCACTGCAGAGACATGACACCATCGTATGACATATATACAATCGCTGTTTCCTTGCGAACCCACTAAATGTCTACGGACACTAATCCTGGCAGTCTACATATTCCAAATCGCTCTATCCAATGCTAGGATATATGTTCTCGCGAAGGTGAACCGCCTCTTATGAAATCAAAGAGATATTCGCTACAGAACCTCAAGGCAACGATGTGACTCTTGCACCCACATATTCCCGGCCGCGCTTCATTCAGTACGACCAGACCCTCGGCTCTCCCCTTACATCCTTGATCGCCTTGGCATTCATCCTGCCATACCAAAGGCGCAACCCGGTCGCCAGAACGGCGACAAAGTATGCGCATCCTGCGCACGTGAAGTTTCCCGTCGGGTAACCTTGAGCAGCCTCTCCCGGCTTCCAGATCCACTGCGCAATAATTTGCCCAATACCCGCGGAGGAATTGTGCAGCGCGAGGGCGAAGGGGATCGTCAGCAGGCTGGGAGTGTTGCAAGCCACCCAGTTGGTCATCGAAGGCGCGGCGGGGAATGCGCCAGCCGCTGCCAGACAGAGGCATCCGTATCGTTTAACATATGCATCCGGAGGCAGCAACCCGGCGACCAGCCATCCGGTCCCTCCTGCCAGCGATGCTCCTGTGATGTGCCAGCCTCGCATGTTGAGACGGTCTGCCGAGTAGGAGAGCGTGATGGCCACCACGAACCCCACAACCCATGGCGGCACGGTCATGAGTTGAGCCTGGATGGACTCGTATCCCAGGCCAGTGACGATAGTCGGAGTGAAGAATGTAAACGATCCTTGTTGCACCACGTTGGCAACCTGATGAAGGCCTTAGGTCAACACAACGTACGCCTCGAAAAGAATATGTGATAGGCAAGATAGATGAATATACTTACATATGCAATGTAATGTGTCATCATTCGTGGACTGAAGAATGTAGCCAGGATCTCCTTGCGACTCGCGTGGTTTGAAAGGTAGCCACCGCCTCGCTCCTTGAGTCTATCCTCGGCGAAGCGCTTGTCCGAGCCACTGAGCCACTTTGACCGAGCAGGGTAGTCCGGGAGGAAGAAGAAGACGGGCAGCGCTGAAACGACGGTGATAAGGCCCTCGATAATAAAGAGCCAGCGGAATCCTTGCAATCCAGATGCGCCGTTGACCCGCCCGATGCCGAATGCTATCGCTCCTCCAAACGCGCCGGCCAGGTTGCAGAAGGCTACAACCAGAGCGATTCGTACAGACCGCTCGTTGTGACGATACCAGATTGTGATGAGATAGCAAATACCTAATAGAAGAAGGACCGTGGTCAGCCATGCGTCGACGAGAGAATCACTTTTCAAGCCTCACCAGGAAAGAAACCGGCTTCAAACTGCAGTAAGAGTCAGCAGTCAAGACACGAGTAATGCTAGATGGGAACTGCTTACAACTCCAATCAGCAACCGCAGAGCCAGGACGCTGCCGTAATTCTTGACACCAGCAAATCCAAGCGTCACGATACCCTGTAGCACAAGTTAATGAGAAACGAGGGACTCAGGTCTAGCAGTTTGATCTCTTTCGAAACCACACATTCTAGTGGGCTCAATCAACATACCCAGCAGGTAAGTAGGGTGCCTAACCAGATCGATGGGCGCACATAATGTTTCATGACCCAATTGGAAGGCACCTCAAACACAGCATACGCTAAGGAGAAGAGCGTCAGGGTGATGGAGTAATCCATGGCGGTCATTCCCGTCCGCTGCAGCATATCATCGCCGGTTTCTTCGTTGAGAACTTTTGCATTGCCAATGTTACCTCGATCAAGAAAGTTTAAGAGATATATCCAGCAGCATAAGGGCAGGATTCTGATGTCTAGAAGTCGGTTCAGGCGCCGGTTTTCCTTCTCGTCTCGTAGATCCAACGACGAGCCGTCTGAGGCGGTCACATCCTGATTCTGTGGGATTTTAGCCGATTCCAAGGCGAGAAGTTAGCAAAAGAGACGGATTTTCACCTCGAGACAGTCATTCTCTAGATGCTGGGTTTGCTCTCCTTTCTCCATGTTTTCGACTACAAACTAGTTCCCGTTTGGTGTGCTCCTTGAAAGTGAAGGATGCCTTATGATGGGAATCTGTGCTTGGAGCTTGAGGATTGAGGGAAGAAGAATGGAGTCAGATCAAAAAGAGAGGGGGAAGGAACCAACTGAACACCATCATGAATCTGATCATCGTGTGGACCCCTTAGCAGGATGCTCTGTGATTCGGGGTTGTAATTGCCGGAGCTAGATATCTCCCCTGGCGTTGTTTGTGTACAACAAACTCCGGAATATCTCCAGGTTCTCCGCATTGGCTCCACATAGTGGGGTGCCCAGCAAACCTATTAGTGTCCTTCAACCCCGCCCTCTGCGGTGAATGTGTAGGAGAACCGGTATTGACGGATGGATGGACATTTACCCTGTCCCCGAGCAATTCGGCGATATCCCCGACCACTTCGTCACCTACCAATCAAAGTGATCAAATGTGGTCCATTACTCAGTAACCCTATGAACTCCCCCCCGATAATTAGAACACCAAATATCCTCACCCCTTAGCCTAACAGCCACCTTATGCAGATCGCTCATTTCCAATGCAACAATAGGAAAGAATTCCTCCAGAAGTGATTCAACCGCAACATTAAAATACCCCTTAAAATCCTGTCCAGCAATATCCTCCTCCTCATCAACCGGGGACATTGTCCCAGTAAAAGAAGCAACAGTGACAACAAACGGTATCCTAGAGCGTTCGCGGCGAGGCGCAGAGGACGGCAAAGGCGACTCAAGGAGGGATTCCAAAGCTGGTCGTGTAACAGCCAAGCAGACACTGTGATCCAAACCTCGAGACGGGGACATTTCCCTGTATCGTCTATTTCCCTCGATCTCAGTCTTTCATTCCAATAAAGCGGTAGTTTTGCCGAAAAAGAACAACTTACGCAGCTATCTCAGCAGGCTCCGCTCCATCCAAAGCCGGATCCTCAACCCACTGAAACCGAATAAGATCAATAGCTTTATCGACGCGCGGGTCACTTCCACGGAGTGGGGCAAGGAGATCATCCATGATCTCGTTCCAGCGCAGTCGGAACCGTTGCCATTGATCCTCATGTTCAGGGCCATACGCTGTCGCGCGGAAAATGACGAAGCCCCATTCTTCCCAGGGGAGATTGAATCGGAAGACTCTATTGAGGGTTTTGACGAAGGGGGCCATTAGGCATTGGACGGATCGCTCCTCTTCGGTCATATCGGTTGATTGTGGGTCTGTGGTCATTTTTTCTGTTGATAGAGGCAACAGAAAGTGGCGGTTTGAGGTGTTGAATCAAATATGGACTCTATATTCTGGCAGTAAGGCCAGATATGAAGTCGGGTTAAGGAGAGAAGATGTCTGAAGGCATTTTTACCCTTTTCGTCTGGGCTGATTTTGGCCTGAGGCCGTAATCCACTACCCAAGTGGCCACCCAACCCTAATCTATTTATTTCAAATTTATCTGTTTCAAACAAAACTAACTAGTATCTCTTTTCATTTAGTTCAGAATGCCACTAGGGCAAAAAGAGGTAGAGTTCTGCCAGAATCAGAACCCCGTGGGCAGTGCATCCATATTAGCCGTATTCTTCCTAGATTGAGGACGAAGACATGTTTATATATATTGTGAAATGACCTGGCTAGGCGACACTGCAATACCAAACCGTTCATGCGAGTTTCCTAATACCGCTCAAACGGTTTAATCCGTAACACACGCAGGCATGCTCTGCGCATGTATGTATAGTCACGAGGCGACTATACCACATTTGTATACCTCTTCAAGAATTCTGTGCTCATCGAGGACTACCCTCCTCGGAGTTATGTAGTTTAGGGTGAGCACAGCACAGGGTTTTCTGAGGAACACTGGGAATGGGGTATACCACAACTATTGGTTGAGGCTCTTTTCCTTTAGTCGGCCATGGCCAGCACCATCTGCTCTCTTCTCTCCCATCACAAGGATACCGGCCACCATGATTTTTGGGTTGTCGTGGGTCGCCGTGAGGGCTTCAGCGCCGTTAAGCAATGGTACCCAAGGGCCCGCCACGATTTTGGGTTGTATTTCTCATATTTTTGGTTTGGCTTTGGAGACCCCTACCCAAAATGTACGACGTGCTAGGATAATACTCGCGGAGGTGGCTCGCGGTAGGCGAACGTCTCATCTTCGTCTTATTCACGCCCTGAATGACTCCGACCTGTTCAGCATCGCTACGCACGTCAAGCCCACCACCACCTCATCCAGCTGTTCCCCATCCATCAACAGCACTCCGTCCCTCGCTCGCACATGAGGCCCCACAAACCGCGCAATCTCCGTCCTCTTTCCCTCGATGGCCCGATAGAGCTTGCACAGCTTCCGCCCGTCTAGGACATCCCAGAAGTACAGCACGCTGTCCTTGACGAACTCATCGGCCCGCGCCGTCGTGCCCGCCGGGCGCATCAGGATGTCGTGGCTGGAATGCGTCGACTCAGCGGGGAACTTGATCGTCCAGCGCCCAAGGGACAGGATCGGGCAAGAGAGTTCCGCAACGGTAGTCCCGGAGGCGCCGGTGGCGGTCCAGTGCGAGGAGAGACGTCTAGTGCGCGTGAGCTCGAGGGATGGCTTCGAGCCGGAAGCGCTAGACTTGGCTTTAGTTATTAGAGCGGCGATGGCGGCGTCGGAGCCGTCTAGCTGGTTCAACAGAATGTCGGTCACTTTGGTGATGGTGATAGTGAGAGTGAACTCGTTGCCTTCTTTGATGTAGACGGCTGAAGTGGCCTTTAAAGGGGCGCCTATATCGATAGGAAAGGAGGCGGCGGGGTCTCTCTTAGAGAAGAGCTTCATTGTGCGTTTTGTACGTCGGAGTCACTACATAGGTGTAGTAGGGATGGCGAAATTGTTAAATATGAATGGAGAGTGTAGAGGCGGTTCATGTACATGGCGAGTGATTAGCCCATTTTCGAGCGGATCAGTCCACCGTCTCGTCACTACGATATCGTGAGGCGGGGTCCGGAATTCTCTCAACCGGGCAATAGGCGAGTTCCTCCTATCTCCACCCACAGGCTCCAGTCGAACTGGTTATATAAACTGTAGAGTTTCGCGTCTTTCGTCGGGTTGGATTTGCAATTTGGGACAAGAAACGCATGCAAGCGCTGGGTCTGCTGTTCGAAGACGATGCTCCCTTCCGGCTGCCTCGGAGACTGAGGTCAGCTCCAGATCTGCATGTCCGATGGGAAAGTATCCCAGGAACAGATGATTTGGAAGAAATTGAGCGGCGAAGGAAAGATTTCTGGCCAGGCATCAGAATGATCAACGTTGAAGGCCGGCAGATGCCGCGTTGGTAGATGACCCGGAAGAGTCGGGCTCAGCGAGCTAATCAGGCTGCTCAAGGGCATGCTCAGTTCTACTCAGGGAGCGACGGGTGAATATAAAAATAAAAAGAGCAAGCCAGGAAATGCCAGACATTATCTGGTACATACGTATTCTCTATTATGGAAGCACCATGTAAATGCGGGCACGCAATTTCCACAGTGCCTATTCCGATATTTCGTCCTGAAATCTGCTTAAACCCCATTAGGTACCGTGAAGTTCGAAGGGAAAAGAAGGCAGCTTCGTATATGTGCTACGATTCCATCGAGTACATAGAAGTTGCATGGTCATCGCGTCATATGCGTGAAAGAGTCACAAAGAAATGGAAAAGAAGGGAATGCTGGATCGAAGATATTCCATGATAGACACCGGCCCGAGGATCGTTATTCGTGGGGGAGAGAGGGTGGCTGAAGGCGGCAAGAAGAGGGGGTGAAAGGAAGGGAAGGATGTTCTAACGGCTCTCCCAGGAAATTCGTCGGTGGCGCCGAAGAGACTGGTCATCCACCTCGGAACGAGCAAGACGACCGTGATGCACGCCAGCTACCCGAGCCAACGGCGGCGGGTTAATAGCCACCGCCATCGCAGACGACACGGACATGGAGCGCGAGCGAGTGAATACTGACGAATGACGCGGGGAGTACGGCGGCGGGGGCGTTTCTCGGGTTGCCGTCGAGGTATTCCCGTAGCTGCTCGGGAAAGAGATGGCAGAAGAGCCGTCAGAGGTAACCTCTTCGTCGTAGAGATTCCGGTTCTTTTCATCGGCAGAATACTCAGACGAAGAGACCGGCGGGTCACGCATGTGAGCCTCGAGGGTTTTCTCGTGAGCACTCATGGGCCGCGGCGTGTACTGCGGCAGCGGGACCACATTGGTATACCCGGAGTCAGCCGCGTGGGGCCCGCGCTCGGTGCCAACCTCGTTGTCGGCAGCGCGGCGGACAAAGTCGCCATGAGCGGAGAGGGTAAAGCGACCGGTTGGCACTCCGCTGCGGGTGTGTGTTGGGCCCTGGGAGACTTGCATCTCTGGGCGTGAAGAAGAAGAGGGGGAGGCTTTGTGGTTGCAGACGAAGCAACCGCAGAGGTTGGCGAGGAACGACATGATTGAGTGATTCAGAGGTGGAAAATAAAAGACGAATTTGACAATGTGTTGTGCCGTGTAACTATCCCGAAAAGAAGGCTAGAAGTGATTGACTTGTGGGCATGTCGCAGCAATCGATGATAGTAGATCTAAAATGGGCAGGATCACCCTCCCCCACTTGAAGTCAGTCGATAAACCCAGAACTGGGCATACGACGGTCAACGATGGACACAGGGCAGTTCAAAAAGGCATGTCGAACGGAGGAGGTGGAGGAGGAGGAAGAGAGTCAGAAAGGCCAGCGAGTGATTGAGGCTTAGTGAGGCAGCCGCAGGCATCCAGATTCTAGACTGGAGTGATTGGCCAGGTTTGTGATAAGATAAGCGGGATGATGATGCCTCAGGTGTGCAACGGATCGTCCGTCCACAAGGGAAATCCTCGCTAGACAGGAGAGAAGGCAAAAGAAAGAAATGTACACCGAAAGGGACTCAGCGGGCAAAATAAGGGGTGTCCCTGGCATCCTGCACTGCAGCTACACCCGTTCCTCCCTCCCTGTGTAGCCTCTCCGATCACATGACATGCTGATCTAATCAGGAACGGTCCGCGAATTTTATTTTTCTGGCCGAGAGTATGGAGTAGTGTCTCTTGAATAACCACCACTACCAACATCACCATGACGATGGATCCTACCGTCCGCGAGATTGTCGAAAATGCTCAGCCTCGGCATCTCCCCCCGCACCGCTCGCACGACCCCGCCAACAACCTCAAGCGCAGCGACCCCTTCATGTTCGGCTCGCGCTACCTCGAAGAAGGCGACAATGTCTTCGAGTTCAACGCATGGGACCACGTCGAGCCCGACGACGAATTCAAAGCCTACGCCGAGACCCAATTTGCCAAGCAGCGCGAAACACCGGTGTCGGAGTTCGACATGAAGCGATTCAACGGCGACCCCGCGAAATGGTGGGATTTGTTCTACAAAAACAACACGGCCAACTTCTTCAAGGACCGCAAGTGGCTGCGTCAGGAGTTCCCCGTGCTGGCGGATGTGACGCAGAAGGATGCGGGGCATCAGGTGGTTCTGGAGGTGGGCGCGGGCGCGGGCAATACTGCGTTCCCGTTGTTGGCGAATAACCAGAATGACCAGCTCATGGTGCATGCGTGCGACTTCTCCAAGTATGCGGTCAAGGTCATGCGCGAGAGTGAGCAGTACGACCCGACCCACATGGTCGCTGATGTCTGGGACGTGGCCGGCGAGCCCTCCGAGGAGAAGGGCGACTCGCTTCCGCCGGGTCTGACCGAGGAATCGGTCGACGTGGTGATTCTGATCTTCATTTTCTCCGCCTTAAACCCGGACCAATGGAACAAAGCCATGCGAAACATCTATCGCGTTCTGAAACCCGGCGGCCAGATCCTTTTCCGCGACTACGGCCGCGGAGACCTTGCGCAGGTGCGGTTTAAGAAGAATCGCTATATGGGCGAGAACTTTTATGCTCGTGGCGATGGCACGCGCGTGTACTTCTTTGATCAGGATCAGTTGGTTAAGATGTGGAGCCAGTGGACTCCTGAGAAGGGTCTACCCGATGATGATGCACCAAGCGCAGGAGACGGAGTGTTTGACGTCTTGCATATGGGTGCCGATCGACGACTAATTGTCAATCGGCAGAGCAAGCTGAAGATGTACCGCTGCTGGATGCAGGGGCATTTCCGGAAACATGGTGGTGACGCTGCTGTTGCTGTGAATACAACTGAGAAGGGCGAGTGAAGGGAGAAGGCGTCGATATCGGACAATGGCCTGGAGAAGCCAAGTTTGTCTCAGCTGTTGTCGGCATCTCCGGAGACACAGTCGACACAGCAATCCTTTCCGCCCAGCCGAATTCCATGGTATCCCACGCTCCGTCTCTTCGTCCGAGAAATGGAAATCTGCTCTCACGACTATAACCCGAGTCCAGTAGCTGAGGATACCTACGGACCACTGCTTCCTAGCAAAAGGAACTCACTTCATTGACTGACCAGTCGGAATCCGGCTGAAATGATAACATGGCTTTTTTGGTTGAACCAACCGCCCACGACAACCCGTGTTGCTGTCGCAGCAATTGCAGTGGGAGGTCTCGGACATGACGAACTGCACCATGACCTACATCTTGCATCCATGTGAACGACGCATGGCTTTACGATGATGAATGTACTTAAGTTACAACCACTGTGATAGAGATAGAGCATATATCTGCGAATCCAAGAACTCTTGACGTTTTTGCAAGTCTATGGAAAAGCAACGTAAGACCTCAATCCACCCAATCATAAAGACTAGGCAGGTTGGAGCAGAATCATAATAATCGAGGCTGGAACACGTCATGTCGATCCCCAAAAAGGGAAACGTAACCAGTGCAAGCAAAGTAGATAACAAGAAAATCCAAAAGATTTGCAAAGAAATAATTCGCCATCTAAGACGGAGGTCATGACTTCCCAGGATGCACTATCCTGGAAAGTAAGCAAGGTAATAAAAAGATAAACTTGAGATGTCAAAACAATCCAGAGAACGCCGTTCATGCAGATAATAATCACCAATTATGATGTCCAGATGTCTATGATGATGTGGAGCGAAAAAAGGACCTGACCGAGTCGGAAAAACATCGTGGTCTAGTAGGAATGTTGAATGCGAAAGGAAGAAAAGATCATGCCGTCAGATTAGGGCATTCGCCTTCGGCACGCTGGAAAGCGCCCGCGAACAGATCCTGCATAGCACAATAGTGGAACAGAATCCCGCCCAGCACGGCCATATGCCAGATATTGTGACTGCCGCCGAAGTAGTCGAACAGACCGGGCTTCCATCGCTCGGGTATCTTTGAAGCATACACGAGGGCGCCGACAAAGTAGACGAGGAGGCTCTTGAACACCGGGGCATAGAAGTACATGCACCACTCAAGCCCGCGGGTGGTGGAGAGTTGTGCAAGAGGCGCGAAGCCGGTCAGGGCGAGAGATACGTAGAAGAGCACACGAGCCCAGGCCATGTCGTGGCGGTTGAAGGTCGGGTGCCATGGCAGGATGATACCGCCGACGCCCAAGGACATGGTGAGCACGATGTAGGTCCAGCGCGAGTAGGGTTCACAATAGAACGCGGTGTACTCGATGGTGACGATGGAGGCGGCAACCAGCAAAGAAATGCCGGTATAGTCCACGCAAGCGAAGCGCTCCATCAGGGGCTGGGAGGAAATGCTGTTCATGGTGTGCCAGAGGGTACTGCAGAACAGGCACTTGCAGGCAGAGAAAAAGAAGACAGCGGCAATCAGCACATCGGTCTTGGTGCTCAGGTGGAAATTCGGATTGAGCGGGTAGAAATAGAAGGCGATCGACAGGACGATTACCAGACCGATGAGGTGGGACCAAATGTTGACCAGTTCATTCGAGAAGGAAAATGCCGACGAAAGGCATTCGACTTTCGATGATGTGAATCGATAGCCTCGGAGGATGTGCGGGTTCACTCGCCACGGGTCGGGCAGATCGGAGTAGGTGATTAGGCGGTTTTCCTGGGCCAATCGAACGGCCTGATCGATGCTCTCTCGCATGGCATCACGGGCACGACGAGCTCGTTCCATACCCTCATCCACCACTTCGCGGGCGTGGACGAGTTTCGAGTCCATAGCCTTCCAGCCATCGTCCAAAGTCCCGTAGATTCCGCGGTCGCGGACGGCGTGCGCCCGAGACTCCATTTCCGACAGGAAAGACTCCATCAGGCGCACTCCGGCCTGGGCCTTCTGCTCGAGGGTCTCTTTGGTGGCCAAAGCATCAATGTAGCGGTCCTCGAGCGTGTCCACGAACATCTTGGCTCGTTTCTTTCCGCTTCCCATCAATTCCCCCGAGGCCATAGAGCATTGGTCTCTCACGGCTTCTAGTGTGGCATATCCTCGCCGCAGGCTGGCGTCAATTTGAACCATATGAGATTTGCGGTACTGTTCGATCCATTGCATTCGGCGTTCCAATTCGGCCAGGAAGAGTTCGACCTAGAGCCGGAAAAATGAGTCGCCATGTTCAAGTGTTAGAGAAAGAGTGCTCACCCTAATAAAGACGGTATCGGCATCCTGGTAGTCGCAGGACAATTTCCGGGCGGCGTGAAAGGAGTGCCGGCGTCGACGCTCCCGCAGCAAGGCCGTCTCCTCGCTGGGGGTGGCCGTCGACGAGGCCGCGGTGGAGTGGGATTCCACAGTCATTGACGCTGCCAGAGCCATGGTGCCGACTGGGTGTTTCATTTGAGCAGCATCCGACCGTCAATGATAAGGAGGCAGTCCCAGTTGTTGGGAAAGAATATTGTTGAGGAGGGGGCCGGGGAGATCCGAGGAGGGGAGGAAAGAGGTCCCGATGAGCAGTTGAGTAGAAAAATATGTACAAGAGGAGGAGGGTATGCCCGATCTGAAGATAGTTAAGGAGCGACCGAGGGGCAATGAGAAGGGTGGTGGGGGAGTAAGTAGTGAATGTATGCAGTGACATTCAAAAGGAGAGAGAGTCAGCCCAACCAGCCGAGCACATGTTCATTCGGTGGCCGATCGCCGCCCATCTCCCCGTTTTCCCCTTCGCCACTTCGCTCATCGCTCAACCTGGACCCAGAACTAATCAGAATACACACTTGCCATGGCCGTGATTAGCGAGATCGTCACCGACGAGTCCCTGCTTCCCGTGCTCGCCACAAGTGCCGACACCCTCGCCCAGTGCCAGCACTTGCTCGCCCTCCTTGATCCGAATAATGCCGTTCCCGACGCCAACGCCCAAGCGGCCCTTCTAGCCGCTTCCAAGCAGCAGAAACTCCTGTTCGCGCGACTCGCCCAACTGCGCGGCCAGAACCGGGAGGCCATCTTTCGTGTGCGCGACACCAAGCAGGCGACTGCGGAGGCTCGCCAGGAGGTCGATCGGCTGCATCTCCAACTGCAAAACCTGTACTATGAACAAAAGCACCTGACGGGCGAGATCGCCGCCTGCGAGTCTTACGAGTAGGTCTCTGAACTGAAGCTCGACTTCGACTCTGTGCTAACAACTTTGCAACAGCCACAAGTACCGGTCCCTGCCCTTGATCCCCGTCGAGGAATTCTTAGAACTCCATCCGGAACATCGTGCCTTGAACGAGCACGAACTCATGATCGCTCGCATCAACCATGAGCACGCCGAACGTGAAAAACTCGAGCAGGCACGCCAGGAACTTCTCAAGCGCAAGCAGGCTCTGATCGCCGAGAACAAGAAGCGGAAAGATGACCTCGCGAGTCTGGACCAGGATCTTGAAAAGTTCATTGATGTACGCCCACCCCTCCTGAACGGGTTCCTGAATTCCATTGCTGATATCCCTGCGACATATAGGCGGCCAAGCCGATTCAGAAGATCTTCGAGAAGGAGTACTAGAATTATTGTCATCGTTGGTGAGAACAGGGAAGGGCCGTTAAGGGCCTTTGACCGCTACATTGGGTCGGCGTTTTGGTTAAGATACAGTCAAGATACCCGGAATTGTTCATGAATGAAATATTTTCAATTAGCTATGCCTTTGCAATTTAATCAATGTAGTCAATGTATGATTCAGTCGTAGTACGCTATACTAAGCCAAGTGCTATACTAAGATTTAGTGCCACCTCGTCTCTCCGCCTTCCGCACCTCCGCAACACCGCGACTCGCCCTTCCACACAGCTCTCTGCGGTGCCACAGTTAACTGCAAAGCATGCGGCGACCATGACTGATAAACATGGAGACCAGTCGTCTCCTCAAACACTGGCCACGCATGCCGACAAACCCAGCGTCGAGAAGGTCCCACCCCCCGAAACCCCGGAGGCCATCCAAACACGATTCCGTGTCATCGCGGCCTTCTGGGCTGTGATTATCTTTCTGGGGTTTCCGATATGGTGGAAGACGACCTCCATCTACCGAGCCCACCTCCCGATTCAGGAAATGGTGGATTGGGCCGAAGGCAAGGTACGGCTGCCGTGTCTTTTGGGGGAGGTCAATACTAATGTTTACAGGCCTGTCGTCCCGTCTTCCCTCTGGATATCCATCTCGCAACGCCAGGGCTGCAGTCTACAGAGGCCCAGCATCTCCTTCGTACGACGCAGCATACGCTCGACGATCTCAATGAATTTGCCGCCCATCACCTGCGCCTGAAGTTGGCGGATGATCACAATGGCGAGGAGGACGTGACGGAGGACAAGGCAGATACGGCATTGACCGTTCGTCTGCTGCCCCAGGAGGATATCACTGCGCCCAGGTCCGATCTCCACACGGACACAACGCAGCTCGATGTATTCTACCCTCCGAGCCAGATTCCCGCTCCGTCTTCCTCGAATCCACCTCTCTCAGCCTTTATTGCGGAGGAGCTACAGCGACTCTATAGTGAGGAGAAAGCTACCATTGCACACATTCTGTCGGGAAACACGGCTGGACTGGATTCCACATCGCCGCAGGTGGCTGAGAGCATCAGCAGACGGTTACGCCGGTCCATGAAGTACGCCGAGACCTACCACCTGTCATTCTCCTTGTTTACTCCCGGAGCGGAGCCATCTTCGTGGGACATTGAGGCTGCCGTGCATGAATATCTGTCACCTCTCCTCGAGGCATTCGCCCCCATCAGCAACTTCACGGTTGACACGCAGGTCCAACTATACGCGACATTCTCGCCGACTGCTCCGCTTCCCGAGTACGATGAGACGGAAGCCGCCTGGACGTTGAAGAAAGAAGACCTCAGCGCCTTTATCAACGCGGCTGAATGGCCGCTCAACCCCAGCATCGGCAATGGCCCTACGATCAACTTCATCCTCTACGTCCCTTCTCCGTCGCAGTCCCCGTTGATCGTCAAGGAAAACCGCGCCTCAAGTTGGATTATCCCGCAATGGGGCGGTGTCTTCCTCCTCAACCCGGGCCTGTCTCCAAAGAGCAAATCCAATCCCGCCCATCTCTCCCAAGAATCTCTCCGTCCGGCATTCATGACATTCTCACACCAACTTCTCACCCTCCTCGGCACCCCAAGTACCCCCGCCTCCCTCCCTCTTCGCCTCCAAACGCTTATCCGCATGCGCGCTGCGGCGCTCCTCCTATCTGCTTCATCAACTATGGGCTCCCTCGCCCGTCTCACGGAATCTCTACCTTCAATCCCAATCCCCGCCACCGTGGCCGCGTCTGTCTCCACAACATTGTCCCATCTCGCCACGACTTGCTCCAATCTACGAGGCGGTCGTTTCGCCGCTGCGCTGGCCAGCGCGCGGGTCGCGGAGACGGAGGCTGAGCGCAGCTTCTTTGAGAAGAGTATGGTGGGCCAGGTGTATTTCCCGGACGAGCACAAGGTCGCCGTTTACCTGCCGCTTCTGGGACCGATTGGCGTGCCCTTGGTGGTTGGGCTGATCAAGGAGTTGAAGAGGATTGTGGCTAGTAGGAAGGCGAGAAGACAGGCCGCGTAGTGGGTAGTGAGGAGTTGTATTTTTAGAATTAATTGAATGACGTATTTTTTGATTAAGGATGAGTAAATTAGGTATCTCAATATCAAATTAGAAAAGAACCCGCAATCTACAAAATAACAAAAGGGGGTGAAAGCATGTTGATACAACCACCTATCCGAATCCATCAACCTTTCTCCGAGATATTCCCTCCACCTCCATTCTTCCCCCCAAACCCAACAACCTGCATCAAGTCCGTGAATGTAGTATCTGGCCGAGCAATAGCCCCCGGATATGGCTCCGGACCCAAGAACTTCGAAGACTGTGCAAACGCCCCCGGCGGCGAAAATACCCGTATACTCTCTGTACTAGACGCACGCTGTCTCGGCGGAGTAGTGGGATACGGCACCGGCAGGGGAGGAACGTCTTTCTCATAGGTGGGATTGCCAGAGAAAAGACTGCGGACGCGAGTCCCCGTTCTGGAAAGCATAGATCTGGCGCCCGTCGAGGCTCTTTTTGCTTCTGCGGGACGCAAGAGGAAGTCTGTGCGGTAGGACCCATCCTCTGAGGCGATAGGACGGGATATTCCAATTAGGGCTCCCTTCGAAGAACGCTGGGACCACTGGGGTCCTGTGTGTTTGGATTCTTGGATGAGCGGTTCGTTGCGGCGTGCGCGATGGCGGACACAGGCTGTTATTAAAAGGGTGAGGATTGTGCCAAAAATGGCACCGGGGAAGAAGCCTGCTACCACTGCTTTGCTGGGGAAGGAAGGGCAGGATCTGGTGAGGGAGCAGGTTTGCTGGCTGTCTGCAGCTGAAGCTGCTTTGGAGGAGGTCATGGTTGTGGTTGTTGAGGGGGATTGGACGGGGGTAAATGTCAGTGCTGGGGTTGTCGAAGTTGCTTGCGTGGAAGTGGTCGTTGATGATGAGTCTGACTCGGTTGTTGTATGACTGGTAGTCGTTGAGGTGGTAGTCGTTGTGGTCGTCGTTGAGGTGGTGGTCGTTGTATCCGGCAAGACAGCAGTCGCCGTTGATGCCGCACTCTTGTCCATTTTGCAGGTGTTTCCGTCTTGACAGGTGTAACCAAAGGGACAGCAGTCGCCGCCGCATGTGGGAAGTGTACCGTTCAACCGGGTGGTCTTGACGGCGCTCTCGGGGATGCAGCGCTGCATCCTGCTGGGAGACATCGCAAGTAACCGGCGAGATAAATTCGCAGTCCGAGCCAGTAGGGCAGCAGATGGCTGAGCTTGCATCATTCAGACTGATGCAGGTGGATTTTGATGGGCAGCAGAAATCGGCCGGGAGTTTCGTGCTGCCGCACCGCTTGTATGAGATTGGGCAGGAATCTGAGCTTCGGGGGGAAAGATCCAAGGCATAGCTGGGTTTAATTGCTGTGATTATAAGAGTCAACAGCAGTAGAAATGACGGCTGTCGGGCAATGATGCCTGGCATAGTCGATCTCGCCATGCTGGCGGTCGTAGCCCTGGCGAAGAAGAGTGTTTTTTTTCCTGACTGATTGAGTAGAGAGAGAAAAAATGCAATTTCCAAATGGATTCAACAGATTGCCAGCAGGCAGGAATGTAGACAGCCAACAGAGAGATGCACTGAATATCAGGTGAAACAGATGAGAGAAGAGAAAGAAGAAGAACAAAGGAGACATTGTCCATCCATTTGCCTTTGTCGCTGAATCTCTTTGCACGCGCCGACCTCCAAGAATAGCTGGAGAATGTTTCAGAATAACCCACCTGATCGGAGACATGGCTGCTATTATTATTGTGTCCGACCAAGGTGTCGGCGCTTAAGTTGTTGCAACCACGATCGCTGAAGTAGATACGCGCGATGTGATTGGCTGGGTTATGTAAGCCACGCCAGTCCTCATCGAATTTCTGCGCGGACAAGCTGTTGCAACTCACTCGACCAAAAACCCCCCGGATCGCCATGTTCAGCCGCCTCGCTAGGCCGCAGAGCGCTTTGCGCGCGGTCTCCTCATTCTCTCCACTCTCGCAGGTCGGTTCAATTGCTATGCCGTGCTGACTCCCTGCTAACCCTGACGGCGTAGACACCCTCCTCCGCTCTCCCTCGCCTTCAGTCCCGGAGCATCCATCGCCTACCCCAATTGCAACATGACGCGTACTACAAAGAGAATGGTGTTCCGGAATTCATGTCTCCCGATGCATTTGACTTTGCCTGGACCCAGTACCAAACATTCCTGATCCAGAAGCTCAACGGGTTGACGCAAGGTGCGCAAGACCGAGATCCCGGAAAAGAAACCAATGTTAATGAGGAATAGACACTGTCGATGCGGATGCGAAACCCGGAGAATTGCTGGTCAAGTACTCGCGGCGTCCGGAGATGGCGTCCCTGTTTAACTACGCTTCAATGGCACACAACAACCACTTCTTCTTCAACTGCCTGGTCAGTACCCGACACAATGGAAATGGCTGCATATTCTAACTGTGTATTTAAATAGTCCCCCACCCCCACCCGGATCCCTACGGCCTTCGCTGCCACCATCACCGAAACCTGCTCGTCCGTTGAGTCCCTGAAGCTGGATTTCCTGGCAACCGCCAACGCGATGTTCGGCCCGGGCTTCGTGTGGCTCGCCAAGAACCTGGACAGCCAGGGCCTGATGCACATCTTCTGCACGTACAACGCCGGATCGCCGTACCCGGCCGCGCACTCGCGGCAGCAGCCCGTCGACATGAACACGCACTCGCCGGACGCCCCGCTGGGCAACCAGTTCGCAGGATCGATGGGCGCGCATGCGCCAGGCCAGAAGACAATGGCCCCCGGCGCACTGGATGTACAGCCCATTCTCTGCGTCAACACGTGGGAGCACGCGTGGATGATGGACTATGGCATTGCGGGCAAGGAAGAGTACCTGGAGCGGTGGTGGGATCGGATCAACTGGGATGTGGTGTTTGACAACTACAACGCCGTGGGCCAAAAGGCACAGCAGAAGGATTTTAGACTGAGGGCTTGATTGAGATCGTGAACGGATGCCGAAAGACTGTACAATATATACCTAACAGGATGGTTCGAAAACAGCTCTACCACTTACATAGACTCTTTTCCAACCCTGATTATTATCAATACTTTTGAGGCACGATCATGTAGATTGATTGAGCTTCTTCCAACATCTCACATTTTCTGACCAAAAGGAAAAGCGGCATAAGTTGAATCAGTCAGACCAAGCTCCGATCACCTAGGTGTATGCAGCTCAGCCTCATTAGCTTGTGTAATAATATAATGCAGCAGTTGATTCTAGACTAAACTGTAGTATACATAGATCGACTCTATTATAGTCACCTTATATCCATCCCAAAACTCCAAGCGATATGATACACAACCGCCATCATCGTCCTCTCCCCTCCACCTCCCGAATGCGCTTCTCAAACGCCTCAATCATAACAGTAGCCATCTGCCCCTCAACAGTACTCATAACGGTAGCATGCAACTGATTCTGGAATTCAAATCGCACCTCGAGTCGGACTTTCGTCTGCGGCGTTCCTCGCCCCTCTTGCGGGCTTGGTTCCAATTCCCAACGCGTCGAAAGGTACTTAAAGACACCCTCCGTAGCACCGGGGAAAAAGCTTGCACTTTTTTGATCCGAGTATTTTGCCCCGCTGCGCGCCTCGACCACCCACATCTGCGCATCACAGTCCACGCATGATGTGAAGGTCTCGCTGAGAGGGCCGTATCCCACTGTCAGAAACGCCTGCGTTGGCAAGTTTGTCACAGGATCGCGGGCTGTCACCGTGGAGGCTGTGAGGAACGGGAGGAATTGCGAGTAGGATTCCACGGCGGAGATGACGCTGAAGAGAAGCTCCGGTGGGTAGGGGAGCGTGCGGGCGGCGGTTAGGATGCGGCCGTTGTTATTGTCACCATTGCCGTTGCCATTGGAAGAAGATGAAGGTAGGAAGGAGGAGAGGGAGGGTAGGTGGAAGGCTCGGAGGTTGGTCTGATTTGTTGTCTGGAAAGGTCGTCGCAGCCGTGGTGTTTGGCTTGCTATTGGTCGTGTCTGCTGGCATTGGCAGAGGGAAGGTAGTCGGAGCGCATTTTGGCGTAGGTGAAATGGTGCACTCGCACGACCGAGTCGTACGTAGCGGAGGGTTCGCATTGGGGAGGGAGATGAAGAAGCGAAGATCCTCCGCCGGGCGAAATCTATATCCCATCACGTGACGCTACGTCGCTCATTATGTTTATTTTCTTATGACAGGCATGATAATTATCATTTCAAAAAGAAGAACTCCTACGAGCAGTTAGACTAGAAATCCGGACCCCGCACAGGTCTACGGGCGGGGAGAATCGCCAGGGCTGCCGACTTTCGCTTTTATGCGGAGACAATATCTATAAGTGTCTGCTTCAAGCTTGAATTCTCCCAATTCAGCTACCATCTGCTGAAAGATGTGCATCCAATCGAGCTTTTCCTTATTACCTCGCATACTGTCGTGGGCAAAGGAACATTTAAATTGGCTGCAAATAGCCCCGCAAAAGAATCATCACGGGCACGAGACACTCGCGAAGCATTGGAAAGAATGTGTGTAAACAACACTACTCGATCACCGTTTCTAAAGCTTGATCCTCCAGAAGGGCATTGTTACCTGGGGGTTATAGCTTCAGTGATCCAAACCAAGAATGCCGGCTCATACGAACTCAAGATCGATGTGATGTTTGACAACCTCGATACTTTCAACGAAGTCAAGGCGAGCGGTGTCCTCTCACCTAGAACAATCAAAAACATCTATAAAATTCCCGACGAGGATCTAATCGCCTGTCTTTTCTGGGGCCCGGCGATGTCGTTCAAGGCAACTATCAAGAGACCTGTGGTGTCTGGCTCTGTCGGAGACCTGGGTCTTCATGGGTCTCAGCAGCATGTTCCGCTAATATTTGTCCAGCTTCCATTGTCGAGAGAGTAAGGGCTGTTCACATTTCCTAGCATTTCCGTAGACAACCTGCCACAGTCGTCTTGCCTGATCCTTGGCTGCCAGACACTCCGACCAGAACTCGATCACTAGGAACTTTGGTGCTACATGGAACTACTAAATTGTCAATATACGAATTCTCTCTTCTTGATCTTTTCTGACGTGGGCGCTTACCTTGAAATTTGCGTGCCAATCGGTCAACATATCGGGGTCTTAGATTGTAGTCCCGTATGTGTTTAGCACAAGAGGAAATCTGCTAGAGACGACAAACTTATTGATATATGTATATATGTATTGAGAGGATAAACAATAGCCCTCAGCCACCGAAATGAATTAACAACCGGTGGAACAAGTCGGTTAGGGTTGTATAGAACAAGCGTCTTTGTCTCCACATTTTCCGCCCCACAATCATTCGAGAGCGAATTTCGGCGCTGATTGCGATCTCGCCACCTCCATCTCCAGCGACCACATCCTACACCGCAACAGTGCGGTGTGTACATTCTGCCTGGCTTCTATTTATCTATGGGTTGGCGATGGTGAAACAACGGACTCTGGCAGCATGTGTGCACTGCCGACAAATGAAGGTGAGATCCCCTTTCTTGCTCCGACAGAGAAACCACAGAATAACATTTGAGCCCTACTAGCTGGGATGCAACGCAGCCCAATCATTCCCTGCGCCTTGTTCCCGCTGCGTCCGGAAGAATCTGACCTGCTCTGTGGATCCGTCCTACAAGCGAGTTCCTAAACGGGGGTATGTCTGGCGCTCTTTCCTAGATTTCTCGTCTAATCGATATCCCTAGTCGGCTCGAAGCTGTAGAAAAAGAGCTGAAAGACATTAAAAGTCGCTTTCTATCTCAACAACAGACTACTTCTACCGTCAACAATGAGTTTCCTAGTCGTGCAGAGAGCAATGACCCCTTACCCTCTCGATCTCCATCCCCACAAGAGGCCATCCCTGCTCCGCTTCTTACTAACAAAGTCCTGGGCGAAGTAATACTAAACCCGGAATCCATCACATCGATTCTCGAATGGTGAGCACATATCACTCATTATATATTCTCTTGCTTACAATTCATCAGTTACTACCAAAACTACCACCCTTACTTCCCCATCCTCCCTAAACAAGAAAAGCTCGTCCAAAGCTACGACCAAGACCCAATACTCTTCTGGGTGGTCATATCCATCGGGTCCCGAAACACTTCCCAATATGAGTACATGCAAGACACGCTGCATGGAGAAATCAAGTCTCTGATTTCAAACGCCCACACACCAGCGAAACAATCTCTCCAATTGATCCAGGCACTGCTACTGCTCTGCTACTGGCCGTTTCCCTTTGGAGCTACAGCAAACGATCCCTCCTGGTCGTACTCTGCTCTCTCCATCAGCTGTGCCTATACGAAAGGCGTCCATCGAGCCGAACACCTGTCTGATTTTGAGTACGACGCAACGCCAACGTCCGAGATGATCGTTGAGCGGAAGAGGACTTGGATTGCGTGTTTTATTGTGAATCAAAGGTATGCCACTGACATCTATATCTTGGAGATGCACAATTAGCTAACCACCATACAGGCTAAGCTCCTTAAACGGCTTCCCACCGCTAGTAACCCCAGACCACACCATCCAGTCCGCAGTCTCACTCCAACCAACCTGGCTCTCAACTCCACTCGCCCAGCAGCTCTACATATCATACCAAAGCTTCAAAATCACCTCCGCCCTGGGGAACAGCGAGACCCAAAGCTCGGGACTTCTCCCACACCCAACGAGTCTAATCCGACTCTTCGACTCCGATCTACGCGGCCCAGAACCCCAGTACACAGCAAGTACGGACGCAAATGCATCAAGTGCGTGGCAAAGAAGCGAAACGATCTACCTCCTCGCCACGAAACTGCAACTCTATTCCTTCGCCCTGAATCTGGATTCCCCAGCCTCGACGTCAACCCCCGAAACTGAAACCCTCGCCCGAAGCCACACAGCCGCAATATCCCTCCTTCAACACGCGCTCCAACTCTCACCGCAAATAACATACTGTCCCTTTCACACGATCCGCTACATCACCTACGCCATCTTCGTGCTCTTCAAATTAATTGCCTGCACCGCACCCGAAGAAGTCACCGACGAAACGACCTCGCGGAATCTAATAGCGCGCACGTGGGACCTATTCCGGCACGCCTCGCACGATACGACGGATCATGTGTCGCGGATGTGTGATATCATCCAGTATCTCAGCACGACACGGTGGTATGACGAGGAATCACCCAAGGTGCGGGTTCTCTCGAGAGGAACGGCGAATCTAGTTGTTGAGATGATATGGCGGGCTCGGAGGAGGTTCAGTCTTAGTGTGCGGCAGCAGAAACCGAAGGATTATACATTGACTGCTGCGGAGGAAAAGACGTGGGCTGATATGCAGAGCTTGTTTATGTCTTTTGTGGAGGAGGGGTGGGGGTGATCTGTAAATCCTTTTATAAAAGAGGCAAGAACGAGGTTTGGTATTATGGTTTCAGATTCACAAACTATTCAAATAATCCCGCTCAGATAGATCGAGTCTTCAAACTCCATCCTGTATCCCGAGTATGTACAACGCAAAATACCGCTAAACGAATAATTAAGTACAGCGCAAGCAAGCATCTCCCGTCCTGTATGTGATAAATACCAGTCAATGATAAAGCGGGTACATAATAACGAATGGAGAATTTTCACATCATCGGCGGCTGCTGCGGCTGCTGCTCTTGAGCCGGCGGCTGCAAGGACACCGTAGAGGGATAGCCAACGAATCCGTAGCCTGGCGGTGCAGTCGGCATAGGGGCCTCGGACGGCCAGTCGGAGTACCACATGTTGTTCTGGTTTGCCATTTCGAAGCTAGTCAAGCAGGTATCCCACAGACGCTACACATTCAGTCAGTGAATAGTCATTTTACGGTATGGAACGAGAGCTTACCCAGTCCAGCTGGGCGGGTGTGTTGAGCATATCTTCGATTATGCCTAGAGATGGATGCAACGGGGATCCGGGTGGAGGATATACTGCGGGCCGCATGTTGTTGAAACCGGCTGTGTGCATCGAATACTGTGGCTGCTTCACGGAGACTTGCGAAGTAGGTTGCGGCGCGAATTGAGCTGTGACGGTGGGTTAGCAGCACACTACAACACAGGAAAGGAAAGAAACCTACCACTCATGGGCATAACCGGCTGCTCGGCCATATTTTGCACAATGCTGACCTTAGCACCCCTCTTGACGCGGTCCAGCATGATCGTCAAGGCGGCAAACGCGCGCTGTGTATCAGTGGACTGCCGGCGCGACTCCTTGAAGATGCGATGTGTGGTCTCGAGAAGCATTAAGAGATCAGTGCGTTGACGCTCGTTCAAGGTACGGTCGTCACCGCGCTCACCGTCCCGGGAGAGCTCCAGACACAGAATCATGGCAGACAAGAGGAAGTCGGTGTTTTGCAAGGAGTTTAGAAACTGCCGCTCACAGTTTAGCTGGCGGCCCGGCATGGACTCGTTCCAGATTTCCGCGTGGTGTCGGAGGGTTTCTGTCGCGGCAGCGACACAGACTCCTCGCGAGTACGAGTATCGTTTGTTGCCTGGGGCCTCGGCCATGTATCGGCGGTGTAGCACAACGCGGGACTTTTGATAGAGCAGCTCCAAGGAGTATCGGCGCATGATCAGGTCGACGGGATCTGCAAGGCACTGGGCCATGGGCTGCATCCGGAAGAACTGTGGCAGCTTGTCGTGCGCCTCCTCCAAGCGGCGATCGATCTCGAGAGCTTCTTCGTATGCCACATGGTCTCGAGAATATGCCAGATCGGTGATTTGTCCAAAGACCAACATGATGCGCCCTTTGCATCGAGTGTAAGAAGACATCGTCCGCTCCTCTTCCGGGCGAGGGGGTGGGAGTTGGGCGGTCGTCTCGTCAAAGTCGGTGTCCATAAGGTTGGATGGCAATTCCGTGTCGTACTGCCAAGGCTGGATAGTCCGTGGAAGTCCGACTTGGTACGAAATCAGAGTATCAATCTGACAGAGCAAGCACCACTGGCGACGTCGCATTTCGCCTTCTAGGGCAGTAAGGTTCGTGTAGTGGCGCGGATCACGGTGGTAGCCCATGCGCATGGCCAATTTGATCGTCATCCCAAGCAGGTACGAAACCCCAATCTGCGCATCTTGGCTTTGGTAAAACTCCCCCAGGGAGTAGAGGAGCAGCGCCTCGACCTTGTACCGGCCGGGAGCCAGGTAGTTCGCCTGGACCAGACACTGAGCTCCACGCTTGCGGAATACATTCCACGTCAACATAGCGTCGGCCATGGTAACCGGAAGTGGTTCTTCACTGCGATGGTACAGAGATACCGACAGGGTCATGATGGCATACAGCAGGGCCAGCCAGGTGAAGGAGACCTCGTGCGGTGCTCGCCAGAATTGTTCATATTCTTTTCGAAACGTGGGGACATGAATGGCCACTGTAGTTGATTAAGGAATGAAAATGTGTGATGATGGTTCAAACGCACCTAGCGATGGCTCCGATGTCTTGAGAAATCGAGAGACTAGCCGATCAGCGACCGACTGCGCGGGAATATCAATCAATAATTCCTCTTTGCTCACCGGCCGGCCGATGCCCAGTAGCAGAGCGGGCGACGAGTCATCGTACGGATCATACTCGACCCCTTCATCGTCGGAGTGAACTCCATTCTCATCAAGAAACTCCTTGACGCCGTTGATCTTCACCATCGGTCAGTTCCAGGAACGCGATATGCAATATGCAACAAAGCCAGAAACACACCTCTTCCAGAATGGCGCGCCAATGAGCACTGTCAATATAACTGATCTCCTCATTCTTCACCACCAGTTTACCCGGCGCATCGAGCGGTGGTGACTTGGTCTCCCGATCGGTACTCGGAGACGGCGTGGCATATTCGCCGGGATCATCTTTGAGCGGTGCATTAAAGTTGATATCTTCCGGCTCATCCGATCTGTTGTTCTTCTGCGCCAGCGACATTACCAGGTTCTCCAGATGCTGCAACCGGTCCTGGACTAAGCTCGGGCTGGATCGACCCTGCTGGGCCTTGCCGCGGGGGCCGCGGCCGATATAAGTACATGAAGCCGCCTCGCCACGCTTCTTGCAATTGCTACACGGGTGTGTGCGACAGCATTTCAGCCTAGGCGGAGTTAGCCAGAGCATAGATATGAGGAGCGGACGAATTATTAGGTCGGTCCGTCGGCCGGGCAGAATAGGGTAGGTAGGTACGCACTTGCGGTATCTGCAGGCAGTGCACGAGAGCTGGACTCGAGTTCTCTTCTTAGGAGCGGAGGACAATGTGTCTAGGGTATTGCTGCTAGCCGGGTCGGCCATGATATTACCATTGGGACTCCAAAGGATGATTGACAATAATAGGGTCGCGTCAGATTCGGGAGTACTAAGTGGGCCAGAAGGTGTTGGAGGTTTGATTGGGGCCAGGGCCCGTAAAACGGGGCGATCGGACTCGGCTTTATTAAGTCCGGTTCGTCTGGGGTATAAGATCCGCGACGCTTAACACAACTAAACTTTGGTTACTAGGTACATATGACAGATAGCTACGGGACTGGATTGCCCCGGATTTCTGCCTTCATCGCCACCCCATCCGGTCCCAAAATCTGTACCTGAGCCGCACAATCTCCCTCCTCCAGCACAATCCGATACTCATCCCCAGCATACAATGGACTCGTCGCCCGGTAGGAAATGCTCTCAGGCACCTCCTCACGCGGACGGATATCCCGCCACAAATCCAGGATAGAAATAAGGTTCAAGGGACCGTGAACAACAATATCCCGATGCCCCTCGACATCCCGCGCCCACGGCAGCGAGTAGTGGATCTTGTGCGGGTTGAAGGTCAGTGCCGAGAAGCGGAACAGCGTCACGGGCGTCTGGACCAGCGTTCTCGCGTGGGTGGAGCCCTGGGAGACAATAGCGGACGAGGGTGGGTTCAGTGGCGCCGTGTGAGCCGCAGACGTAGCAGCGGCAGACGAAGATGAAGATGGCGATGGGGTCGGGAGGGCTTTGCGAAACACCCAGTTCCTGTAGAACATTAGTCTATCTTTCTCTCTCTATTATAAGAAAGCAAGAAAAGAGGCCTGTCTCACCTCCGATCAATCACCGCCGGCCCATCCTCGTTCGCAAACTCCTTCTCCACTCCGACCACGATCATATCCTCGCCCGTCTTCTTGACAACCTTGGGCTCGGCACTCAGCACGCGGGTCGTCTCGCGCACCGTCTGTCCCACACGCAGTAGATTCGGCTTCCCATCTTTCCCGCGCGGCCAGAGCACCTCTCCGCCAGCCCACATGCGGCGCGTGAATGGCGGTTCCGGGTTATACGATGCATCTGTGCCGTCAGCGCCCAGCTCGGATCCTAAGAAGGCCGGCGTGAAGTAGGCCAGGTGGTAGCCGGGTGGTAGTGGCGTGCCGGATGGCGGGGCGGGTGCGGAGTTGGCTAAGGATGGGGAATTGTTGTTGTTGGGCCAGAGGGTGGGGCGGTTGAGGGTGAGGGAGAGCAATTGAAGCTGGTTTGCGTCTAGGAGTTGGGTGCGGGTTTGTGGGCCGAGGGATTGGAAGCGCGTGAGGAATTGGGTGGTTATTGCCGAGGCGGACGAAGAATTGGAAGAGGAGAGACGGCTTGAGAGGGTGATGGGACGGGTGCGCAGGGTTTGAAGGGTTGGTCGGGAGCGCAATCGCGCTAGAAGAGAGGGTGAGGACATAGCTGTTGTTGTAGGTGGTCTATCTGCTGGTTTATCGGTTGAGGAGGGACATCGGTCTTATATGCGGAGAATGCGAACGGGCCGAGTTGCCGATCAAGTCGGCTACTACAAGGTGGAAGACAGATGTACAAATAATTCATTACAAACACCCTGAAATGGCAGGATTCATATAAATAATAGGGACGGTGAGGGTATCTTAGGGCAGGCTAGGCAACTGAAGTGAGGGCAAGCGCAAGGGCAAGAAGAACAAAAACCATTTACAACCGGACCTGGCCACCAGTCAGCCGGACCCAGTCCTTCTCCTCAAACGGCACGTAGGAAGTGCCCTGAAGCCAGTACAGGCGATCGTTCTTCGTGACCAGCGCCGGGTCCACGCCCTCCGAGCGCAGAACATGCTTCTGCTGCTTGTTGTTGCCCGTTGCCTGCATCTCCGGCGTGACGCGCAGGAAGAGCGGCGCCGCAAAACGGGGCAGGTTCTTGAGAACGTGTGCGGCCAGGCTGTTCAGCGTGGCCTGCGAAGGCTCTAGCGCATGGCCGTCCACGTTACCGTTCTGAATCTGCTGGTTGAATACGATCGCCGCACATCCAGCGCGGCCATCATGGTTGGGGAGAGCCACGCCGTAGACATTGGCTTCATGCACCTCTGGATGAGCACCGAGAACTTCGGCGACTTCGTTGGTGGACACGTTCTCGCTCTTCCACCGGAAGGTATCGCCCAGACGGTCCGAGAAGAACCAGCGGCCATCCTTGTCCCAGCGGACCATGTCGCCCGTTCGGAAGAAGGCGTCACCCTTCTTGAGCACGTCCCGCAGGATCTTACTTTCCGTAGCCTTCTGGTTTTGGAAGTAGCCCTGGAAGGCCTCGGCCGGGTCAGTGGCATCGATGGCAAACAGCAGCTCCCCGGGGTCGCCGCGAGGAACACGCTTGCACAGACCCGTCTTGGGATCGCGCCACGGTTCCTGGGTTTCCATATCCACTGCCACAATGGCCGAGCCGCGACCAAGAATGAAATTTCCAATCAAACCGTTGCGGCCAATGGCACCCGCGGCGAAATCGTTCGACGAGATATTCCACGCGCCAGTGGTGCCTTCTGTGGCGGCATAGAACTCGGCGATCGTGGGGATGTTGAATCGATCCTTGAACCGATTCCAGATGTCTGGGCGAAGGCCGTTGCCGAATGCCAGCCGAATCTGATGCTTCTTGTCCAGGTCTTCGCCAGTGACAGGGTCGATCTCGGGCGGCGCACCCAGGATATACCGAAGGGTCTCGCCAACATATTGGATGATCGTCGCATCGTTCTCACGCGCCTCTTTCATGAAGCCACGCGCAGAGAATTTGCGGCCTAGGATCAAGGTAGCTCCGTTCATCAGGCATGTCACAAATCCAAGGACAGATGCAGATGAGTGGTAAAGAGGCATGCACTGTCTCCAAGTCAGCAGTCGAAAATTGAAACGTACGGGACGAGCTAACCGTGAAAAATCGATCAGATGGGCCAATATTCATCCAGTTCCCAGTAAACACACTACCACTCCAGCATTTCTTCCAACTGACAATGGCCGGCTTGGGCAGACCCGTGGTACCGCTGGTGTAGATCAACAGGGCCATGTCGCGGGGCACCAGCCCACTGCGCACCTTGTCGTCCTCGCGCGCGGGCTCCATCGCCATAATCTGCGCCTCCACCTCCGGGGTAAAGAACAAGACCTGGACGGGACCCTTTCCGTCACGGAAATCGGAAGAAGCAAAGGTCTCCAGCTGCTCCGGCGGGAAGCAGTTACGGACTTCCTCATCCACCACCAGCAGTCTCGCCGTAGATGTGCGGACCGAGTGAGTCAGCGGCTTGCCGGCCAGGTTATAGTTGATAAAGGCTGGGACGGCGCCGATACTCCAGAGCCCAACAACCATGAACAGGAACGTGGACGAGTTCATGAAGTCGATGGCGACGATCTCCTTGCGCCGCACGCCGTGCACCTTCTTGAACCAAGCCCCATAGCGCAGGGCCATGATATAGGTTTCGTGAAACGTCCAGGAGCGACCGTTGTACACGATAAACGGGAGGTCGGCGGTGGTCGAGGCGAGCGCATGGGTTTCCAGGACGTAGAAGAGGTTGAGGCGATCGCCACGCTCGGCGGCGTTCGATGTCATTCTGATCTTGAGCAGGGAGCCGATCAGGCTGAAATCGTAGAAGAGTGACCATCTTGCGTTCAGGTAGGCCATCGTCGCCGCGGTGGCAGGGAGGGTGATGCTCAAGGGCCACGGCATGGTGATCGTAGGGAGCACGGGTGGCGCTGGATGACTGTGGGGGAATAATTGGGCAGATAGGAAGAAATAATGGGAAGGTAGATTCCCAGTAGGGGAGAGAAGGTGAGTGGAGGCCTCTTTAACTCTAGGACGCGTAGGCCAGTACTTAAAGGGAGCTCGAGGGGAGTAGTGAGTGAGAAGAGGGTGAATCTGGAGGGCGTGAGACATGCCTCGGCATCTACCCAATCCGGCAGAATCGGACCAGCAGTACGCCGGACTGGTGGATAACTCTATATGTACTGTTCATAAGCAGCCTATCAGCCACCTGGATAATTACTGACAATCAGTTCCAATCATCATAATCATTTATTTGGCTGCACTTTATTATACATTCTTCTTGTTGTCTACGATCGCGGTTTGCATGCGGTTCCTCGGGACGGCTTCTTCACATGGGCTCGGCTTATTATTATTGGGTTGATCAGCGCTATGGTTAGTCGGACACGTCTGCATGGTTAACTAACTAGGGCGAGACTAAATGATCAACGGTTAACGAGTGGAGCAACCCCATAAGTCTCAGTATGGAGGACGGTGAGATCTATCGGGGTGTACTTTGTATGGAGTGAATGGGAGTATATGTCAGACAATAATAATGTCGAGTTATTATTTTAATTCTTACGATTATTTCTTCTTCTTCACCGGCACATCTTCATATCCATCCTCCATAAACGCCTTCAAAGCCTCCAGGCCTTGCTCCAACACCTCCGTCTCAGGTACATACCCAATGCGTACGTAGCCCGGAAAGTCCTCGCCACCGCCAAAGCAGGCGCTGCCCGGCACGAACATCACCCCAGTTCGGTCCAGCAGCATCTCACAGAAAGCGACATCATCCACGGGCTTGCCCATCTTCGTGAAGCGGACAAACGCAGTCGTCCCAGCCCGCGGCTTGACCCAGTCACACGCCCACCGGTGGGACTCGATAAACTTCTCCAAGAGAGCCAGGTTCGTCCGGGCCAGATCAATATTCCTGCGTAGAAGATTGTGGATGCAGGTCGGCGCGAGCGCGTAGCTAGCCACTGCGTCGTCGATCTGGCCGACTGAGATGGTGGTGTAGTCGCGGGTGGAGGCGCAGGCTTCGATGATTGTTGGATCGCGCGAGGCGATCCAGCCAACTCGCAGACCAGCCAGGCTGTACGCTTTTGAAATAGATCCGGTGACCACGGTGCGCTCGTAGCCAAGCGACAGGAGAGATGGAGGGAACTCCTTGTCCATGGGAGTGATGTTGTGGAAGAGGGGTCTGTAAACCTCGTCGCCAAAGAGGATGATAGACTTCTCGCGCGCCAGGTCCACTAGCTCCTCGAGGGTGCTGTGAGGGATGATGGCACCGGTTGGATTCTGCGGATTGCTTCATTTTCTGTTAGGAAAGGGTATCTATCTTGGAAGGGTAATGGTGCATACTTGATGATGATCAGTTTCGTGTTAGGCCGAATCAGCGTTTCCAATTCCTTCATATCCAGCTGCCAACCATTGCCCGCGTCCGACTTCCACAGACTCACCTCCGCGCCCAGCGACGTGGGCACCGAGTAGAGCTGCTGGTACGTGGGGTAGTGGCAGATGACATGGTCTCCTGGACCGACCAAGGTATAGAGCAGCATGAAATTGGCCTGGATGGCCCCGGCCGTGATCAGGATATTATCCTTGGGTAAAGGCGTTGGCGTCTTGACCGAGTACAGGTTGGCCAAGGTGCCGCGCAGTTCATCGGATCCCCGAATAGCACCGTAGGTGAGTTTAGTGGAGTGCAGGCGGGCCAAGGGGTTGAAAGCTTTGTCTTCGGATAGTTCGCGGAGGTCCTCTACGGAGAGGGAGGCGCAGCAGGTCTCTGCAGTGTTGTACTTGGCGATGGTCTCATACTTGTCCATCCACTGTGGGCAGTCAGGACCAGTGTCAGTGCGGGGAGAGAATCAGAAACCGCCGGAGCAATCGTACCTGTTCGACCGCGAAGGTCTCGATCTTGACCATGGCTGCGGTGGGAGCTACGAATACTGGCCTGACTGTCGGACTTGGATTTTCTCTCGGTGGTTGTTTTATCGAGTCTCGACTCCAACCGGAGAAGCCATCACGTGGTCTCCCCGCATTTAGATGAACACGACCGAGAGAATGACCGAGTAGGATAGTAGTATATGTTATACGCTAATAGTATAGTAGGAGAGATAGATCGATATCAGGTTCACTATATACTGTAGTGTGAACTAGTACTCTCACTACCAATGTTGTGCTACTATAGCCACTCCCTCACAGGTTGTTCCTGATCGGCCAGCCACTCAACCTGCTTCTCCGCCCGCGTCATCGGCTTACTCCTTCTCTTCCCAACCATCTCTCTTGACCACCACACGGTTCAATTCCAATCCTATACTCCATTCATTCTATCACTTTCCGGCCAAACGAATGCTCGCTTTTCGCCTGGCTTGAGTCTCTGGCGAACCCGCCCCTCGCACTTTCCTCCTGGCGGCACCCGGTTGACCAGGCACCGGCGCTGGCCCAATCTGCTTTCGGCCGCACCCTCCCAACATGCGATCGACACCAACACTCACGATCTTGCTGGCTTGCTTGTCGGTATCTGTGACAGCATGGAGTGACTTCGACTACGACTCGGATCTCTTCTCTCGGTCCCTGTCGACCCTCGACGACCGACCACCGGATTGCCCTCCTTGTTTCAACTGCCAACTTGACGCCTTTAACTGTACTCACTTTGCCCAATGCAACACCTTCAATGGGAAATGCTCCTGCCCGCCAGGATTCGGCGGAGATGACTGCTCGACGCCCGTCTGCGGCTCGCTGGCTGACGGTGATAACCGCCCGGTGCGGCAGACCAAGTCCTGCAACTGCAAGGATGGCTGGGAAGGTATCAACTGTAATGTCTGTGCCACGGATAGTGCCTGCGATGCGATGATGCCGGAAGGCCAGGGCGGTACATGTTACAAACAGGGGGTCACCGTCAAGGAGAATTACCAGATGTGCGATGTGACCAACCGCAAGATCATCGACCAGCTGGACGGCCGGAAACCTCAAGTGACATTCTCCTGCGAAGCGGAAGACAAAACCTGCAACTTTCAGTTCTGGGTCGGCCAGAAGGAGTCGTTCTACTGTGGCCTGGATACATGCGAATGGGACATGACGAGCGATTATACCAGCAACAAGACACACTACAAGTGCGAGAATGCCGCGTGCAAGTGTATTCCCGGTCGCTTTCTCTGCGGCGAGAACGGCTCCATCAATCTGGATGACTTCCTGGACCAGACCATCAAAGGCCCTGCCACGTTTTCAACGGACTCCACCGCAGATGGTACCAAAAGTATCTTCTCGGAGCCGGAGATGGACAAGCTGATTAGTGCTGTCTTTGGAGATCCGGCCATCTATTTGGCCTGCAATGCCGGAGAATGCCTGTACAAAACCGACGTCCCCGGCTACGAGCGGCCTGTCAAGAAGATCAACACGCCACTGATCGCTGGAGTGATTGCGGGATGTGCGCTTTTCGTCGTTGCGGTCATCCTGATTGTTTGGTATCTGTCCCGTCGTGCGGCGCGCCGTGGTTACGTGCGTCTGTCTCTTTCGGATGATTCGGACGATGAAGCCGCCAAGCTCCTTGCTGAGCATCGACCAGCGGCTTTATACTGGGATAATGTTTCTTACTGCTTGAATGGCAAAGAGATTCTCTCGGGTGTCCAGGGTGCCTCTACACCAGGTCAGATCACAGCCATAATGGGAGCATCTGGTGCTGGGAAAACGACTTTCCTGGATATTCTGGCACGAAAGAACAAGCGAGGCGCCGTTGCAGGTGACTTCTACGTTAATGGCGAGAAGATTAGCGACCATGATTTCAAGAATATGATCGGCTTCGTTGATCAGGAGGACACCATGCTGCCCACTCTGACGGTTCACGAAACGATTTTGACCAGCGCTTTGCTGAGGCTCCCTCGAGACATGAGTCAGGCGGCCAAGGAGCAACGAGTCTTTGAGGTCGAGAAGCAACTTGGCATCTATCACATCAAGGACCAACTGATTGGGTCAGAAGAGGGTAAGGGCCGTGGCATCTCGGGTGGAGAAAAGCGCCGGGTGGGCATTGCTTGTGAGCTAGTCACCAGCCCTAGTATTCTTTTCTTGGATGAGCCCACCAGTGGATTGGTAAGACAAGACTCCCCTTTTGGAGGGTCCGGTTTAACTGACAATAACAGGACGCCTACAATGCTTTCAATGTGGTCGAATGTCTAGTGACATTGGCCAAGACGTATAACCGCACGGTCATCTTTACCATTCACCAGCCCCGATCCAACATCGTTGCACTTTTTGACCGGCTTGTGCTTCTCGCCCAGGGCCGTACTGTATACTCCGGACCGTTCTCAACGTGCCAGCAGTACTTCGATCACGTTGGGTACTCGTGCCCGGCGGGTTTCAACATTGCCGATTATCTGGTCGACCTTACTATGCACGCCAGTAACGCGCGTTCATATACGGATGAGATGGAATCACCCGGCAATGGACGCGCCCGTTTAACAAAGACTGCTTCGAGCAGCCTGAGGGCTGTCAAATCCGTTGCCAGTGCATCCAATGCCAGCATCGAAGAATTTTCTAGTGGCACGACAGAGCCCACCCGAAGACCCAAGGACAAACGGCGTATATCCTTGAAACAGCAACAAGATCGTCAACTCTACTCGCGCAGGAAAGATCATGAGCAACCCCCCTCCACTCCCAAGACAGATGAGGAAGATGCCACGCTGGACGTGGCTGAAAATACCCAACAGTGGTTGCGTCTTTCTCGTCAACAAGGCAGCGTCCCGCCTCAGATCCTTGACGATCCGGATCAACTACCTCCCCCTGCACCCGGCCAGACGGACCTGGATATTTTGGTGGCCAGCTATGCGGATTCTTATGTGTGTCGCTCGGTGCATGATGAGATTGTGAATGCGGTGCAAAGCGCCGACGCTGCAAATGGCTCAGCGAACTCGGATCTGATGTCTGGGTCGTCCCAGCCGAAGAGCTATGCCCGCGTCGGATTGATGCGACAGTTCATCATTTTGTCCCAGCGTACATGGCGCAACCTCTACCGTAACCCGATGCTGATGCTCACCCACTACGCCATCTCGATCCTGCTGGCGGTTCTCTCCGGGTACCTCTTCTACGGCTTGACCGACGACATTAAGGGTTTCCAGAACCGCCTCGGTCTTTTCTTCTTCATCCTGGCCTTGTTCGGGTTCAGTACCCTGACCAGTCTCACGGTGTTTTCCACGGAACGGCTCTTGTTCGTACGCGAACGTGCCAATGGGTACTATCATCCAGTCACGTACTTTGCCGCCAAGGTCGTGTTCGACGTGGTGCCGCTGAGACTGATCCCTCCCATCATCATGGGAATGATTGTGTATCCGATGACCGGCCTGATTCCCGCATGGCCCGAGTTTTTCCGGTTCCTGCTGGTCTTGGTCCTGTTTAACCTGGCTGCCGCCAACATCTGCCTGTTCATTGGCATTGTCTTCCGGGACGGCGGCGTTGCCAATCTGATTGGCAGCCTGGTGATGCTCTTCAGCTTGCTTTTCGCTGGTCTGCTGCTGAACCACGATGCTATCCCCAGCTCCGCTTTGTGGCTACAAACGGTAAGTCTTCTTTCTGCGACGTTCACACTCATACTAATTTTCTGGTCCAGCTGTCCATCTTCCACTATGGTTTCGAGGCCCTGATCGTCAACGAGGTGACCTTCCTCACTCTGATTGACCACAAGTACGGGCTGGACATTGAAGTCCCCGGCGCGTCGATCCTGAGTGCCTTTGGCTTCGACACCTTGGCGTTGTGGGGCGATGTCATCGGCCTCGCGGTGATCTCTGGGGCGTTCATTATCATTGCATATGCTGCGATGCATTTCCTGCTTGTGGAGAAGCGATGAATGAGCCGATGTGGAGGATTTGTTTTATCTGTTTGGCGTTTTAGAGCATATATCGAGTCGTGTACATTCCTCGGGACATGCATGATCCCTGACTCTTGTTTCCACGTGATCAGCGTCGTGGCTCATCGTGGACTTATTTCTCTGCTACATATCCTCTGGGCCTAGTTATTTATCTTCATCTCTGTTCTTATCTCTCTCTACCCTAGTTTCTGTTAGTCCTGGGTATATTCTGCCCCACTCCCCAGTGTCCGTGCAGCAGCCCGACCGCCGACCCGTTCAGGCTTGGATTCGACTAACTAGACCTTCGCTAACTCAGCACCAGCTCGATTCCGATCCACCACCACCACCACTGCTCTCCTTACACACCTCATCCTCCTCCTCCCAGCCCACTCCCAGCCCCTTCTTCGCTGTCCCCACCCGTTCACGGACTCTCCCTGCCTCCTGTCCTGCTTGTGAGCTCGGGCCAGCCACTCCCCAAGCCTCTCTTCGATTCCTCCGTCTTCTGCCGCCGCCGCAGCGCCCCCACAAAAACCTCTCCAACTCCGGCCCTCTCCAACTAGTCCATTCCGGCAACCTCATCGGTCTCCAGACCCGGGTCTCCGTGACGTGACTCGACTGTCTTTCGTATCTCTTCTTTTTCGTTAAAGACTACATCCACCATGTCCGGCGAAGCGTGGCTCTACCTGCTCGCGGTGCTTATCAATGCCGTGAATCTGTTCCTACAGGCAAGTTCATCATAGCGCGCTGTATTCGCTGCTCTTCCTAACGGCAATCTAGGTTTTCTTCACGATCATGTACAGTGATCTGGAGTGGTGAGTGGTTCCCTTCCTGCCAGCCACAGTCAAGAGAGAGAGACTGACCTGAATCCCCTTTCGCGCAGCGACTACATCAACCCGATCGACCTGTGCAACCGCCTGAATGCCTACATCATTCCTGAAGCTGCCGTTCACGCGTTCCTGACCTTCCTCTTTGTCATCAATGGCTACTGGATCGCGATCCTGCTGAACCTGCCTCTCCTGGCGTTCAATGCGAAGAAGATCTTCGAGAACCAGCACCTTCTGGACGCGACGGAGATTTTCCGCAAGTTGAATGTTCACAAGAAGGTGGGTTCTCCCTTTTTCAGAGGAGGAGATCTACCTCTTTACGGTTTGCTAACTCAGAGTTTGGTTGTGTGCAGGAATCCTTCGTCAAGCTTGGTTTCCACCTCTTGATGTTCTTCTTCTACCTGTACAGCATGATCGTTGCTCTTATCCGCGACGAGAACTGACTTCGCGAAAAAACCGACACCGCCATGCGCCACGGTCGTCCCGCCTAGCTCATCGCTAGTCATGCTGCGGTGCGGTGCGATGCAATACACTAATGCGGTTATACCCCTATGCAGGTCGGCTATCATGAAGAACGAATGATATGGCGCGCTCTTGAGTTCAGTCTTGCGATAGATGGTCCGTTTGGCGTGGGTAATAATGGAGGTTGTCGTGTGTAGCTGTGTCTCTCTCTTGGAGGGAGGGTGTTCCGGAACATGAGAAGATGATGTGATTGTGTGTTGGGTCAGTGTGGCTCAAGTAATCTCTTCTGTCTGTAATTGTTTCTTGCTGTTTGAAGCTGGTTTCTTTCCTTTTATCTTTCTGTGTTGATCTTGCCATGTCTTTCGGCCTGTGAGTTGTATATATCTCCTGCGCGGTCTGGCAATGAAGAGTACGATACCCACCTGGCAACTAACTTGTAATTTTCCAAGGTAGGTCTGAAGTGAAGTAGATTCAAGATATCTGCTCTAGTAGAAAAAAGGGTACTGTGCTGCTGAGTGGTTGTATTCTTCACCTCGGGAGCCTCCCGTCGCCCGTAAAATTCCTCCTTCAACCACCACCTCCACCAACACCTCTCTCCATTACTCGTGGGCATATATTATTCTCCCATAATAATATCCCACAATGTCATCATTACTAGGCGCTGGATATGACTCCAGCGACGATGACAATACCACAGCCACCTACACACCGGCGACGACCGCCACCAAGGTCGTCGCTGCGCCAGAAGTGAATACAGAGGTTTGGTTCCCGGCCTCCTGCACTGTGCAGGAGCTTCATTCGACCCTCTAGACGAACGGAAAAGACTAACGACTCTGCAGGATCACGCGCACATGCAAATGACGCTCGCCAACACCTCCTCGCAAGCCCTCACCTACAACGCCACGTACGATGACCTAATGCGACCATCGCAAGGGCCCGTCAATCCCTTCAAACCAGCCGGCGCCGGCAACGGCGTCAAGCGCAAGAACGTCCCCACCGGCTTTGCGGAGGAGGCGGCTATCAGCGAGTCGACGTTCTCGGCGCAACATCGCACGTTCCAGAGTCTCGGGTACACGCGCAACCCTACCGCACCGGACCAGTTTGTCGGCGATATTCAGAGTGCGGCGCAGTTTGGCGGGCGCGACGTGGTGCAGATGAAGCCGACCAAGGAGGCCTCGGCGAAGTGGCGTGCGAAGCGGCAAAGGAAAGGCGACTCCGGCGTTGTTGAGGGTGAGGGTGCTTATCTGGGCCCGTGGGCGAAGTATACGAATCAGGAGCAATATGATGAGGTGGAAGTTGGGAACGGAGAGGAGCACGAGCTTGCCAGCGATGAGGAGTGGGTTGAGGAAGATGAGACTCTGGCTTCCGGTGCACCGATGCCTGCTATGAGCAAGGCCGCGACTGAGTACGAGGGCGATCTAACCAACGTGGAAAGAACCGAGTTCCATGGCACAGAGCAGTTCGACTACCAGGGCCGGACGTACATGCATGTGCCTCAGGACCTCGATGTCGATCTGGACAAGGAAGTCGGCAGCATCAAGAACTACGTGCCGAAGAAACTGGTGCACACTTGGAAGTCTCACACGAAGCCCATTACTTCTCTACGGTTCTTCCCCAAATCAGGCCATTTGCTCCTTTCCTCGGCGGCAGACGGCAAAGCCAAGATCTGGGATGTGTACCATCAGCGAGAGCTGCTGCGCACGTTCTCTGGCCATAACAAGGCCATCACGGACACAGACTTTCATCCAACAGGGAAAACATTCCTCACGGCCTCATACGACCGACAGATCAAACTCTGGGACACCGAGTACGGGAAGTGTTTGGGCCGATTCTCGACCGGCAAGACACCGCACGTCATCCGGTTCAACCCCGGCCCGGAACACTCGCACGAGTTCCTGGCCGGTATGTCCGACAAGAAGATCGTGCAGTTCGACACGCGATCCGGCGAGCTGGTCCAAGAATACGACCACCATCTGGCCGCGATCAACACCCTCACCTTCGTCGACGACAACCGACGCTTCATCTCCACATCGGACGACAAGTCCCTCCGCGCATGGGAATACGGCATCCCTGTACCAATCAAGTTCATCGCCGAGCCATACATGTTCGCTCTCACGCGCGCAGCAGCGCATCCGAACGGCAAATACGTCGCCTTCCAGTCCGGCGACAACCAGATCGTTGTGTACGGCGCGACAGACAAGTTCCGCCAGAACCGCAAGAAGAGTTTCCGGGGCCACAACAATGCCGGCTACGCGATTGATCTTAAAATCTCGCCGGATGGCCAGTTCCTTGTTTCGGGTGATGGCGGTGGGTTTGTCTGTTTCTGGGATTGGAAGACGGGGAAGATGTATCATAAGATGATGGCTGGCGGGAAGGAGGGTGGTGCTGTTACTTGTTTGGATTGGCATCCGCAAGAGACGTCCAAGGTTGTCACTGGTGGACTGGACTCGACTATCAAGTACTGGGATTAGAGAGTTTACGAAGGAATTGTATAGTCTACCAATCAATGGGCCTATTCTTCAATTTCGGTGTTGATATACTTCCTGCCAACATTCATTTAGGAGGCAATGGTTTCGAAAGAAAGTGCCGACTGGTATAACAATGACTGAACTCAATTCTATAGTTCTGACCAAAAAGGGAATCAAAGAAAAAAAAAAAAAAAAAAAAAAAAAACAAATATACATGTCCTCCATATCCAAAATCCCGCCCCCCAACACATCTCTATCAATGTGCAGTCGATCGGAAAACCCGAGAGCAAAGAGACGCAAGATGGTGCAAAGAGTGCCTAATCAAACACACCGGCGAGAAGTACCGCGGATACTTCCACATCAGTACAGAGACCGCTCCCAAACCAGTAACAAGCAGCGAACTCAGGCCCAACCCCAGCACCGAGCTCTGCCGCTGCACAGCTTGTATAACATCGGAATAGCGCTGGTTACTGAATGACACACGCGCATACTGCGTCTGCCAGCCCACGCACGGGAAATACCGATCGACAGTCTCCTCCACCGTCTTGCGCAGCTTGTACAGCGGCGACTTGACCCCCCAGCGCATCTCGAGGTAGTTCTGCTTGGACAGGTCGTTGATGGCGTATGTATCCGCGCAGCGCTGGTCCGTGTATGCCTGAAACGCAGCGAGGCGGTTGAGGGCTCGGGCGTGCGCATCTGCCTGTGGGTCGTAGACGCCGCGGGAGTCGAGCATCTCAAACAGCACCCGGACGTCTTCGAGGCCTGCGTTCAGGCCCTGGCCGTAAAAGGGGAGGACGGCGTGCGCGGCATCGCCGAGTATGGCGACGCTGGCGCCGAAATGGTGCGGGTTGCACTTGATGCTGATGAGCGGGAGGTGCGGGTTCAGGTTGAACTGCTCGCTCAGGGCATCGGGGTCCATGAGCTCGGGACACACGCCTGGGAAGTGCAGGTCGAAGAATGCCTGCAAGGACTGCGGGTTATTTTCCAACTCGGCATATTGCGCCGACGGCGCAAAGAGCGTGCAGATAAATGACTTGTCGGGCGAGGGGAGCGCAATGAACATGAACTCTCGTCCCGGCCAGATGTGCAGATGGTTCGGCGAGATGCGGAACTCGCCCTCGGGGGACGGCGGGATACGGAACTCGCACCACAGCGTGTCGATGTACTCTTGTTGGTAGTCGACGCGGGCGAATTTCATCATGTGGAAGCGGGAGGCGGAGTGGGCGCCGTCCGCGCCGAGGAGGTAGTCGAAGGAGACTTCGATCTCGGGGACGCGGCCTGCGATTCCTGCGGCGTTGGTTTGCGGCGTGTCCCCGGGGATGCGCCGCTCGAACCAGGCTTTGTTGGTGCGGAAGTCCGCGCCTGTGAGCTTGTGGTTGAAGCAGAGCTTAACGTTGGGGGTTTTTTCGAGCTCGTCGAGGAGGGCGTTGTTCAACGTGCCTCGGTCGACTGCGTTGATGGCCTGGAAAGGGGTTAGCGGTGTCTTTCTTCCTCCGGAATCCAGAGACCTACTCGGCCATGAACATCGTAGGCCTGCGCAGCCTCCCAGAGCTGTCCGCGGTCCCGGCCGTGGATCATTCGCCCGTGCATGGGGATGGTATCATGGAGGACATTGTCGATGAGTTCGCTCCGGTGTGACTGTCTCATAGAGTTGATGCCGCGCTCGGAGAGAGCCAAATTGATGGATTTGGTGAAGTTCAATGGCACCGTCGTTGGGTCCCGGAGATCTACAGATTCACCATTATTCCTCTGGTTCGATATTTCCATGGGAGGTGGGTCATCTTCATGTCGGATCCATGAATATCAATTCTTCCCAGAGAATATCACACTCGACATTTAAATAAGAGAAAAGAGTATTCCAATCTCGACTGGCAGGGGCTCAAGTGAACGTCACACAAGGCAGTGGCAACATACCTCCGCGCAGCTCGTATACTTCGACCTGGTCGCCTCTGGACGCAGCGTACAATGCAGCCAGGGCCCCTACGGGCCCTGCACCGACTACGACGACCTTCTGGCCGGTTGGAAGAGCGGCCATTATGGAAGACAGGCGAGGAGCGCCATCGGGATGAGTCGTAGCGAAGGAAGAAACTCTCACGGTCACGTGCCTCTGAATTGTCCGAAAAGATCGGCCGGTTAAGGTGCTGACTCAGCGTGGATCAACTGACGTCGGCCTGAGGCATTGATCATTCCAGTTCAGGCTTAGTGTGGATTGATTCCTCCGTCGCGGGGACAAAAAGCGAATAATTCTTGTTCTCTGCGACGATCACGAGATTACTATCATCTGTCAACTATGGTAGCCACGGCCCGAAAATGCATTGGCTTGGAGTGTCCCAATGATGCAGGCACTCTGCAGTGTCCGACCTGCCTGAAGACGGGCACCGACAGCTTCTTCTGCTCGCAGGACTGTTTCAAGCGCAGTTGGGTATGATCTGATCTCTCTATCCACTGCGTTGACTTTGTGACTGACTCCCGGGCTGCTGTAGACTGAGCACAAGACCATACACAAGAAGAGTAATCTCCTCACCAACCTCTTCCCTCCGAAGGTAGTTTCTGAACCAGATCCAGCCACCGGTCACTTTAACCCCTTCCCATCCTTCCAATACACCGGCCCGCTGCGCCCTGTGTACCCGTTGTCGCCCAAACGCACCATCCCCAAGTCGATCCCGCACCCGGACTACGCTCGCGATGGCATCCCGCGCTCCGAGCAGCGCCTGGTCGGCCGGCACAACATCACGATTCTGAACAAGGAGGAGCAGGAGGGCATGCGCAAGGTCTGTCGGCTGGCACGGGAGGTGCTTGATCTCGCCGCGGCGGCGATCAAGCCCGGCGTCACGACGGATTATATCGACGAAGTGGTCCACAAGGCCTGCATAGAGCGTGAGGTATGTTGTTGAAATAACCATCCCCGTGGGGAAATACCCTGACGTTCTCAGTCATATCCATCACCACTGAACTACGTGCACTTCCCGAAGTCCGTCTGCACTTCGATCAACGAGACCATCTGCCACGGTATTCCTGACCAACGGCCGCTGGAAGACGGCGACATTGTCAACATCGACGTGACCCTGTACCACAAGGGATTCCACGGCGATCTCAACGAGACGTACTATGTCGGCGAGAAGGCTCGCGCGAACGCAGACGCCGTGCGCGTGGTGGAGACGGCACGCGACTGTCTAGACAAGTCCATTGACCTGGTGAAGCCGGGCATGCTGTTCCGGGATCCTGGCAATGTGATCGAGAAACTCGCCAAAAGCCGCAACTGCAGCGTTGTCAAGACCTACTGCGGGCACGGAATCAACCAGCTGTTCCACTGCGCGCCCAATGTTCCTCACTACGGCAAAAACAAGGCTGTCGGGACTGCCAAGCCCGGCATGTGCTTTACGATCGAACCCATGATTAACCTGGGCACGCACCGCGACCGTACCTGGCCGGATGATTGGACCAGCACGACGGCTGACGGGTCACTGTCGGCTCAGTTTGAGCACACCCTGCTGGTGACGGAGGATGGGGTCGAGGTGCTGACGGCGCGGCTGCCCGATTCGCCGGGCGGGCCCATCCCGATTCCGGTGGTGGAAGAGAAGAACGGGAATTGAGATCTAGTCTAGCTTAGATATCCCTGAACCTGCATCTATCATCTATCTACGACTATGCTCGTTATCTCCAATCTCCTACCTAGTAGTTGCCGACGGATACTTCTCATTGGTCCGATATCGGCAAATCGGCAGTACAAAGGCGGGGGTGACTTATCACCACGTGCCGCTTGTTAGGTCTTGACGGTTTCCACGCCGAAGCGGGTTTTGAGATCTGTGAGGATCTCCTGGGCTGCTGGGGACAATTCGGGGCAAGATACAAGGAAAATGTCTCCAGACCGAGAACCCAACGAGACATGCCCGCTGCTGGGCGCGCAAGGGGATGCCCACCCTCCCTCCACGGGGGCCATTCCCTCTCAGAGTGACGAAGAGCAGGCAAAGGAGCCGTTTCCCGATGCGCGGAAGCAGCTCAAATATATTGTCCCTGCAATTTCCCTGGGAGTATGAAATATCCCCTTTCAACCTTTAAATCAACATGACTAACTTTACATACTCTAGATTTTTCTCTCCGCCGCGGACCAGACCATCATCATGGCCAGCTATGGTCAAATCGGCAGTGATCTCAAAGCCCTGAACTTGACGAGCTGGATTGCAACTTCTTACTTTCTGACTCTCACCTCGTTTCAGCCTCTATATGGCAAGTTGTCCGATATCTTCGGCCGCAAGCAATGTCTACTGTTCGCGTATGCCATCTTTGGAATGGGGAATCTGTTCTGCGGGCTGGCTCGCAATATTAATGAGTTGATTGCTGCGCGGGTCTTCCAAGGCATTGGTGGCGGTGGTATGACTACCGTGGTCAGTATCCTGATGAGTGATATTGTCCCGCTGCGGGATCGGGGCGTGTGGCAGGGTATTATCAATATTATCTATGCCACTGGCTCGGGCACGGGTGCGCCGTTAGGTATGGCCATCCAATCGTTTTTTATCCGGACCAATACTGATTGACGCCTCCTAGGTGGAATTCTGGCTGATTATATTGGCTGGCGCTGGTGTGTATTACCTGTTTTTCTACCTGAAGTTATTCTCTGACACACTCTCTGCAGGGCATTCCTAGCACAATTCCCTCTGTGCATTATTGCCTTTATCGCCGTATCCTTCATGTTGAAGCTCCCGCCCCGTGACAACGCCCACTGGAAGATCAAGCTCCGACGCATCGACTTCCTCGGCGCCGTCGTCCTCGTCGGTGCCGTATTCGGTTTCCTGCTGGGTCTTGACCGAGGCAGCAACGTTTCGTGGAAGATGCCCATCACAATCATCTCGCTGAGCGTCTCAGTTGTGCTATTCGTGCTCTTCCTCCTGGTCGAGATCTACCTTGCGGCGGAGCCCTTTGCGCCGGGACACATCATCTTCGATCGGACCTTCTTTGCTTGCTACTGCTGCAATTTCTTCAGCTTTGGAGGCTGGCTGGCTGCGCTGTTCTATATCCCGTTGTATTTCCAGGCGGTCGATGGCGTATCGGCCACTATCGCGGGTCTGCGTCTGCTTCCTAGTATCCTGGCCGGAGTGACTGGTTCTTTGTTTGCGGGTGTGGTTATGAAATGGTCTGGGAAGTATTACTGGCTGACTGTTGCCGCATACACTTCTCTGACCACGGGGTGTTTCTGTGTCTATCTTTTCTCGGGCGCTGCCCTGGAAAGCACGGTTATGATGATTATGGGAATGGTCATGGCAGCGTTTGGCAACGGCATCGGAGTTACGTCGACCTTGATCGGCCTGAGTAAGTTCTTGACATTCCCCGCACTATGAGACGTCCTGACCAACCCACCAGTCTCAAACGCTACATTCGAAGACCAAGCCGTGGTGACAGCCTGCTCATATCTCTTCCGCTCCCTGGGCTCGGTCATCGGCCTGTCCCTATCATCGACAGTAGTCCAACAACTCCTCCGCTCTCGACTACGCTCCGAACTACACAGCAGCAAAGACATTGACCAGATTGTCGATGGCGTCCGCGAGAGTCTTGATTTTATCAAGAAACTCGACCCCGAAATCGCCCGGATCGTGCGCAGCTGCTACGGCTGGTCCACGAACAAAGGCTTCGCCTTTATGGTGGTGGTGGTGTTTTTCGCGCTGTTTAGCAGCTTCTTCATTCGAGAGAGTAAACTCAGTCGCTGAGAGGACTGAATGGAAAAGTACATGGTGTCAAGGAGATGAGTGAAGGGTTGGCATTTCCTTTTCGTACGCACGCCGTATGTACATAACTTTTTGCATTTGCATATGGTGGGAATTAGATGGGTATATAGTTTAGCGTCTGGATGTGGTGCTGCATCTCACTGTGTGATTTGAATGCACCTGATGGAGGAAGTAAGCATAGCATTTTGATAAAATTGTCGATGGTAATGATCTAGAATTTGAGAACATAGCTGCTTTAGTTTTTTGTCGTACTATAGAAGCCGTAGAATTTGTTTTGTCCTAACAGCTTTCGATCTTAATTAGAGTCAGAGGATATACCTGTTACTCTCCCAGCCTCTCCCCTCTATAGGTTAAAAGTATATACTGCACAGAATTTTGGAAATACTAGCCCCATTGGCTAAACTGCATACTCCGTGTGGGCTCATTTCCCAGGACCCTGAGCTAGACATCCTGCGTTGGCTTTGGCCTTGGTGTTGGCTCAGGGCAATTACAATGTCCCAGTCGTTTATTATTAGACGCCTTGCGCGGTGTCCCGTCTTTCTCATTCTCATGGTCGTGTCCCTCAGTAACTGCTCCTTCCTCTAGCCGTCACCATGGTTGCCATTGCGCTTCTCTCTCTGGGTATTCTTGCATCTCAGATCCCTGGTGTGCCAGCATCTGCCTACAGACGCAATGCCAACCACCGTCCTCCACACTCCCCGGCAACACCCATGGCTGCGTCCACGGAGACAGCAGCCGCAGCAGTTCAGCTAGATCATCTGTCACAGATTGCTCTTCAAACGCAATTGGGAACTTCGAAGGAAAGGCGATAACCCCACATGGCTGCAATGCCCTAAATCTGCGAGTCCGGCGTGACTGGAGGGACTTTTCTTACCGGGATAAGAGGGAGTATATCGATTCCGTGCTCTGTTTACAAAAGCTCCCAGCGCGGACTTCCTCAAAGCTGGCTCCGGGGGCGAAGACTCGCTTCGATGACTTCGTGGTAACTCACATCAATCAGACTATGGAAATCCATTACACTGTATGTGTTTTTCCGATAGCTTTTTTTCTGTCCGATGCTGATTTGCAGTGGGGCACATTCTTGGCCTGGCACCGATATTTTGTCTATGGATTTGAAACCGCGCTGCGCGATTAATGTGGTTATACTGGCGACTATCCGTACTGGGATTGGGGTGCTGATACCGAAGACATGTCCAAGTCGCCCGTCTCCGATGGAAGTGAGACATCCATGTCTGGCAACGGCGTCCACGTCCGCGACGAGAAAGCTATCCAACTAAAATGAGTAACTTCACTCCCATATTTTTGCCAGCTGGCGCAGGGGGAGGATGCGTCCATAATGGACCATTCAAGGACTATACAGTCAACCTGGGCCCGGCCTCTCTGGAGCTATGCGGTGAAAACGTGAGCAAAGTAGCTCACCCGATGGACTACAACCCACGCTGTTTCAAACGCGACCTGACCACAGAGATCCTGCAGCGGTACGCCAACTACACATCCATCGTATCACTGATCGTAAATAACAACCACATCCGGGACTTCGAAATGACCATGCAAGGCGTGCCGGGCAGTGGGACTATCGGCGTCCATGGCGGCGGCCACTATGCGATGGGCGGGGATCCTGGCCGCGACGTCTTCACGAGTCCTGGTGACCCTGCCTTCTGGCTTCATCACGGCATGATCGACCGCGTGTGGTGGATCTGACAGAACCTGGACTTGGAGACGCGCCAGAATGCTATCGCGGGTACTGGCACGTTTTTGAACCAGCCGCCTTCGGCGAATACCACCCTTGACACTATAGTTGACCTGGGTTGGGCGAACCTGGGACCTATTGCTATGAAGGATCCTATGAGTACCACTGATGGACCTTTCTGCTACGTGTATAGGTGAGCGATATTGTGAGGGTGAATATGTTAGAACTTTGTGAGGGATGGTAACGTATATAATCAAAATAGGTAATCCATGAGGTACATATAGCTTTTCTAATAGAGTAAGGAGCAGCGTAGCAGTGGAGGTCTGATATATCTGAGTGGCAGTGTCTGCGCCAGAAAAAGCCATGTTTATGTTGATAATTTCGATAATTTAATTCATCATCTGCCATAATCACTTCTATGAGACTAACATTAGCTAATGTTGTAGTTGTCAACTATGTACATGCCTAACCCCGTGATGTCCGAGCTCCAAACCCTTCCCAACACCGTCATCCACTTGGCACCTACACCTTCACTCACTCGGATCACGAGGACTTGCTTTCTGCTGCCCTCTGTTTCTCCAAGACAATTCATCAACAATGATCTCTCCTCAACTCCCCTGACAGTTTTCTTGCAGCTTCCAGCTCGACCGCTATGCCCACACCGCATTCGGGGCCGGTCTCGTTGACACGATACCGGCCCATCCTCTACCTCTTCACCGGCGTCGCAGCGGCCTATGCAGTTGTCTACATCCATAACAATGTCATTTTGCCACGCCGTTCCCAACCCTCGCTGCGACGTCGAAACGCTGTGCGCCGCCACCGGCGAAGCGATGCCGAAGAACTTGCGCTGCTCGAGACCCCGTCCTACCGTGCCATCGCCCACCTCGAACAACTGGAGCGGCAGAATGGAGTGTACGGAACATTTCGTATCGAGACTGAAGACGGACGACGTGTGGAAAGTGGCCTCTTGCCTTCGCTGCTCGCTACACGCGACCAGCTGATGGAGGAGGTTGGTGTCCCTCCGGCTCACGCGGAGCGCATGCGCGAAATGATGGAAGATACTTTTCTGGAATCTTTTCTTGCTCTCGACTTCCCCTCCGCCCACACTCTTGCAGACAACAGCCCAGAAAGGGCTTACTTGACGGAGCAACTTCAACGACGAGGGATTTCCAGGGCGGGCATTGAGAGGGCGCTGATACGGTTCAATGGAGACGAAAACTACGGGGAGGAGCTGCGTCGTCGGAGGCAGAACGGCGAGCGAGTAACACTCTCTACCTCCACCTTCCCGGATGTGTCGGGACCGCCGCAGAACCCTGACGGTGCGGAAACGGTGGTTGATGATCAGAGTGTCTTCTCCTGGCGGGATGGGAACAATGACGCCTCTCCGACACGAGAGGGTCAGAATCTACTGAACCTGCTGTACCACATTGCCGAGGATCAGGCGCGGAGAGATGGCTATATTCACCGGGGCGTGACTTGCAACAGCTGCGGCGCCATGCCCATCCAGGGTATCCGATACCGATGTGCGAACTGCATCGACTATGACCTTTGTGAGACATGCGAGGCGATGCAAGTACATATCAAAACGCATCTGTTTTACAAGGTGCGGATTCCGGCTCCCTTCTTGGGCAACCCACGACAATCACAGCCTGTGTGGTATCCTGGGAAGCCCGCGATGCTCCCACGCAGCCTTCCACGGCCCCTTGCCAAGCGTCTCATGAAGGAGACGAGCTTCGAAAACACCGAGCTCGATGCCCTCTGGGACCAGTTCCGCTGCCTGGCCAACTACGAATGGGCAGATGATCCGAACAAGTTGTACATGGCCATCGACCGCAAAACATTTGACCGATGCTTTGTACCCAACACCTCCATTCGGCCGCCTCCTCCCAGCCTCATCTACGACCGCATGTTTGCGTTCTACGACACAAATAACGACAATCTCATCGGGTTTGAAGAGTTCCTCAAGGGACTGGCGAGTTTGAATAATAAAAGTAATGATGAAAGGCTACGGCGTGTCTTTCGTGGATACGATATCGATGGAGATGGTTACGTGGAGCGCAAGGACTTCCTTCGAGTTTTCAGGGCGTACTATGCTCTCAGCCGGGAGCTAACCCGGGATATGGTTGCCGGGATGGAGGATGACTTTTTGGAGGGTGGCGCTCGCGATGTCGTTCTTGGTAGCCAGCCTATCAGCTCTGCTTTTCCAGGCAACATTCCCTCGGGCGAGCCTTCACGGACTGGTGAGGGCAAACGGGCGAATCAGGATGGCGATATGGAAATCGTCGACAACGAAGGTATCTTGCGACAGGACGGTGACGACACTGGTGACCGACACTCAGTCGTTGGTGACGCTGCCGTGCGAGAACAGTTCGGACGAGTGCGTCCGATGTTCCCGTCAACAGTTCGACTTCCTCGTGCCGAGGTTGAGGCTTCCCTGGCGGAACTTGATCATGGTGATGACGATAACGATGATGCCAGCGAATCTTCTGACGAGTCCAGCTCCTCAGTTGCCAGCGCCAACTGGCCACCAGCCGAACACATCCACGAGGAAGACATTATCGACGCGCTGGGGACATATGTTCCTCCTCAAGAGATTACCGATCCCGTCGACAGAGCCCGTATCGCTACCTCGGTGTATCACAGAATGCGTGATGACGATCGTCGCCGAGTAGACGAGGCTCGACGATATGGTATTGACGAGCGCTGGAGACGCCGGGCATTCTATACGGACGAAGAAGACGGTGCAACCGTCCCCGAGGGATACCAACGGGACCCGGCCGTGGATGATTATCTCAGTGATGACGAGAAGCTCCATGTACCGCAGAATTTTGACTCGCACCCGCCTTCTCCTCGTTCGCGATCATCGTCTAAGGTGCGATTTGAAGACGACCTCACCGACGATTACGATGTACGCTCAAACCCGTCAACATCATCCCGGAGCATACCGGTCGGCGAACGATGGGGAGGTTTCGAGATACCGGAAGTCGAAAAGGATGTGGGCAAAGAGATTTTGTATCAGGTCACGCAACAGGGATTCAACGAGCTTCTCGACATCCTGTTTAAACCGAAAGAGGATCTGATTATGGAAGCGTATCGGACACGAGCTGATCGCAAGGCATGGGCTCGGGAGATTGAGCTTGTGGAGAAAGCCGATCCTCAAAAAGGCACTGCCAAAGAAGCGCAGGCAAGCAACGAGGGAGAACTGCGACCGGTCACCAGTGAAAGGTCTCTGGATGACCTCTTGCAGCGCTCTGGCTATGCCGTACTCAGTCCGGTGGCGGAGTCCGTCAGTATAGGGCCAGTGTTAGCCCCACCATCCCCAGGGGTTGTATCGCCCAGGGACACCGAGAACGACGACGTTCGGCCTTCTCATCTCGGTGATCCAGGGGATGATGCTGCCATCGGTCAAGACCGGCCGTTCGAAGGGGATTACGACGAGACTGAGTCAGATGCATCTGACCCAGAGTCCTCAGAAGATATCTCCCCAGTTGCGGACGAAGAAGAGCCGTACTATGATCCTACTTTACCCCAACACCGTCCAAACGCTGGATTAACTCGTCCTCGTCTTTCTTTCCGCGACGAGCCCTCTGTGATAGCCTCACCAGAACCCTCCGACCTCCCGCTGGAGCTCCGCCTCCAACCAAACGGCACAACCTCTCTCCCTGCACCGTCTTCTCCTGACTCTTCGTCCGCCGAAGCCGAAGCCACGGCACCCAAACCCCGTCCCTCGCCTATGCAGCCACTCCCACCGCCAACCTCGAAGACCGACCAAGTCACGGAACCTTCTGGCCTGCACAAACCGTCACCCAAGACCATTGCCCGATGGGCGTACCTGAACCAGGTCGAGCGCGAAGCCAAGGAGCGCGGCGGCAGCGGAGCAAAGCTTAACTTCGAGGAGTTTTCCCGCCGCATGGCTGCAGACCGCGGACGAAGGCTCGGGTTTGTGGCTACCTGGATTGAGATGGCTAGTTTTTAGATTCGGCGGAGAATCTTTGTACATTACTTTATAGGAAAAAGAAACCAAGGAGTTTATGGTTCAGGCGAAAAAAAAGTATAATCGTCTGTCACGGAGCTCATTTTTATCCCAACCACGTAAATCTCTCGTCTCATTTCAACATCAATCCTACCTAAAGTGGCCAACCCCATAGGTACTTTCTCTTTTCACTTCACTTCCACCTCTGCTATTCATATATTGTAAGATCTGTGGACTCTAGAATGAGGCGCTCTCTATTATCTGTGCTTTGTCTATGGCTATGCATGCTCACGAGAAGGGGTGGAAGTCTGTATGGGTCGTGGGTCGTCATACTCTGGGATGCCAGATTTTTCGATTATTGATATGATTCTAGCGGTTTCAAGATTGAGCACTACGCGAAGGGAGATGTCGCCAATGAGGATAACCCAACATGGAAAGAGCCACTAGGGCGCTATCTGTTTGGGGTCCTGAATTGCCGAAGGACTTCAATGATAATAGGGCCAGGTGATCGAAAATCGCTTTTTTTCATGCCATTCATTGAATAGGACATTTATCAAGTATCAGTTCGCGCCACAGGCTTAGGTGCAGTGCTATTATAATGCACCCGTAATCCATATATACGAAATTCTAATATCTAGGGCATTGGACTATATCATGTAAATTGGGTAATAGATAGACTCTAATTATTTATGAAGTCAGCAAGTGCTGACCTTACACTGCTTTTCAGGTTTTCAGACCCAGGTGGCGGCGGTGGCTGTTCACCCCGTTGTTCCGTATATTTCTTCTCATCAATGTCGCTGTCTTTCACCCCTCCCACCCTAAACGGCGTGATCAGTGGTGGTATAATAGTGTACGCCTCAACAATGCCTTTTTGTATCAAGCTGATCATAGCAAGATCTACTGGCGGTCCAAGACCCACGTAATCACCAAGTATCATCGATAATGCCCAGGCTGTTCTCAAGGGAGAAGTAGCCGGAAACGCGAATGCAAACAGTCAGACACTTTCCGCTCCCGAGAATTACACTTGGTTTGCTCTGGCTGCTTGGTACTTCTACAAGCAAAATGTGTTCTTTGATGCAGGGCAATTGCAGATTATGTCCTGATCCTAGAGTAGTCGACTCTATTACCGTCAATGTGTGGGCTAGGCCTTAATATCAAGATTTGGGAGTCAAACTAATGTAATTTGGGCTTTGGCTGTAAATTCAACCCCCATATACTTGAACATTAAAGAATGAAAAGATGCTGGCGGTAGTTACAGCTCAGTCAAAGACCACACCTTATCTACCTTCCTCACCATCTCAAAATCCACATACCAGTCCTTCCAACCTACTGCCCCGTTTGCCCCTAGCGTATCCTCCCACTCCTGCATGACAGGTACCGACTCCTGCCCCCGTAGAATGGGCGTAGTCTCCAAAAAGTTCTGCTTGGGCTCGCTACTTCTCCACGACATCACAATCAGTAAGACGCGACACTCCACTTTCGTAACTGGCGCTTCAGCCTCGGTGGAATTTCCGGCGACGGTTGACTCGCCAGGGAGCTGAGCACAAGGCCGAACCATCTCCCCTTCTATCCATCCCCGCCGAGGATCAGTATGGAACGCACTGATTTCGTCCCAAAGTTCCGACCTTCCGCCATGCATCGCGAAGGCAAACGGATACGCGGGGCCTCCATGCCTGAAGACAGCCTCCCGGGCCTCTTCAGAAAGATTAGGGAAGAAAACAGGTCTGAGCTGAGTGTGCGGGTGGAAAGTTGGACGAGAGAGCTGCTCGCGGGGGAAATTTGCCAGATATGTGATAATATTGCTAGCAGCTGTGTTGGCTGGATGAAGGGCTGCAATGGCCTCGTAGAATGTTTGGGCTGCGCCTGAGGCGGCAAAGGTATCGTAAGCAGAGCGAGATTCCCACACTAAATGGAAAAATTAACTTTAAACATGTATAGGACAGTTGCGTGGTATTACTGGAAAATAGCACTGTCAGCTCAGGGTCGGACTGGACACGTCCCCAGGCGCTCCGACGATGACCACTGGCCTGGCGGATCGGTTCGATGGCATCTGCTTGGGGGCTAGTAGCATCCCGGAGATCAAGATCGTGGGGTACCCGGAAATGGATCCAGGATGAAAGGACCCAGCTGAAAGGCATAGCGGCACGGTTTGTGATTTTCTTGTGCCCAGTTGAAGCAGCTATGGAGGGACTCAGCACTTAGTTGGCGAACTAGTGTAGCGTAGCATTCCTACGCCTCCAGGCTACTTATTATTATACACGCTGTATGTCCATCCGACAACGCTAAGGGCCAGGGTGTTGCAGGGGTACAAGTCAATCAGAGCTATGCTTGGCGCCCATCCTAAAGAAGAAGATGGAAGACAGGAGGTTAGAACAGCGAGGTAACAACTCTTATATACCTGGAGGTCGTGGTGGGCGGTGATTACGGGATGGCGTATCGGGACGGGTAAAACTAACCGGAAAAGGGAATTCACAGGTCCTCGTTTTACACAGCAAACTCCCATCCAGTCATTTGTCGCTCGGAAAGACTTCTGTATCACGTAGACTCAATAGTACGAGCTACCTCTAGCCCAGAGTATCCGGAGTCTCGTTGACAAGCTTGGTCTCGATCGACAGAACGGGACTTTCAACGTCTCGAGGCTAGCCGGGCAACAAGTAGAGGAAGAGATGATATCTTGTACGTCAAGTAGTGTGATTAAGACTAAGCTAATCGTTTTTTCTTGAGAGTTGTGCTCCAGTGTACCTGTATAGAGCCCTTGTTCCTGCCAGGATACCTTCGTGTAAAATGTTTCAATACCTCCGACCAAGTGAGGCTCTGTTCTTCCCTAAGCTCCACCAACAGATGATCTTCCTCCACAGACCATGGCTTTCCTTTTCTCGAAGAACTCTGTGCATCAACAGGTTCGGGAATGGAGTTCAGACGTTCATTATCGCATGTCATGACTGTATCCTTGTTTGAACTTGATGCGGATGTGGTATCAGTGCCTGTACATGTTGGAACACAGTGTTGTAAAGCACTTTCAAATAGCCAAGACAAGAATCGCAGTCGATCCTCGACTGACATTGCTGAGAACTGAGAACGAAGCATAGGAAAAGAAGGCTTTTTGCACCGGCTAGGTCCTTTGTTGGGAACACGACCGGAGCCATTCCCAGTAAGTCTCCTGGTATTCAATCGTTTCGCCACTCTACAGCGCTGTTGATTAAGCGTCACCGTGTCCTCAACATCATGCAGGCTTGACTGGGATGGCGCATCTCCACTAGGGGAACGAGGGCCCTGTGAAGGACAACTGTCTGCATGAGCAGGTAAACTTGTTGCATTGCTAGCAATATTTCCCGTTGCTTGTATCTGCTCAGCACCTGGACAAGTATCGGACAAGATCGCGGGATCCATTGTTTCAGTGTTTGGTAATTCTCGATTCCGGACAGGGCTCTTAGCGTCAGAAGCTCGAGGGTGCTGATCGGCAGTTCCTACTGGTTCTGAGTCGCCTAGTTCAAGACCGGGGGATGGGAAATCGAGTCGCGCGCCACTATCGAAGCAATCCTCCACCGGCCATCGGGCAGGAAGTGGATGCCGCTCGGGTTTGTAGGAGTAAACCCTCGGAACCGTTGTGACGGTGTCGTTCGGATTGGGGGATAGTGGGGTGATAGTAATGGAGACGGGACTTGGATAACGATAAATATTAAGAATTTGGCCGTAGCGATGCTTGTGATGAATCCCATGGTTTTGATGAGACACGGCTCTGTCATCCACGACTGGTTGGTGGAAACTGCGCTTTTTCGAGGCCAGAGATGGGCTAACCCAGAGTCCTCATAGGCACCTTGCAGGTTCACCAAGTTCTGGTCAGTCGGTTTTTGAGGTTGGTCATTGTGTTGTCGTTATATGTTGAGGGATTACCACAGCAAAGAGCCCTTGTCCCACCCCATGAGCACCAGTTATCTGTCACCAGCAAGAGCTTACCAGGTGGGCATGTCCCTGAGCACTTGCGACTGTTTGATGGCGGTGGGTCCTGGTCCCCTTTAATATAGCAGGTGCAGCTAGTCCAAGGGGAAGGGTCGGTGCAGCAAATACTTTCAGATTGGACTCTTTGTAATAAAAGTCGCAAGGTTGTGTCACCAGTATTGCTATGGGCAATAAGAAGAGGCATGTCAGATGGACATGAGTTGTCACGCGAGCAAAGTGACGCGGTTCCTTTCCATACTATTTTCGATGTTTCCTTAGTTTCATCATCAAGCAATGTGGGGGCGCTTCCATTTCTACACAAAAAACATGGCCGCCAAGATCCTCGTTGAGTCTATCTCGGAGGGCAGCGTCCTTGATTACTTGGTTCCCAGATGCGGTAAGACCGAAATGTACACGCATATCTCTGGGCGTCATCTTCACGATCTTGGTCCTGTCACAGAATCGGCAACTCTCTTCCTCGTCCCTTTCGCTGTCGTCTGAGGGAGCATCGCATTCCGTGGTGCTCTCGCTGATATGGCTGTAATTTGCTCTGGACAATATATCATTGAGTGAATCCGATCTCAGGTACTTCGGCGCCAATCTTGGCCATTTTTCTTTCAGTTATTCCAGATAATTCGGTATCTTTGACCCTTTCAAAGCATGCTCCGTCTCCAATTTCGATAAAGCTGTTAGCAGCGAGCTTGGAGGGTCGTTCAGAGAATCGGTCCGCTCGAAGGTACCGCCTTCTTTCGCCTTGCCAAAATCCCATTGCACCACACCAGGGAACTAGGGTGCTGGTGTCCTGACCACCACATCGCCAAGTCAAACCTTAGTCGGGATACCTCCACCAATGCCAACCATCAGGCCGAACTTGATGGACGAAAAAGTGGATATCATCCAGGCAGCAACGGTCGCTGCCTGATTTTGGCTGATCAGTCCTCTCGGTAGGCAAGTTATGACAACGTTGTGGCCGCTAATGGATCTCAAGAGTATACGTGTTGGGGTCATTCGGCGGCTTCTGGAGATCGGCATGTCTTTGATCCAGCATAGCGTAGCCGCGGTCTGCTCTTTCGGAAGAGCGCAGACCCATCCCGCGGCGTATTCCTTACCGGCTATGGGCTCGGCAGGTGTCTGCGCAGCCATTGCGGAAAGATTTGGCTGGGTCTTCAAGAGAACAAAAGCGGAATTGGGTGCAATAGCATCATTCCCCAGGTCCCAATTTTTCGACGTAACAAAAAGGTGTTGCTTTCTGTCGAATCCTGGTGGGGGATTGATCCGCCACTAATTACCCAAGTGGCAATGGTGGTGTATCATCAAGATCACAAGATAGAAGAAGTCTGACGTTCTGAGGATATTTTGGCTATCTCTTTAATAGTATAGAACGCATAATAAGCGAAATAAGCACATAATAACAAAAATGTGGAAATACAAAAGCAGTTTAGTGCTGACAAACTTTTTTTATGCATAGACCTACCATGCTGGCATTCGACACTTTCCCCCGCTGATCTTCCGGATCCACAATCCCTTAGATCCTCGAATAATCACCCCCAACCCCGGCATCTCCAGTCCTCCTCTACGGCATCTTCAGTGTGGGGAGTAGCGTGCCTTGATTTCCAGAGGTAAGCGGCTAGGGCCACCCCACCTGCCCGAAGCTGTATCATGATCGAGGAAGTAACCTTTCGCTAACGCTTCCAGTAATCCAGATTCTTTTTCGTGGGGTTTTCGATATATGTCGTTCTTCGTGCGACCTTTGATGTCTTCTAGGCCTCCTCCTATGCCTCCTTGGCCTCCTTCCGGATACGCGCCTTCGCGGCTGCTCCTAGCCACAGCCGGCGGCAATAACTGATCTCGTGGTGAGCATGACTCGCGTCGTGTACTGCTTGAGACACCCTCTCTCATCCACTTGTCTCGCCCTTCACTCGATCATCAACGCTGCTGGCATTTGCAATCTTGCAAATCCCCAATTTCAAACCCCCAATCTCCCCAAACTGTACCAAATCACCACGGCGGTGAGTTGACTACTGCGTTATGTTTGTTTACTGCTTGCCATCCCTAAGTAGAGATGGCAAGCACACTTACGGGCGTACTACGACCTCGTAGGCCCCCGGGTCAAACCATCAAAGATGATTGACCAAAATTAGTGACCGGTTAACTTTGCTTTATGCTATTTTCTACTCTTTTGTTTTTTGATTGATACCTTCCAAATTTGCAAGTTCCGTGCGCTTGAGTCAACACGATGTGGTCGTTCCTGCCGATTATACGCAGGAGAAAGAAAGAGCGACTTCTCCGCGAGCCAACTCAAAGGCCTTTTCCACCATCATCATCCTCTCTTCAAGATTCCTACCCAGAGACTTTCCCTTTCACCCAGGGATCCTTTTGACTTTTCACTTGAAAAACTCAGTTTCATGACCTCATGCCTAAGAACAAACGTAACGTGACCTCTGGAAGAGGTGAACGGAAGCCGCTGCGTCGGGCCGGAAATCCCAGGGCCGGAAAACCCGAGGGCCCTCAGGTCAGTACGTATCATCTTTACGTATGACTTAACTAACACATCCCTGGCATAGCAGCAGCACCCGCAAGACATTCAATTCGTTGTCTCGGGCATCCTGACCAACGAAAATACGATTGAAGATCAGAGAGCCAAGATCACCGATGAAGCAAACCAAGCCACACAGCACACCGTTCAGAATCATCTGATCATGGCCAATGAACATGGCAAACTTCTTTTCGAGTCGCTGGTACAGCTGAAGGAAGAAGTCAGCGAGCTTCACGAAGAAGCCAGCCGGCTTCGCGAAGAAGTCAGCCGGCTTCGCGAAGAGCTAAACGACGTCAAAACAACACTCAGTGAAGTCCGAGAATCATTGGTGAATGTCAGAGAGCGAAACTACCTCACGTTTTTACGTGATCATGTTACCGGGTTCTCCAAAACAAACAAAGATCGTATCCAGACCTTGAATTCGTCAACGGTTCATGGTGGTGACGCTCTGCTAGATGCTTTTATGTTCCTGTCACGACGAGAGGACTCTCCAGAAGAGAGACGCCTCTTCCGACGGATCTATGGCCTAGATGCTGAAAAGCTCCAAGAACTTCGTGAGTTCTGTCCACTAAACCCAAGGGAACTATAGCTGACAGGACTCATAAACTAGGGTCCGCTGCACATCCGTCTATTCTCCGTGTGTTGAACACTGTTGGCTACGCCCATCTTTCGGGTAGAATCGCCCTCAGGGAGGAAAAGCTGGAGACAACATTCGACAGGATCGTGGAGCTGATGGAAAGTGGTGAGTCCGAGGAGGCAGAGAGGCTTGCGAGCGCACTCTCTTCGAGCGACTTCGCCTACCAATTCAATGAGTAGGAACCTGGATGACATGGCCTCGATTCTCTAGCTTCTTGCGTGTTTCACTGCTTGTATTATCAGCTTCTTGGGTCCACAGCAGCCATTTTTAGCTCCTTGTGTGTTGTATTATCAGCTTCCTGGGTCCACAACAACCATTTTTAGCTTCTTGTGTGTTGTATTATCAGCTTCTTGGGTCCACAACAACCATTTTTAGCTCCTTGTGTGTCTCTGTAAAATCAACATATCCGTATTCGTAGGAGAACTTTACACCTTTCTTATCCCTCAAGTCTGTCTCGGTCCATTCTAGATGGAGACCAATCTCAGCAAGCGCTCTTAAATAGCGTCTATGGGTTGACGCCCACCCACCCTCCTCTCTCTGTCTCCTCCACCCTCCTTCGCTCTCTCGCCTCTCACATCCTGCAACTTAACTCGAACGCTCGCCAACGCAACTCCGTGATCTAGGACCTGTAACTTGTCTTTCGTTCGATGATTTGCCTTTTGTAAACCACTCTACTTATCACTCTTTGTCGCTTCGGTTCTTCAACTCTTGGCTTCATATCGACACTTGTACCAAGGCATCATCGGCAATGAGAGAGCTGAATACCGCGCCAAAGAAGCTGCTGAAGCTGATATCCAGCCACCACACCCTAGCAACCCTGACAACCACAACCGTTATATCCAACTAGCGTCTGCGGCGAAACGTCGTATCCGGCAGGACGCCATGACCGCATGTGACCGCGCGTGGGAGAAAGAGAGGGCAGGCAGGGCGACGAAGAAGCTACTCGAGGCGCCAACGAGGAAAGTCCTCAAATTCTGGGATGGTCAGCGGCGTGCATCATCCTCTATTATGTTGCAAATCCGCACTGGCATCATCGGTCTCAATCAATATCTCTCGAAAGACCAGGAAACCTCCACACCGCTCGTGATCCCTTCCACCCGCGCTCTTCTATCCGATAATATCTCGCACTTCGTCCTTACTCCAAATAATGCAACTGCGGTTATGAACGTGGCGTCTACTCAGGATCGTCATGAGGCTCTCCTACGATCGCGGACCTCCGCACGGACTTTTTGGAGAAAGCTTTGTGGCTTGATCAGTTCGGAACGAGAACCGGCGCAGGCGTCCACGGGAGACAGCCCCAGGAGCACCAAGACCGACATGAAAGCTACCGTTATAGAGGGCTACCTAGAAAAGATAACATCGATGCCTCCCTCGCCAGAGATCTTGGAACGATCGATGCAACTATTCAGTTCTCTGCGTCTATGGAGAAGCTTGACAACTGCTACAGAGATTGGAAACGCCAAGCTGATGAGAGGTCGAGTGCGTTCCTGGATCGCACAGCTGCTCGATTTGTGGCTGCACCCGTTTGTTTCCTACACCTATCTTATTCTTCTTCTCTACACCTCCTCCCACCTCTTCCTACAACCTCTCTTCCCTTCTTCACTCATTCTGGTGGGGAGAGGACAGCTTCACTTAGCCACTTGGGTCATGCAGAGCCTATCAACCGTGTGTGTGAGTGGTCCCCAGAGAGAAAGCCCAATACAGCACTGACCACTAGATACAGGAGACTTGGGTGCGTTTCGATGCACTTGATAATTTTCTAGGCCTCGCATGCGATCTGTCTTCTTGTGTCTTGATAGTCAGCACAGGAAGATAGTCTTCACTCATAGACTATCACCCCACGGGCGTACTACGACCTCGTAGGCCCCCGGGTTAAGTCATCCATGATGATTTGACCAAAATAAGTTACCGGTAGTCTTTGTTTTACTCAATTTGATGGCTTCATGTGATGGCTGCTTTGTTGCCTAAATCACTTTATTCGCTACTCGCCAACCTATTCCCTCTCCCTCTCCTTCTTCTATCATCTCTCTCTCTCTCTCTCCCCACCTTCTATTCTACTTCACCACTCATCCATCTCCACCATCCATCTCCACCATCCATCTCCACCACTCATTCATCTTCTACCCCCTCTCTCTTTCTTCTATCTCACCTTCTCACCTTCCACCTCGCATCTCGTTTTCACCGCTCCACCCCGTCTTCCACCGACCTGTGCAAAATTCAGACTCAGGAATTCTTTCACTCGGTGAGTCAAAATGCCTTGACATCCATGCCTGGACATCCATGCCTTGGTATCCGCTCTAACCTCGAGTCAGAAGTCATCATGGAGGAGTATGGTGAAGACTTCGTCGGGTATTCTGCCGAAACAAAACCAGACAACATGCAGAAGAATCCATGGCTTCAGTCTCTGAGATCCAGGAAGCTGATAGACTACATCGTCGGCCAGGCTCGCCTTGTAGGCCTGAGTGATGAATTAATTGGTACTTTCCGCATCGACAAGATGAACCCGGGAATTACATGGACCTTGACATTCTTCCACGATTTCGAGAACCCATTCATCGAACTTGAAGCCCAGATTCGAACTGCCGAAGAAGATGGTCACTTCAACAGTCAATGGCCTTCTCAAGAAGCATCTTTCAAAATCTTCCGTGAAAATATCAAAGGCTTCGAGGTTAAGAAAGTGATTATGGACAACAGCAGTGACAAGGTATAGTCAAAGGCATCTTTTCTTTCTATTATTAGCACTAATCTTTATGATATAGGCTCCTGGTCCTCTTCGTTCTATTCGTGACCGAATGACCGATCCGAATGACCAAAATCTACTTATCGCCCCGGCTAGTCTCGTCGAGAATCAACCTGATACACAAGAATACATCCTGAATGGCGAGATGTGGTGTTTGTTAATTAAGCTCGTCAAACAGAGCGAGGTGTCACGTCAAGGTGCCGGCCTTTTTCGCGAACGTGACTACCGTGGACTGACGAACACGATGAACAACATTCGAGATCACTTGCATGAAACCGAGGCCATCTGTATGTTTGTCCGTACCAACATACTTGAGAGTCGCCTCAGGCAAATCATCGCTGGTCTCCAAACCCAAGTGAATCATCCTTATGGTCCGTTCTTCGGTGATCATCCAACAAAGCCATTTCTCCAAATTGGTCAACTCAATCTCAGCCCGCCGCAGGTCACATCCCAGGCGACTCTGTCATTCCACGATATTGATGAGTATATCGTCAAGACTGGTTACGGAACGGTTATTGAAAATGATCTGGAGCAGCAATCCACTGGTGTTGGAGAGGCCATCCAGTGCGACTTGGTTACAGTACTTCCTCCTGGAGTCTCTACCGACAGCTCTCCAAATGAACTATTGGGCTTTCTGACTATACCAGAAGGATACTCCATTCCTCAACCTGGTGAAAAATTCTCTCTCTTGTTCTCGAAATTCAACGCCGCAACTCCTCAGGCTTCATGGGATGTCCAAGAGCAAACCTCCACTCTACACGATTCGCCTAAGCGCAAGACCACGGAAGACTGGGGAGAGGCCACTACCACGGACAACGCCCCTGATCCAAATGTCAACCCTGTGGAGACTGTGAAGCATGCTGATCTCCACGGAGAGCCTACCGTCACCGAGGAACAGTACCAGACTCAATCTCCTCTTGAATTCGATAACGTGCCCCAGGAAGCTAATGAATGCTCATGGGAACATAGCTGGCGATGTACAGTGTTGACACCCGCTCCATTGGAACCTGACAGCACGGTGACGATCTGTATGCGCCGTGGTTTTAACAAGGAGACTAACCAGCCATGTATCTCTGAAGATGGTCATGAACCTCGTCCAATTACCCTGAAGACCAACGATCCGAAGCTCGACTTACACGATGTCTTGTCTAAAGAGCAAACCCACGAATGTCGGATCAACAGAATCAACAGCCAGAAGCCATACAGACAGCAGATCGCGGCTTGTTTTGGGTTGGTCAAGTATGCAGGTTCTATTCACCAGACCTTGCTCGCAAACAATACCATGAACTTGCCAGAAGTGGACGTCTACCAATCGATCGCTCCTGAAAACTTGGTCCAATACGCAAATCGGGTCAAAAAGGATGGATCCATGAACAAAGAACAGCTTTCGGTCTTCGAGAAGTTCCAGAAGCTACGGGGTCGGATCGGGGTTGTTCAAGGGCCACCTGGAACAGGCAAGACGTACACACTGGCAAGATGTGTGTTGTCTTTCCTTCTCTATCCCAAGAAGGATGTGAACCCAGATGAAACTCCTGAGGTGTTTGATCGCACTAAGATCCCTGATGCAAAGCGCACTCACCCTGCTCGGCATCAAGTTCTTCTGGTTGCTCCGACTAACGCCGCCGCCGACCACCTTGCCCAGTCACTGAATGATATCATCGAGAAGCACTCAGATGAATTTAGCAGTGGAAAGCCCAAAGTCGTCCGGGTTTATCCTATTAATGCAGAGAAGGATTCATACTATAGACCCGATGCAGCTCTCCCTTTCATCGATGAAGCGACCGTGACCAATGCAGATGTCGAGCAAGATCTGCAGACTGAGATGGTCTACAAGTTGTTCATGGATTACTACGCCGAGAACAAGCCTAGTCGTGAAGTAACCAGAAGCTCAGCTTCGCGCATCACTTTGCACGAGTTGAGTCTTGGCCATCAGATCATTGAGTTTGCTAAGAATGACGCGCGGTGGGACCCTTGGCTTGTGCAGCGCGATCAATTGGCGAAGGGAGACCTCGATAGTCAGCAGAAGCCAGACTATTTAGCCTATGGCAAATACATGCTGCAGCAAGTGCTTGTGGACTCAGACATCGTTGTCTGTACCTAATTCTCGGCTGGTCAGAACATTATCCGCGAAGTGATCAGTCCCGACGCCATTTTCATTGACGAAGCCGCTATGACGAAGGAAACCGACCTTTGGCCCCTGTACACTTTCTACAGATCTGTTCCACTGTTGCTCTTCGGTGATCATCATCAATTGCAGTCGATCATTAAGAGTAACCCGGAAACAAATCAATTCTACAGGCAATTGCAACTGTCGCCGTTTGCTCGCTTCGTGTATGCTGGCTTGCTCGTGGAGCTTCTTCGTGAACAGCACCGCATGGCTCCTGACATTTCTGATATCGTGAATCGGATCTTCTACGCCAATCAACTTCGTGATGCAATAGAAGTGACTCTCCCGCACAACCAAATGGCTCAGAAAATCCTGGAGTGGAACAAAACTGACCGCATCTCCTGTAACTCGAACGCCATCTTTGTGGATGTCCGTGATGCAAGTCCCGGGAAGATTGGGTATTCCATCTTTAACAACACGTTTGCGGAACAGGGTATCTCCCTCTGTCGAGCATTGCTTCGCGGAAGTATCCTCAACCCGAAAGACATTGTGATCCTTACCCCATATGAAGCTCAATACCGCCTTTATCAGCGGCTGCTGGTCCAGGCTCACTTGCAATCTCCACAGCTTGGTTTCAATCAAGTCGATGTGCGCAAAGTGGATTCTTTCCAGGGCCAGGAAAGTTCAGTCGTGATCCTCGATGTTACGTTCACTGAGAAGCTCGGATTCATGTCCGTTCCGAACAGATGGAATGTGGCGCTCAGCCGAGCTCGCAAAGCATTATATGTGCTCTGCGACCGTTCGGGCATCGGTAAAAAGGGCAGTCGTGTTTACTGTGTCTCTGAGCTAATCAAAATCGTCAATAACAAGCAGCTGTGGGTCAAATCCCAGCAGCGGCTAATGACCAAGGGGAAGCGCGGCGCTGAACTCGCAGAGGAACAAAGGGCATGGAAAAAAAAGTCGAAATCGAGGCAATGGAAACCGCCTTTGAACCGACAAGCGCCTTTGGAAAGATTCCTATTCGGTTCATCCAGGATACATCTTGATTAGGGCGAGGTCTCTGAATTTGTGCGCTGAGGGAAGGATATGGAGGAAGAGGGGGTGGAAAAACAAATATGTAAAAAAAAAAAAGTAAAAACTAACCAACACAAAAGCCAAAAAAAAATTAAAAACCACACAACCTCCAAAGTAATTACTAGCCAAAATAGAGAGCCGTCCAGAATCGCCTGCCAGCAGTTCTGTTAAATCTCCGAAAAACTGATGAGTCGTGAGCTCAAAAGTTATCAATCGGATTGGATCCGATCAGATAACAACGGGAACGGCTTTCCCCCTAGGTGGGAGAAATTATTTCCTCTAATATCGTCCCCCGCAGAGTTTGGGTGGATCCATAGGGTTGTATTATAGAGTCGGAAGATTCCACACCGCCTAAACAAGGCCGTAAGATCAGTACAAGACACAAGAAGATGAATATGCATCAGAATTGGATTCTTGGCTGGCAAATCAGATTGATGCGTGCATGTAACGGATGATGTTAAAAATAGATGGAGTGGGTGGGTAGCTTCTTGGCTCAACCGACCGAGACGGTGGGTGCTATCTCCAGACTTGCGCGGCCTGGCCGGCAGACGCTTCGCACAGTCACGGCGGCACTCGCCGCAGGTGGGCTTCGCATGGTCTCATTTGCGCTTCAATCGGAAGCAGCGGGCACAGGCTATATCTCGTGGTTTGAATGGATGCGACATAAGGATGTTGGGAGGCGAAGGAGAAGAGCGGAGTGCGGGGGAAAGCGGAGACTGCCAGTCGGGCTTTTGATACGGAGTATGGTTGCCGTTGATAAGAATTAGCAGATGGAGTGGGACAAAGTAAAGATAGTCAATCATGATGCGAACTTTTAGAGAGACATTGTCAGATTTGAATTAGGGAAAATAATTTTTTAACTTAACAGAACCTTAACGAAGCGCAAGAAAGGCCTAGGGGCGAATTATATTTTAGGATTAACTCGACGAAACTTCTATAGGGTGATTAGGAAAAAAGGGCGACAAAAACATACAACAGTTAGGATTCGCACGTGGTCACCCACCATACTACTAACTAACCGGCGTGTGGCTTAGATGCGGCCAGTAGTCGGGTGCCTGCCGCCTGGGTGAGAAATAGGTGAGAGCCGCTTTAGCATCGCGCGACCGGGGGTGAGAAGGGTGAGTGCGATATAGATGGGATGAGCAGCTGGGTGAGATCGTGTGAGAATCACCCTCCATCGTGCGACCACCGCACTGACGCCCTCTGCTGAACTTAGGTATCCCCTCGTCCGTCCGCGCCAGTTAAACTAGCGTGCTTTTTTAGCGCATACAACTAGTGTAGTAATGGCGCGTTCTTATTAGTTAAACGCGTCAAATCCTAGTAATCAGGCGTATTGGTGTAATTATTAAATTATGTAATATAGTTGCCCTAACTAACTAGAACTATGAAATTCATCCCAACAGCGACTTTTTAGACAGAGAACCACATTACCACACTGTAAGCAGCCAGATTTTGATCGTGGCGCTTGTAGACCCTTTATTTCACCTTTCTTTCTCTTATACTGACACCATATACAGGCTTGTAGCCTATTTAGTTGAACTCGCTAGTGGTTAGGTGTTATAGGACCTGCGTACGAAGTCCTGATATTGTTATACTCAGCTGAAGCTTTGTGACCGCCTTTCGTTCTGCCATATTTACCCACATATCTTGTTTCCCCTTTTTCCCCTTCTTTCTTTCTTTCCTTAATGAATCCTTCTTGTGCATAGGACATACCATCAATTGACATAATTTGGTCTGATCCCTAACAGGGCAACTCAGCAATGATTTCATCAAGCTTGCGTTTAGTGCCTAATAATAGAATTAATAGAAGATATTAATAGAATTCTAGGCTAAAGCACTAGGGTAAATACCTTTTGCCATGATTTAGTAGACCAAGTTTGATAGTTAGTTTGATAGAAGTAGGGAAGTTGGATTAATAGAAGTAGGGAGAGAAATTGCTATTAACGCGTTTAAAAAACGACGCGTTGATGACTTAGTAGATAGTGGAGCCTAACTATCCAATAAGAGCTCATATATTTTAGTATTACCTACTAATGGTTAGAATAATACACTAACTGAAACCACGCTAATTTAACTGGCGTGGACGGACGAGGGGATAACATTATTGGTTCACCTCGATGTTCATAAAACCACAGTCTCTTGGCGTCTGCAAATACGGTCAGATTTCAGGCCTGGATTGGCCTAATCAGCGGCGAGGCTGACTTCAATGTTTGCTTGGGCAAAGTGCTCCTAGCACCCAGACGCATATACCTTCTCGTGACTACCAACGTCTTGTGTCTCATTATCTCAGACCTCGGGCTGGGCAGCAGCCTTCACTCCGATATTTAAGCCTAGCGAGGTCGTCACGTGTGGTTCTAAACTCTGCGCGGTCGCACGTGCGAACCAAGCGTACCGCACGTACAACTGACGAAGCCCCATCCATCTAACAACTTCGGTTATATGCAAGGTCGCCATTCTGATCCTGACAAATAGTAACGACTTAGTATTCCGGGTAGTAGTAAATCCAAAGGATCAAGAGACTAAACCTTGCCCTCATATATAAGTGTGGGCGACTATTTATCATAGATGTTACTACCTAAAGAGGTGAGTTCGACGCCAACTGTTATGGAGAATCGCCTTAACGCTAAATTTCGCCCCCGCAACTAGGTTTCAGGTGCCAATGGGGAATACGTCAATACGCACCTGTTGGAGTTGGGTGAGCCTTCGCCTAAAATTGCTTTAACCGCCGTGTCTCAGACCACCACTAGTCGCTCGTTAAAAGTGCGAGTTATCTAGGGTAAATCAACTCCCCCGGAGCACTTTTCTCTCACTCTTGGTCAAAAACCCTTCCCATTTTGTTATGTGCATTTAATATCTATTGCCCTCCTTCGAATTGAATTAGGTTTTTTAGACAACCCCCAATAGAAAATGGGTCGCTTGAACACCCTCCTCCTCCTCTGTTGCCTGTCATGGACGGCCGTCGCCCAGCAGGCCAGCTCTTCGGCCCCGGTTCCAATCACTGGCGTGATGTCAGCCGTGAATACTCAAACTGGCGAGCGACCTTCGCGACTGCACATTGCCGATTTGCAGAAGAAGGGTGGAGCGCCCTGGTATGTCACTTTAAAGTGGTGTTGCCCCCAAAACCTTGCTTAATCGCTATGTATGTTAGGGATCTCTACATCCAGGCCATCTCAGCTTTCCAGGCTATGCCTGAGGATCAGGAAAACTCCTGGTTCCAAGTCCTGGGTAAAACCTTTCCAGATGACAACTACGCTGCGGATCCTATATTGACCCGTGCTTTATAGGTATCCATGGTCTTCCCTTTGAGTCATGGAACGGCGTCGGAAATGTCAAGGGCGCCGCCGTCACTGGCTACTGCCCTCATAACGTACGATATCCATAATTGTATGCAATTCCATCTATTAGCTAACCCGTTCACACGAACAGGAGGTCCTCTTTGGCTCGTGGCACCGACCCTACGTGGCGTTGTTTGAGGTACGCCAAGAGCTCCAAGTCACACCAAGGCCAAAGAATGCATGGGTCCCGATATTGACATTATGACTATATAGCAAGAGGTCATTAGTCACGCCCAGGCAATCGCCAACCAGTACACCGGCTCCCAGAAGGCCAAATACGTCAATGCCGCGCAGTCGCTGCGCATTCCCTTCTGGGACTGGGCCGTCAGCCCCAAACTCCCTGAGGTGCTCTCCGAAAGCCAGATCACCGTGAACACCCCCACCGGCAAGAAGACGATCCGTAACCCTCTTCAGAGCTACAAGTTCCAGAACTGGCCCTTCAAGTACCCTTACTTTGGTGGCAGCATCGGCCAGTATCCCCACACCATGCGTTGCCCGAGCACCACGAATAGCAAGGCCGTGTCTCAACCTAGCGCTGTTAACGCCAATCTGGCCAAGGATGCCTCCTACCTCAAGAGCGCTGTCGTTAGTATCCTGTATCTACCACGACGCTGCAAAGCCATCCGCTAACAACTCCCAGTACAATGTCTTCACTAGGGCTGGTTCCTATGCTGAAATGGTCACAGACAGCCAGGGAGGATACAACTTCGAGAGCCCTCACAACAACATTCACGTCGACATTGGATGCAGCAACCCCATGGGCCATATGACTAACCTGGGTTGGTCGGCCTTTGATCCTGTCTTCATGCTCCACCATGCCAACGTCGATCGCCTCGTCGCCATGTGGCAGGCTACTCACCCTAACAACCAAATGTTTCAAAACTCGTTCAAGCTCGGCTCTTCCTTATGGGGTAGCGCCAAGGGCATGACCTACACTGAAGATTACGTTCTGAAGCCCTTCTACAAGCCGGGAGGCTCCCAGATGTGGACCAGCCGTGAGGTTGTCTCCACCCGCACCTTCGGCTATACTTACCCGGAGCTTCCGGACTGGACGATGTCCTCCACCCAGCTGCAGCGGCATGTGACCTCTGTGGTCAACAATCTGTACGGCGCCTCAACTTCCGTGTCCAAGCGGTCCATGGATGCCCAGCCTGAGACATTGACTCAATATGTGCTGAAAATCGCGGTTGATCGATCCGATTTCGAGGGCCCTGCCATGATCAAATTGTTCTTCAATGGCTCTTTCTCCGGATCCATGTCTCTCCTAACCATGCCCATGAGCGAAGATTCGTCTATGGGTGGTATGAGCTATGCCAATATGCCACTGCAGGGACTGACCGGCGTGGACGGTTTGGGAGCTGTGGGTGAAGGCCCTCTGGCCTTTACCACCTCTGCCTTGTCCTCGGTTGCTGAATTCTTCAGCAAAGCTCTCAGCTTTAATATTCAGAATGTATGTCTTCATGAAACCAAGTGTCTTCCCATCTCAATACTTGCCCCTTTACTTTCCCTTCACCCTCCCTTGTGGCCCACTGAGATTTTCTGACAAAATCTTGTAGGGTAACGGATCTGCTCTGTTTCCTGGTGATGTTCCCAGCCTCACCATGGCCCTCGAAGTCCTTCACGTCGTCCCAGCTGCCAGCGTCTTCGAATTCCCTACTGTCTCGAAAGCCAAAACTATTCCGCTGGACATCCCTAGCCTCTTCGAGTCACTCTGAAGCTGGCCAGCTGTGTTTGAACATATCTACCGTACATATTGAATGAAGAGTGCGCCATGTTTATAATATCCTTCCGGTTATACCCTCCTGCATATCTTTTTTTGTTCTGCTTCTTCCTTCTGCTTTGAAGGCCGCTCGAATATATCAAACTCGCTCCCACTATCTGATTCTTTCCCATAGCTATCCATTGCAGAGGATGGCACAGACCCCTTTTCGTGATCAGATGGAATGAAATCACTCGGATTACACAGACTTTGAGCGACGGACACTGTTTGGCTTGCTTCACTGTGCGCCAGAGGTCTTCGCCGCGCAGCTGAGATCCTTTTCCTACTGGGCAGATGAACAAACTCGCGTCGGCTTCGTTCAGCCACCCGCGGAGTCCGAAGAAGTAAACGGGTATCTGTAGCCTCTCTATCTTGTGAGGAACTACCAAAGGCAAGGTCGGCCCCTCCGTCCGGTCTCGTCGATGTGATCATCACCTTGAGTTTCTTTTGCTCCAAAGCTTCTGGAGCAGATAGATCCTTGAATCGGTCGACCAGCATCCTAAAGTCTCCATTCACATTTGCGGCTCTTGTCCAGTCAATACCCTCCACCACAATATAGACAAGGTCAAAACGAACAACTCGGAAACATTCAAGGAAGATTCGCCATGAGATGTCAAGGTCAGACTTCGCTGCAATAAAGATCTCCGCATTAAAAAGCTCCCGATCACCCTTCTCGAGCACTTCCGGGAATAGGTGCAGAAGATGAAACAAGAGTCTCTGCACCAGTGCACGAGGGCTCCCTATCGACTCTATGCCTGCATGCAGACCACAAAAGTTGTAAAGCACTCCGCATCCTGTCGTCATTGCTGCCTGAACAATATTCAGAGCAAATTCCGTCGCCCAACTTGAGTGTCCGGGGACCTGGTATCCGTCAATCCGTAACATACCGGACTCCTCTCTTTCCTTCAGCGTCTACATTTTTCATACCAGGAGTCTTATCAATTGCTGCCTCGACATTTTTGATGGCCTAGTCAACGTGTTTAGTAGTGCCATTGAGAGACCACTTCAGCTTTTTCAAATATCGCGAAGTAGTTGAGAAAATACGAGACATAATTGAGCTTGAAAGACTAGGATAGTTCAGTTTTTAATAACCCATTTGTGTTGTGGATACGAAAGAGAGACTGTCATATTTCTGTTGCTTATCAGATAAAATATTATTTGTCCAGAGATTTAATCTTTGCTAGAACAGTCGTTATGCTATGGAGGGACACGCGCTGCTTATATACTGTAGCTTAGTCGCCAAAAGGAACATGAGCTCAAACCCACCCCGCGCCAAGAGGATTTTCTTTGGCGAATTGCAAGTTGCGTTGTAGCCATGAGAAATGTGTCTACGCTCTAATTTTGGCAACGCCTGCGGCCGAAAGCTGTAGGCGCTTACGGTATTCCAATTTCCGCCAACGCATAGCCAATCGTAGGGTCAGTTAACGCTAGTTCATAATGCTAAATTAAAGGTATCTATTAAACCAATTGAGCGATCAATTTATAGCAAATAACCGATAGCCAAGTTCGCAGCGTCTGCCTTCCCACGCCCCTATTATGATTCTTTCATCCCACCATCCCTCTTTTAAGCACTTCCCTGACTTGACGCCCGTCTTTTTCACCCTCCCCGATTATTCAGGAAGGATATGTTTCTCCTATATATTGATAATTGCTAAACAATTCCCCAAGCTGAGCACTAATATCTTTCTCCCTAAGATTTAGAGATCGCTTAGAGCTCGCTCAGAACCCGCTTAAGGCCAGCTCTAAGTGCTTAGGGAGCGGCTAACCCCCTAATCTCAGAGCCGATCGCTACCTGAGGCGGCAGGTTTACCGTCACTATTATTACTCTATAACAACAAGGTAAGTTTACCAATCGTCTAACCACAAACCGTGACAGTTAGCAACGCGTAACGCTCCCCTCTTCAGTAAGAAATTCCAGCAATGAATTCCGATGGTGCGGCGCCGTTCCTGATCTGCACCAGCCTCATATCACAACAATTAGCTCGATAAATGGGGGTTAGCTGACTGAGATCAAATTTCAGATCATATCTCTCAACAAGATTCAGTTGCTTTGTGATGGTCTAAAAACAAAAGCGCTAGCGTATCTTCATCATACGATAAAGGCGCATGGCCTGTGAGGCCTCGGCATCATGCACCGGATTAGCTGTCTCCACTGCTTAGCAGCTCAAGGAACTGACGTGTTGGGAATAGACCTGTGTAAAGCACGACTTGACTGTAGCGCCATTCTGAAAGAGACTTACGTGCTTCTCGCTTCTAAGACAAGGGGTTTTGGACATACGCGACAAGAGGAGATCTCAAAAATTTAATGATATGAACCAACGGTAGTGTGAAGGCAGCCACTGGACTTTCCTGGGAATAGAAATGTATGAATCACCGCTATCTCTCGAATCACGTTCCCATGGTCGGCGATTTGCGCCTTAACCAAAAAGGTCCATACTTCGCTGTGGTCTCGCGTCATAGTATATGTTGACGTCATTTGTGACTATCTGTTTGAATGTACCTATGGCATGGAGGACGTTAACACGCAGACCTTTATTATGACATTACTTTTCGTGATATCAAGCGACACAATAGCCATGTCTCAATTCCTACGCAAGATCAAAAATGCTGTAACAGGAAGCGGTGGAAAACCACGCAATGAGTTAAATGAGAGTCCCCAAAACCAGGAAAGTCACAAGGAACTTGAACCTCCCTGTAATAAATCACACTGTGAGTCAGAAGACTTTTTTTATCCCTTCTCATGGCTTGTTGACAACCTGAAGTCAAACGCGCTGTGCCGAAATCGTCCGCGTCCCTGCGTGGGCCCGGAGGGAGACAAGGCCACTTTGGCAGATCGAAATCTCTATCTCTCGCAGATGAATGGCACATGTCGCGTCGCTTAAAGAGAGTGACCTAGCTCGACAGCTACTACGGGGTCTCTGCTGGGCTCTGCGCTGATGCATACTTTGTTGAAGTGATTGGCTCCAAGGGTTGAACGCCCCCGCAATCAATTCTCGACAAAGGCCGCCGAGCCACAGCCTTCCTTACGCGACGCTATCTCATTATCTCTGACAAATTCTGAAGGTCTTCGTTTCGTCTTGCTCAAAATGGTACCTCGTCCAACATATCTCCAGGGCTTTCTAGCGGTACTCGAAGTGTTCGATCTTGCTGTTCCTCAGCGTGAACCACAAATCATATTTTCCATTCTCATCAACAATTGTATACAAGACCAGTCGTATGATGCTGTATCCAAGTAGCGAAAAGTTTCAGTTTTTTCATTTGGTAATAGCTGCTGCTGCCAGTCTCAAAGATTTCAGAAGAACTTACCCTCACGGGTGGACAAGACTCTCAATTAAAATCCTCTCTTTTCGGGCAGAAATATCATTCTAAGTGCTGAATGAATATTCAATGAGCTCAGATATCAACTACGTATTAAGTTAAGAGCTACGACTCATCTCCCTGCTGGCTGAGCTCACAGAATAATTTTTTTTAAGGCCACACGGATTATAGAGTGAACAGGCACGCTTAGACAATATTTCTCGGTATTAATTTTTCAATTACAAAAAGAATCAGGGCTGATTTGCAACAGACCATCCCTTCAGAGGTCGAATATCGTCTTCATTTTGCCGCGACGATATGTCTCCCGCACGGGGCAGCCACGATGAGCGTACACTTCCCACTCCTCGATCTCATGGCCTAAAGCAGAACCTTTCTCCTTTCGTTTCCCTTCTCTCCCTCCCCGAATCAGGTTTTTCGGTCGATAATTGGAGTTGACCTTCAAACGGCGAAGGGCAGAAACATGTATTGTAGCATCCTCAGGAATATCGCGTCTTTCCCCAAGAGGCAGAGGCCATCGGATCACTCTCCAAGATTGGTCCTTTTGCAAGAGCATTCTTCGGAGCGGAAGATATTCGATCATCTTCCACGATAAAATAACAGGCCATTTGGCACCATGATGATATTGCAGAAAATCATGTATTTCACCATGCGTGCTTGCCTTCCAAAGCGCGTATTCAAAGTCAGACCTTTCATCCGTCTTTCCGCTATTTTCCTTATTTTGATTTTTTCCCTCATGGACAGCCCTATTCCGTGAGAATTGTTGAGCGTTACCATCAATTGACTCATCTAAGCACCAGAATTGTTTCAGCTTTTCGGCATCAAAATGGAGCCCCGCTCGTTGCGCTTCAGTGACCATCCATACTAATGGAACATGGCTAAGCGCCCAGTCTTCCTTTTTGCTGTATCTTAACCCACCGCCAATATCCGCGTGACATCCAGGAAACCATACTTCTTCAATGCTCTGGCTTTTATCTCTGTACTCTCCACAAGAGCTAGCCTCGAGCATTAGTTCCGGCCACGAGGTCTCTTGTTCATTCGTTGACTGGCGATGGGAACGAAGTGCAGGCCGATAAAACCTATTTTGTAGGAACAGGCTCTGCTGAGAAGGAACCTTCAGTGTGGGTCTAGGATCTTGAGTCGCAGAAACCTGGTCAAATAAGCTGTCTTGGCGACTGGCGGATCGTAGATGTCGGGCCTGACGGCTATGCAATCTCGATCGAGCTGCTCGAGCAGAAATCGGATTGGAATTTGCCAACAAATCTTGTCGAAACTTAGCGCGATGCTCGTCAATACTAACCGCATGACGGATAGTCTTGGCAGTAGTTTTCGTCGAATAAGGGTATAAAAATCTGTTGCGATTCATCTCGAAGTGCGGTACGCTGTTGACGGTGTCAAATAAACCCAGAAAGTCGATTTGCGTTACAGGGCGACAGAATGTCTCTCGCAATGCCTTCATGTACTGGAAAACATCATCTTTCTCTTCCTGGCTAGTTTCCCTGCTATAATTGCATTGTGCCCACTTGGAAAAGACGGACCAGAGGAAACGGGTTTTCCCTTCATTTCCTGCCTCTAATAAGCCAATGTGGTCCAGCATTTCAGCAAGTAAGCGGGCAACATATGCGCCACGACTAAAGCCAATGAAGTAGATGCTGTCTCCAGGGGTGTAAGAGCGCATGAGATATCTATACCCACCCATGACATGTTCTTCGAAAGTAGAGCCGAAGGCGGCATCTTTTGCTTTTGTATACCATCTCGTCATAGGATTGGCATTGGTTTTGACTTCGTGGGGTCGAAAAATAAAGCCAGTATTCATCCCGATGCCAGGTTGATAATAATGCAGATGGTTTTTGTCATTGCGATCAAGCATCTGCGTTCGCGTAAGTCCCATGAAAGAAATTGATTCCTATTAAGCTCACATACTCGGTATATTTTGAGGACATTGCTATCTGTGTCGTCCCCACGAAATTCGTAACCTGTGCCGTCAAAGCATAGAACTATTTGCTTTGCGCCCGCAGCTTGATTCATGTCGTGAATTTGTCGATCTATTGCTAACTAGCTTGATGCAGAATGAAAAATAGTACATGGATCTAGTTCATTATTCCGCTACATTTGATTCTTTTTTTTTCACTCCAGAAAGTGATGTTATCATTGGAAAATAGTATCCACGGTTGGCATGAACCTGCAGCCGAGTTCAGCGTAACGCTTATCATGTTTGAGTTTGATTTGAATGGCCCACAATCTTGTACCAAGTGGAGCTACGATAAGTCAGCTTACGGATCAGCAGATCTACCCATAAGGTTCACCAAATGAAGCATCACAGTACTAGAGATCTCTCGTACAGTAGTGCAAAGGATAGAACGTAAAAATAAGGGGTTGTTTAATTTCTGAGGTAGATTCAAGAAAATCGAGTTTGTCATTAGGAAGTTCGAAGGGGAGGATGAAAGTTACTAGCGACATGGGAAAACGTCATTTTGGCCTAGACTCCTAGGGACATCAATAGGTGGCAGAGCGGTTAGCATCGGAGTAGGAGAAGGGCCAGAGGCACGATGAGAGCGGAAGGGGGTGAGCAACGGGGTGAGTGCTTAGGTTCCTCAGGTTCCGCTCAAAGGTCGCTCAGAGATCGCTCAGAGTGCTTAGGGGGCGGCTCAGCCCGTGATCTCTGAGCCGAGCGCTTCCCGAGAGGGTAGCCTTACCGTCACCATTATTACATAGCAAAACCCTTAGGTTTGTATGGCTAGCATTTAAATCTTAAGAGTACGAAATCTGTTTTGGATTTATAGATCTTGTCAAAAAGAACATAGAGATATTCTAGGCGATAGAGTACTCCTTATTAAATTTGTATTAGCTATATAACCTATTTAAAGACTATTGACCACAAATGTAGTATCGTTAGCATTGGGGTAGCATGTCACCCAAACCCCGCTTGTAGGTGATGGATGAAAAAGGTACGAAGCAGAAAATGTAGGTCTTATAGGCAGACAACCTCCTTACATTAATTATATATAAGAATAGACTAGTAAATAGAAGGCAAAACATCTTAGTAGTATTGTGTGTATAAACTATAGCATAAAAAATTCTAAGACCCTACCGAACAATACGGTAGTATAAAATTGACTCATCGATCACTATCGGGCAATGCCCTGAAACGAACGAAGTGAGAGAAATGGTTCTAATCAACACGGATGTACGTGCGCGCGTGACTGTGCAGAAAGACGTGGCTTAACTACGTACGGACTAGCACATGCGATCATTGGTTCTGCCTAGTGGATTTGGACAATAGGCTTCTCGCGCGACGGCTGGCTACTAGCGTCTTGCTCTAAAGATCAGACAGTGCGCCTTTGGGACATGGCGACGGGCGCGCTCCCTAGCTGACTCCCTACGCAAAAATGACCCTCAATTAGGTTTCTAAAGACATTTAGAATACCATAGGAAGCGCTTTTTCTGTAACAAGAATCGGCCGGATGGTGTAGTTGGTTATCACGTATCCTGCAGTGACGGTGAATTACGGGAAACAGTGTAGCGTTCCTGTTTGGGTTAAGCGTCGCCTTGATGCTTAAGCTTCCCATGCGTGTTCTATAAAGTCCTCCCGATCGCCGCTTCAATTTCTTGCTGTTTTTCGCCCTTTTGCCCGTCCTTCTTCCCGCCCCTGCTCTCCTCCTATTGGTGAGGCATTTATGCTATTGATCCATATCGCCGAGCTCCGCCACCCCCCATTCCCCCCTGCCTCCTAGCTCGAATCGACTGGTCCGCTGCGATCCCTCGTCCTGCTCCCGTTTCCTCCGTGATCTTACCGCTGCGCCCTTTAGATGAGGTATTTCTGCTCTTAGTCTAGAACACCGAGCTACATTTCCGTTACCCCCTAGACCAGACTTCTACTCGGTCATCGAATCTCCGGCATCCAGTTGTCCGCGCATCAAGTTGCACTTAGCTTAGGCTCTGGCATTGTGGCTTCGAGTCTGCCTTGGGCTAAGGATGGACGCTAACGAGGACGATGAGTGAGTAACTACGGTTGGGAGTGTGCCTTGCCCGCCTTGGGTAGTCTTGTCTAATTAGCTTTTTTGAGCCGTAAGACCGTTTCGACTGTGATCCGTATCGACCAATGGGTGCCTAATCTAGTTGGAAACAGCGTACGAGATGGTTATAGTGGCACTGTGGTCTTCCTCAAAAGACCCTGAGACCTCACGACGACCGCTTCGGGACTTTGGGACGGTTCCTAGGCCTAAACAGTCGCACGGCCACGTCGGATCGCATACGAACATCAAAGTCTCTTAGCCGAACGCGGTTGCTAATAGTCTAAGAGGCTATCCGTCCCCCCGGTCACCTAGTGCGCCTTTGTCTTCGCGTAGCACATCGTCTTCACGATCGATTCGCAGACGGGGCGAGATGAATGGGCGAACAGGGGTTTACTCCTGCAGCAATAGCGTCATGCGGACTCGGTGACGACAAGGGGGCTGTGGCTCCATGTTAGTCCGTTCTATGCGTTTCGGTACCTTCTTGGGTCCATGGAACGACTGGCGAACAGAGCTCTAATGGCTGCGCGTGCCGTTCTCTAGAAATAGCAACAGTGCTTTACTGAATAGTAACTGGTTTACGTGAGAGTCTACGAGACAAAGACGGTGATACTTCATCCTTTTACGATGACGGCAAGAATTAATGACGGCCATGTTGAGACTCCAGAACGGCCCCAGATCTGAGAAGGCGCAAGGCGACATCCTTGGACCTTGGTTCCCCTCGATCTATTCTTTTTTTCTCGTGGCACCGTTCGCAGTTCCCCAATCTACGCAGCCCCGGCCCTGACACCAAGTGCACCCTGTGACTAAGATCCTCTTTGCTTCACGATCGATTGGCAATGGGGATCAGTTGGATGAATAGGTTTTTGATGAAGGTGAGTGGGTGCCTGCGGTGTCAGCGCCCACCGCCGTTGTAGATAGACCTTTCCTTCTGGGATTCTAGGAATATCATCATCATCTCTCTCTCGGTTTCTTCTTCTGCTCTTCCTAGTGATCCCCGATTCCAGGTCTTTTGCCATGCCGGTCCCTGACTCCCCCTGAGCCACGACCGTCATCAGTTTTACTTCTGTAGCCACTGTGTCGCGCGGACTGGGATGACGGCAGGGCTTTTGCCTTACTGTTGGTTCTTCCTGCGAGTTTCGTCTTCTGTCTTAGGCCATGGAACGACTGGTAAGCAGAGCTCAACCAATTCGGTGGTGATACCACTGGGCGCAGACAGTGTGCGGACGCGCAGCTGTCTAGAAATAGCAACTAATGTTTACAGGCTGGCTATTGGATCAGATGGATGAGCAGGTCGTCCATTCGTGCGATAGTGCCCTACTCTGTGCGTTGGACAAGGTAGGAAACATAAGGTTGTTCAGCTTAAGAATCTTGTCTATCTGTTGTTTCTGGTTCTCAGGGACGTATTTATATTATTTCCCCTAAGGACGATTTTCTATATATGTAGAACGCTTACAAACCGACCCCTTTTCGCCATAATATCAAAATCTAGATAAGGACACGAACAAAACGCATGAATCGATCGTCGTAAGAGATGTGCACATGGGGACGGAGATCGTGGGCGGTGAAGCGCAATCGGATGATCAGGCCTTTGTATCAGAAGATTTGCTCGTCGTCACCAAAGATGGGATAGGTGAATTGAGGATGGAAGGTTGACAGCGTCTTCGGTTTCGCATCGCCCGGCTGCACGACCGTGATATGGAGCACATCGTTGGCGTCGCACGAGCCTGACAGGTAATTAGTCAGGATTTCATCGATCAAGATTGTAGAATAGCCTTACATCCGTCTTCGCTCGCCATGCTGGGTATGTGTGGACAGGTCTGGAGCGATTGCAAGGAAGAGCAAGGAAGGACGAGCGGCGCGCGTCTGACCGCGTCGGAGCTCAGTATTAATCGGAATTAGCGGCACTTTCCACTCTATGAAAGACATTTTATCTGAAGCTCGTGAAGATGTTCGCCTTTGTTCCTCTATGCTATTTGTATTTATTGACACTCCATTATTCGCTGCAGCTTCGCTTCTCGAGCTTGCTTCAATTTCGGTATCATCTCCAGCGCGTGCTGGATCCCCATCGTACTTCCAATCTTCTGGAGTCTTTGGACGACCCATTCGTGTACTTCATCCGGAGCTCCGGCTGCACCTCCGGCCACCGCCAATGGGAACATTAACATGAACACCTCATTCAACGGGAGCATGCGCGTCGCGGCTCTAACTGATAATCTGCAACCAAGGGCACCCATTTGGCTGGCGGCACTGGCGCAGATAAAGGTCGCCATCTGAGATATCGTATCCAATGCCAGCTGTCGCCGCCACAGATCTTGGACTGTCGTAGTTTTGGACCTTGAGAGGTAAGATAGAATCGTCTCGTTGACCATCAACCTTGCCCAAAAGTAATTGTTGAGATCTCTTGATGCCCACAAATCATCATACGCCACGTACTTCCCGTTGAATGTGTTTTGGGTGTCATTCGAATCCTTAACCACATAGGCCCACTTCTCTGGAAGTTCTTTCTCCCACTGATCTAGCTCTGACTCGAAAGCCAGAGCGGAATGTACTGCGGTTTCTGGGATAAGATCCGGATTTGTTCGGATGGACGAGTGTAGCCTCATAAAGCGGATTAATATGTCGATCAGACGGATGGCCGGCTGCTCATCAGGGTTCGATATCGAAATAGTATCGGGACTCCAATCAAGTAAGTCTGGCAGAGAATTTCCTTGGGCGATAAAATATTTCACGATGGAAACATAGTAGTATTGCAATTGCGGACGAGGTTGGAAGGTTTTCAGGGCCTGGTTGAAAGTGCTCTGCTTGAGCAGGGCTGCAGCACCATCAAGATGCACCGTCCACGAGTCGACTTGGTTGGGTGTGCAACTGACCATCTAACGGGCTCCGGTTAGTTCAAAGATAGAGAGGGGAGACAGTAGTCACAGCTCGGACGCACCTCGTACAGACCTAGCATCACAATTAGCCTCAACGTCTGTTCCGGATTGGCCCGCTCGGGATTTTCCACCGCTACACGGAGGCTGCTAATGGCCGCCGCATAGTTCTCTCTCGCCACGAGATGCAGGGCTCGGTCTCGCGTGACATTATATTTGGCAGCCAGGCCAACCGAGACGGCGGCATCTCGGACGGGTGGGTCCAGTAGTATCATCTCTGAAAAGGGTGAAACCTCTAGTTGAGGTGGCGCACGTTCTAGCATCGAAACTGCCGTTACAAATCGATGGAAGAAAAAGTTCAATCCTTGCTCCTCCACGCTGGATGAAACAACGGCTGGAATTGTTGGAAGGAAAACCACAAGAAGCTTTCTTTCCGACACTACAAGACGTGATTGAGATGTCACAGAGGGTTCCGGGCTAGAGGACGATTTCTCAGAGTCCAATAGCTTGCGCCTGGCTTTCGATCTAGATTCCGCGACTGCAGACCGTCGGACCGTTCGGTCATTCTCGTCACGGAACATAAGAGAGGTGACAACGCGATAGCCACCGCATGGTTTCCCCGCTCTTTTGCATTGCGAGCAGACGGGTTCGCTGCGGTCACACTAACAGACGGTGTTAGGGGAGACTTCGGGGATTACTTAAGGTTACTTGCCTTGATCCGCCTTTCACGACAGCTCTCGCAATTTTTGCTCGGTCGACCATAAAAGGGCATTGTTGCTTTGATGCAGGGGGGCTCATCTCGCTTTCTTTAAACGAGGACCAAAAAGGGTAAAAGAATCGTGGACGTCAGAAGTAGTCGATCGGGGTTCGAGGCTCAGTGCCGATCCGTGTCACCGTCGGCTGTGGATCACGGCTTCACGTGATTGGCTCTGCACCGCCCACTCGGCACGTGGCTCCGTGTTTCCTAATGGGGTATTCGTTTCGTCCGTTTCAGAGGATAATCGATAGCTCAAGGTTCTTATCAACCACTGTTTATTTCTCGTACGATCGTGGCTTAGCATGTTAAAAATATTCTCGGCCCAATTTTACGGAGGCGACTAGAGGGAGATATCTTGGAAAATGATCTATCATAGGTGGACGGGATAGGCGTTGCGCTGTGGTCGACAACGAATTCGTTTCCTTTTTGAGGAAGGTTAACTTTAAGCCATGATGAGTGAAATAGTAAGTCCGCCACCCGAGCACGGTAACTCCGTTCACCGTGTGCCGATCATCAGCTATATAATAGTCGCGGCCCAACTTGGAACCCCCAACAAGGGTCTCAGTCTTGATTGATACATTCCGAGTCTCCCTTGCCCAGGTGCAAAATTAATTGATTATGGCAGTGGATACTAGAGCCACGGGCGACGTCTCTCGATACGATTACAATCCATCACTAGCATTGGCCATTGTTGCTGCTGTTCTCTACAGTATCGCTTTTGTTTTGACTTTCATCCAATGGATCCGATACAAGGCGTGGGTGTGGGTGGTGATGGTCCTTGCTTCTGCAAGTGTGTACAAAATACTTCACCTTTCATCTGTCGATACTAACATAGTATCTAGTGGAGGCGGTTGGCTACATCGCCCGATGCATTTCCGTCCAGCATGTGACCAAGAAGCCCGTCTACGTCCTACAGTTCTCTCTCGTCATCCTGGCTCCAGTACTCATGGCAGCCTGCTGCTACATCCTATTCAGTCGCATCCTATTTCTGATAGTTCCCTGCGAGGAACGCACCTTCCGACTCTGCTGGGTCCCCCCGCGATGGATTACTCCGATCTTCGTTGGTTTTGATGTTGTTGCGCTCCTTCTCCAACTGGTTGGAGCTGTGATGGTAGCTTCCGTCAATCCCGGTGACAATGATTCGGCGAATAAGCTCAACCGGGGCAAGCACATTGCCCAAGGGGGTCTCGTTATCCAACTAGCGGCGTTTGGCTTCTTCTCGGTGGCTGCCGTTCGCTTCAACTTTACCTCTAAACGGTTCTCAAAGAGTATTCATGAACGCTACGAAAGCTTTGGAGAGAAACAGTATGTGATTGATGGGATTCCGAAGGACAAGCACTGGCCAGCCTTGCTACGGGTTGTGAATCTCACCACACTCTTGATCTTGGTAAGTGACCTATCTAATCTATTTTGGCTTAATTAACGAGTGAAAAGGTCCGTTCAATCTATCGTCTTGTCGAATTCACTCAGGGTGCAACAGGATATCTCAACAGTCACGAGTGGGCCATGTACGTCTTTGACGCATTGGTAATTTACCCCTGCGTCGCCCTTTTCGTCTACTGGCATCCGGGGAGGTATTTGCCCTACATGGGATTCCGGACGCCCAAGCAAGCTCGCTAGTGTGTGAGTGATGTTTTGGAGATCATTGATTCAAAGGAGTGTTGAAAGATGCATGTCTAGATTGCCCTTTTCATAAGGCATCAACCCGCTGGCATTTTTTCTAGCCAAAAACTTCTGGACCAGTCTTGCCAAGACGTGAATATGAAGCCGCCAAGTCTCTTTTATACTATGTCGGGATTCCTTGGTAGGATCCATAAAAGTTCTGCAGCACTAAACTGCATTTGTTTTTGACATTCTAGACATTGTGCGCTCATTTCGCTTACTATGCGTTCTATACTATTAAAGAGATAGCTCGATCATATTCAGAATATCAGACATCTTCTATCTTGTTGATTTTGACCACATTCCCACATCCCACGTCAGGTGAGTGGCCGATCATTACACCCACCGCCTAGGTTCGACATTTTGTGTAAAAGACATTTGGCATATCATAGTAAGCACTTTATGACTGAAACAAGACATAATCCGGCCGGATAGTGTAGTTGGTTGTCACGTATCCAGCACTTCCGGTGAATTACTAGAAACGGTTTAGCGTTCCTGTTTGGGTTAAGCGTCGCCTTGCTGCTTAAGCTTCCCGTGCGTGTTCTATAAAGTCCTCCCCATCGCCGCTTTAGTTTCTTGCTATTTTTCGCTCTTTTGCCCGTCCTTCTTCCCGCCCCTACTCTCCTCCTGTTAGTGAGGCATTTATGCTATTGATCCGTATCGCCGAGCTCCGCCACCCCCTTACCCCCTCTCCCTCCTAGCTCAAATCGACTGGTCCGCGGCGTTCCCTCATCCTGTACCCGTTTCCTCTAGGCTCTAACAGTTACGCGCTTGAGATGAGGCATTTATGCTCTTGGCCTATATCGCCGACTTCCATCTTAGTTATCTCCTAGGCTAACCTTCTACTTAGTCATTAAATCTCTAGCATCTAGTTTCTCAGGCTGAGTCTGAACACGACCTTGCCAGAGGAATTACCATCTGAGGTTGAGACTAAAGAAAGTGCCCGCCTTAGCCTACGGGCAGAAAAAGGCGAATTGGTCAGACGAAATGTATAAAGCCATGCATTTCGCGCGCAGTCTTTGGAAAATAATAGTCAGGTTTCAATTTTGTCTTCAATCTCCTTTTAGCTTGCTCTCGAACTTGCGATACATCAACCATTACGTATTTGTTTCCATTACCTAAATGCTCTAGTCATAATAGACTCTCATACACACAAAGTGCACGAAGACTCTAGTATGAGATCTTCTAGAAGCATTTATAGATTTAGCTAACTTAATATTATGAATGGTCCTAGTGAAAGATCTAGAGGGGTGATTAGTAGCATGGCACGCGGCCTTAGAATAGGTATAAATCTTCTATAGAACCTATGGCTTGAATTCATAGTAGCTATTGTGACCTGCCTGAGGCGACTATGTCTGGCACGTGATATGGGTTCTGTAGATAGCAGGGACTCTCTTTGTTTCTTTTCCTTCTTCTTCTTTCCCTTCTCTAACTTATAAGTCCCATCGACCATAGTACTCAGCCTGAATACCATCGTTATCGTTGTTTTCTTCTCCTGACAGACTGCCCGGTCACATATAACCTCTACTTTAAATATATCTAATAATATTATATAATACCTCTTAAAACATTATTAGAATGGTATTTAGATCGAAGACCTACTTAAATGCGTAGCTACTAGCCTAACATAAGGTAGTATCTAATAAAGCCCTTATCTTAAGCGCTTTCTCTGAGCACTAGGTAGCACTATATCATCCCTCCTAGGGAAAGGCCTAGCTTATATACGCTCCTAGGTAGGACAAGTATTACGTGCTATGTTGAAAAGGTCCGTATAGGGAAAGAAGATGGTATTAGCCACCCTAAGGATAGGGACCCTAAGCGGACTAATAGGGGTAGATATTAAAGATGTTAGAGGAAAGAGCTCTAGACATAACTGAGGTGTTCGCTGTTATAGCAAGCAGACAAGCAGAACCTCTGGCAAACCTAGGCCCTTAACTACGGCCATTTTTGGTAGTTCGCTTGTGGTCTACTTCTTAAAGGGAATGTCCCTAGCTAAGTATTAGGCAAACAGAGATGCCAAAGAAGGCGCTTTTGGTCCATTACCAGAGTGTCGTCTGGCTGGATAGGCTCCGCCATTACAAGAGGCCAGGGTCCCAATGAGGGTAGTGGTACATGTTTGAGCCATATTGAAACGAACACCCATCCAAACAGAGTAGGAGACGGCGCTAGTGATTCTGTGGACAGAGACCACAGCCAAAGCGACTAGGGGTGGAGACTGAGAATTCAGAGGCGACAACCGCAGCGAGGACAGGATACACTGGAAAAATTGGGGTGTGATGGGATAGTGGTAGCGCCAAACGGAGCATGCGTAGGCGTGGACGGAGGTTGGGGATGCGTGGCAGGAATTTTGGCAAATCGCTGGCCTAGAACGGCCTCACTTGCGGCCGTTTCTGGAAGCCTGTTTGCCGTCTGCTACTTTAAAGGAGTATTCAACAGGACGGCAAGCGAGGCGCCAGAAGCGGCTCCCATTGCAACCCTCATCGATGTGGCTGCGCAAAGAAATCATTGCTCTGCTTTCCTGCCGTCCACCACCGCCTGCTTGGGCCTCATTTGGGGGTCGCTGGCCACTTTTACCCCCCCCTCAGACCGCCCAGCATGCAAAGCACCACCTTCCTCTTATTATTGATTATGAATCTTATAAATTACCTAGAACTTTAATATGAGCTATTGGTACTCGCCTTGACTACGCACCTTGGCTTTCTTTCCTACTCGCACCCCTTTTGCTTTTTTTTTCTGGCCCCAACTGACCCTGCACATTGGCGACTGATCCGATGCATGCCCCTAAGTACTCTCCACCACAAACGCCGCTCAATCCGACGCTCAGGCCGTTCTAGCTAGCGTTCGCATGCCGCGATCCCGGTGCCTAGGAGGAGAAAAACTGGGATGGTCCTGCAGTTTGTATGTTTTAATCAGCTGAGACAGTGGATTTGATACCAGGAATTCTAGGACCTAGGCAATGAAATATACCAAGGATCTGGCAAAAGTGCGGTAACGAGTAGTCGAGTTGACCCAAGACTAATCGTTGGTTCTTACCATCTCGCGGGACTACGGGGTTTTTACTACTGTACGTTCCCATACGTTTACATGAGCTCGGTTATTACATGAGAAAGGGCCGCTGGACTGTCGATTGGGACATGATGTGACAGGGGTTTGTGTAATGGTCTAACAGTAGCATGCATCTTAGCGTCTTTACATTAGTACGCCCAGGGGTCTATGCGGTTCCAAATACATAAGCGACTTGTTCTCTCCTTTTTTCCGCTCTGTCTAGAAGCTACAGCCATCTAAGCTTGAAGATGGGAGCCCCATTTCTAATCGGACCGTTGACAACCGCTTTCAATCCACCAAGTGCATGCATCAGTGATGTCTACTATATTTCTAACTCCCTCTTTGACGACGACTTCTATGAGTGGTACAATCTTGGGCCAACTTCGACTGCGGAATGCCTTCCATCCAGCTGGCAAGTAGGAGGATACTATTCACCGGGACGATGTCCAAGTGGTTATTCTGTTGCCCAGAGCTATGAATTTGAAAAGGTGACTAGCGCAATATGCTGTCCAACGTAAGTGATGCTATTGCTTATTGCTAAACTTCGTTTTCTTTTTTAATTCGTTCTTCAGAAACTTCGATGTGGCCGGAGCGCCGGGGGCCGCAGATATCATGTTTGGGAGTTTGGAACTTGATGAAAGATGTCACTCGCCCGCCCCGTTGACCCCTTTTTCTGCTCACGGCAGATCCGCGGCAATTTCTGCCGAATTAAAAGAAAAAGCTCCTATTGGTAATATTGTTTCATTCATCGGCGCATATGGCGTGTCTATCCGATGGCAGTCTACTGATCTCCCTACTCCAATCGCGACACCCACCGCGACACCAACCCCGACACCCACCGCGGAACCCATCGCGACACCCACCGCGACACCTACTTCCGCCCGCATTAGCCTAAACACTGGAGAGGTCACCACAGGTACATCAACCAGCACTAGCCTATCTACTGGGGCGAGAGCGGGAATCGGGGTTGGAGCTGCGATCGGTATTATCCTGTTACTTGCTCTTGCGGGTTGGTTTGGTTTCCGACGGAAACAGCGCCAGGGGGCTAGGGCTACTGCCGTTCCTAAACAAGGGTTAGACGAGAGGACCATTTACGACCTACGGCCAGCTGAATTACCTGTCGGTCGGGATAAAGCGTTTACGTATGAAAGATCTGAATTACCGGCTGATCAGCAGGGGCATAAATCAGCGAAATCAGAACTAGTCGAGCTAGATAGCTAGTCGTGAGTTTTGATGCTGTTTGTCACGAGCCGAATCTCGGAGAAAGAATTTCGTACTGTGAGTGAAAGACAAAGTAATAAAGGATAAGGAGGGAAGAAAATAAATCGCAACAAGTGCCTGCTACTTGACCTTGACACAACCCTGGGGTGTGAGCTGGGCCCGGGCCCGTCTATAGACAGGTAGCACCAAAGCATGCAGTACCCCCGACGATGCTTCGGCGTTGGACGACGGAAGAGCGGGAATGGACTTGATGGACACCAATAGAGGCGCAGGCCTGGAAGAAGGGCGGATGCTTAAAGGCTCCCCCGGATACCGTGACAGGGCGATGGGAGAACCGGAAAGCATTCGTCCGGGAGCCATGGCGCCCACCTCCAGAGGTGTTTATTGACAACCGCGAAACTGCTGTTCAGAAGCACAAAGAGATCACGTCCCTAGCTGCACGGCTTTTGGTCATCTACACCGATGGAAGTGGCTATGAGGGCCTGATTGGTGCTGCGATGATTGTCGACTTAGACAATCAGCACCGACTCTCCCAGATGGGAATAGACGACATGTCGACTGTATACGCCGCAGAACTCCGAGCGATTGAAATGGCTCTAGACTACGTCCGGAACACCCAAGAAATCAACAACGGGGTGGTAATCTTTTAAGACAGCCAGGCTGCGCTCAAAGCACTCCGCCGCCCCCGAATGTCATCAGCACAGATTTACTTATCTGGTTGCGGTTATTTTATGTCCTGGTTGACAGTCGCTAAGCGTGGTGGTGCGCAGGAAATTGGCTATTGACTCGGCTTCTGTAGAAGGGCTAGTAGCATAGGGACAAATGGCTGCTGTAGCCATCGAACCCCAGATGCGTCTCTAGTTCAGCCGCTGTCGCTATTTCAATTCTCCAATCGTTAGGCAGGTTAGAGAGTTAGTATACCAGACCGCATGATCGGTCTTTGATTTAAAGATAATGCATGGTGGGAATGCACCTCCAGTTGAATTCACACATTCAATTGATGTGACCCATTCACGATTCTCTGGCTGCAGAACTGACCCCCGACCGTATAAATTAACCCTTGTAACCACTTTGTGAGTCCCAATTTGACCGATAGCAAATCCCGCCTCGTCAAAATTGTAGATATCTTTAAGCGGGATCCCGTTCTTATCAATTTCTTGGCATACAAGGTCAAAAACATGATTGAATAATTTTAGGATCTTCGCATTTAGCTCTTTGTTGATTTTTTTGGCGAGAGTATCGACTTTAAGCTGTGGATAGCTCTTAACAGAGTTGTATGCCCAATTAATACCAACAGTCTGATCAGAGCGCTCTGCTAATAGAATATTGGCCCTATTCTGACATTGACATTTCCCATGAGAGTGCCCCAAATCTACTCCCAAATACCAAATCTCAATCCCCATTAGACTCCCATGACACCCCCCGCCTTATTCCCGTCCATGGACAAGAAATGGGGGTCCCAAGGGATGGGCGGCTTAAAAAAGGGTCAGTTACGGCCATTTTTAGCCGTCTTTTTGCCGTCATCTTGTTTAATTACGTAAACATGTAAGTTGAAATCAGTATACGATTTGCAATAGCGGTGGTTGAAATCCCACCAAGCCCCCGTTGGAGCAAGCTCAAGGTGGTGAACGGACGAACTGTCTAGGTCTCTGGACGTCTCCTTGGGTTCTATCCCTTCTGGGGGAAAGAGCTGGCTTGTATCACTCTCACGAAAGTAGTTGATCCGCTAGGAGTAAAAGTGTCTATATGCTAAAATAGCGGCCTAATCGATGAAAGGCTTCCTTAAGACTAGCACCATAGTAGTCTATAATCCATATATTTTGCCTATATAGCCTACTAGTCTTATGCAAAAATGGGATACTAATCCCTCTAGAAACTCCTAATATAGCCGCAGATTCTTCTATCATAGGCGATTTGTCGCCACTAAGCCTAATAAAAACCTCTTCTTGGGTTAAGCGATCCCGCCTTATTCTACTTATGAGCCTGAATTTTGAGAGTATTCTATTCACCCTTACCAAGCCTATTTTCGCCATAGAACTTGGACCATTGAATAACATCAAAATGACTAAACGTCGTGTCTGAAAAAGCATACATGTGTTTAATGGCCTTTGCCGAATCCATAATTTTTAGCCGTTCTGTTGAGCCTAAAGCGCTCTTGTATAGAGAGGTAGCCTAGAGCTATGGCCACGTTTTGGCTCGGATTTATGTGGTCTTTTGTAAGAGCTGATGGAGCCGCCTAGTTTCATGGCGAAATGACTAATGGAGGAGTAGATGAGCAAACCTACTAAAGGCAGATCTAGGCATTAGAGAGGACTTTATGTTTCTATGAATCTCATAGAGTATGAACAAATTTCCTGATGGGCTACTCATTTTTGTTTTTATTGCTTGAAATTCAAGCTAGATGCGTGTGGTGGCTCTAGTTAAATATTCAATCAGAAGCGTCGTTAGTAATCAGCACTAGACCCAAATTTAGAGCCCATAATATAATTGCGGAGACCTTACTTCGAAGGCCTTAGTGATAGGCTTCTTATTTATAGCCTAAGTCGCTACGGAGCTATATTTGAATACTTCTGGCCGTAATTGGTATATTACTTCGGGTTGAAATAGTCAACACGGATGTACGTGCGCGCGAGACTGCAGAAAGACATGGCTTAACTACGTACGGACTAGCACATGCGATCATTGGTTCTGCCTAGTGGATTTCGACAATAGGCTTCTCGCGCGACGCCCGGCTACTAGCGTCTAGCTCGGAAGATCAGACAGTGCGCCTTTGGGACATGGTGACGGGCGCGCTCCCCAGCTGACTCCCTGCGCAAAAAATCAGGTTTTTGTAAGGACGCCTAGAATACTATAGTAAGCACTCTGAATCAAGATATAATCGGCCGGATGGTGTAGTTGGTTATCACGTATCGTTAACACCGATAAGGTCCTGGGATCGAGCCCCAGTCTGGTCATTTTTTGTCAATGGTATGTATCCCACTTCCTATGAATTTTCTTTTTTTTTTTTTTTTAACTGGAGACACCTCGAAGTAAGAAATAAAAGAAGATCTTAAGGTTGAAAATAGGCGTGTAGTGGCGTCCTATCTGAAACCCATCGAAACCGCGCTACCATTACTCTGCTGCAATGCACTGATGAACCACTCGGAGACTAATATTAATGAACGGTGCATTCAAGGTAGGCAGGCGGTGAAAACAGAAGATACCTGAAGTGAATTTTGGCTTGTGGAATGCCACTGTAGCATTAAATGAGGCAACGTTATAGTACCGTAATTGTTCATAGAAACTAGTGCAATACGCAAACAGACCAAACAACGTGGAAAACCTAACAATATAGTTAGAAAGATCCTCCGTCGTAGATGGTATACGTACATGATCCTAACGCGTTACATATCCAAATTTCATCCTATCTTACCCACCTCTAGAATATCCAACATAGTAAAACAGCAACAAGTAGAGTACAGCACAAAAGGCGAGGAGGTTAGAGCAGGATATTACGCTTTTTGCTCCGTGTTGCCCATGACATCAGCCGTTAAGCTAATAGATTGATTGTTAGGAACTACTTGGCAAGGGATAAAGTTCAGACAGGACAATAATTCAAATAGAGTAACAGTTTAAGAATAGTGGTTTCAGTTGTTGCATCATTAAAAATAGGTTCGAAGACGGAGTCAAAATCGACCTACCAGTCTTGGAACGTGAGATAATAATAACTGTTTGGCCTGCTAGGATCTTCTTGCCACATCCCGCTTCTCACGTACAGGGAATAAAAGCATCGAGGGATTGCACCATTATCAGTGGTTGCTGTCATATCCACTTCCCCATTTCCATTGAAGTTGCAATCGATCAGAGAGTTATAGTAGGCCTGCGTCTGTCAGTGTCTTATTCCAATCATTTGATTCGATCTCAAAGCTACTTACTTCCAAATCATAGCCATAGTTGTCGGTCAACTTAGTATAGACATCGCTATCCATCGCATTGTGAGTGTCCCATGGGGTTTCCCAAGCATCAAATTGACAAGTGCTCGGGTCATCATTATCACAACCATCACTAGTATGGGGTCTTGTCAAGTAAAAACAACCGTATTTTCCAGACTGGTATTCAAGCCACATGGAGCCGGTATAGTCGCAATCGCTTTCTGACACATCATTCTCCATAAGTAGGACATACCAGGCCGATTTCATGGCAACATCGACCAACTTCTTCTCCTATAGAGCACAGGTGTATTAGTGGTAGCCAGTGGGTTGATAGAAGGATTTGCAGACATACCACATTCTGAGAAAACCCATCAAAAGCCGCAACAAAGGACGAATTATCCTTATTCTCAGCAAGAAGAATAGAGGGATCCTCGAAGAATTTAGAGGTTCCGTAGGTATAGAGGGTATTGTCCGCGGAGGTTGGTAGGTAATCAGAGTCTCCATTGCCGGTCGCATTTGCCAACATAGCAGAAAGATAGTCTCCAGCAGAACCCATATAATTCTTGAGCGTATTTTCCACTGATGTTGTATCGACATCGTCCCCACCATCTTGACCTTGCAAGAGGCTAACCTCTGTAAGAGCTATATGGCTGTTAGTTTATAACAGACTTGGAAAATGCCAGTCAGGGAGACGTACAGCCACCAGCCATGCCTATCATTCCACGTAGCCCCTTGCTCCAATCAACGGCAGTACCAAATCCGCTAGCAATCGTCATCGCAGCTGCGAGCCACTTAATCCAGGTGTCATCTGGGGCAGGTTGTGAAAAGTCCTTCGAAATCTGATCAATGGATAGGCCGTCTAGCCAACCAGTCCATAGAATCTTGTCATGAACGTAGTTGATTTTGCTGTGAAGCAAGCCAACTGCATAGAAAGTCCAGTATGCCTGTTCATTTGGGTAATTGCCGCACATATCATCGGGGACACAGTTGCTTCCAACGGTGCCACAACCACTGAGAGGAGAGGTTCCCTGGTTAGGGAAGACTCTCTCCCATAGCTTGTCGACCCAGTCGTCTTCACCACCTAGCGTTTCCAGCTGCTTATCAAGCCAGTCATTGGTACCGGTAGAGTCAAGGATAGCCTGAACTCCTTCTGTGGAAGAGGTATCGCCGGCAGTACATGACGCGGTAGACGTGACAGAAATAGAAGGCGTAGGGCTGCGCCGTGCCACATGAGGAACGGCGATAGCGGTGCTCGCCAAAGCAACCGTCCATAGGAGGCTGGATCGCAACATGTTTGCACCGGTATACCACAAATATAGGAGCTTGAGGCGCTGTTGAGAGTATAGATTTGAAGACCCTTTTGAACACTTACCTTTGACGATGATTTCCACCGATTTATATACCTCCCGCCCCCAACTTGAAGATATTTATAAATCCATGGCCACAAGTTCGTCGTTCTGTAGCTTTTGGATGGTAAAGCTGGCAGCGCGCCATAATTTGCAGGAGTGTCCTAGCTTAGATCCTTTCAGCCCACAATCCTTCCTGCCAACGATCCTTCCTGCCAACGATCCTTCCTGCCAACGATCCTTCCTGCGCAACAGGGTCGAGATGTCCACAGGGTATAGGATGAACGGATGGTTTTATGTTCAACCAACAAAAGAAATTATGGAGACTGTGGTCGGTGCCAAGTCTGGGGGCTAATTCTACTTTTGTAGATCGGTTTTAGTGTTTCTGGAATGCTCCATGAAGTGAGCATATGGTTGACCTGAAATGCTATTGGGCCCTTTCATTTTGATGCAGGCTGGGCATCCCATAGGAACTGGGTAGTGTAAAGGCTTCGGGTCTGAAACCAACAGCGTAGTGGGACCCAGGGTATCCATCAAGCTGAAACTAAATTGGAAGCCAGTGAGATTTATCTGATGCACACGTGGGTTAGAAATGCCAAGAGGAAAAGCAGCGCTAGTAGAGCTAGCCTCCGTCGGCCCACCTCAAATACTCAGATCAAGGCTTGTTGCCACCGATTTCTACACCCGGAGTCCCCGCCACAAATAAAAGTTATTGTCCTAGTCAAATATTTGCTCGATTTGGAAAGACCCTAGCCGGGATTTGCTATTTCCGTCTCGGCTTGATTCTACACCGGGAGGTTGTCTAGTAACTCATGATCTCCGCCTCCTCATTGTACTATTTTTCGATGGAAGAAATTCAGTAAAAGATCGACAGGCACTGGTACCATAGATTCCAATTTTAGACTGAGGGTTGGCGGGATCTCTGAACTACTTGCTCTTTTATTCTGGCGGGGAGGCGAGGAGCGTATCTAAGTGTGGAATTTGGTCGCAATTACCGTGCTTCACTTTAGTGTGCCTAAGTCACGGCTTGCTCAAAATCTGAGGTCCCCTTTATGAATTTCAATCGGTATTTGTTTCGTGATATGTAAATTGTACGTGAATACTACTCGGGAGATGAAGATTGTAAGACTGATGCTATGGAAGCTGAGCGAGAAGAGGCCATGGATGGTTTTCTAACAGTAATAATGTTATTTAGTTCGAAAGATCGAACTAAAATTATATTCTTCTCACAACTGAACCTCGTGATCCTCTCGGAAATGCACATTGGCAGACTAGCCAGCCCCCACGTTACGTTACAGCTAGATGGTTGCCTACCCCCATCGTCTAATATAGAATTATTACTTGTCCGGCAAGAAAATAAAACTCGAAATTAAGCGACTTTATTTCCTTGTTGTTGTAAAAAAATAAAAATAAAAATAAAGTAAAGAAAAGGAAAAAAGAGAGATGTGTTACTGCTTCCATGCTTATAACAGATAACTCTTATCATCCAATTCCTGGCCATTGCATAATATAGTGATAGCAATTGTCTATATGTGAGAACTCACGCACAGTCTAATACATTTGTTTTTTCTCCGGCCATAGTTTCCTTCTTCCACGTAGATCTTCGCGTTTTCGTTATCATCGCCGTCGACCATCGATTTCCGGCCCCTCACCAACATCACCTAGTGTAGAGACAGGGGAGATATATGTGGGTACTAACAAACGCCTTTGTCTGGGGGCGAACAATTGTTTAAACTGTCTGGATGAGCCAGAAATCTGGTGTAACTGTAGTCTGAGCTAAACGAAGGCCCAGCCAGTCATCTTATACATGGGTCAGCTAATAATACGGGGAACAGGGAACCTACGCCGATGTCTAAGGGCCGAAAATATATAAATTTTCAGGGTTTAGACCGCCAGGTTAATATGGATGGCATGTTCCAGTCTTTCTGGCCACCATCTTTCTCAATAGGAGACCCATTCCGGACAGAATAAGTATTTTCAAGTTGGATTATATTTGGGGACGTGTTAAAACTCCCCCAACCAGGGGGCGACTATCCATACTGAGCGTCAGTATCAACAACAAATTCAATAATCTCGAGGTTGCGGAACAAAGATTTAGTCCACCCACTTGCCCACTACTTCTTTGCAGCTCTGACTCGGTAACCCTTCAGAAATTATGTTGGCTTTCCACTATAATCCGACTTTTTCATCCACTCTTTCACTGATTTCACTCGCGTCGCCAAGACTTTTCCTAATAGTTGACAGTCTCTCTTAGTAAAATTGTCCTTTCACGTTTTCTAGAACCCCGAAAAGTTCTCCGGGTAGGTTTGTAAAGTCGAGTCGTTGGGATCGGTCGATTGACCAACTGTCATATCCGGATCCAGGATACCAAGCTTGAAATACTCATAAGGGAACGGGAGAAATTCCGACAAAGCCTCCGTATACATGCAGGTCGTCAAAACACTCCATGTCATAGGTGATGTCGGCTGCGCGGAGATAAAATCCACGACCGTACCTTTCTCATCCAAATGACCACATCTATTCTTAATTGTCAAGCTTATGGGGATGACTCTTTGTAAAGCAAGATTGGTATCAGCAGAAGGTGCTGGGACGACAGGAATGAAAATCGGTAACTCAAATGTTTGTTATCCCTATCTATTGATTACAGCCTAACTAACGGATATTTAACGAATGATAGAATATTGGTTGTACGCTTTTACCCAACTAAGACGTGCTGGTAAACTGGTTGACGGCAAAGTAAAATCCTTTCCCTTTTTCCGAGATCGACAAGACCAAAGAACAATTATCTACGATCACCAGTCCAAGGGTTGTCTAGGTTTAGACCAGGGAGGAGTGATCAGCCATGAAACAGGTCCTGTCTCTCAACTAGCCTTATACCTTGACCCTAGCATTATAGTTTAAACCCTAGAATACATCATATACTACGATTCATGGTATAGTTCTAAGTCGAGCAGCCGGCGGTTAGACTTGTACACGGGGACTCAACCATTTTTATGAAGGTGAGGACAGTGACGCCCTCGGAAGGGTCTAGGCGTCTTGACTCTTTCGAAAGGCCCACCTTAAAGAGCGAACAAGAGGACATGAGGGGCCTAGTACCAGAGGCAGCCAATGGAGGAAAGTTGGACGAAAGGTGTTATGAATAAGTAAAGAAGATAGGAAATGCTGATCAATAGAGCAGGAGAAAGGCGAAGGTAAAGAGGAGTCAGGGTGGGGAACGGTGAGGTTGTTAGAATAGGTGAATTATTAGCGGATTGTAGAGTTCTGTACCCAGCTTGTGCGTAGTTCGGAAAGCTCTCAAACACCCATTATGTGAAACGACGAGACACAGACAAGAACCGTCAAATTCGCGTGACAGAATTCGTTCAAGCTCGATTGATATATGGAAATAATTATGAGACACCCTGCCCAAGTGAAGTACAACCAAATATGCAATAGTAAAACCACCAGTAGAAAAGCAAGAAGGAAGAAATGACAACAATAGAGGGTCCCAAAAGGGTACAGTATAATCCATCCAATACGTAGGGTCCGGACTTGTTTGGAGATTAATCCGCGGTGAGAGTGTGCGACCATGCTATACCACCCCTAATCCGCAAGGCCATCAGACTAACAAATCCATGAGAGTATGAAACAACAACAATCCAGGAGATGGCAAATTCCCTTAGAGGCCTTCAATATGGGCAAAGGCAATTCGAAGTTCCATGGCTTGAAAAAATAAGAAAGTCCATCCAGGAAGAGGATTACTCCACGGGAATCATCCAGCAAAGGCAAAGCAAAAGAAATGAAAAAAGGCCATCCAATCCAAAAATAAGGTCATTCATTGGACCTGAACCTAACCCTCCGAGTAGAGCCACGTTCCTGAATGTCTTTCTCCGTCTCGACATAGAGCCGATCCAAAAAATACATCGCGCTAGGATCTTTGAGAATGCGCGCAACCTGGGTGCCCGCAGAGATAAGCTGCAGGACGTTGCGATCATCCTTAACGGGACGAGACTGATGTTTTGCGGCATGGCGCATTTCCAGAGAATTCTCCAGGACGGTAATCAGCTGCTTGATCTGACCGTTATACAGGATGCGAGCTGGAATGCGGCGCGTGGTCGCCAGTCTTTTGAGAAGATGTACCCATTCCGTCCACTCACGGTCCGAGGGAGATTTCACAATTCTCTTGTCTGCTTCGATGGGGATGCGGAATTGGTATCTTGCCACGAAGTCAAAAGCGCATTGCGAGAGGCGATCGTTGACTTTGTGGAGGATTTTGTCTTGCTCTGCGGCGTCGAGGTTAGTAGGAAGCTCGGGCAGCTCTTTTTCCTGGGCTGCTAGGGTCCGCGGGGAGGGAGGATCTAAGAGCTGATAAGGGCCATCAAACTCGTCGCGGACTGAGGAACGCCTTTGGCTCTGGGCTGTGTGGTGGTATTCGCGCTGTGCGCGCTGGTCGTCTACCTCTCCGCCCTGCGGACTGGCCCTGGAGCGCCGGATGTTTCTTTCCAGGATATACCGCTGGGATTCTGTGGTGGCCATTGTCATGCCTTCAGGGCCGTGTCTCTGGGACTCGCGTGGCATGTGCGAGGGGTGGTTCCAGTCATGGTGGTACATGGGAGCCGGGGGTAATGGGTGGCCAGCCAGTGGGTAAGAAAAACGACCTCTGAGGGGTCCATTCATGGCATGTCCGTGGCTTTCCAGGGGAACCGGGGCTTCATGGTAATGGATACGGGGATCATAATCCGGTGGATGGGTAGGGGACTCCATGGTAATATGACGGCTGTCTCTGTAGGCATATCCCCCGGGCGGAGCAGTAGGCGCCCTTCTAGTCTTCAGCAAAACGTCTTGACGTTTGAAAGAAAATAATAACCGAGGGATAATAAACTGGAATACCTTTGCTGGTAGATGATGGGAGCATTCACTGGGGCTCCATACAACGGATAATGAGACATAATGCTGCTGTAAAGTGTGAGCCTACCCAAATGGCGCTGGGTATGCAGAGCAAGCCCTATTCAACCGTTGAAACAACGTATGTAGGTGTATAGCGATGATAGTAGGATATCAAGAACGACAAAAGTCCAAGAAGTGGCCATGTCCATGATAAATACCCAATTAGTTCCTACCCCAGCGCACAGGATATGGAGCTAGTGCCTGACCGGAGGGAAGTTTCCAGCCCGGCAAAGTTAATGAAACGAGCATAACTGAGAGCCGTGCCAAAAACAATACTCCACGCCGGTGGCGACAACGGACATTTCTGCGCGTATTATCCACGCCTCATGGAACTGGTGTTCAACGCACAACACATCACCGCCCAGAAACAGAGCCTCCTTCTGCGCTACATGCAGGAAACCACCAAAGGTCTCGGTTTAGGAAAACTAGGTACTGCATGTTGATTCGACCGTCGCAAATAATTATCTGCTGAACATACTCTCTCATCCATCCACAACTGTTAGTCCCCCATGCTCCATAGCCTGCTAACCAATGATACAGAGGCCAGATGCCCAGCTAGCGCCACCATTTACCCTGGTGCGACAATCCTGCCTGGATGAGGGTTATTGGGCAGCAAAGTTGGGAGTTAGGGCATGCATTAGGTATCCCAGGGAATTGGTTAATACAGAAGCGAATTTGAGGCTGAGTAGTTGTGGAGAGTAGTATCTCGTGATCCAATTTTCTTTATTGTGTTTCTTGCGACTCGGTGCCCAAAGATATCCAGATAACCTTCCTAGCTAAGCCCCTGCGTGGTATTGATTGGGCATGCATTTGGGTGTTGTTTTGGGGCTTGACGCCCAATGCCGTCCACAGTCATCCCCGTAGGTGGCGCATGGGCCATGTGCTGGCCCTAGATCGGTCTGCATCAATAAGGAATTACCGGAGAACCAACCGCCAGCTTTATCTTTGGGTTCAGTCTAGATGCGACTGTCCTTGCAGCACAAATTCTAAAGATCGAGTGTCTCAGACCTGGAAAAAAAAAAGTCTCGAGGAAAGTCGCAGTAATACATAGGGTACCAAAAGTCTGTAGATTTTCCAGCATATAGTAGTCACGTTTGACCCCCGAAACCTCAACAAATTTGTTTAATTATCATTTGGCTGTGACACTGAAGGTCAAAAGTGGCGTGTTTGGCGGGAAACAAGGGATTTCTACGGACTTTTGGTACCCTATGTAGACGCCTCTCCGTGGGGACGAAGATCATAACAGCCAAACTAATAACCAGGGTATCACTTGCGAGCCGCCGCCACGGAAGTATTTCTCAACCTCTCACCGCTTCTTAATGGCTTTGATAGGAAGCTCTACCCCCAGACGACGGGCATATTCCTGGATTACTCAGGTAAGTTTGCAAACAATCCAGATAGTGAATGCGACTTACCTCGCAACTCAAACGTATCCCTTCTTCAATGCCAATGCGCGCCTCATACCCCAATATCTCCTTCGCTTTATTACCACTTGCATAGCGCACAGCACACGCATCTCTTACACTCCCACGACTCAACGTGGTCGTACCCCCCGTCACCCAGGTGACACATTCACACGCCAAACCAGCCAGATAAGCCAGACCCTCGGGGATGCGAACCTCAAACGGCGGCGTGTGTCCGAAATGCATCCAGATCGCCAGACAGAAATCCCTAAAGGTGATGGGCTCGTTATTCTGAATGAAGAATGCCTCTCCAGCGGCGGTGCGTGTAGTCAGTAGATTCTCCACGGCGAGGACATGCGCGTCTGCGATATTCGTCACGTACGTCACGTCCCAGAGGTTCAGGCCGTCGCCGATAACAAAGGGTGTCTCGTACTTGGCGATGCAGGCGTGGATGGATGGGATGAGTTGGTAATCGCCTGGTCCGCAAAGTACGGAGGGCCGGAGGGCACAGGTTGCCATCGTGCTGCTTGATGCTTGAAGAACAAGCGCTTCTGCTGCGGCCTGGTCATACTTAGTAGTGTATAAAGGAAAGAAGGCATAGCCTCACCTTGGACTCGCCGTATATTAGAGAATGTGGAGAAGTTGGCCATGCTTCATTGATGTTGGGGTAGGGCAAGTTCATATCGTCCGTCGTCACGCAGCAGGTACTTGTATATATAAACCCCGTCACACCAGTCTCCTTGGCTGCGTTGAGTACATTGCGCGTGCCCTCGACATTAATTTTCCACACTTCGCGTTCCCGCGCTCTGCCGAATCGGTCTGCCAGGGCTGGGACAATGCCCGCGGTATGCACGACAACATCCGGTTTCACGACCTGCAAGGCCTTGCTGACTTCTTCTGCAGAGGTGATATCGACCTGGAGACATGCGATTCTGTCAGGAAGGGCATGCTCCGGGCGGGGCGGACTGCGATCGAGGATGGTGACGGCGCAGTCGGGGTATTTCTCTGCCAGGGCGCGCACCGTGGCCGAGCCGACGAAGCCGGTGCCGCCTGAGACAAGGACCTTTTTCGACGACAGGATGCCTTTCGTCATGGCTATCAAGGGGTGTTTACTGGTGAATGTAACCAGAGTCGGGGATTCGCGCTTAGTTGTTGCCGAACCGGGTATGGCCTGTCGCGTGACTTGGATAGCATCAAATAGGAGCATCTTCCATATCATAACCTATACAACAAAATAAATAATGGGGAATGTGACAGGAAAAAGAAAATCAGGTCTAATATACACAATGTCATCACAGACAGATTTTGCGCAACCGACAAACTCCAGGGCCAAATGCAAATCCAAAAAATACACCACCACCAGGTTATAGCACGCGACACAGCAGCAAACCTCCCAGTCTCTTTTCCACACACTCGCGCGACTCCAGAATCCCCCGATCCGTCGACAAAAAGATATTCTCGCCGGGTGAGCGCAATCCATCCACATAGCTCGCCTTGTGGCCGCGAATGACCTGGCGTAGATTCTCGACATCCAGGACAATCCGTCGCTTAGGCTTGCTGATCATGCTCAGCTTGCCCAGCACGGGTTTGTTATCCCAGTACTTCAGACCCAGCCAGAGTCGTCGCGACGCGACATTGGCCTGCGTGATGGGCTCGACGGCTTCGATCTCGTCGTTCATGGCCGGGTAGCCGAGGATGGGGTGTGGCGGGGGAGGAATTGGGCCACCGCGCACGACGGAGGAGAGGTACCCGGAGTGCTGGAGGGCGAGGCAGAGGTTCAGATGCATCTTGCTGTTGGGGATGGAGGTGATGCCGAGACGGGCCTTGGTGGCATTGTTGAGGTGGGAGCAGACGTGGGCGAGGTTGACGAGAGACATTGTTTGCCCGGGCCTGCGAGGGTAGCAGGGATGGCGCTGGTCGTGTAGAGGAAAGGATGTGGACTTGGAAATGGAATTGGGGATGATTGATGGATTGTTTGGGGAAGGAAATTTTCGGAGAAACCCAAACTCCGAGGAAGGTACCGGGTACTTCCCCACTGTGTGACGATCCATGTGATGAACAGGTACTTGTGACCTGCATCACATCGAACTAAGCGCCCCCTCGGCGCCTACAGCTGCCCCTCTCTATTTATAAAGGGTGACCTAACTCACTTCTGCTCTCTGGTAAGTACTCGCTCTCTGCAGCACTGCCTTTCTTCTCCAGCACCCCATCATGCCCCCATTACCCGGTGAAGAGAGTGTGTTGACGGTGTAAGTCTACACAGCGACAGTCCGTCTGTCTTCGACCTAACCAGCTGTATGCTAGCTTCGCCGACCTGCACTACTACTTTGCACCGCCCGTGCCGAAGCCCCTGAACCATCGCTTTGACAAGGGCTCATATCTATACATCTACCGTGACACGAACAATAGGTCACGCATCGAGGTCGCCAATAACCCAGGAACGGCTGACCAAGATGCATTCCACGGCCCCCTAGACAGCATCCATGTGCGTCACTCGATCAAATTCCCAACTCTCTGCACGGTGGTAGTGGACTATCATCCGACTCCCCAGCAACCACCAAATGCGACTCCTCAGGACTGGCAGCTACCCAGCGTAGACCCCCGGAGTGATCAGCAGACTCGGATCCGTCTGCACACGATAGACATCTACTTCTGGACTACAGAAGATGCAACCCAGTTCCTCGACACGCTCGGCCGTGTTCTCCCTGGTGGCCAGATCGAATCGGATCGGGTGGCCAGCGCACCGCATACAGAGCAGCCGCTGAGCACTGTAGTCCAGCAACTTGAGAGCGTGGCCATCTCCGACCCAGCGTATCAGAATGGACAGACGCCTAATTCGCGTTCTGAAGCTGCACCGGTAGCGGCGCCAACTTTCGCACCTCCTCCAACCAGTGCCCCAGAAAGTACTACGCAGCAGGGCTCGACCGATGAGAAGAAGCAGGATGCGAACTTTACTCCACTGGCGTATAATCCTGCAGCACCGGCAGCCCCAGAGCCAATCCGACATCGTGAAAAGACACCGCCGCCAGAGGACAGCACGGCGGGAACCGGACTCGCGGCCGCAGCAGCAGCCGACCACGGCGTGCCGTTCACGCTTCCAAACCAGGTCCCCGGAGCATTTGCTCCTCCGCCCACTTCAGCTGCTCCAGGACTCCCCTACTCCAGTCCACCCACTGCCGCAGCGGCAGGATACGTCTCCCCACCACCAAGCGCAGGCTTGTCCCACCCAATGCAGAGTCCTGGTCTACAAAGCCCCGGCTTAGCCGCATATACACAACCCTTTCCCGGGCACGGGAGCCAAACCCAACCCTGGAACCCAGCCTCGCCTCCATCAGGGACAATGTCCTTCGCCCCACCTCCGCAGGATCCAAACGCCCACCTATACGGCCAACAGATGTACGGCAGTCCGCAGTCCCCGCCACAATTTGGAATGGGACATCCGCCTCCGATAGGCGGGTACTCGAATTACTCGTATGATCAGGCACAGGTGCCTCGCACGGGCACGGAATACGATGTCCATAGCCAGGTGTACCGGCCCACGGAGGCGGAGGCTAGCTCGCACTATCAGAAGGCTGCGCAAAAGGCTATGAAGAATCCCGGCCAGAGGCCGCGGAAGCTGGAGGAGCGGGCGGAGTCATTGGAGAGTGGGGTGAATCGGTTTTTCAAGAAGTTGGAGAAGAAGATTGGATGAAGGATGCAGGAGAGTTGATTGTCTTTTCTTTCCTTTTGTTGATACTATTTTCATGGCCATTCATGATATTTTCAGTCTCTGCTAGATCAGCTGTGGAGTAGCGCCAGCATGAGTGTTGCAGATACGAGTGTGATATGGGACGTGAATGTTACTTGAAATAAGGAAGAAATGGTATAGCGCAATCTGTTTCATCAAGAAGCACAGTTTCTACTCAAGACGACAACCTATTCCATAAAATCGTGTTTGATAACAAAAAGCACTATAACGAAGTACGAAGTGATAACAGAGCCGATGAAGCAAATCGGGGGTTATTACAGCCCATGAGCATGAAAATATTCGACATAATCAAAAAAGGAGCGCTTATATGTCCTCTCCATTGTCGTGCGATTAACCGCTTGCATCCCAAAGTGCGGATCAAAGCTTCCCCATTCCCAATTATCCAGCATAGTCCATGCGATCGCTCCAATCATGTTGACACCGTCCTCGTGGATCAGGTTCAGCATTTCCGTCAGATAGGATTCGTAGTACAGCGACCGCGGGAGGTCATTCCGCTGCATATCTAGGGTAAGGTCTCGCTCCAGGCTTACAGGAAAGCCAAACTCCGTCATCATGATGGCGTTGGGGTGGTAGGTATCCCATAGCCAGTTCATATATGCACGAAAATAGGTTGGTGTAATGAACGGGTAGCTGTCAGAGTAAAACCCGAGCTGCCAATCCGTTCCAGTGACTGTGGTCTGGACAACGCAGGTGGGCCACAATGGATTGGAAGGATTCTTTGCACATGCATCGATACCTTCTGGTGGTTGTGTGACTATCGATGCAGTATACGCGTCAATACCGTAAAAGTCACATTTTCCCTTATATCTCGCAAGTTGCTTCTTCGTCAGTGGATGGGAGTCATTGGTCAACGTAGACGAGACAGATTCTGGAATATCGATTCCCAACCATTGTGGGTTTGCCAGGATTCCGAGTAAGAAATCTTGATAGCGATTTGCCGCCTCAACGTCTGACTGATTGTTCGGGTTCATAGGCGCCGCAAAGGTCCCTGACATCTTATGCGAAATCTTGCCTTTGCCCCCATACGCCTTATAGATGTCGTAGATCTGGGTATGAGCCTCGAGCAGGTTATACAGACCGTCTAGATTTCCTGCGTCGTATATAGCTTCATTAATCGTGATCCAAATGGGGACTCGGTCGCCAAAATTAGCGAATAGTACTTTGGCGTAGTTCACAAATGACTCCACAAATGTACTGTTTGACGCGCCCGCATTTCGAGAGAAATATGCGTTCTCCAGAACCGGCTCTCCCATGATGAACTCATAAGGTTCATCCTCATGCACCATGGTCACCATTGGCTTTATTCCGTACTCAAGGCACGTATTGATAAGATCATTGTAGTGCTCAACGCCTTCCTTGTTGATAGGTGTACCAGCCGCCCCAAAGGGCAGTATCCGGTTCCATGAAATGGAAAATGAGTAATACTGCAGCCCTATTGCAGCCATGCGTGCAATGTCTTCTTTATAAAGATAATAGTTCCAATCCGTTATGTAATTATTTTCGTAAAGCTGAGGCTGGAAGTTGAAAAAGTAGTCGGCAACACTTGGTGTACGGCCTTCAGCTTGAATTGCTCCCTCAATTTGTGCTGCAGCAGATGCTGCTCCAAAGATAAAGTCAGGAGGAAAGGTCGGGTTTTTGTGATTCGCCGGCTTATAAGCGAATCCGGAGTCTGGTGGCAGCAGCAGAGAGGACGACGGTATGGGAGTAGGCTTCACTGTTGTCGAGATAGGAAACGTTGAAATAGTAACATTCGGGTAGAAAGGATCCCATCGGGAGTTCCACTCGGCCTGGCCGTAGGGATCATCATGGTCATTTGCAGAGCAGTCTCTTGCCCATGAGGTCGTGCGAGCACCGGACGGAAGTATGGCCTGCATCGACCGCAACGGCATATAAGTCGTCACGGGGGGGCTGGGAATCAATGAAGCAGCATATTGAACTTGGGTCATCGACGTGTAAGTGTACGGCATGTATGAAGTTGGCGTTGTATGACCTTCCTGGATCCTGCTGCATAGGACACAGCTGAAAGTGATGGAAAGCCACAAAATCAAGGTCATTGCTATATTCATGTTGGTCGATTGAAGAGGTCCAAATTTTCTGGAATACCCATTTGTTGGTGTTTAATATAAATTGACAACAAAACATGATAGATATAATGCGTTTAATATATTTCTCCGCGATTATATCCGTCGGAAGTAACAAGTTCTGATCTTCTTGACAAGTTATACTCCGTCGTTAGAACCACATAACCGGGCCATTTCAAGATAGCATCCGATGGATCAAAAGCACGATCTGCAGGGATAAATGCGGGGAACGTAACTCTTGTATGAAATTAACCCTTGTAAATGCCTTGTATGCCGTGTACCTCAAGGCACTAAATTAACCCAAGGCTCTGGGTGCTACGAAAGCTGTACTTTAAGCGGGTAAATTTTATTTTCCGACGAGGAACCTACTTTCGTCTGAGTTATGACTTAGATGGTTTCAGTCCCTTACTCCCTACTGGTCAACGATGCTAACGATCGAGGCAATGCAAAGCCTTATGGTGACAATGAAGAGAAGGCCTCTCGTATATTTAGCCACTAGATAGATAGAACATATCTTGGTTAGAAAGGAAGCGTATAATATAGGCCCTAGCTTTAGATGCTTCGAAAAGAGTACTTGCCGCGGGTAAATTTTACATAGGGGAAACCCTATTTTCTTTCAATTTAGATCTATGTAGCTTTAGTCACTTACGCCCTACTAGTTTATGATGCTAACGAGTGGGGAACCTTCATCACGAGATAACCCCTCACACATTTAACCGGTAACTAGATGACTGAAACCTGTTCGGATCAGAAGGCAAGTTTGAAATGTTTACTAATTCGGCTGCATGCCCCTTTTGTGCTCTCCTTGTATCCACCAAGAAAGTCTCCAGTCGTTACCTACCAGCGCTAGAACCTCTGGTAAGATCGCATCAAAACCGTCTCTCTCTGGTCCTCTCAGACTAACGAGAGAGAGAGAGGAAGTGGAAGATCGTGGGCTTTATACTTTTAGATTTGACACTTTTGGGCTTAGATTTTGTATGCGATTGGATACACTCTTTTCTGTACTGCGTAGGAGGCCAGATTTAAACGGCGAACCTAGAGTTGGGACACCAAGTTCTGCTTCGGGTCGGACAAAGCGCCTGCATAGCCTCGACGCAACTAGTTAGGCTCCATCAGCTTAATAGAACTTTTATTGATTGATGATATATCTATGTAGAGCCAAAAACCCAAACCCATACATATATCGTACTGACTCTTACCACGCCCTCTCCTAAACTGCCCTCTCCAACTCCTCCGCAAGCGGCTTCTCAATATTCTCCGTATTGGGATGCGAGCGATGGAAGCCCGGCTGAACGGGGTATCCCCTCGAAGCAAAGACACCACCCGTAAGACCGCCCGCTTCAAAGAGGTGGTCCACATCTTCCAGTTCAAGGCCTTTGGTTTCGGGGAAGAAGAAGTAGACCAATGGGATCTGTGAGGGAATAGTCAGTCAGTATTATTGATTACAATTATGATTCATTGTTGATTTGAGGATGGGATGGACAGCTGGAGGTATAGGCAGAGGGATAACATACCCAGCAGAAGCAGAAGCAGGCGAAGATGATGAATGTTCGCCATTGGATGTTGTCAATTGCTATGGGTGTGATTTGGACGACGATGACTAGGTAAGGCCCAGGTTAGCTGCTGCTAATGATTTATGTTTCATTGAGTTTGAGCCAAACTTACAGACGCAGATCCAATTCACGAAACCTGCGAATGCCTGGCCTCGCGCGCGAATTCGGGTTGTAGTGATTTCACTAGGGTAGAACCTGATCGTGCACTTTAGTATATCCAGAGCAATACATAAATCCACACGGAGGAAGTGGACTTACCATGGAACAGGCAAATATCCAATACCGAGGAACAGCTGGAACAGAAACACAAAAGCTGTGGCGGCGTAGGCGCAGGACTTGCTCCCGATCGACAGCAAAATGGCCGTCATGACGAAGCAGAAGCAAAGTCCTGCCGCGGAGAACATGAGCGACGCTCGGCGACCGAAGCGATCCATGCTCCAGAGCGGGATTATGGAGCCGACGAGATACGTGAGAGAAGTGCAGCCGCCTAGGATGAGGGAGAGGTTCCGGGATAAGTGCATGGCGTTGGCGTAGACGACCGGAGCATAGTAGTTGATCATATTCGATCCTATTCTCACGTTAGATACCAGCTCTCCAAACAGAACAGCAATCTCACCTGTGAACTGTTGCTGAACATTAACCAGTCCCGCCAGAATCATCCGGCGCAGATTCTGAACCTTCCCACCAGTCAACAACTCCTTATACTTAAATGGCCCACCCGCCGACTCAAGCGCAATAGCCGACTCAATCTGCCTGCGTAACAAGATCACCTCGGGCGTGGACTCATCAGCCGGCTGTTTTAGCTGCAGTTTGGCCAGAATGTGTGCTGCCTCTTCACTGCGATCTTGCTCGCAGAGCCACCTCGGTGTCTCAGGCAGGCAGATCATCTGCAGCACGAGACAAACAGCAAAGAAAGCCTGGAAGCTAATGGGGAACCTCCACTGGACGGGCGATGGGACGAAACTCAAGCCGTAGTCTAACCAGTATGCGATGCAGAGGCCGACGATGGTTACCGTGCCCTGGGCAGAGAGCAACCTGCCGCGAACTTCGGGGCGGGCCATCTCACTCTGATATGTCGGCACACTGCTGCTGTTTATTCCGTTTCCGAGACCGGTGACGATGCGCCCGACGAGGAACTGCGCGCGGGTGTATGACGAGCCTAGGATGATGGTCCCGATCACCATGATCGAGCCGCCGGCCATGATCATCTTCTTGCGACCGAATTTGTGGCCGATGACAAAGCTGAGGATACAGCCCGCGGCGCAGCCGATGTCATAGATAGATGTCACTTTTTTCGCCTCTAGTTAGTACTCGAAGAAAGTTGAGAATAAGATGGACGAACTGATGCCCTGCATATTGGCGTTCGGATGACCGAACTGCTTTCCAAACTCATTATCCGCTCCGATCAGTCCACTCATGACGCCCTGATCATAGCCGAGGAGGAGGAAGGCCTGACAGCTTGCCGCTGGAATCATGTTAGTCATGATGAACAGACACCGCCATTAAGACGAGACGTACCTGTCACAGCCCAGTGCAGAATGCGTCCACGAAGTTCGCCCATTGTTTTCGATGATAGGATCTGGAAGATGCAGAAAACAAGATGGCGCGACCCGACTCGACCTTAATTCACCCCGTTCGCGCGACACTGTCCCGAGGAGTGGCACTTCGGGTCAAAAGGGTCCGGGACGCCAGTGGCGCAGTGGGGAATCTGGGGTCTCCGCACTTCCTTCTCCATGGTAGGGGATGAAAATATTGCTTTGAATGTGACATGGATAGCCATCGCAGAGGTATTTACAGTTAGGTGAGTCAATATAGCAAAACGCCCCATTCTCATAGTTCTACAGCGCCTCTAAGCCCTAGTTCAGCCCAGTCCAGCGCCACACCCAACGCCAAGCTTTCGCTTCACGCTGACGAATCCCTAATATCCACCTCAACCGGACCCTGCCGCGGACCATGATCCGTGCGAGCGAGCAGGACTGTCGATCTGGCTCATCACCTTCTCGTCTGGTCCCGGACGTCTCGGACTTTTAACCAGACAGTTGCATCCGGGCCATTGTTCGTCCGGCTCAGGGATCTCCCTTTTTTTCAAAAAAATCTAGTAATCGGGGAAACTTTGGGCCAGTCAAGGTTTTATTTAGGTGACATTCATTTCGTATAGAGATGAGCGGGGAAGGCTCTTATAAATGTAGGGTTAGTACATCGTTATATTCTTTGGATGACTGAACTGCATTTCGAGTTGAAGAACTACTGCGCGCAAGCATGATTGCTCATATTCTGCAAGTTGCTGCCCTAGCAGCAGCGTGCTCCGCTCTGCGCCCTACCCCCCATCAGCGTCGCGACAATAATGGCTCCACCATCGACATCGACTGGGACAATGTCCTAATCGAATCCCGCACCACGGCAACCCTTCAATCTGTGGCGAACCCACAATTACTCGCCAACAGCAGCACGCGCGTCAACGCACTAAACTCCCTCCGGACCGTATCCAACAACTACGTCCGCTACGTTCCCTGGTTCCCCTATCCGGAGCTAGCAGTAGTCGAGCTAGAACCACCCGTGAAGAACGGGACACATTGCTCCACAAGCTGGAACTTTACCTACGCGGACCAGCTTCTCCTTGACTTCTTGCATAGTACACCCAACGTGTCGCACATTATCAATTTCAGCACCACCCCGGACTGGATGTGGGTGAGCGATGTGCCGTATACGTATCCGCACGACGTCGATGCGATCGACTGGAATTATAACAATGGTACCAAGCTGCGTGATCCCTCCGGCAAGGAAGTCGCAGATTACTACCGCCGCTTGCTGTCGTGGTATGTAAAGGGCGGGTTCATGGATGAATGCGGCGTGTACCATCACTCGGGCCACCATCTGGACATCGAGTACTGGGAAGTGCTGAACGAGTCTGAGGCCGAGCACGAGATTGACATCGGGTTATATAACACGCTGTACGACGTCATCACAGAAGCGATCCATGAGGTCTCGCCGAGCACGCAGATCGTCGGTTTGGCCATGGCCTCCCGCAATGCGACCCGTGTTGCGGGATTTCTCAACCCGGAGAACCATAAACCCGGCACACCGTTGGATTGGATCAGCTACCACTTCTACTCTACGCCATCCAACTCCACGACGCAGCGTGAAGCGGCACAGAGCTTCCAGATGGCGGAACAGTTGGTTGGCGAGGTAGAGGCGATTGAGGCAGTACGCAAGCGGATTTCCCCCAGGACAAAGACGACCATGGATGAGATTGGGACGATGGATCCCATGGGCTCGACTACGATCTATCCCGGGTATACGATTCCGGAGGAGTACTGGGTGTGGAGCGGCGGTGTGTATGCGTACGTTTTTTCCCGGATGGCGCTGCTGGGAATTGATGTTGTGGGTGAGAGCCAGCTGAGTGGGTATCCGGGACAATATCCTTCTGTTTCGTTGATTTATTGGAAGACGGGGCTGCCTACAGCTCGGCTGAGAGTGCTGCAGCTGATACAGCATAGCCTAAAGCCTGGGGATAAGCTTGTCAAGACGGGCAATGACAATGCCCAGCTGCATGTGCAGGGCTTTGTGACTCCGGAGGGACAACAGAAGGTTCTGTTGATCAATAAGCAAGACAAGAATGCCGTGGTGCAGGTGCCAGGCTTCCAGAAGGCGAAGGCTGAGACTGTTGACGTGAGTACTGGAGGTGGACCATGGCGGACGGAGGAGGTGGATGGCAGCAGTGTCAAGGTCCCTCCATATGCCGTTGTTATCTTGTCCAATCTGTGACCAGCCTAGTTACGACACTGTGAAAGAGCAGAATGGCAATGTTTTGTGAAAATCCTAGTTCATGTACACCTAACCGCTAAACAAATGATATGCTCGCGAAACGAAAAAAGAAGTTCAACCAGTGCCCGTGAGGACGCTGAAGATGACACGAAAGAAAAAAGGAAATGGATTTCCCTGGGGAGACACAATGCTCCGAGGACAAGAAGGTAAGAGGCTTGGATACTTGTCCAAGTCCAATAGCCAAGGGTATAGATTAAAAGAAGATCAAAATGGGGTTTCAAAACAAACCGTCAAAGATGAAAGACAGGGTAGATTGAAATTGAAGAATGGCAAATCTCTTCGGCATCCAGCTTAGTTCGCTGTCAGATCAGTCACGTCGAGCACGGTGTCATGTTCTTTGCTCTCGGTTTCTGGTTGCGTCACTGAGTCGTCAATGCCCTTGGTCTCTGCAGGCTCCGGGACAGGTTCAGGAACAGTGGCGTTGGTTGCTGAGCCTGATACAGTATCGCCAGTAGCCCCGAACTGAGGCTCTTGCGACTCGGAGACATCTAACTCGGGTTTGAGGGCTTCGGGCTCTTCGATGGTGGCGGTCTGCGCATCGCCGGTGGACTCCGAGACTGGGGTTGACTCCTGAACTGGTTCCTGGACAGGCTCTTCAACAAGTGCGGGAACGGATTTCTCCTCCACTGCCTCCGTCGCGGTTGTAGGCTTGTCAGCTTGCTCTTCGGGCTCGTTCGCACTCGGCTCGACAGGAGCTTCGGTCGAAGGCTCAACAGAAGGTTCAGGAACAGGCTCAGCCACGGTCTCAATTTGAGGCTCTGCAGGAGCCGCCGCAGGGGTGTCCGCGACAGCTGGCTCGACCGGCTTCTCCGAAGCAGTTTCGACCAGAGACTCTGCAACAGGCTCGGGTGCTGGTTCACTTGGTTCAGCGATGGGCTCTGCAGCACCTTCCACTGCAATTTCCGGAATAGGTGGTTCCGTGGGTGCAGCAGCGGTCTCCTTCTCCAAAGGCGCAGCAGGCTTCTCAGGAACAGCTGGTTCGGCAGCCACAGGCGTAGGCTCCTCTGGAATCACCGCTGGAGGCTCAACCACATTCTCCTTCTCGCTTTCGGGAGCAGGCCGGGCGGGCTTCGGTTCCTCCTTTTGCGATGGCACGTCCTTCTTCACAGGCTGCGATTTCTCATTTTGAGGACGAAGTGGCGTCGTGCTGCGCTTTGGCTTCAACTGAGATGCACTGCGATCCGGAACTTTTCCCATCGATGGTCTGGGAGGCTTAGCCGTGGAGGGGGCTCTGGCCGGAGCCTTTGCATCGGGCTTATCGAGGGTCTTGCTGGCGGAACTGGCAGTGGGTCGCATCATTCTCGCGAGGAACCCGTCATTGACTGGCTTGGTAGTACCAATATCGCTACCGCGAGAATTAGCACTGACGCGAGAGCTTGGTCGCTCAGCGGCTGGTTGAGCAGCAAGCGAGGGACGAGACGATTGTCTGCGCACAGAGGATGCCGTGGGCGTCTTTGCTCGCGGCGGCCCGGATGCAGTTTTGAGAGTCGAAGGTTTTCTGGCGAGAGTTGAGCTGGTTCGGCTGGTCGAGGGAGGTGAGTTCCCCAGCCTGGCCGCTGAAGCCTGGGTTGAGGCTGTCATCGAAGCGGGCAAACGCACAGGCTTCGTTGGTGACTTGGGGCGAGGCTTGACAAAGGGAGGACTGCTGGGCGTTGTTGGCTTTGCAGTTTCCTGCGAAGGAGTACCGCCTCGAGTTGACCGCGCAGTCGGTTTTGTCGCTGGGTTGAGCGAAGCACGACTTGGCTTGCGAACGGGAGCGGTGGTTCGTTCCTTGGCAGTTTCTCGAGGCAAGGGAGGCTTGCTGGCGCTGGGCGCTTTTGCGGTGGTCGAGGTCGCGGCGGGAGTCGCTTGTTTGGTCGCTGTACTCGTTTTGGTGGAGCCGATCGTGGATGGGCGCTTCTTGACGGTCTGCGAAGGTGCGCTCAGCTTCTCAGTAGAAGGTCCCGATGCCGTGGTAGACTCCTTCTGTCGAATCGGGAGCTCTTTCTCCTTGGAAATCGCCTCGGCAGCTGGAGCAGGGAGATCTTCTTTGCTAGCACCATTCTGGGCAGAATTTTCGGGTGTTTGCTTTGCACGCAGTTCGGGAGACAGCTTCTGGATGCTGTCCTGGCCACCACTTGGAGTGGGAGACGCGACACTGTCCCGGCCAGACACAACACTATCCCCGCTCCCTATTTTGGGACCGAATAGGTCGGTCGCGCCGTCGCCTCGTCCACTTGCCTTTCTCAAGGGCGAGGCCTGGTTGGATTGAAGCGCGCCATCCACATTCACAAAACTTGCTCGGACTCTGGAAAGTTGTCTGGTCGAGCCCGAAGCATCGGACCCGATAGGGGATCGGCCACGCGATGGCGGGGAGGCGACGGTGTTTGGGCTGCTGCTTTCGAACCTGGCAAGCAGGTTGCGAACCCCGGGCCCAGAGTTGTCGGACATGTTGGTTTGGGTGTCTGGGAGGCAGGAAGGGCGTTTAAATGGGCATGGAGGCGACTGGCAGGAGGCAGCAGTGGTTTGTGTTTGGAAGAGCGCACAGGGGGTGTTGTGGAGACGGACCGGATCGGCGGTACGCGTGGGACAGAAGACGAGTAGACGCGACAGCAGACAAAGATGGGTGAATCAAGACACTCTGGCAGAAAAAGACACGATGCACACACAGTGAGAAGAGAAAGTCTAGAAAGAAGGGCGGGCCTGGCAAGAAACTATTAAGCCCACCCACTAGTATCGCGGGCTTAACCGGATGGGGTGAAACAGTGGACTGGCAACACACTCAGGGGTTTCAGTTAGTCATTTGTCTGCGACATGAACTGTTTGTACGACACCGGACGTAGTTTCGTTTGTGCTCGGTGTTGGTAGATTTCTCCGTGCTGCCCCTCTCCCCCTAGGATCTTCGAGAAAGGTTCCATTCCTGCGGTCTGTGATACCCGCATGTTGATCCCTGGATTATGGGGCAAGGTGGTCATTTTCATCGCTATTATGATGAGTAGATATTCTGTAGTAGGAGACCGTTGACTATGATGGTTGTTTGTTGTTATTCTTCTATCGAACAGGTCATCTACTATCCTTCCTTACCTCTCACTGGTGATAGGGATGGTGGTCAACAAGTGAGGCCAATGCAAGGAGATGCATCTATACTTCGACCATACAGAACTGCCGTTCTATAGTTGTGAGATTCAATTCCAGATTACCTAGGTTATCTCCCTATCACAACCTTGGTTCCCTTCCCTCGTCAATGTCTGGGCAGGTCATGTGACCGACTCTCGTATACGATCCACCAACCCGACCCTCGAGTTCAACTTCGCCAGAAAATGATCCAACATGGTTGGCGTACGTCGCAGCAGTGGCTGCTCCCGTTGTGTGACCCGTAGAGTCAAAGTGCGCCTGTTCTGATCACCCCTCAACGACACGCTGCTAATCCAACTCCCAGTGTGATGAGCGACAGCCGGGCTGTGCAAGATGCGAGAGATACGGCATGCCTTGCCCGGGCTATGACCGCTCCTTCAAATTCATTGAGGGCAAACCATACCGGCAACGGCGTCGTCGCACGGACTCAGAGTCGGACGATGCTCAGAGCGAGAGTCCGACACATGGGACCCTAGCAGCCGGCCAGATGTTAATGGAAAGGACTTTGTCACCATCGTCATCATCATCATCATTGGACTCTCCGGCGTCTGATGTTTTGCAAGGACTCGGCATTATGATATATGATCTCTGCTACCAATTTGCTCCGAGCCAAAACCACAACTCCTTCCGCTGGTTTTCTTTGCTGCCAACTATCTATGGGGAGAACCAGACCCTGGATGCAACGATCAGGTGCTTTACCGCGCACCATTGTGGGAGTGTTATTCAAAATGAGCAGATGATTCGGTACTCCCGGTCTGCCTATGGGGAAGCTCTGCACAGACTGCGCCGGTCTTTGCAAAACGGCGAAGAAGGCTTCTCCTCCCACATATTCTGTGCCGTGGTGTTGCTATGTTTATATGAGGTGAGGCTCTGGCATACGAGACAATCTGCACGTTCTAACCCCATATCTAGCTCTTCACAGACACCCACGACCCCGAGTCGTGGATGAAACATGCGGGAGGGCTGAGTTATTTGGTCAAAATAAGAGGCCCTTCTCGTTATCGGAATGAGTTTGACAATGCTCTTTTCAAGCACGCTCGAGGATTGATTGTGATGCACTCCATGTTTTCTGGTCAACCCTGCTTCCTAGCCTCACCCGACTGGCACGAGATGATGCGAGAACAATATACAACCGACGTCCCCGTCCACCTGCACAATAGCCTTGAACAGTTCTTCGCCTATTTTACATTCACACCAAGTCTCGTACACAGGCTCTACAGCCTTAGAGAACCAGATATGACCAGGGAAAAGGCAATGCAGATAATATCCGAACTTCTACCCGCCGCCCTCGACATGAAAATCAAGATGGATGCATGGTACGAGCAATTTTCGCAACTCGCTCCCCCGCCCACGGAAATACCCGCTTCGACGAACGACCCGCTATTCCCTATGGTTCTCACCTTCTCAGATGTGTTGTCCTCCACTCTGTACACGGCCTACTACTCTTACATGGTGATTATACATGAGATCTTGAGGGTGTGCGGCCAGCCTGGGCCGCATGCTGATATGGTTTCCTATTTCTGTGATCAGATTTGCAAGTCGGTCGAGTACAGCAGCACCGGCTTTCTTGGGCCATATCGCGTGGGCTTTCCTCTGCGCGTGGCCATTGAAGTCGCGGATCCTGAGACCAGAGCTTGGATTATGGGTCGACTGCAGGAATTCTCCAAGATATATGCTGCTGCACAGCCAAAGAACTTTGAGACCATTTCACAGTCACCCGCCCTTTCAGAGGTGGGTTGATGGGCCTGAATTATACTCCGCCATTACGAAATGATTCTTTGACTATAATCATGAACATTGAACCACAAATACCTATCATACTGCTCAGATGTCAGCCGACTCTGGGTCATCATACCCGACAACTCGCTTCGACCCATCAGAAGATATCGGTTCAATCACAGCCCGGGCTCCCAAAAGCACTGCCAGAGCGATAATCTCCATCAAAAGCCCCATACCGACCAGAATCCCAGTCTCGCCCGTCGCAGGCTCATATTTTGGACCGCCGTATGCCTGTAGAATGAAATACACGACCCGAATAAACAGGAACGGAAGAGCCAACAGAACCAAACAAACTCCTCGATGGCCAGTCACAGAAAGAGTCGAGCGGGATTTCACCGCCAACCAGGAGGCCAGACCACCGGCGAAGGCAAATGCTATGACCAGCAAGATTGACCCGGCTACTGCCATGGCGTGGATTCCAATATTCTTGCCCACGATTGTGAGGACGATGCCGATGATAACGGGGAAGCGGAAGGCGTGCAGAGCGAAGCGCGTTTTCTTGGGGTGTTTCGAGTTGCCGGGTCCGAATTCTCCGGATTGGCCACTATTGAGCCCAAAGCATCAGTTCGGTTGGCTGATTGAGTCAGTTGGGGAATGTGTGACCTACCATCTGAGCAGAACAAGACTGACTTCAAATACAAGAGGTGACAGACCAACACTTTGCAGTGATGTTTCGGCGATGAGCATTGGTTTGCTAGGGTGTGAGGAAGCCAGCACCATAGCTGAGCCAGCGATGCGAACTAGAGATATCCATATTGAAGTTAGTAATTCTATTTCTGTAAGCCAGCAAACATGAATATTTCACTTACGCTGCGACAACAGCCCTATCATACTGTACCAGGAGTAGAATATACAACGGGCCCAGCTCTGGTTCTTGTCATGATGCCAGTACCGCCATTCTTGAATGTATCTGACCGGGAACTGGATGATGAGAATGAGGAAGTAGATGACAATTTCTGCAATGGCAAGCTTGCGTTTGTCAGTGGGAATGGTATAGGTCCAGGTCATGGTGGGTGCCAGATGAAGTTGTTATTGAACGGATGGGTAGGAGTAATAGTCAATGTATAATTTAGAAACGCATCCTTGGAAGTGATGATTTACAGCCCTTAAATAGCCCGGCCAAGGGTTGTGGCTTCGACCTCCTGCAAGTCTGGTATAGATCCCAAGGGTGGGTACATCGCGATAAAAGACCATTTCGGGTTTAGCGTGGGTTTGCAACGAAAGGGAGTTTTTCAGCTGCACCGACAGGCAGAATACGCGAAGCCTAAAAATGTCTAAAAAGGGACAAGGAGCGCGAGTAGGTAGTCAACCACGTAGCCAGCAATGAGGGATTTATCGTATTCACGCTGTCTAACTATTGTATGTAGCACAGTAGGCTTCTTCCTCCGACCCCCGGAATTGTGCCGGATCAACAATCTTCCACTACCGGCATACAAAATGCAAAAGCTCCGATGACGGCGAGTTCTTTCTGTAGCCAGAAAAACTCCCCTGCTCCAAGTTGATCGCCATGGCTGCTGCTGCCCGGACACTTCGAATTGGTATCTTAGTGGATCTATGTCTTTGGTGGTAAAAATACTAATTCGTGCTCTCAGGTCTCATCCCCGGAGACGGCATCGGACGGGAAGTCATCCCGGTACGCATCTACACACAATTCGTAGACTGAACACCCAATTGACATATCGCAGGCCGGCCGACGGGTTCTCGAGTCCCTCCCCTCTTCTCTGAACCTCAAGTTCAGCTTCGTCGACCTGGACGCCGGGTTCGAGACCTTCCAGAAGACGGGCACCGCCCTTCCGGACAAGACGGTCGACACGTTGAAGAAGGAGTGTGATGGCGCCCTGTTCGGTGCTGTCAGGTAAGCATGCACCGGTTTGTTTGTCTTACTTCCCGTGCTGATCAATTCCTTTCCAAAAGCTCCCCAAGCACCAGCGTCGCCGGCTACTCCTCCCCGATCGTCGCCCTGCGCAAGAAGCTCGACCTGTACGCGAACGTGCGCCCCGTCAAGACCACCGTCGGCAGCAGCAACGGCAAGCCGATTGACCTGGTGATCGTGCGCGAGAATACCGAGGACCTGTACGTGAAGGAGGAGCGCACGGTGGACGGCCCCAACGGCAAGGTGGCCGAGGCGATCAAGCGCATTTCTGAGCGCGCCTCGTCGCGCATCTCCACCATTGCTGGTGAGATTGCGCTGCGCCGCCAGAACATCCGCGCCGCCGCTCCCGGTGTTTCCACCCGCACCCAGCCCATGGTCACCATCACGCACAAGTCGAACGTGCTCTCGCAGACGGACGGCTTGTTCCGCGAGACGGCGCGCAAGGCTCTTGCCGCCGAGAAGTTCTCGTCGGTGCACGTTGAGGAGCAGATTGTTGACTCTATGGTCTACAAGCTCTTCCGCCAGCCCGAGTACTACGATGTCATCGTTGCTCCTAACCTCTACGGCGATATTCTGTCGGACGGTGCCGCCGCCCTGGTCGGTAGCTTGGGTCTTGTTCCCAGCGCTAACGTTGGTGATGGCTTTGCCATTGGTGAGCCCTGCCACGGCAGTGCCCCTGATATCGAGGGCAAGGGTGTTGCCAACCCCATCGCGACTCTGCGCTCCGTTGCCCTGATGCTGGAGTTCCTGGGCGAGGAGAACGCCGCTGCTCAGATCTACACTGCCGTTGATGCCAATCTGGATGAGGGCAAGTTCCTCTCCCCGGATATGGGCGGCAAGGCTACCACGCAGCAGGTCTTGGATGATGTGCTGAAGAGACTGTAAGAGAGGCGAAAACGTATATAGGATGATATCCAACAAGAAAAACAATTCCATTTCTTATCTGTACGTCAGTATCTAATTTCTATTTGGATCTATACTATCCCCGATTTCACTCCCTATCCGGCATTGAATCTGTATCCCAATCGAATTTCCCCAAACTGCCATTACTCTCCTGCTCTTTCGTCTTCATTTCATGCAGCCCCTTGTCAACATCTCCTTTATGCCCTGGCTCCTGATCCGTGTTTTGAAGGACGAGAGTAAAGAGCACAACAAGATACACCCGGCCCGTGCTACTGTCCTTCAGGACGTACCGTAGATCATGGTTCTTCTCATCAACATAGTTCATGGCGTGCAACGTGAACCCAGGTAGACGAAGAGAGAAATCTTCGAAATATTAGTCCTCGATCTCAACTTTTGGTACGAGAGAGACTCACCATTAAACACCAAATATGGATTCCCAAAATCGGCAAGATACATTCTCCCAGGTTCGAAATCAAACTCCTTCCTCTTGCTCTCATTCTGAAAATGATGCCTGCGCCCATCAGTGGAGTCCGGGATCTTGAACTTCTCCCGGACGTTGACTCCGTCACCATCAGCGCCCTCTTGAACCACAGTTTCATGCATCTTCGGCACTTCATCTGACTTCTGGATCTTGTCCCCAATGCGGAACTGGTTCCACGTAGCCAGCGCAGGACTGAACAGATAAGGTTTATCGGCGTATGCATCACCCTCGATGGCAGGGTCGAGCGTCCACTTCACCATGCGCAGTGCGGCGTTGAAGCCTGGCGGGAGTCTATCGCGAATTGGATGGTCGAAGTCATTGCCAAACACAAGGTTGTTGCCATTCACGGGTTCTTTGAAGATTATGGAGAAAGAGATCGAGTATTGGTCTTTTGTGTGCGTTGGGTGTTTGAAGTATTCGCTTGTTGAGGGGGCGTTGTCTGGGTATCCTGTTTTTGTTATGAATGTTGGCTTGATAACGGAACAAAATGGGATAATATCCTACCGGTGTACTTATTGATGCGGACGCAGAGGCTCACGGTTGCGTGCTCGTTGTCGATGCGGAGGGTCTCGCCGTTGACTGGGACTACCTGGTGCGTGCTTGGGTCGTACGCTGCTCCTGCCGACACCTTCAATCGGTACTTCTGTGCTCCACTGTGGTCATGCATGATATCGAGAGAAATGAATGCGATATGGAATGGCGTATGATTAGAAGAAGGTTATATGGTGGCCAGCAAGAAAGGCTCAGTGCGGTGTCGTCTAGTCAAAGAATTGTGTCTCGTTGAATTGGGGAGAATCTTGAACCAGCCCATTCACCCTAATAAGATTTGTAATTTCTCGGATTTTATGTTCTAGACAAATGAAGCAAATAGAGTTTAGGTTGGCGTGCAACAAATGTCATTACCAGGAACCTGACGTCAGCCTGTCATCATGGCTAAACACCAAATGCAGGTTAGTATGCTGGAAACGCAACATCACGACCCAGCGAACGAGCAACCCAATACCCTACTGCCTCGCGAACGAGGTTATTACTCGACCAGTTTCGATTCGGATGAACACGATGCGCCATGGTCACCATGAAAGTATCAGACGCCCGGTCCACAAAAATTGTGGTCCCCGTATATCCCGTATGGCCACCAGCCAACATGTTAGCCATCGGTCCGGAGAAATAGTACTGATCCAGCTCGAAGCCGACACTGTGCGCATCGCCAGGGAATTTGCCGTTGAAGTTCGTGAACATGAGGTCCACGGTCTCCGGTTTTAGGATTCGGTGTCCGGCGTAGGTGCCATTGTTCAAAATCATTTGGCAGAGAATGGCCACGTCGCCAGCTGTAGAGAACAGTCCTGCGTGTCCGCTGACACCGTTCAACGACCAGGCGTTTTCGTCGTGGACTGTTCCGCGCACAGGCTGCGGTCGCTGTGGCTCCAAGGGGCCCAATACTTCGATTTGGTACTCTGTCGGTGCCATGCGCGAGTAGTAGGGATTATCATCGGCACCGATATTGCCCTTGTTGAAGAAGGTGCTGGCCATACCCAGCGGCTCTGTGAAGGAACGTATCTGGTCCTCGATAGGCATGCCGGTAACTCTCTCCAGCACGAAGCGCAGATTCATGAAGTTCAAATCCGAGTATGTGTACGTGGATCCGGGTGGATTGGCAAGTTTGTTCGTTATGATCGCATGGATGCGCTGCTGCATAGTCTTGTACTTGGGCATATACAGGCCTGGCTCAGGATCGGGTGGGAATCCACTTGTATGGGTGACAAGCATCAGGATTGTGACATTTTCTTTCCCGTTGGTCGCAAATTCGGGCAGGTAAGAGGCAACAGTCTTGTGCAGGTCGAGTTTCCCCTCTTCAATAGCACGCAGCGCAGCCACCGCCGTAAAGACTTTGGTCAAACTGGCCATGTCATAGATGGTGTCCATTCGTGTCGAGGTCCATTCACTCTTGGGCAGGAGCGTGCCATTGGCATTGGCGTATAGGCTGGTATTGCCAAAGGCAAAAGCACTGACCACAGTAGATTTGTGGCCGACTATCACCGTTCCACCTGGTTGAATGGGGTGGATTTCATCATATGAGTAGGAGCTATAGTTGGCCGGCAACGTGAAGCGACTCAGGTTCGCGGGCATCTCCTGCAAAGGGCGTGGGAGAAGGCCGACGGACTCCGGGGAACCATGTCTGAGCACACGATCGCTGGCCCAGACAAGCGGGGATAGACTTGTCAGGAGCCCTATTATTGCTGTCACTTGCATCTTCATTTTGTCGCGGGGTCAATTCAGCTGGTAGAGTTTTTCTCCAAGAGGACGACTGCCGTCGGTATATATAATAAGGGCAAGCGACGAATGCAACTCAAAATAGTCACCATTGCATTTCTCTACAGCGTTAAGCTCGGTAGGGACTAGTCCCTTGGACATTTCGTATTGCTTGGCGGGTGAAGCCGACGATCCGCAGCCTGTTATCAGCAACCCCACACGGCATTGCTTTGGAACAATCATTTGAACACTTTATTCTAGGTGCGTGCCGACAGACATTAGATTTTAAAAGGACTTTGGAATAAAAGTGTAGGGTATATTCTTTGAGAAAGATCATTTCCTAGTATAGTTAGGTCTTGCTGGTTGTTTCATTGGAACTTCAGCGTGTGAGATACCCCCGCAATCCCCCGGCTCTATTATACCCCTTTTCACCTTATTTTCCAAACCCGTAAGATAAGAACATTATCCCTAACAAAGTTCAGCCACGACCTTCCCGATCAGGTTGCCCCCGCTTTAATTAGGGCGATCAGCGTCTTGCTCACGAAGTATGAGTGTCTTTTTTACACTGCCAGGTGATAACTTTTGCCTCCATTAGGTTTGTCCAATATATTGTCATCTAGATAGGATGGATCTAGTCTTTGGGAAAGGCAAGATGAGTTGCATTTCAGTATTTCTTATGTAGTAGATACTTGTATATCTCTCCCTCTCTCCGCCTCTTATCTCTCTTGATCAAACCTTAGGCCCCTCGCCCCTCTGGAAAGGGTTGATCTCTGGACCCCCACGGATTGGCGGGCGTTCGGGGCCACCACCGGCGACCATAGTGGGGGAGGGATAGGGAGTAGACGAAGCCGTAGGAGTGGATGCAGACACGCTAGCAGAGTTGGCAGCATAAATATAGTTGGTCGCGCCGACCTTGAGGTTCGTAATGCCCCCGATGGTATAGTTCTCGTGAGCTTGGTGGTCATAGAAAGTGAAATTAGGCCATCCACCACTCCAGCTCCAGTAAAGCGTAGCCGGGATGTCAACCATTCCCATACTTCCCGTCCTTATTCCACCTACATAGAATATTAGTTAAATGTTCCACCAATACGGACAACTGGTGTTGCTTCCAGATTAGGGGAATAACATACGAGCCGAATGGCATTCTCCATTCGTCACCCCTCCGATAGGACCATTCATCGACGACCAATACCCCTTGAAATCAAACAAGTTTACCACACAGTCACCTTCACCATTTGCATTGCCGAAGGTGAGTTGTTGGGGGTGAGAAGGCGTCGGAGAAGGGGTGTATGCCACGGGGGTCACAGTGTTGGTCGCGTTGAGTTCGACAGTGGAAATTCTCGAGAGAGAGAATTCCTCGCCGGTTGCTTTTCTGTAGTTGAAGTGGGGCCAGTTGTTCACCCAGTACCAGCTCAATTGCGACCCGTTGCACGCGCCGTGACCGGAATAAGTCCATGATCCTGATGGCCCGATCTCCCAGGCTGCCGGAGGAAAGGTATGATTAGTCTCTAGAGCACTTAGATGGAAGTGTGTTGGGGAAATGCTGGGCTGACATACAAGCATTCAGGCATTTGCCGCCTTGCGCCAATCCAATATTCCAGTCAGGAGGTCCCTTCGTAGTGCAGCCTTCAATGTTGTTGAGCGCAACATTGCACCATTTTACTACAGGTGCATCCCATTCATATAACACGAGGCTTGAAGGGTCGCTTTTGTTACTGTATGCCAGCTGCGCGAGTAGCGCAGTGCCTGTCAGGAGTGTGGTTGGCAGATGCATGGTGAAACGAGAGCCGTCAAGGTAGCAACAAGAGGGACTTGTCTTGATGCAATACAGTGTCGCAAGCCCTTCTTTTATAACATTGACAAGGCTCCCTTGACGATCAAATTATTATATAACCAACAATACTACTATACATAGTACATCCCGGGATTTTGCCCGTGGTGGTGGCGGTCTTGGTTTCGGGACACTGATCGACGTCTAGCCCCAACGCAGCCTTGTAGCTCAGCCCCTTAGGAACAGATCACAACACCAAACTCAAGACTTTACGTCCACACATTCCTGAATGAATGTATCTTCTAGGAGCTTGTGGTTATATTTACAAGTAATATGGTCTTACTTGTTAGGTTCTAAGGAAATGCACCCTGGTATTACATTTAACAAGCAAAGGATCTGAGACAATTAGACCCAACAACTGAACCTAAACTCAGTGATCCCAACACGCTTTCCCCACTAGGGACAATATGACATCAACCTGCCCTGGTTTTCTTTACTGGGTTACTCCGTAAATTCTGTTGTGTTGGATGGCAATATACTAGTCATGTTTAGTGATCGTCACGGTCTACTCTAGGGGAATTTTGAAGAGATGAAACACTGCGTCAGGCTCAAAAGACTAGGATAGGTGGATGAAGCAAGCAAGGATTGTCTATTATACATAGTAAGTTACTGTCTTAGCTGTCACTGTTAAACATATGATCATTATTCATGATATCGATTCGAAAAGAAGTCCCAATTATTTAGATTGTTCCCTTTAATTGACAGAAATTCTTCTCTGCATTATAGTCAGTAGCTGCTCAATATTTGATCGTCATGACATAATTGGTAAGCCAGGGGCGAGGAATCACGATCGCGCCCCAACGCGTCACCTTCATCATTTCAGTTCCTAGAAGTCAGAACGCCTACTGGGATCAGAGAGATCGGCTCTCGGGAGATCTAAACCCGTTTCCTGGGAGACATGACGGTTCCCGGGAACACACAGAGGTGCCATGGCCACGCCACTCAACAGGCCCAAGCAAAAGGCATGCAATGATGAATGTTTCGAGCTCATCTACACCGTGGCCTACCATGGTTTCCCACCTTTCGATTTAAGCGATGACGTCGAACCGGCGACAATGCTGATTATATTCGCCGCCTTTGGCCTAATAGTGCCCCTTGAATAGACTTTTCAGACGCCGCGGCAATCAAAATCAGGAGTACTGTCAAGTTCCGAGGGTCGGCTGTGCCATGCCGGGATTGATATATGATCCTGATGGCGATGTGTTGGTGAACATCAGCCAAGATGCTAGATGGATTAGTCTGGCTCCCGGGGAGGCTTGGAGCGTCTCATTGAAGACTCACGAGCGGCTGCCGTCCGATCAAGATCCTGGGGACACATTTCGGTACCAGTTAGAGGGGCGAGTTATCGGACTGTGGAATTGGAGCAGCAAGGAAGATCACGCGCAGACCACGTTGCTGCATCGTGCAAATGGTGGATTTGACGCCGCTGACTGGAGGGGAAGGCCGCCCATGGAAGTGCCAGCGTCCAATCCGCTGGAGTTTACAATAGAGTGATACTAGTCAATATGGCCTTTTCAATTTGAGCCCAAGGCCTTGGAGTTTCCATGAAGCTGCCCATGTTATACCCAAATTCGTAAAAGAATAGAACTGAATAGAGATTCCTGTTTATTAACACTTGCCCTGGTGCCTAAACTGTCTGTCTCACTGTCTGAGTGATGCATGTAAAATCTCTAAAACCAGAAAATGAGCATTAGGCGTTATACACGGAAGTATGTTTCTTACCATAAACTTGAAAGCCATGCTATAGGCGGATCCCCGCATAATTTCCCATTTCTTCATCTGCTCTGCGTTGTTTTCCACTTGTGTTACTATCTGTTCTCCTTTGACTTGGAGAAATATCCACCTCTGTGGAACTTGTAGGGGTTTGGTGTGTATTTTCATCCGCGTACGTATCTGGCTGGTTTCTTTCGATTATCTCCTGCGCAGTAGCATATCGTTTCAGCGTTTCTTCGATTAAGGCATCAATCCCATCCTTTGAATTTTTGCTGTCACCGTATCTTAGTAGGGCGGTCTGCTCTTCGATGTGATCTAGCACCTTTGACAGTTCGGCCATATTTCTTCTGAGCCGCTGCGGTAGCCCCCTCCCTTTAAGAAGAGCAAGCAGCCCGGCAATTGAAGTGTTGAAGGCGCCTAGAATTGTGATTGCCAGCATGTGATCAGCCCCTGATGGACCTAGGGCGGTGATAGCGGCCCCTATTATTAATTGTGCAATTGAAAGCAAGTTGAACACTATATTGAATAACTGGTATTCAAATCTTTGGCGTCGCTCCTGGGAAAATAGCCTTTGACGTATGTAAACTGTTGCTGCTTCGAAAATTTGGTAATTTGGAAGTTCACCAGGAGGTCTCTCTTGGGATGGTGATTGAGGTGCAGACATGTTGTGCAATTGTCCATTGATTTATTTATTTGCCAGTATATGGCCAGGTCCTAAGCAACTTTATATGCGGGCTACAGAGAGAGCCCTGACGAAATATCGACATCAGCTTCAAGTGGCGTATTTTATTGTCAAATTACAGTCAAATCTAATACAAAGAGAACAACTGAATGTCGCAAATAGGCAAGGACGTCATCACTAAGAACCGACTTAAGGGTCCTAACTTAGAACAGGCTTTTAACTTTAGTCTTCGTCGTTTGACTAATAAGTTCTAAACAAATCTAGAATCTGTAGAATGTCAACTCCGAAAACGTCTTCAGTAATTTCAAAGCCCACTGTACCATGAGAGATAAGCTTAACCATTAACAAACCATATCTAATGTTCAAGTGGGATTAGAAATTAGCTGGTAAAATTACGGTGAGAATCCTTAACCAAAGAAAATAGCGTTATTCAGTATGTATTTTTGTTGTTTAAAGCAGAAGATATATCACCATTATCGCAAATGATGTTTTGAACCTACTTGACCAATTTCCGTCCCTGCAGTTATTCGCCTCCGGAATTCATTGTGCGCCCTCTGATACTGACAACTGCCTTGCTAATACTGAGAGGTAGCTCCTGCATCACATAATTGTATACTTTTGTTACACTCTGCTTGACTTGTACTGGATTGATAAAGGGACTTGAACAATACTATCACTTTTAAACGCTCAATCCTCATTCTCCCACTCCTTTCTTATTTCTTCACCTTTTTTATTTGGTTTTATCTTAGCTCCTTTTGCTTTTTCACCTAGAAAAATTGTAGATGGTTAGATTATCAGACTCGCGAAGAGGACCTTGGTCAAGAACAGAAATATTTGCTCACCTTTCCAACCGGGATAGTACAGCGCTCTCCTGGTGATGTTCTTTCAGCTGCCAAGGCATTCAGCCACGCGGCTAGGCGAATGCCTGCTTTGAGAATCTGCGTTTCGACAATAGGAGCAGCTCCATCATAATACTCTTCACCTAGGTTGTGATTTTCCAGCCATTCGACGCCATTCTTGAGTACAAAATCACAGTTCAGTCTGTTTGCCTCATTTGCCCATAGCATGGCGCATTTTAAAGGTTTCTGTGTGTCAGAACACTCTGCGTGGAGGGGCCTCAATCCCTGAGACTTGAACAGCTTTTGAGCCCACTTTTTAGCAGGCTCCTTTTCCTCGTTTTGCTTCAGCTTGTGTTTGAGACCATTGATTTTATGTGGAATATCCGTATCCCACACACTGTGAAGGTTCTCCTTTTCACCACCGTTATTGTCAAATTGAACGTGGATTTCGTTGCCTCCTCGACACATTGCTTCAACGTGCAGCGGTTGGTGTAGGTCACCGATGAAATGTATCAAAAATTTCAATGCTTCACCTTGCTGCTGATTCTCCACACTAGGATCCTGCACTTGATGTGTCTATTGGCTATTCAGTACTGCTTACTTGATTTGGATCTCGTTGGGCTGGAATGTCCAGACACCTGACTCACTGACCATGTTTTCAATGGCAGATATAACACAGCCATCATTACAATCTGCTTCATATGAAACAGCACACGAATCGGGTGGTTTGTCCACGGCGTCTGTCCAAATCAGCTTGTAAATCCACCATAAATACCCTCGCAGCATACCTATGAAATGCCAATTTCGAGTGTATGGACGCTGAAATTTGATCCTATCAGGCCAAACTGCCGCATCTGAGATGTCGAAGTCATCATTAGGAGCAATGAGATCTTCCACAAGTTGAGCACCCGGTTTGGTTAAGTACTTCTCAGCTAAATAGGCTACCGTTCGATGTCCGACGTCTCCCCAGCCCTGGGTGAGCTGGGCCATATAAATTAGCAACAAGGCTGACCAGAGATAATACATTGCTAAAGTATATTTGAAAGTCAAGGACTGGTTAGATGATGGTATGTTGGAAAAGTAGGGATAAGACAGTGAAAGCGACCAATTTATATGTTAGGACCAGAAGATCTAGATAATCACTGCTATTAGGCGAGAAGTCTGCCGGACAGTCTAGATTCAAAAAATCTCGCAGTTGCATTAGGTCTAAAATGTGAATATTTTGCTGTTTCCGGAAATATACCTGCTGGATGTATTATTTACCGTGGTAGTTCTCAAGTAATTATATCAGATAAGCGTAATTCAGAGCCTTCCATGGCTCGAGCAGGTCTTAGAACACTACCCGTGTCTCGGTGGCTAAATGATCCGGCCACTGATAGAGGTTCGCCAAGAAACAAAGCTAAAGTTCCCCACAACGCCACAACTACGGCAGAAAGCTTGCGCTTGTCGAATGATCTCAATGTCTTCTCCATTCTAACATTAATGATGGCTATTTCGTGACGTAGGTTATGTTTACGGGCGTTAATATGTTCTGGGATTGATCAAGATGCATCTTCCCTTCTCCACAAGACCGCTGAATCCCCACAAGGAATGTCTCCAAAGCTTATCTTTCATGCTGCTTTGTTTTTGAGCTCGGATAATTCATGCTTGACACCGCAGACACGTAATCCAATGTGATCCTCTCCCTGAAACAATCTTAGAAATATTATTGTCCGGTCGAACCATGCAGATGCCGAGAGGTCGAGAGTCTCAAGTAAAGCTATGACTTAATGAGCCAATAAATTCATGCCGTCCTTCAGCTGAGCGGCCATGCATGTCATCCTGTCTAATACGCACTCAATATTCTCACCCTGGGTTGCGCGCCAGTGCATACTTTATAGGATCTTCCCAAGTGAAACCAAATACATGCGACCACAGGGTGTGGAGAACAGGGCTTCCCGTCCGCTCAGCCGTACTTAAGCCACACGCCGGTCAGTTAGTAGTTGGGTGGGTGACCACCAGCGAATCCTGACTGTTGCATGTTTTTTTTGGGCCAGTTGACATTTTGTATTCTAAAGTGACTGACTGATAATTAGTTTAGTTAGTTTATCTTTAACCTGCGGTATTTAAGCCACATATAATGCATGGCTAATTCTTCAAGAGCCTCAATACCACTGTCCTAAACAGCAAACTGCCCTATGGCGTGAGAATATGGGTGAGATTCTAGAGAGTAGGGCAAGACAGCTGAAAATGGGGCCAGAATTATCACTCCAAAGGTGACGCAACCTGCCGAACACCATAGGAAAAGGATTTATGCCGTCATGCCTTGGACTACTAGATAGTAGTATCGTTCACTATTAGACCTCATTCCTGACACGCTCGTCGCTCTTTAAAGTCGTTTTTCTTGTCGTGCACTATAAAGTACGCTTCTGTAAAAGTTCCTTGTTCCTCGCAATCGTTCGTAGGTCTCTTATCGTCACTCGATAAATTTCGGCTTTACAGCAAATAATAGACTTGCGGGTCGATATTAGCACCTCGATTCACTTATTCTAGAATAGGAGTCGCTCCTTTCGGTTAGGGCAGCATCGATACTTCTAAAGTGTACGGCCATTATCAAGCTCCTCATTATAAATATATGCATTGATTCCGGTCGTGTGATAAAGTATTAAGGTAGACGCCATACTTAAAATTAAATTCACTTATATAACGCTACCGCACTACCAGGTCACGTATCAATACTTTTAATTGATTATGGTTCCTGGTGACAGGGTTTATCGCATTTCCAACGCGTAAAATGTTGGTTTATTAATGTCTACCTCCTCAAATCTGTTAGCAAAGTTCTAGAAAACCCAAGAAATCCTGAATATCACCCACAAAAAAACGCTGCTACCACTTAAGAACCATCTTCTTGCCGCGTAAACTGCTTTTAGATTGTTTGTGTGCTCGATCGGAATTAAGCTATGATACTGCGGTGGAAGCGGGTCACCTCCTAACTGCTTCCTGAGGGCAAAAGCCATGAACGACTCGGGAAGAATATTGACTTGGCGAAATGCGACGACCCAGAGCTGATCATCTGCGTCAACTAGAAAATGTGATTTATTGATTGCTGTATAGCAACATATCATCCTTTCGAGACTAAAATCAACCTTATGCTGCTCCAGGTGGGGCATTTTGAATTCTTCAAGAACCTAAGATAGAGATCATATTAGACGCAATGCTGATTGAAGTGAGTAGAACTTACGCGATTCATATGGGTCTCTAAAGCCTGAACAGAAATATACTCTGTTTCTGAAAGTCCATGTTCCCAAAAAATGTTCATGTTAACAAGGCCACCCCCAAGAGGGCCTGGTGTTGCATTAACAGGAGGCTTGATGGAAACAAGTTCAGCAAGAGCTTCAGCCCTCTGTGTATCGGACGCGATATTATCAATTTCAATAAATTGCATGATGATATATAGATCATTCGGGGTACTAAAACAAGCGTAAATTTCTGGGATCCGAATAGCTAGATTGGCTCGTTGATTAACTTTATCAACTAAAAATTGCTGGTTTCGCCATTCGCTAGCAGTGGTGCCGTATTTGATGAAAAGCTTTTGTCCCTCGTGGGTATATGTCAGATGGTTGTCCCTGTCAAAGGGGTTGCTCCTCTCAAAGGCTTCTTTCTTGCAAAGCTTTTTGATTGGGTCTTTGCTAGGCAAATCTGGGGCGCTTGACGAGAGAAAATTAATAACACCAGCGGTGTTGTTTGTCTTAGCCATTTGAGTTGAGGTTCTTGGTTGAGGATAATTTCAAAACCTGGAAGCCTGGAAAGTTTCAGATGTTTCCGAATTGGCGGAGGAAGGAGAACCACGGTGTTTAAATAGGATCCTGGGATGTAAAGAAGATCTCATATTTACGTAATATTGACTATTATATAGAGAATGGATAGGGACAGTGTGTATGGCTGACCTATAACCTGCCTTACCGAACCTCGGGCCCGAGACGAATGTTTAAGGCAATGAGTGGCTTGCGTCCTGATCAGGTGTAAGGGTGCCTGAGGTGTCAGCGCCCGCCGTCTCTCGTAGATCTTCCCATCTGGGAGACCACCTTTAGGAATACGCTCTCTCTCTTTCTCTTCTTCCTCTCTCTGTATCTGGTGATCTCCATTATAGCAAGTGATTCAGTTCAACAAGGATATGCGCATGGCAGGAAAAATTAAGCTTTACGAGATACTTGATGCATCGCACGATCCATTCGTTTGTGCTTCACGATCAGGGCATCAGAAAGAGATGGAAGATATGATTCGTAATATTTGGCAATCTATTCGGGACTTGAACTTGAAGTTATGAACCTGCCTTTTCCAAGTTTGTATACGTTAACTATAGACATTGTCTTGTGAAGATTAAAGTTGATTCTGCATTCTTGATCAAGATTCATAAACTAGTCTCTCTCTAGGAATTATTCTTGCCAATTCAAAGATCTGTGTGTATGTTGAACGTCATAGGGGAATATGACAAAGCTATTAATGGAAGGTTATATCAAGACTTAGACCGCGACGGATTACCCAAAAAGCATAATATACCCTCAAACAAGGCAACCCCAGATAGTCCTACGAGTGATATACAGTAGTACCTCGGTATACCTTCGTGAATTTAACCTGTTACTTGATCGTAAGCTACGCTCCATTGACTGGAGCCTCTTTCCCTATTAGCAAGGGTTATTTACAGTAAGCATTGGGACTGCTCTAATAGCTACGCATTTTGTTCGCTAATTTCATACAATTCCTATTGATGGGAAGCCTGATGGAGGCTATATAGCTTTATGGTGTGTTGCGTCACTTCGACTTAAATCCATTGACTTTCGAAGAAAAGCAACATTGCTCCGCAAGGGCGGATGGACTTTTATCTTCAACCTTTCAATGGATTAGTTTTTTGATTGGCCCTCAGCTTTATGTCTGCTTTTGACAAAGTGCTGGAAATACTGACACGTGAACTCCATTTCCATTAGGTTTTGGAAAACGGCCAGGTGATTGGGAACATTTTAGCAGCGGCGCTGTCTGATCTTTCTCGTGACTCGGGATGACCCATATGTCCCGGCGGCCTAGACGGCGAAATGCCGGCCTTCAGCTTTCCCCACAGTTTAACCATTTATTTTGCGGAGACCTTACAGTACTTCACCCAGCTTCCCCAGACAAAGCATCTCGTATTTATACGAATGCAGCACCCCTCCGGAATTCACTCATTGAAATCTACAGTCTTGGCCAAATACCTATTATTCAACCGCGACCATAGCCATGTCTGGTCACCCAACTGATGAAAAATCAGCCCAGGAATGGGAGGAGAGCGTTGATCATGCTACAGGGGTAACTCTGGCAGCAGCCTATGTCCCCGGCTGTGACGCTGAGAACAAATTACTTCGGAAACTAGACTTCCGCATTATTGTATGGCACCATTCCGTCTTTGAGAGTATCAGGAGGGAGCTATTCCTAACTCAACGATTTAGCCATGCTGCTGGATACTCTTTGTCATGGGTTATCTCGATCGCGCCAATATTGGGTTCGTGATGCTTTCACCCATTTCAAAGAACTTATTTTTGTGATATAAAGCTGACCCAACTTCTTCAAACACAGAAACGCAAAAACTGGAGGGCTTGATGATGACTTCAACCTGACATCTAATCAATACTCAGTCATTCTGCTGTTGTTCTTCGTCTCTTATGTCATCTTCGAGATTCCATCCAATATGGTCATTGCCCGAGTGAGGCCATCGCTGTATCTTTGTGGCCTGGCTTTGGTATGGGGGGTGGTCGCTGCTTTCATGGCTTTGACACAGAATTGGCAGCAGCTCGCTGGGGTCCGCTTTGTTCTTGGGTTTGTTGAATCAGGATTTGCCCCAGGTATTGCATTCTATCTCTCATCATGGTATGTCTTGGAACCCAATTCTAGATTTATTTCAGCATGGAATCTCATCTCTATAGGTACCGTCGATATGAGCTTGCCAGTAGGTTTGCGATTTATTATACTGCCGTTCCAATTGCAGGAGCTCTATCGGGGCTACTAGCTGGCCTTATCACCGAATATCTTGATGGAGCACGTGGAATAGCTGGATGGAGATGGCTATTTGTATGGATCATTTCCCCCAAATTGACTTGGCATCGCTAATAATCCACCGAGTATCTAGATTATTGAAGGCTGTGGTTCAACTTTTGTGGGATGTGTGCTCTGGTTCTTCATGGCTGACTATCCTTCAAATACTCGTTGGCTTAGTCCTGAAGAGCAGCTTCTCGCCGCACAGCGTCTTGCCTATGACGGTCTGGGTAACGCCCAAAGTGCTCATGAAAGGATTACCGAGAAAGAAGCCCTTAGGATGGTAGTTACAGACTGGAGAACCTGGATCCTCGCTCTCCTTTACGCCCTTGTGACTGGAGCGCAAACCATCCAGTATTTCATTCCAACATTGGTGGATTCTTTTGGCTGGAAGGACTGGGAAGGGCAATGTAAGTTTCTCAGTCTTTTCCTGGTCGGCATTCAATGCTAATGATTTAGATCATACAATTCCACCTTATGCTTGCGCTATCGTCTGCATTCTGGTAATGTCATTCATTGCTGACTATTTCAAAAACAAATCCTACTTCATCTTTCTCTTTTCCGGAATTGGGACTGTGTGTTTCATCATTGTCTGTGCTAGCACTAATAACATCGTGCGCTGTAAGGCTCCTTGTTATTCTTCGGACTTCATATATTGGATGAAATACTAACCCAATCTATTCAGATATTTTTACCACATTTGCATTTGGGTGCATCTATGGCACTTCCCCATTGGTGCTCATGTGGGTAGCCAATACCATCTGCTACCCTGCTGAAAAGAGAGCTGTTGCCCTTGGGCTTGTAAACGCTCTCGGGAATACGGCTTCTATTTACGGTGTGTTCTTGTGGCCAGATAAGGACGCCCCTCGTTATATTCCTGGGTTCAGGTATGTATACTTTGTCTTCCAGTCTCATGCTAGTGAGACTAACCTATTAATAGTGCGACTACCATCTGGATGGGTGGTATCTGTATCATTGCATTGGTTGGGGGTTATCTCTTTAAGAAGCACCTCATTGAAGCGCCGGATCCCGCGGACGTGCTAGCAGCGGAAATTCGCCGACAGCGAGAACGAGGACAGATTTCTGCCAAGGCATGATTAGGAAATATACGGAGGCCGGAATACGCAAGTATCGTCTGCTTGCAGTCTGCATGGTGTTAATGTCGTCGGGTAAGCGAGTACTACATATTTAATGTGGCAGCACGCCGCAATATTACCACCACTGAGATGCATGACTTGTCTGAGTAACAAACTGGGAGATTATCTGTATATCGTACGCTCGTGATAATAGGTCTATCTGAGAGTACAGAGAAAGTCGTTTTTGTAGAATTTTACAAACAGTTTCGCTGCCAAAATGTGATGAAATGGTCTGTACCTTCGAAGCCAGCTGGCACGAGCAGTGAAGCTACCCTGTGGGTTATATAAACGCTATCGTGATAGTCGCTACGTGATGCCGTACTAGTAGAAGTGCAGCTAGCTTTCTTGGCGAATCCGATATCGCCCGCATTTGTTCGCCTTAACCACAGGTCCCACAGTACTCGCGAACGCTCATAACCCAGCTGATTGGAACACCTCATGATTAGTGGAGAACAGAAATCCAGACCCGAACCACTGTTCGAGTTTTCCTGGACATACCTGTCACTATCGAGTCACTCTGACTTTTGAGTTTGGTGAAACACTTGCGATCCTGCAGCCGAAGTGAATCTCGGCACACCCTGAGAACGCGATCATGCCCAAGTGTTCCATCTCTGACCCCGAGATCACCGCTCATCTCTTCTCCAAGCTCCCATTTGAGCTGCGGATCATGATTTGGCGTGAATGCCTACCATACCGAGTCTGCGAGCTGGACCTTCCCAATTATTCCACAATATTTATGGACAGGAAAGAATGTCCATGTAAGCTCCAACGAACGATGACACAAAATGGGACCCCGACAGTTATCGCTCGTGTATGTAGCGAGGCTCGCACTGTGGCGACGGAAAATTGCCCTATTCCCCGAGGACGGGAAACGGAAGAGGCATATTGGTCGGCTGTCACAACAGTGGCACCGTCGCTAGATCCAGTGCGCGATTCAGTGCACCTCAATTGGACACCTGCTTAATAACAATAATAATAAAATTACATAAACTTGCCTCTCCTTGTCACTTTCCCAGCAGCAACTCCAGTTGCGTATCTGACTTAGACACCCAAAAGTCCAACCTAGGTGGACTTCACATGACGCACATGATGGATAAGCAAAGCGCAACGACTTCTGTTGCCTCAACAAAGGAATTATCAGATCTGTCTCGTGGCAGGGCACAAACAACGGATCCTTACTTCGGACAAGCCGCATCCAAGTCGCTGCAGGTTGTACGTCCCAGAGGCCTTGCCGCGCCGTGAAATATAGACACCTAAACTCCTGAGCAATCACAGGATGTGGTTAACCGCCCGTCCGTGCTGTTGGTCCGTGCTGCTGATCCCTCGATCTAGGTGGACATTTTATTGGCGCCAATATCGGCTCCGGCCCAATACGACACAAGAACCCCTCAGATAAATGGCTTCCTTCCCACACCCCACATTGCACATCCCACATTTGGTTTCTCTTTCATTAATGACTCATTACAATGGAAAAGAAGTTCAGATCTTTTAGATCATTTTTTCGCGCGCGGTCTTCCAACAACGACCCGACCGGTACAGGGAATGGAGCCAATACTTCAGCCTCCAAATCAGTTCACTCCGTTACCACCCACCGCGAGGGTCAGACCTCTTCACTTTCCCCTTCTTCAACAGTGGTAATTGATTCTGGAAACCAAAAAGCAACGCAGAAGCCAAAGAGGAAAGCCGTCGACATCCCACCAGATGAACTCTGGCATCAAGCCTACGATGGTCTCAAAACCGAGGAACCAGAGCTATTGCAGGGCTATGAAAGATTACTTTCAACTGAGCTACCTTTGTATCAGACGGACAAGGTCATTGGCCAGAGCCAGAAGAACAAACTATCTCAAATGAATCTTCTTTTGGAGGCTGGTTTGAACAAGACAGCCAAAATCAGCAAGATAGAGGGAAAGTTTGGCGAGGCCATCGACGTTGCTCGGTCTGTTAGTGAGCCAGTGGGCGTTGGCCTAAACACTGTTCCCGCTGCTGCTGCTGCATGGGCTGGCGTCTGCGTTGCTCTAGAGGTGAGTTTTTTTAAATTGCCCTGATCCACCAACTTCTCCTCCTTTCTTTCCAGAGTTCTCCGATATCTTTTCTGCCGTGTTTTCACCTCTAACAAATCCCTAGATTTTGTCAAACCCAATAACTGAGGCAGAGAAAAACCGCGAGGGAATCACCAAGGTTGTTCTCAAGATGAAATGGTATTCTAGTCTCTCAAAAATCTTCGACCAAAAGAGCTCCATGGCAAACGACGACTTTACCGAGCTACGTGAGCAATTGGCCGAGCGCATTCTCTGTTTATACAAAGCAATCCTCCAATACATCATCGAAACTATCTGCTCCCACCATCGCAAACAAGGTGTGAGATTCCTGAGAGATTTGGTCAAATTGGATGACTGGGATGGGAAACTGAGTGGTGTTGAAGGAGCTGAGGCGGCTGTAAAAGCGGCTGCTGAAGATATTGGGATCCAACAAACCAGCTCATACCTCGAACTCCTTGTCAATATGCGTCGGTCTGAAACAGACGACGCAATAATGGAAAAATGTTGCGTCTCAGACATGGACGCGGACATCGAACTTCTCCAGGGACTCAAAGACAAGTTGCTACCTGAATCGTATGAATGGGCTCTCCATACTAAGGAATACATCAATTTTACCGATTGGCATCACGGCAATTCCAATAGGCTCTTGTGGATGAGAGGAGATGCCGGAAAGGGGAAAACAATGCTACTCATGGGTATTGTTGAAGATCTCAAGGCCCGATTGGAGACTCGCTTTGATGAATGTTGTCTGTCATACTTCTTTTGCCGCGGTACAAGCGACAACGTCAACACAGCAACGTCGGTTCTGCGAGGGTTGATATGGATGCTTTTGCGCCAAGAAAAATCACTCATCCATCATCTTGATGCATTCAAAGGAAATCAGTCAAATGCGTTCAATGATGGCTCGGCATTCTTCAAATTGAAGAAAATTTTCCTTCAAATTCTCCAAGATAGCTCCTTGGGGAGAGTGTACTTTGTAATTGATGCCCTCGACGAATGCAAAAGGGAGGAACCTGGTTTAGGGCAACTTTTGAACCTAGTCACCGAAACGACTAAAAACGACAAGGTGAAATGGCTATTGTCAAGTCGGAATGAACACGAAATCGAAACCTTCCTTGGCAAGGGTACGACACACTTCCAACTCAGTCTCGAAGTGAATTCAGCGGCTGTTAAACATGCCGTCAACGCCTATATTGACCGTAAGGTCTCAGATCTTGACGAGAAGTATCGAACTGATTACAAATCAATCTTGGCACCTAAGCTTCAATCACAGTACGAAGCCGAACGTGCTAAACAGCTCGAAAACGAACTTTCTCAAACATTGGGCCAATTCAAAGGCAAGCTCAAAGAAAAAGCAGACGGCACTTTCTTGTGGGTAGCTTTGGTCATGAAGGAACTGAAAGATGTCAGCCCCGATGAACTACTTCAGAGAATTGAGCAAATTCCATCAGGCCTTGATGGAATTTACACTCGAATGTTGGTCAGTATGAATAGTTCCAATTACGCAGCAAAGTGCAAGAAATTGCTCTTGATCATGACAAGCGCATATCGTCCTCTCTATCTAGACGAATTGCTCAGACTGGCCAACTTTACAGATTTCGCTGTTCCCCCCCAGCTTGTGAAACGATGTGGCCTCCTCGCTCTAGGGGATGATGATAATATTGTTTATTTTGTGCATCAGTCTGCGAAGGACTACCTTGTTCAAGCCCAAGGTCCAGAGGTCCTATCCAGTATTTTTCCACATGGCCACACCGAGGGACACCACATGATAGTTACTCAATCGCTTGAGGATATGAAGAAATTGAAACGAGATATCTATGGACGGAAACACCCTGGCTTGTCCATCGACGAGCTCGAAGACTCCAAAAAATATGGAGCTCTACTTAAACCTCTCCGATACTCTTGTGTTTATTGGGCCGACCACCTTTCGGATTCTGAAACCAACTTTCAATCAAGCAGCTTTTGCGATGGCGGTATAGTCAATGAGTTTTGGAAGACATGCCTTCTCTATTGGATTGAAGCTCTCAGTCTCATGGGAAACTATTCAGTTGCGGTGTCCACTTCAGTTAAAATCATCAAATTGCTTTCGGTATGCCTTAACATCGATGTTGAACTATATATCGGAATATAACTAACAAATCTAGAATCTCTTACTTCAACCACAATTCCTACCCTTGGTTCGAGACTCTCATCGGTTCATTTTATCGGCCAGAGGTGTCGTCGAACGCTACCCTTTGCAAATCTATGCGTCGGCACTCGTCTTCGCCCCAACGGGTAGTCTGACGCGAAAGGCTTTCGAGCATGAGGAGCCAGACTGGCTTGTAACAAAACCCCTGGTTGATCCAGAGTGGAGTCAATGCATACAAACCCTCTACGGTCACTCCGCTTATGTTACTTCGGTTGCATGCTCTCCTAGTGGTACACTCATAGCATCTGGATCCTGGGATCATACCATTAGGGTCTGGGAAGAAGAAAGTGGTCATCTCCTCAAGATACTGGTGGGCCACAGGGACGTAGTCTCTTCAGTTAGCTTTTCTCCCGATGGCACACTCATTGCATCCGCATCACGGAATGGCACCATCAAAATTTGGGACGTTAACAATGGAGAATGCCTGAGAACCTTTTCTATCAGCAAACATCACAAGAACCGTGTGGTATTTTCCCCTACGGGTCAGATTGCTGCGATATCAGAACCTGGGACTCTCAAGATTTGGGATCCTCACCGTGGTGAATGTCTGAATTCTATCACGTCATTTGATGGAAGATCGCCCGCCGCCTTCATATCTAGCGAACGTCTTGCAGTGTATAGTTCTGAAAGGCAAATCGAAACCTGGGATGTAGTCAAGGGCACATGCATCCGGGTATTTGGCCATGCAGATTCCGCCGACAATATTTCTGTTTCTGCTGATAAACAAATGGTTTCAGGGTCGCGTGGTAACAAACTCGAGGTCTGGGGACAGGAAGGTGTCTGTCTTCTTACCCTAGGTGACCCCCATGACGAAACTGACCGTCAGCTTAACCGCCGTCGTGGCTATTCCACGGTCGCCTTTCTTCCTAATGGAAACCTCATATCTGGCTCTAGGGATGGATCTGTGAATATCTGGGATCTCCACAGTGGGGATTTGCTCAACAAGATGACAGGCCATACTAAGAGTGTCAAATCGGTGGCTTGTACCACGAGAGGTAATGTGGTATCTGGAGGGGTGGATAACACCGTCAGACTTTGGAATCCTATACCCACCCATCGCAGCTCCCTTGAAAGGCCACCTCTTGTGTCTTGGGCTTTTGCGTTTTCAGCAGGGAGGATTGCATCTGGATATTACGACGGCACTGTGAGGATCTGGAATTCCAATGATGGACGCTGCCTCAAAATCCTTGACCGTGGCAAGGAGGCATTGCGGTCCAACTCACTCGCATTCTCTCTTGATGGAACCCTCGCGTCGGGCTCAGATGACGGGACAATAAGCGTCTGGGATTCGGAAGGTGACGAGTGTCTCCATACACTGGAAGCTCATGATAAGGTGAAATCAGTTGTTTTCTCTCCCGATGGAACAATCATCGTGTCAGGCCTGTCGAATGGAGAAATTCAGATTTGGCAATCAACGGATGGTGTCTGCCTTACAAGGTTCAGAGCTCATGATCGTGAAATCCGCAAAGTTTCCATGTCGTCTTGTGGCATGATTGCATCGGCGGGCTTTTATGACGGCATTATCAAACTTTGGCAGACAAATGGCGCCCTACTGAAGACCGTTTATTCCCGCCATCTTTCCCCTCTCGACGGATTGACATTCTCCTGCGATGGCACACGGTTACTATCGCATGACAAACACAACTTCATTGTTTGGGATACTAGCAGCGGCGAACGCCACCAACAGGTCAAAAGCAGAGAGTACAGCTTGGAAAAAGCATCGGAACTCCTTGGTCCCGGTCCAAGACATCACTATGCTCTTGACTACGACCAAGAATGGATCACCTATGAAGGGGAGAAGGTTCTTTGGTTGCCTGCGGAGTATCGCCCATACTACAGGTCATGGGCGGTTGATCGGGCTGATGCAGGAAACCATCTCATCATTTCCAACGACTCGGGTCGAATGTTGATATATGGGTTTTCGACCTCTCAAACCCCTCTCTGATTTGTCTTTTGCTTTCATGCCTTTTATCTAACGCTCTCTCATGGCATCTAGAAGCGGTATCATCCATTGATCCTCGTGTGTCTTCTTCTTTTGGGACTTGTTACTGAGGCAGACCTCAGAGGCGAACGAGTACATTGTAGAATTTATTTCAGAATCCTGTGAAGATCTAGGAAATCAGGACTTTCCACTGTGACAACTGGGATGAGTAAGTTTCTACGTAATCATGTCGAGCTCGTAGATTGGTCCCATGCATTTTTCATCAATTTTGTTTACAGACCAACTATAGAAATTGCAATTCAATTCTAAACATATGTACCGTATGGTAAACCTGGCGGTGATGTACGGGAATCAGCGGCCGAGCAGCTCCAGATACAGGTGATAGAGACGAGTAGAACGAAGCTCGGCGAGGATCATCCTAAGAAAACTCGAAGAGATGATTATATATACTACGTCACGTGGTTTTATACGCAAGTATTAGAACGGGCGGGAATAAGAAGACACATTATATACTATAAAGAGCTGGCCTACTCTTCGAGGCTATAAGAGTACAGTTAAAACTAATGGGCCAACCGGGGGGCGGGGGCGGGTGCAGGTGCGTAGGGGCCAAGTACTTTGAAAGTGTCACTGGAGACGTCTACTGATGGACCCGACACAAACTTCATTATAGGGTTATACCTGACGTCAGCCTTATCCCGTAATTTCTCACTTCAATACAGTTGTCCGGGCTGCAACAATGAATAAAACAACACATAAGAGATGCCCCGATCAGTCAACCAGGCCATCAGGAAGGTCATAGACAGGCACATTGGTAGGTAATCGCCCCCTAAAGTCAGACCCCCAACGCTTCGCGGTTGTTAGTTTTTGACTCTGCGAAAATTGTTTGGCGTGACTGATAATATCCAAAGAGCGGCGACAAACCATCCGATGGGTTCCATAACTCAGTTGGTTAGAGTGTGGTGCTAATAACGCCAAAGTCGAGGGTTCGACCCCCTCTGGAACCACGTTTGTTTTACACTTTTTTTAGTGGATCTATCCTGTTTTAGGCCAGTACTAGCTAGATGCCGCTTTGTGGCCGAGACACTAGCTAAAACCAATCTAATACCCACTAACATGGCCCGACTACAATGGGCGGGTATGTGGTATAGCATTCCTATGGAATGGGATCGATTGAGACTGACCTATTAACGCTGAATAGCTAAGCTACATTTAATAGCGTATACTCAGATGCGGATTATGGCCTATGCGATTAGAGGAACCAGGTGCTCTTACTTCTTTCTACCTACGGCGTCTATGACCTTCCTAATGCAGCCTGGTTTACCGATCGGTGTACGTCTTATACGTTGTTTTATGTCAGGGTAGTCTCACGATACACCTGATAGGGAGGTTTTACGGATTCGAGCAATAGAGGCTCGCAGTATGACTTGGGTGCGACCCAGTATGATTCCAAGACTGATCGCTGGCTCCTGAAACTCAGGTGCCAGCGAGCCCTTTTATATACAGGCATTTGCCCCGCTCATCCACGACATCATGCGTGCGATCAGTGGGCAGTTGTGAGGCAGCGATAGCCTTAAGAATCAGGCATATAGTCGCAGCATGACGGTATGGTACAGTTGCCCTCACATTTTATTCACTATTGACTATTAACAAGGGTAGCAAAGTCTGGTAATCAGATGACGGACAAATGCCGATTAAAGATAGTCATCGTACCCTGGTAGCTAGTTTTGCCGAGACATTAGACCTGTGATAAGTTAGACAGATAATCGCCCCCTAAAGTCGGACCCCCAACGCTGCGCGGTTGTGGGGCCTCCCCAGTCTAATGAAATTTCAGTCTAATGATAATTTTTCTTCCACCCACCAACTTCTTCCTACTATTACCCACCACCACAATGCCCAAAAAATCAGACGAAGCCGAGGATCGCATCCAGGAGGCCTTACAAGCCTACCATGATCGCGGGAAGCCTAAAATCGCAGCGGTCGCGCGGGAATTTAGCGTTGATTACCAACGACTTGTACGACGCGTTCATAGGCACACATCTCGTTCAGTGCGCCAGGGCCCTAACAAATGCCTAGATAAATCCCAAGAGCAGGCATTGATTAACTAGGTGGATCTACTATATCATGCAAATCTTCCACCAACTCTAGGAGAGGTTGAGTCTACAGCAAATCAAATTCTAGAGCGAAGTGGCTCTACGCGACGCGTTAGCAATAATTAGGCCTATAGATTTCTAAAACGCCACCCTAACGACTACGTTCCTAGTACCCAAAAAATCATTGAGGCAGAGCGAATGGATGCAGAGCGATTACCCCTTATTGAGGATTTTTTCCATCGCCTAGATGTAGTGCTACAACAGTACCAAATTAGGCCAAAGAATATCTACAATTTTGACGAAACTAGCTTCCAACTTGGCCAGGGAAAATCCTAGCGCGTCGCTAGTCAGCAGAGGGATAGTATTAGGCCTATATCAACAGGTGGAATTGCAGAATTAGTGACCGCAGTCGAATGCATTACAGCAGACGGATGGTTAATACCTCCAATGATCATATTTACGGGCACAGTTCATCTTGAGAGTTGGTTCCGTAACCAGCCAGATTTACCAGATAATTATATTATTGGTACGTCAGAGACAGGATGGAATAATGAGGTAAGCGCTTACTACTCTACTCAATTAATTGATTAATTAAGATTAATAGGTGCACGCATATCAATGGTTACAATATTTTGACTAGCATACCAAACCCTGACTTCTACATCGTACGGACTATAGGCTTCTAATTGTTGACGGCCACAAATCCCATAAAGCGCATGATTTCATCAATTTTTGCCAACAAAACAGAATTATTGCACTCTGTTTCCCATCAAAGCTTACACACCGGCTTCAACCACTCGATTCGCACCCATTCCTCACATACAAGCACTATTATCGAAAACATAATAATCAGACAAAGAAATAGGGTGGTTCAGTTGCAGAGAAGCCAGATTTTCTACGTTCTATCCATAAAATCCGGATGCAGACCTTCACAGGATCAGCTATCCGGCACTCATTCAAAGACTACGGGATTTGGCCATTTAATCCAGAGGTTATTTGTGAAGAACTTCGCGGAGATACTAGACTAGATCTAGTAGTCTATGATAGAGGGAAAGAATACGAACTTAATAAGTTCGTCCGAGGGGAAATCGAAGGGGAAGTCGAAAATGCATCCCAACCACAGACTCCACCACCACCAGCGTCAAGTTCTACTATAAATTCTCCACCAACAACGGTCACAAAATTACGAAAAAATATTTCCAAAGTCAGGAAGAGCTTCTCAGCTAGTGCTACCCCTGATTTGGCGAAAATCCAGCGCTATTTGGAGGCAATTTATGAAGGGAGCATTACCCAAGCGGAATTTGCTGCCCAGACCTCCGCCGACATGTCACGCCTCCTTACCAACCAGGAGGCGGCTAATTCCCCCAAATCTAAGCGCTAGGTAGGTAAAGGAGGTGTTCTTAGTGTTAGGGACTCGAGAACCCTCATACAGTCGCGGGATATCCAGGAGGCCGAGAAACAAAGACGGAAGTGGGAACGTGAGGCTAAACAGAAGCGCGCTGAAATCTGCCGCCAGGGCGAAATTAGGGATCAGGAAAATCAGAGAAGAGAGGCAGAGCTTGAATGGGTCAATGGAGATGACGGCCAGCCACTTTATACTATTGATAGCCGTGGGGGGTTTTTGTAAATAGCATCAAAAGTTGGTAGGTAGGGTAAAAATTATCATTAGACTGAAATTTCATTAGACTGGGGAGGCCCCACAACCGCGCAGCGTTGGGGTTCCGACTTTAGGGGGCGATTACAACCTATATTGTGCCGCTAGGTACATAGCGATATTCGTCTACTAGGAGCAGTGTCGTGTGCCGACTATAGAGAGGCATCCCATAAAATAGATTGCATGCTGTTTACGGGCATTATTGAATATTGACCAAGGATCACTCCTCCCCAAGCGCCATCGCTAATACAGTTGACGTAGGGCAGTCGGTAGATTAATTACACGGCAATTTACACTGCCTAGTCTAATAAAGCAGACCCGTGACATAGACAGCTCATTATCACGTCGCCCTTGTAGGTTGTGTTAGCGTGAGCAACGAACTGTGTCAAGTACATCGCGAAGCATCAGATCCTCATCGGACATGACCGTGGACTAGCGGTCATATTGCAATATTGGCACTGCTAACGACAGGTGGTGTCAAAACTACCCAGATAAGTCAGAACAGCGGTTCAGTTTGAATTACACATATTGCCGTAGATAGAGAGCTGGGGAGAGATTTCTTAGGTTTTCTATGGGTCAAAAAAAGTTAGGGAAAGCACCTAAAGCGAGTTGGTTCCAGAGGGGGTCGAACCCTCGACTTTGGCGTTATTAGCACCACACTCTAACCAACTGAGTTATGGAACCTAAGTACTTGAGAATAATTGGCATTCTTACTATTATTTAGCCGCTACCAGCTACTCCAGTATTTGAATTGAGCTGGCCCACACTATTAATCGGGTTGACAGTGATGCAAAAATACTCCGCACCTAGGCAAATAAAGATTCCTATACTGCACATAATTTTAAAGAGAATACTAACATGATAAGCCTATCACAGCAGACTCAGACATGGTCAAAATTTCTGCTGTACATTCTCCTATTATAATAGCTCGAGACAGTGAATATATACCTACCTCGTCAACATGTCTATAAGTATATCGAAAACCGGATACTAGAAGGACCGTCGGTAGCTTATTGCACAACCCAACATTAGCTGAATGTGATTGATATGATAGATAGAAACAAATCCGTGAAAGCGAGTAGCTGCCTAGCAGGTTTTGCGTCCTTATACCAAGGAAGCTACACCCTATTAGTATACGATCCCTATAAGATATCCTTCCAGGCAATATCGAGCATTATCGGGGTTAGAAAGGTTAGAAAAAGCCATGTAAGCTCGACCCAGCTGTGATCAGCCCTAAATAGAGTTCAGCGAAGCATTGAGCATACTATAGTCGAAACAGTACGGGTCACATATGCTCTAAGATCCTTCGGGCTCTAGGCAGTTGCTAGTGATGACAGCCTATAAAAATTGCATTTATCTCGTAGCACAAGAGATCCTACGCTTCTATCATCTTATACCAAACAATACTATACCTCTACGCCAAGAATGAATTCGGGAGCCTACAATATTTTGCTTGTAGATTTCGTAATATCACGTATGGCTAAGCCAGCGGCATTTGGCGTCAGCTCTGATAAGATAATGCCTGTTTAGAAGAGGAATCAGAAATTTACGCTGTGTAGCCATAAAACGGTATATATATCTATATAAGGTTTCTGCCGTTTTTGGAATTGCTTACTGGCCACGGCGAGCTTTTTGGAAGAGTTAACCATTTTGTCTCTGTAGGGCAGACCCTTCACGAACCACAGCATTTGCACTCCACATAGAGCGAGAATCTGGTCCTCCACTAATCGATGCACTATATAGAAAGAAAAATAACTTCATAACACCAAGCTCTTTCTCCTCAACCGGTATCAGATTTAATGGTAGTTGACAGAGAGAGTCGCCACCAAAAGCTCTAAAGAGAAAGTGTGCCCAGCTTCCATCCAAGGAGCAGGAAATAGTAGTGAAACTGAACCAGATCAGATCTCGGTCTTAGCCATCCATTAACTTGCTTCCCCGAGGGCTGATTCTTTCAGCTGTCCTCTGCTAGCCAAGCGATGTACCCAAGGATAAGGATTTTACGTATCTATGCGCACGCAAATGTAGGGTAGGACAGAGTATCAGTGGTTAAAGCACATAAAATTCAAAGCCAGTAAGGACTGTGCTTTAAGGTCTATGTAAGATGAATCAAGCATTCGGTTCTCATGGAAGAATCGTGTCGGCATGTTAGTTCCAAGTTAGGTCGTAAATCCACGGGGTACTCTGTAAAGAGTGGAGCGTCTTCAGGCTGACTAGCATCGTAGATGTAGCCGCCATATCATAGCATAGGGTGAGTGCTTTATTGTTGAGTTAAGTGGCACAGCGGAGTAAGGGAGTTGGCAATCTTGGGTTGTTCATAGCGGGGGAAGTGGACTCGGTCTGGGCTTGGTAGGCACATTGGTAGGCACTGGTTTTCTGCGAAAATTGTTTGGCATGGCTCATGACGTCAAAAGTAAGAGCGGTCAAAAGCTGATGGGTTCCATAACTCAGTTGGTTAGAGTGTGGTGCTAATAACGCCAAAGTCGAGGGTTCGACCCCCTCTGGAACCATGTTGTCTCTTTTTGGGGGATTTTTTTTCGGCCGTGCACTTTAAAATCCCCGTCTGTCGTGTTTTAGGTCCTGAGCCACTGAGGAGCATGTTCAACGGTTGAATCCAAGCATTGGTAATTTTTAGGTAAATTGGCAACTACTGGGGATCTTACTGCTTCTGACTCCTAGACAAGAAAATCCGCTGTCTAAACGTGTATGTATATATTGATTGCTATAGAGTAAATGACCCAGTGCCTATAACGCCTATGCAAAGTGATTATCGAGAAAGTATATAGATGATTGATCAGTATATATATCAACGCTATCAAACGAGACTACTAGGCCGGTTATGTGGTGTATAACCTAGGCTAAAACCAATAATAATTAGGTATACAATGTGTATATATGGAAACTTTACCCAGTATTCATTTCTTTCTCGGCGCACATTCTGAGGCTACCTAGCTCTTTGTCGGTCATCTTCGTCATCATTAGTAGCAAGGGGGCGAACGTTTAAGGGTACACAGTTCATAACCACGACTTTACTAAGAGTTTTTGGCGGAGCCATTAGGACTCCGTCTGGTCTGCAGCGCTTCTGGGGGTTGTTTGTTCGTTTGTTTGGGATGGGGTTTCTCAGCTCACTACGTAGCTCTCGCTCTCTTTCCTTGTCTCTCTCTCGAGATTTGAGCTCAATCTACTGGCTTTGTTCTTCATTTCTCCACTGGTCACAGTCGTTCTCGTACTGGACCAGCATCCACAGTTTTACTCCTTGTCTTTTCTTATAGCTAGAATTTCGAACTTCACTAGGTGTGTACATATCCAGAGTCAGCATGAGCCACAGACTAAGTATCTCAAAGGAAAAGCCAGAAGAACCGGGAAGAGCTTGCTTAGCACAAGCCTAAGTAAACTTAGACGTTCCTGGCCACGGTGTCTTGTATGTCATACTGACAGCATGTGATTGCTGGTTTCCCCGTCCTTATGCTGGCGCCACTAGTCTGTGTAAAGTGACGCTCTCTAACACGCCGACTAGCGTGTTCATACGCATAGGAAGCCTGCTCCCCCTAGAGCTTTGAAGCCATGTATCGACTTTATTGCCGGACGCATTGCGGCCTTTGATCGATATTGCGAGTCGACTAGACGGATCGTAATGCATTGTTTCACGTGTGTAGCGATGAGGAACTGCCATCTTGTAGTGATGGGATTTCACGATAACCCTGCTCCCCGGTGAGATGTTTAGCGATTGAGGTAGAGTGATGAAGAATTACCGGCACATAATATAACCACGTTTGCGGTATGGATCACACTGCACAGTTCTCTCCTTGCCGGCGAGCTGATATACTTTCAGGTTGTCAATGGCGTTCTGTTCTTTGGAGTCAATTATAAAAAATAATTACTATTAATTTCACTACTATAACATTATAAATAAATAAAAAACTTACGGTCGCTTCCTCTGTTTCAGCTAGTATTATATAAATTCATCTATATATAGTTATATGACTCTCGCTTGCCTACTTTAATACCTGAAATATTAGGCACACAAATAATAACGTGGTCGGTAAGCGAGTGAGCCATGTAAGCGAGCGAGCCACCCAACCACTTTTTCGCGTCCTACCGCGTTCATCTATCTCCTACCCACCACCATGCCTCCAAATCAGGTCAGATTGCGCCAGGATTCGATCCAGCAAGAAGGTCGCCTTCTGCTTGCAATACAGGCTATTAAAAGCAAAGAAATAAGCTCTATACGACGGGCTGCGGATCAATTCCACGTTAACCGTTGTACGCTCGCGCGTCGCCTACGCGGTACTACAAACCGCGCTGAATCTCGCGCAAATTCTCATAAATCGACTGAGATCGAAGAGGAACTGCTTCAGCAGCGGATACTATCGCTAGATCGACGTGGAGCAGCCCCTACACAAGCTCACGTACGAGAAATGGCTAATTTGCTACTCGCGAAGCGTGGTTCTTCCTCTATCCAAACCGTCGGCGAAAAATGGGCATATAACTTTATCCAACGCCATCCGGAGCTTAAATCTCGCTTTTCACGACGATACGACTACTAGCGGGCACTACAAGAGGATCCAAAGATCATTCAAGAGTGGTTTAACCTCGTACAAACCACAATTCAGCAATACGGTATCCTCGCGGACGATATCTATAACTTTGACGAGACTGGGTTCGCGATGGGCCTTTGTACACATCAAAAAGTGATTACTCGAGCGGAATACTACGGTCGGAGATCGGTTTTACAGCTAGGGAACCGCGAGTGGGTGACCGCAATCGAGTCAATTAACGCTTCGGGGTGGGCACTTCCACCAACGCTTATCTTTAAGGGCAAGCAATATAATTAAGCCTAGTTCAAAGATCTTCCGTACGACTGGCGCTTCGAAGTTAGTACGAACGGGTGGACGTCCGACGAAATAGGCCTTCGCTAGCTTAAAAAGCAATTTATTCCGTTGACAAATAGTCGTACGCGCGGAAGATATCGACTTTTAGTCCTCGACGGACACGGAAGCCATCTAATAGCAGAATTCGACCAAATCTACGCGGATCACGATATTATACCGATCTATATGCTAGCGCATTCCTCGCATCTTTTACAACCGCTTGATATCGGATGTTTCGCGGTTTTAAAGCGCGCGTACGGTGGTTTAGTCGGCCAGAAAATGCGGCTCGGGATCAGCTATATCGACAAGCTTGATTTCCTCACAGCTTATCCACAAGCTCGCACCGACGCATTTAAATCAGAGACGATTCGAAATAGCTTCTGAGCAGCAGGATTAGTGCCTTTTGACGCCGAACTAGTACTATCAAAGCTTAATATTCAACTTCGGACGCCTACGCCACCCGCAAGCCGTAGTAGTCAAGCAAGCGCTTTTTGCCCCCATACGCCCGCGAACGTGGACGAGCTTTATAAGCAAGCAGCTTCAATCAAAGCTTTCCTAAAACGACGCTCGAAAAGTCCCCTATCGCCGTCGTAGGCCGCGCTAAACCAGCTTATTAAAGGCTGTCAAATCGCGATGCAAAACGGTATCTTTCTCGAGCAAGAAAACAAGCAGCTACGCGAGGAAAATACTGTACAGAAGAAAAAGCGTGCTCGTACGACTAGGTGGATAGCTCATGATGACGGTCTATCTGTACGAGAAGCAATAGAGCTCGAGGAAGCTCATAATGCCTTCTTTCAGGCTATACCAGGTCCACGAGTGCCACCAGCGCAGGGTATACCGGCACCGAAGCCGAGGGCCTTACCTAAATGCGGCAATTGCAGTGAAATAGGGCATAAGAAGAATTCTTGTCCAAATAGAGAATAATAAATATAAAGGAGTTGTGGCTGATATATATCGATAAATGTGTAGAAATTCTGGTTGGGTGGCTCGCTCGCTTACATGGCTCACTCGCTTACCGACCACGTTAACGTGGTTGGTAAGCGAGTGACGCATGTAAGCGAGTGACGCATCCCCTTATTTTTATGCTACTTTTTGATACTTTTATCAACCACAACACGATTATATTGATTAATCTCTTCTTGGACAGGCTGTTCGTTTATGCCCTATCTCGCTGCATTTACCGCATTTAGGCAAGGCCCGAGGCTTTGGCGTAGGGACACCTTGCGGTGGTGGTGCTCGTGGACCTGGTATCGCTTGAAAAGCGGCATTATGGGCTTCCTCAAGCTCTTGTGCTTCTCGTATAGATAGACCTTCATCGTGAGCCATCCATCTAGTTGCACGAGCGCGCTTTCGTCTTTGGGCGGCGTTTGCGAGGCGTAGATGCTTGTTCTCTTGCTCGAGAAGTATACTGGTTTGCATCGCGATTTGATAGCCTTTAATAAGCTAGTTTAACGCGGCTTATGATGGCGAGGGTAGGCTATTTAAACGTCGTTTAAGGAAGGCTTTGATTAATAATGCTTGCTTATAAAGCTCGTCGATATTCGTAGGAGTATGTGGGATAAATGTACTTACTTGACTTCCACGGCTTGTAGGCGGCGTAGGCGTTCGTAGTTGAATCTTAAGCTTTAATAGCACTAGTTTAGGATCAAAAGGCACTAATCCTACGGCTTAGAAGCTACTCTTGATCGTATCTGATTTAAATGTGTTGAGACGAGCTTATAGATATACTATAAGGAAGTCAAGTTTGTCGATGTGGTTGATCCTAAGCCGTATCTTCTCGCTAACTAAGCTACTGTATGATCGCTTTAAAACTACGAAACACCCGATATCGAGCGGTTGTAATAGATGTAAGGAATGTACTAGCATATAGATCGGTATAATATCGTGATCTATATAGATTTAATCAAATTGTGGTATAAGATGGCTTCCGTATCCGTTAAGGACTAAGAGTCGGTATCTTCTACGTGTACGATGATTTGTTAACGGAATAAATTGCTTTTAAAGCTAGTAAAGGCCTATCTCGTTAGACGTCTATCCGTTTAGACTAATCTCAAAGCGCTAGTCGGGTAGGAGATCTTGAAACCACGCTTAGTTATACTACTTACCCTTAAAGATAAGCATCAGTAGAAGCGCCCACCCCGAAGCGTTGATAGACTCAATTGTAGTTACCTACTCGCGATTTCCTAGTTATAAAACTAATCTCCGACCGTAGTATTCTGATCGAGTAATAACTTTATATGTCGCACAAAGGCCCATCGCGAAGCTAGTCTCGTTAAAGTTATAGATATCGTCCGCAATGATGCTATATTGCTGAATTGTGGTTTAGACGAGGTTAAACCACTCTTGAATGACCTTTAGATCCTCTTATTGCGCTCGTTAGTAGTCGTACCGTCGTGAGAAGCGAGATTTAAGCGCTAGATGGCGCTAGGTGAAGTTATATACCCACTTTTCGCCGACAGTTTGGATAGGGGTAGAACCACGCTTCGCGAGTAGAATATTCGCCATTTCTCTTACATGAGCTTGTGTAGGGGCTGCTCTACGAAGATCTAGTGATAAGATCCGTTGTATAAGTATTTCTTCTTCGATTTGGGTCAATTTATAACAGTTTGGGCGAGATTCGGCGAGATTCAACGCGATTTGTGATACCACGAAGACGACGGCGAAGTGTAGCTTCAGACACATTAAAGCGACGTGCTGTCTCGCGTATAGACCTGATCTCTTCTTTTTGAATAGCCTGTACAGCAAGTACTATACGGCCCTCCTTCTCAAGAGAATCTTGGCTTGATCTGACTCGAATTGGTGGCATGGTGGTTGATAGAAGATGTATGAACGCGTCGCAACGCGAAAGAATGGGGGAATGCGTCACTCGCTTACATGCGTCACTCGCTTACCAACCACAGTTAAGGTCATATGATCTACCTAGACTTTGATAAATCGATAAGGATACAGGTAGTAGATAGAAAGACATACTATTTTCTAGTTAAAACTAATTAAGATCATCGGGGTCGAACTAAGGGCTTTAACCCTGAGCGTGGTTCGAAAGAAAGAGGTATGGGGGTCAAATTTTCGAACCAAGCCCAACTGTGTGCCCAAATTCTATGGAACCTGACTGTGTGTTGATATGGACCCCATGAACGAGCGACCCACTACCTAGTAGAAGGCTCAGAAATGTTCAGTCACTATATAAGCAGTCCTTTGCTCCGAGGCATTTCAGAATATGGAAAAATAAAGCAATGATGAGGAAGCTACTACTGAGTGATAATACAGAAACGCAGACGCGATCAGGTGAACATAAGGTTCCTCCTCCTAGGAAGGACAAAAAAAGAAGTGGTTCCAGAGGGGGTCGAACCCTCGACTTTGGCGTTATTAGCACCACACTCTAACCAACTGAGTTATGGAACCTGGTTGTGATTGGATAGTGATTACCTAGTAATATGATCCATTTTAACAAGCATAACTGATCAAACCCATCAAATTTCCTCCTCAGCGACTGAGGGCGGTTTCACCCGCTCTCACGCCATGGTTTTTGCGGCCAGGAAATGTGGCGTGAAATATTGGGAATATGGCCCCATTAGAAGATCACAATCTATTATTGGCTTAACCCTAGAGTAGACGAATCCTGCAGAGTATATGACAAAAATGAGAATTAGCATATCGAGAGGTATAAATAATAGGGCAGAGAGTCACTGCTCTTCCAGATTATGTTTGTCTATCAGATCTCGACTTGAAATCCACCTCAACTTTAAGGCTTTCCTCTAGGAAACAATGCATCCAACCTTTCTTTACAGCCACTGGTCTCCTTTCTGGCCTGGCTCTTTCCCAGACTATTTCCATTTCGACTATACCGGCTGCTTCCTCTACTGAGTTGCCTTTGTGTGTTTTTGTGACAGATGGCATTGAGGGAGAGTTTCTTGTGGACCCCTAGCTCACCGAAAATTCGTATCAGGGTTTGTGGAAGGACGAAGTCACGATAGGTACGGAAACTTATATAAGGACAAGGAGTGATTGTTCAGACCTTGTAGCGAGCAACCTTACCCAAACTTTGCGCGGTGCAGCTTCCATTTCATCCTTGTGGCATGCTATCCAGGATATCCTGAGGCTCAGAGAATCCAAGTCGGATAGAATGGTATTGAACGAGATGTCCTATGCCAGAAAAATCGAACATGAATACGATTCCGGCCGCCTCAGTGAGTCCTCCAACATAGGTCAGTATCGGCAGACGACTAATGCATTGCAGAAAAGAGTGTCGTTAATGTTGTTCAAGGTACAAGAACGGCGCTGACAGAAACTAAAGTATTCGATTTGCCCATAGGGTCTGGCTGTGGATAGTAGGGGCAAACTCGTCTTGTCGACGGACTGGGAGTCAGCAGCGCCTAGATTGGCTGCTAAGGTGCCACTCGAAGCTGACGGCCATGGAGTGAACACAGCAGGTACTTTAGCGTCATCCCAAATCGAAAGATTCCAATTGCCGCTACATTTTCCTCGAGGCACTGGCTGCTGAGACCGATGACCCAAAGATACTCCGCGACAACATGCTCAATATCCTGCTCGCCGGATGTGATGCCACCGCGAGCTTGCTGAGTTCTGTTTTCTTCTATCCGGCACACCGCCCGAATGTCTGGAGTCGGGTTGCGCTGTGACCGCGCAGCTAAATCAAAAGAGAAAACGATGAAGTTTGATTGCAGTCGCTGCATCAACGCGGGGGGTCGTCTGGTCGGCTGAGAAGCTAACGCAACTGGTTCCGCGGGCGAAGTATTAGGAGCTGGTTCAGCCTGATTTGAACTATTAAATGCCTCCCTAGACTCCTGAGTCAAATATCCCTCTGATTGAGCAATGTGCTTTGAAAATTTCTTCCAATTTTGTTTTTTTGTCCCGTTTGCAGCCCTTTAATCGTGATATTCCATGCTAAGAATTGCTGCGCCGTGCATTGCGAGCTGGCACCCCTTTATAGGCTGATCTGGGGCTCTGTCTGCGGGAGTAGGGGGATCTTGTAATCGACGACTAAGCATAGCTTTGATTGATGAAGCTTGGTGCTACAATTGTCTAGGATTTGCTGGGGTTGTAGGGCTGTATGCGCTTGGTCGACTGCCTCGTCGACTTCCTAAAGGGTTAGGTGTCCGAAGTTGTACATCAAGCTTTGAAATGACTCGATCTGGATTATATGGCACTAAACCAGCTGCGGAGAACGAGTTTTGGATAGTCTCTGGTTTCAAGGTATCTGCAAGCCTTGGGGAATGCTTCAAGGAAATCAAGCTTGTCGATATGACTGATATTCATCGCGATTTAGCCTCAGTAATACCCCCATACATACGCGCGCTTTAGGGGGTCAAAACAGAGTATATTTAAAGGCCGCGGTAGATGCGATGAATGGTGGAGGCATGCATATTGAGATGGTGTCATTTTTGGAGCACAGTCGATTAAAATAGGGTGCTAATTGTCTACCGTGGCCACCGAGAACTAGTAGTCGATTTTTACCCTTAGTCCGACTAGTCGTATTAGGAATAAATATCGTTTCTAGCCATCGAAACCCAATTTGTCTGTAGTCCAGCCATTATCGCTGATTTCGATTCTCTAATCGTGAGGTAGGTCATCATAGCAAGCTTGGTAGTGGTATTTTTTCTCTTTGGAGATAGTACTTGGTGGAAGCACGGAGCCCGTTGAATTCACGCATTTAATCGACGTAATCCATTCGTGAGTCCCTGGCTGTAGAACTGACCTCCGACCGTAGTATTCGGCCCCTGCTGCTACTTTTGCAGTAGATGTAAGGCCTATCGCGAAGCCAGTTTCATCAAAATTGTAGATATCCTCAGGTTGGATACCGTTCTTGTAAATTGTACGCCGTGCAACGTCGAACCATGGTTGAATAACCCTAGAAACTTCGTATTTAGCCCTCTGGTAAACATATTGACGAGAATATCGACATTTAATCTCTTCCTGGCGATACGTATAGTTGTAAACCCATCTAGATCCTCCCCCCCCCCCCCCCCCCCAAAAAACACCAAACACTCTGCGTATAGAATATTGGCCATATCTCCCACAATACTAGGCCGAGGAGCTGATCTACGTATCTACTGTAGAAGCGGTTGGTCTTCGTTGGAAGTCAATTTATGATTGTTAGCGCGCGTATCTCGTCGGCAGGATTTGCCGTTGAATCGATATTGGAGAGTTGAGTAAGGTACGTCAAATCGCCACGTAGCTTCACAAATCGAGGGTATTTCCTTGTTCTGATAGGCTCGAATTACGAGGCTGGATCCTACTCTCTTGGTTGATAGAGTTTTGGGAATTTTGGCTTCGAATAGGGGGGCATAATGGATAGTTCAAATGAGGAAGTAGACGCGTTGGGGCGCGATCGCGTTTTCTGACTAACTCGCTTACCGATTAACTTACGTTAACTAGCCAGTTAATCCCCTTTCTCTCCTCTTTCCATTTCCCCTGGTCGCCACTTTAATAGATACCTACTAATCTATGTCAAGGCATAATGTGTTACGCCTTAAAGCCTCTAGGGGCTGTGGCGCTTGCCGGGCTGTCAGGCGACGAGTGGGTGATCCTCTCTTTTTGTGGCTTTTTTTTTAGTATTTTGGGAGGGGGGAGATCAAGGAGGTTGGCTAATAGCCCTGTCCCTATATAGTGCGACCAGCAGCTTCCCCATTGCGGACAGTGCACTCGCCGGCACGAAGAATGCCCTGGGTACCGAGATGAATGGGAACTCATCTTCCGCGATCAGACAAACCATACTATAAATCGGTCCAAGGAGAAAAGGGCGAAGAGGTCGAAGAAGGCGGCCTCGGCCAAGACTAAACACTGGCACCCTCCCGCCGGCGACCTGAGCCACAATGTTAACGAGATAGGCGACAACTATTCTCTCGAGCTCCAATACTTCAGTCGACCACAACAGTTAGAATCCACTGGCCGTAAATGCGATGGCTATGATCTGCATCGCTTGCCCGTCAGGAATCGAGCTCTCTCATTTATCCAGAGTATTTACCCTCACCCGGGGTGGGAAACTACCATGGACGAGCGACGATGTTTTTCATACTTTCGATATTGCTCCATCCCTGGCCTCGGAGCTTTCTTCGACTCTCCTCTCTGGCAGAAAATTATCTTGCAGATTAGTCATGTCGACCCTGCTGTGTATCATGCCGCCAATATGCTCGGTGCCCTTCACGAAGACTCGAACGCAAACGAAATGCGCTTGTCTGGGGAAAACCTCCAGCGAGCTCGTCATCGCTTCGCACTTCAACAGGCCTCGCGAGCTCATACGTATCTCTCCCAACGTCAGGCCTCGAACGACCCTCAGTGGCGGGCAGTTATACTAGTATGCTGCCTGCTTTTTGTCATGTCCGAGTTATTACTAGGACGGTATGACAATGCCTTCCAACATCTGCATAGTGGGCTTCGCATCCTCAAAGAGACACAGGACTATCATTCAACAATTAGTCTAGACGATTCGCTAGTCCACATCTTCGAACGACTCGACATCGAATCTGCTCATTTCGGGCCTGGCACCCCGTTCTTGTTCAGCCATTTTGGAATTGATGATAACGTGCATACTCTGGACCATTTTTCTAAAATGCGAACTGTGTCAGATGTACACCGAAGCGTGACGCTTCTCTTGAACATGGGTATCCCTTTTCTCGCCCGATGCTGGCCATCCTCCGCTGTTGAAATTGCAGCAGAATACAACGAGTTGTTCCAGAAGCAGCAACGGATTTTGTCCCTGAACTATGAATTCCAACACCATTTTGAGATATTCCATCGCGACTTCTATCATACCCTTCGTGGTCGTGACCAGCAAGGAGTTGATCTGCTTCAACTCCAGAGTCTTGGACAGATCCTCAGTCTAAAGACCTGTCTCGTCAAAGGACCGGTACCTGCAAGCTTGACACCCGAATACATCAGCCTATTCTCGGCACATCAAGCATTTCTAGCAAAGTCTTTTGATCGCCCAACATTTACTTTGGACTACGGCGTCGTCCCAGGTTTGTGGGTGGTGGCCTCGCAGTGTCCAGACTATTCAATTCGCTTGCAGGCAATCTACACCTTGCAGACCTGGCCCCACTGTGAGGGAATCATTAATTCTAACGTCATCGTCTCGATGGCTTTAAGAAGTCTGAAGGCAGAATTACGGGCTCGTGGTCAATTATACGGCTCAATTATAGATGCTGACATGGAAGAGGAGCTATCCAGGTTTCTGTTTGACACATTGATGTCGACGCAGCAGGTGACCAACTGGTCGTTCATTCGCGGAACTGATCTGCTTCGGAAATATTCTTAAGAGTGCATGCCCAGATCTGAACGCTAGGACCGCTAGGGCTAACCCCCGGCTCTCCATTCGTCACCTGCCCTTGTTGCAAGATGACTTGGTCTCAGCCATCAAAGCATCACACAACCCCACTGAAACCACCACTCTGAATGACGACGACGAAGGAACCCAAAATAAACTGGCCAGACACGCCACGGTACTCAATCTTCACCACAACCTCAGACTCCTACGCCGGAGAGACGTTCCCGGAGACCGCGAAAAAAATGTCCTATGCTGACGTACTTGCTCAATCAAAACACTACTCTTAAACTGTCTTAAAGTTCCATCCGATTTTGCTTGCACTTTTACACCTTTTCCACGGTCCGGGTATTAGTGCATGTATGTTATAGGCTCATAGATCAGATAAAACTGGGCGTGACATCTGGATGCGTGGTTCACTGCGTGGGCCGTGCTTCCTGACCACAAGCCTCCCTCGCAGCCCGTTTTCCCCCTACGGACTGACCGCCGGCCCTCCTTTACTGCAGACTCACTAATGCTGCAGATTTAATATCATAGTAGGATTGGTGGGGCGGGTGACTTCTGTCTCGTCTAAATTTTTCTCTCCGACCTCGTTAAGAGATTGCCTGCAGGTCTCGCACTACTCTAAGGTGGATTTGGCCCCCAATAATTTCGCCTTGAGGACCCCGCCAATAGGCTTTTGATCCTTCCTAATTGAAATGCAGTACTCACCAAGTGGAACCTGGCAATGGGAACTGTATGGGGGCCGAAACAAGAAATAAAAAACAGATATGGACAGTACAGAATACGAATGGAGGGGAGGTGGAAAACAGCAAGGCCAAATCAGCGCTAGCCGGTGCGAGGCTTCGTGCCGCACAAAAAGCTTCCCCACGTAGGCACTGGCGTAGGCAGACTTTGGAGTTGGCCAGTTCCATCACTAGCACCTGGCACTATTACCGTACGATGGTCTACAAAACTAATAGCAGGAAGATGTTGCTGAATCGACTGGTTTTCCTTGACTGTGTTCATCTACTTGAAAAAGATACAACTCACGCCATCTGTGGCTAAGACAAATCCAAATAGGGACACCAGACCGAGGAACCGACAGAGGACATGAATTCTACTCTTCCTTCATGTCCAGCCTGTCCAAGTAGAGCTGCACGATGTCCTTTACGGCGTCCTCGAAGGGGCGGAATTTGATATTGAGATAATAGTTCGTCTCACTTGAGTCGTATGAAATGGGTAGTGTGCGTAAAGTACCCTGCTTGAGTCGACCCGCCGACACTTCGTTTGGGAAGTTTTTCTCGGTTAGGCGCCAGGCATCGTCGTAGCTAACCAGGCTGCAGGCACCAAAGCTGCTAGGGGTGTCGGCCTCGGGCTGTAGCTCCAACACTTTCATGTACACCTGAGCCAGATCATCGATGTGGACATAGCCCCCGTGGATGGGGGCCGGCAAATCTGTCCCAGTCAAGCTGCGCAGCAGGATTCCAGACGAACTACCCTTGCTAACCGCGGTGTCGGAATCCAGCACCAACTCATCGCGCCCGTAGACATACCCCGGAATGATAGTGGCGACGGAGAAATGCGGCTTCTGTTGCTCCACGAACGAATCAACGTTGTTGATCTCCGTGATCTTGGCGAGGACATAGGCCTCGAACACATTGGAGAAGGTTTGAGGGATCCCAGGCAACTGCACGCGTGAGTTCGCAGTAACTGTGACGGAGGGATCGGGCATCGGGGCCATGTTCGCGACAATCGACGAAGTAATAAGCACCCGCTTGATCCTAGGGAATTTGAGTGCCGATGTCAGTAGGTTCGCTGTACCCTCCACTATAGGCTTCCAGATTTGGTTAACAGGGTCAAAACCGGGCACGGGCACAGGGGACCCGGCGTGGATTATGGAGGTGACATCTTGCAGTGCAGTATCAAAAGCCTGACTCAAAACGCTATCCGGAACAATAGTGTAGGTCAGTCGGTTACCAGGTTTGATCTTTTGAATAACCGGGTTGAACAAGACCTCCTGGGCCTTTGTCTCGGAGCGTACGGTAATCCGGACTTCGTATTCGCCTTTTAGAAGCTCCTGGAGAATACGGAAACCAATCAGCCCAGTGGCGCCGGTCAGAAGAATACGAGGAGCCATGATGTGGAGGAGAGCGAGGAGGAAAAATGCGTCAAGTGGAGAGAAAAGGCGCTGACAGACAGGAGTTGCGGATTAGCTAGTGAGAAGTGATGGTAAAAACAAGAGAGACTACTATCCTAGGACTGGTCGCGAGGGGGTATTTATACCTAATGGAGGAAGAGATTGACCAAGTCTTTTCTTTGTAATCAAGTAGGACCTGGTAGCTCATAAGTTTTCTTTGCCTCTTTCTCCTTATTATTTATTTGCCTAGGCTCACTACTATGTATTCCATGGGACAAATCATCGAACAATGCTGGATATCTCAAATCCACTCTGCGGCATATGTGCAGACTGCTATCAGAAATATTGTTTCTCGCACGGTCAATGTCGACTGTACCCCTTTTTTCGATGGTTTGGACACTGGTCAAATGTGCGGACTGAGCAAGTGGCTTCTCTTTAGGATTGAAACAGTCCACCCCCGTCTGTCTTGCTTCGAGACATACATCTACTCAAAACTCTGGATATTGTGTTGCATGATGTTGGACAACCACGGTAATGTTTTGTCGACACAAGAATTTCGCATATACTAAAAACGTGTTGTTAGTTATCAAGACTGTGCTCCATTTGAAGGCATAATACCTTGAATGCCCTTGCAGATTTACAGAAGAAACGGGAGAGTTAGTTATCAGCCCCTACAAAACAACGATTGAATTACCATATTAGGACTAGTGTGTCGGTTCCCGACAAACGTGTTGGAGTATGGTTGTAAGATGGTTGTATTACAGTATGTTGATTTACAGTACTAGGGAATAAGATCCACTTATATAGATCCAGGTCTAACCTGGATGCACCAGGCCATATTAGGATGACATGCTTGATACAGAAGCTCTAACAAACCAAATTAAAGCGGACCATGGCACGGCCCCCAAAGGCGCCCATATGCTTAGCCTACCCAGTTTCGATGAGATCTACGCCAGCTTACCTAGAGGAGTATTCTAGTTGCAGCTGTTTGGCCCTCAGCCACTTCAAATTTGAGGATTGAGCGCGGTGATTGGCTGAGTACTGACCGCTGCTCGGCAAGTCAACGTAGGCATCAACAGAATTCGCTAACATAATTCACATACGAGCCGTCCACACAACCGAGCCGTCCATTTTCTCCACAGGTATACGATTTTGAAGGATTTCAACTGCAAAGATAATTAAATTGGAATAACGTAATTCACAAGCGAGCCAGCCATACAAGCGAGTCGGCCACCCCAAAACACCATAGTAAATATGATATTTTCCAACTCGATATTTCATCCACCGCAAGCCAATTTTATTTATTAGTATAATATTTTTTGTAAGCGTGACAAACAGAACAGACTAATTTAAAAAAGGATTACTACCTTGCCAGAAAACACGCAGCGACTGGCGTCAAATATATATATATATGTGAATCATGACATCCCAAAATTCCCCAAGACTGCGTAAATAGGTTAGATATGCCTTGAATAGTACTAGGATGTAATTGAACATTATATCAAGCTGTTGTTGTTGAGATATCAAGCTGTAAAATATCTCATTTGATATGGTGTTTCGGGTGGCAGGCTTGCTTGTATGGCCAACTTGCTTCCGAATTACATTATCTAAAAGATGACTACTTACCAACTTTACCCCTGTGGCAGCTAGCGCGATGCAGGGATCGGCCACCTTTTTACCGACATCTACATTACAGAGAAACATAACATAACAGAGTTGAAAGGCAGCTCTAAAGGGAGAGAATCTTTTCATTGTCCGTCTTGCCCTCGGCACGGAGCTGACGACGGCGCTCACGCACAACCACCAGGCCGTATACCACCGTTGTCATCGTGCCGGCGAGCGCCATCGCCATCAGAATCCAGTACCCGCGCTTGTACAAGGGAGCGTCGTCTTTGGTAAAGCAGAAGACAGCGACAATACCACCTGCATTGCCGACGCCAATCACGAAGGCGGACCCGATACTGCGCTGCTTGTGGCCCTGCATATTCATCAGGACCCAGCAGACGATCACGGCGCCGGAGCTGAAGGCGCCCATGGTGATGAAGCAAATGCCGAGATACTCCGCGGAAAAGTGGCCGGCGCCGTGCATGGTCAGCATGATGGCCAGGCCAATAATGATCAGCAGATCACCAAAGAGAATGAATGGGAAGCGGATGCTCCAGCGGTCCGAAAAATATGCCGTTATAATGCAGAGGCCGAGAGCAGCGGCGAAGGGCGGTACACTATGCAATTGAGTCTGGATGGTTCCGTATCCCAGGTTTTCGATGATGGTCGGGGCAAAGTAAGAGAAGGCATAGATAGGGATCACAATAGCTAATTGGTTGGGTTAAAACAATGAAAATGTACCACTCGACAAAGATAACTTACTGAAGTACATGATCGCAGCCAGGTACATCTTGGGGTCTTTAGAACATTCAACCAAATCAGACTTCGTCACCGAGACGTCGTCATCCTCGTCGTTGCGCGTTTTCGCAATCACTGCGGCCTTTTCATCTTTGGTCAACCAAGATGCCTGCTGGGGGAAATCGGAGCAGCAGAACAACGCGGTGATGCCGACCAAGATGGATGCAACACCTTCCAGCAAGAAAATCCATCGCCAGTTTTCTAGACCACGCATGCCGTCCATTTTGGCAATAGCAGAGGCGAGCAGGCCACCAAAGGCACCTGCAAAGATGACCGAGGACCAGTACATGGTGAAACGCCTCTGGGCTTCGGCACGCTTGTACCAAAAACTAATCAGATAGAAACTGCCGGGGAAGATACCGCATTCAGCAAGTCCGAGAAAGAAACGAGTCGCAATCAGGCCACCGTAGCTCTTAACAAAGGCCTGACCGAGCATGACAACACCAAAGGCAATGATACAGCCTGACAACCAGATATGCGGCTTAAGCTTCTTCATGACAATGTTGGAGGGGATTTCAAAAATAATGTAGGGAATGTAAAAAATCAGAAGGGCAACGTTTTCCCGGTCGCCGTACAAATTCAGATCATCCGGCATGCTCATAGTGAGCGCGTTGGAGATGTTGACTCTGAGACGGAATCAGCACCAACCAAGAGATGAAATGCACCCATCGATTAACAATGAATCGACAATGTTAACAACAAACAACAGGTCAATTGGCATACCGATCCAAGAACGCGACAAAATAAATGGCAAACAGCATTGGCATTACACGCATGTCAATCTTGCGGACAAGCGCGGCGTCGTCGACGTTGGACGGAGGGACAGGGCCAGCCTCATGGCTTGGCCGGCTTGAACCCGAAATCAGGTCAATATTACCATGCTCTAGTGGCGGTCAGCGATCAATGGATAGAATTTGAAGCAGAAGCAGAGTAAATACCTGGAGTAACACCCATTCTTGCGACCTGGTCGAGATGCGCACGTGAGCAGGACAAGCAGCACGTCCAACAGCAGATATGTAGATCGTGGATCTAAGTGTTGATTTTTTTTTGGGAATGCTGAGGGTGGTGTGAGGATCACTTTATAGCTTTCTAATGCAGACGGCCCTGTGCGGCCCCAGATATGGTGTCATCTGTGCGATATATGTCCTAGCAGACTGTAACAGAGCCTGGCGCTAAAAAGTTCCTACTAGATTTTATTACATCTCGTCACACCTAGTCCCCTGAATAAAGACATAATCTGAGCCCACTATGTGGGCCAGGCACTCAGCTGCGAGTACACTTCCCAATTAGGCAACCGGCGCAAACCCACTTGGCGTCTCCTCTTTGGTGCGGCTTGGTCACTGTTTGGCCTGAAAAGTGGATCATGCCGACGATCTCGCCTAGGTTTCCCAGAATTATCACGCACCGCCCATCTCGCATTGCCTTCCTGAAATCGACTTCTAGACCTTCTAAATTACCCATTTATTACAGACGTGCCGGTCTCTCGCTAAAAGCACAGTATGAAACGTGCCTCCGCAAAGCACGGAACGTAGAAGCCAGGGTTCGGTCCCTATGCCAGGCCCAAGGCCTGCCTCCAGGGCTCGCCCGCCGGCTTCAGGCCGCCGCAGTACAATCATTACCCCTGTTTGCGGCGGAACTGTGGTGGCGTGGGTAATAAGGATCGGCAAGATGGAATACAGACTATGATCAATCGACAAGCCCGAGCCGCCACAGGCATGCGGAAGACGACCCCTGGTCCCGGCAGAAATCCTATTAGAGGCCCGTCAGCTCAAGTACACAACTAGGCTGTTTGGCCTACCAGATAACAATCCAGCTAAAGAAATCCTCCCAGTGAGCTTTCGAGAAAGGGGCCAGTATGCGCAGCCAGGGGAGCAGACCCCAGGAGACCGAACTTGGGCCGAAACGCAGGGGCAGAAACCATGGTCTCTCGGACAACACTTGGCCCGACAACTGGCCAGCATCATACCAACCGACCCGTCGGACAGCTTTGAGATGTCCATTCGCTGGTGCAGGCATCTGATGCCCCTGGAAATCTAGTCTAAAGCCTGGGTCACGGGCGCTTTTCCAACCGTGTCACCCTCTCGAGCGTTGAGAGCGTACTGCAGAACCTGGTTGACGAATCCAGTGACATATTCGTCAGCAGCATCTTTGCGTCATTTGCATGTGCTGGAGCACTACCATAGCAGCCAGAGCAATCTCGTCCATGGTGCTGAAGAGGCCCCGCGGGGGGGTGAGGGAGGAGGGAGGGGGCATTGGTTTTGAAGTTCTCCCCCCGACCCCCTTTCAAGAGGCAATTTTTGTGCATTTGCACCCGTGGCAATAATCGCAGCCATTGCACCTAATGAAATAGGTATCAAATGGAAGCTCTCGCTGTCACGTAAGGTTTGATCAAGTTCTTAGAGCCGTACGCCCCTGGTTGTTGAGATAATCCAAGAAAACTCTTTCGCCAAGAAAGTAGTTTTTTTTTTTTTTTTTTTTTCAAATCCATACTATCATCTAATGACATGGATATGAAATGTAAGATACGTGTTTTTCTTGATTTGGCGTTCATGAGGGTACCGCTGAAAGGCGGCGAGACGTTATCGGCATATTCATTTTCACCTAAGTGTCTAGACCGGCTTTTCCTGAAGTCTGGTTCTTTACTCATTATCTTGACTTTAGGTAGAACATTTTCCAGTTTCCGCACACCGTCAGTCTCTGCATTCCCATTATCACGTCAACCCCATCGATTCGTTGCAATCGAGCAGGAATCTGTTATCAGTCAGACCTTGACATGTTTCCTTACTTGATAAAAGTTTGACGAAGAGACTGTAGATGTGCGACGATATTCGAAGAAGATGAGAGGTTTTTCCCTCGCAAACTGTCCGGAGTATCTATCTAGACAGGAACAGCCTCAAACAAAGCATTAGATCCAGCCCCCTGGTTATCCGCTCGCCACACCTTGACGACCTTGAAGTGGGCGCGCGCCCCAAAAGACAGCCACTCCTTGTCCGTGCGCTCCAGGGACGAGAACATGGTCATCATGATGAGATCGACGCTGGCATTGAACCGGGGCACGCCGGTCTCGGGAATGGTATTCTCGTTGATCAACAGCACAGAATCGTCGGCCTGTCAGGATAGCAAGCCTGTGGCTACAATACCACCGTAGCGGGCCACAGAAAGCATCGAGGACCCTCGCAACCCAGGGACTGACATAGCAAAAGACCTATGGTATAGCCTAACATACTATCCATCTCCGAATCACAAGATAGTCGTCGGCCACATTATGACTGGTTCTGCTGGTTCCGTGGCGGTACACGCAAGCACCGCAACTCATGCACTGCCTTGTTTATTTCCTCCGCAAATCCTGTACCTCGATGCTTCTTATCCAGGCCACCATGTTCAATCCTTTTGCGTTTGCGGTTCGGTGAAATCATACCTAAAATCGGACGGGCCTCGATAATTTTAGCTCTTTCAAAATCGAAAAACACCAGGCGCCGGCAATCGGACGCCAACTTGGACCTCGCGTTGAGGAATTCCGACTGGGTCTGGAGAGTGTAAGCTCGCTCCGTGAGGTTCAGACTGTCTACATGTCAGGTTGTTTTTACTGCACCGCACATTTGTTTCTCCAAGATTATCTGTCGATTCACATGGGAAAAAGGCACCCGATGAAGCCGATAACGGCAATTCCTGGTGAATGCTGAACTAGCACTGCAATTCTCACGATACACGCGCATGTAACCTTTCAAGACAATAATCAGTTTCAACCAGCGGGCAGTATGCCAATTGCAGGCGATCTTGGATAAATATAGAGGGTATTTGGTTCTTTGCCCCTTGAAGAGAATCAACCAAGGCGAGGGGTCTCGGGGAGAATAATCAGCACGGCCAGAGCTCCCTCATTTTGACTGAATTTCATGAGCATTCTGGACATTGGCGAGCTGGGGAGGTTCTTAGCTTAACGTACACAACCTGAAGTGCTGGATCTGGTTTCAGGCGTTTCTAACCACTCTTCCATTCGTGGTGATGAGCGAGCCCTGTGTACTGTTCGCAACGCAGGATCACGCACCCATCGACACGTTCTTCATCCTCGATCAAACAAGCCATGGAGTGAATATTTTCTGTCCCTTCACTCAGGCCGAGGCTTTGGAGCACCGAATGACGTCTTTTAGCTTAGATACTAGAAGCAAATAACCGGATAGCCAGTTGGCTAGCGAGACGTGCCACGGAACAGTCTTCGCATGCAGCATTGCGGTCGTGACATACGGGTTCATCAGCGGCGGAAAGTCATCTCCGGGTTCTTGACGTTCTTATGCGTGGTTTCAAAAGATGTTCTTATCATTGCTCTCCCACTTTGTCAGCCTGTTGATGACAATGCTATCTCGCGCAAAGAAAGGTCTTGACGATTCTACAGAATATAGCTCATAAACTCGACGAGTGAACCAAATGCCCTGATCAATTGCTCAACTTCGAACAGTCATTTTGATATCTTTGAGATTATTATTGATACTTCAGTCTAGTCCCTAGCTCAACTAAATCGGTGGATCATTCGAGTGCTAGGGTGCGCCCTGTTCTCGATATACTAAGAGCCTTACATCGAGTGGAGGATTTTCCGATGCGGGCCGCTTGCGGCGCAGACAAGCATCCTAAGAATAAACCTAACACTCGGACTAATAACTTAATCCACATTCAAGCGGATTAGATATCGGCGAGGGTGCTCTAACTTTTTGCTAAAGTCTGTTCGATCTAAACACTATTTGTGACCGCATTACTCAATTACGTGAATTGGGAATAAGGCCGAGTCGGGCACTATTAATGTGAAAAAAAAAGCCAAATATTACGTGTTTTCGAGGAATATCTCGATTTAAAAACAAGCCGGTGGCTCAACAATTCGAGTACCTCAATCGCTCACTGGCACAAAGAGTGCAGATCTAGATCGATTATCGTCTCAAGCTGATGTGCAGCGCCGAAAGTCTAGCTTGGAAATCAACTACCGGTGGTGTTTAGTCTCAAACATCGTATGGGAAGGCCTCGCCATTGACATAAAATTTCGAACAGGCTTCGTGTATGGTCCAGCGAACCCAGTACTAGAAGTCTGTTAGCCAGACTCTCTCCTCGTATAAAGAAAAGCGAAAGGTTCACATCACTCACACTGTCTGTAAGATCACCCTTAGGGGATGTCGATCCAGACTCGGCATCTAGGACATCGCCTTCGGAGGGCCAGTAGTCTTCCAGGTAGTCTAAACTACAGACAGGGACGTTCATAATAAGATTCAACGGAGGCTTCTTATCGCCCCTTAGGAAGTCCTTGGCTTGACCCATGGTTCGATTGGCCCGGAATCCACCCTCATCTTGCGATGCCACAGCAGCTTCAGCAAGCGCAACCGCAGTCAGATTCGGATAGGAGGCAATCTTGTCGAATCCAGTGCGTAATTGTATGGCGTGTCACAATGACCGATGCTTCCTTCTTTAAGAAACCAGTACATCGTGCCTGAGTCCTCATCGCATGCACTGATAAACATGTCCTTGCCCAATTTATCAGAGTCATCCTCTGATCCAAAATCAAGATCACAGGGGTTCTTTCCATTGATCTGTTTTGATGCAGATACGATGAAAACATGCTCAAGACCCCATAGCCAGGAAATGACGCCACTGTGGATAGAGTTCTTCAGTGCTAGATCATAGTCATCAAAAATTTTGTCATTTGACTGCGCAAACGAGCCACCTTTGAGAACATAGGGTCCACTCCACGATTGAGCAGAGTACATGTCATTCCCGTCACCTTCGACTGAGGACAAATCAGGATAATCTTCCAAGATTTTGTACCCATACTGCTTAATAGATTCGACTAATGCTCCAGTGGCGTTATTCATTTTCTGCTTGATGATGCCACCTCTTTCGTCATGTACTAATCCCTCACTACCGGATGAGTTAGTTCGCCAAGTTCAAAAAAAAAAAAAAAAAAAGATGGTTGATAGATAGCCCATCGCAGAACTTACTCAACAGCTGCTGCCTCAGTGTTAGACAATATTCCATTAGTAACACCAGCGATACCGCCTGAAACACCTGTACCAACGGAAGTACCTAGCGCGGCAGCTTCTCCAATAAGTGTCTCACCGCCACTCAGGAGAGCGGAAAGGCCTCCGAGGATTGCAGCCATAATGACTAGTCCCTCGCTTGCCAGTTTCTAAAAATCGAATAATGTCAATTATTAAAATCTCAAATCTATAAATCAATGGAAAACATTAAATACCCATTACTCACCTTGCCATCATCGGCAGTTGGGTCAGAGCTAAAGTCGGTGACCATTCCATCAATATCATCACCAATAACTTTTGTAGCTGTTGATTGGAATTGATCCTGCAGAGTAAAAATATAATTGCGGAAGTTGCTTAATCCGTATAGGGTGAACATCCAAAGTGCATCCATTGGGCCACAACTAGTTCCCTCACCCGTATCGCATCCAACTTGGGTATTGTCGTAATCGAAGTCACATGAGTACATCCTAAGATCATATATTGTTAGTCCTAGGTTATAGATGCAAAGGCCAGGATTTGGCATACAAGTTGCATCTAAACGGGTCAAAGCCGCCGATCTGCTCCATAACGACTTGAGGAAAGCTCTTTCCTTTGTATTGTGGGTCAGGGTCTTCGGGAAGGAACCAGCCATCAGCGCTATTTGATATGAATGTCAGATCGAACAGGATCATAGCATATACTGTGTGACTGAATCTCCTTACTATTGGCTCAACCATTTATCCACGTCGAGGTCTTGCCACGTCTTAGGACTATGATCTTTGCAAGACTTGTCAGGGTGGGTAATATTCCGCTTTGCCTTCACCGTCAGGAGGGTTCCCTCATACTTGCTAGGATCCCTGCCAACCATGAAAGATGGAAAAGCATCCACAGAGAGGGCTTTTACTATGTCAATGTGTGCTTCAAGTCAAGATAAGAAGTGATCTTACCTAGGAAGCTCCCAGCCAGAAGTGGAACAGCACGCATATTGTGAAGGAGAACTTTTAGGATGGGGAACTGAGAGGAACTGGATTCTCAAACTGTGCTGTGACTAGTGTAGTGTTTTTGGAATGAATAACACCCAGATGAGATTCCTAGGACAGGAACGGCGGTGTTTATAAATCATGATTCCTTAAGAAAACGCCCCCAATAGCCAACAAAAGAGGGGCAACGATAAGTAAGTGTTAATTTCCTAAGAGATAGGCCGAGAGACGTACAGAAAAGGTATGAATGGAGTAGTAAAGGTTACATCGTTTGGATCGGCACATTCTGTCTAAATTTAGTAATTGTAAATGCGATGTAGAGGTTGAGACTAGGCGAATCTTCTAGTGGACCTAGGGCCTCTGAGCCCCGGCATCTATCTAAGCGGGAAACAACTCCACATTATGAGACAATTTGAGGCTCTTTGCATTCTAGAACTCATCATGCGATCTCCTAAAATTCTTTCTCAATTAGTGGCTACTTAGTGGTCCTTCTCCACAACGGCCTAAAATAGTATATTATTTCCTACGCCTTGTTGATACAGGAAAGCCATATGTCTGGCCCCCAAGCCTAGCGTAGCTCACGCAATGCTTTTTTGGTAATTAAAGCGTAGGTTTTGCGCATTCCGATAACCGCTACAGGTACATAGACCCCCAACTAACCCGATGCACAGTCCCTTGTAATGCGAACGCTAAACTAGTGTTGCCGATTAAGAGATTCGAGTAATTCTTCTACATCGTAATCCAGAGATTCACTCCCTCCTATTTGCAACCTGTGTTCTTTCATTTCTTGATTTTGCACTAGGCTTTTGCAATCCTCTATCTGTTGTTACACCCTACGGGGTATGACATATCTTTTATTCTCCAATTCCTCCGTAGGATATATTTTGTGATAGGTAAACAGAATTCCAAAAATACAAAGTCATACTACTATACACCAAATAATGTGGGGTGGCGTCATACCAGTCTTCCTGCGACTTAAATAGATCCGCTTTCCTACCCCAGAATGCAGCCTAAGTATAGACACGCCAACTCCGACTGCGAGTAACTTTCCTAGATAGGCTTAAGAAGTACTGTTATTGTTACCGTCTGCATTGTGATTTAAGATTTGCAAAAGTTTTAGCTATTCTGGGCATGGCTAAAGCGAGGTGGTCGGGATAGTTCTAGATTCATAGAACTAGCCCTAGTTAGGCATGAAAAACGCAACGCCAATCAACGCATGGTGCATATCACTGGGGAATCGGGATATTCTCTTAAATTGACCAATAAAGCCTGTAGATTACTCCGTCCCACAGGGACTGGCGTAGCCGCCCCCGGCATGAGGTAGCCCTATGTGGTAGGTGAGTCGGAAGAAGCTTATGCGTACAGGCTGAAAGGGGTGGAGGGGGCCAAAAGGTACCCGTTCCGATCGTTATTTCCCTCCGGCCCCCACATCGCTGGCCCTTTCTCCACTCCGAATCACCATCTTAGAACTGGTGGATATACCATGACACCATGACGTTGCAGGATGTGCCTGGTGATAGTAAAATATTCGTTGACTGCATAAAATAATATCAACTGCATGCTGCTCCTTTGCCTCGTGCGTTTTATAAGAAGCAACCGTATCCAACTGTCAGTCGGCACGGGTTTGAATCTTGAAAAATTTCCCTACCACCTCCTACCGCCCAGGTGCCCACGATGTCCGCCGACGACTATATCAATTTCCCGCCAGGGACTCATATGTTGGAAGACCGTATGTCTCTTATACCTTCCCCTATTCATACACAATCTGACTTTGATATAGAAAGAAGCAATGAAAATGACAAGAAGGAAATTATTCTCAACCCTACACCTTCGGATGACCCCGATGACCCATTGGTAGGGCAAAATCAGCTTCAACCGCAACCTTGGAAGTTATCATGAACTAAACAAGAATTTAGAACTGGTCCACCCTGAGGAAAACAGTGAACTTCGGACTCACCGGTACATACGTCCTATTCACCTTTGTCGTGCTTGAGATTGGCTCCGTCGCACAAAAAACCTACGAAGGTTACCTGCACTTGGGCCTCGCGGCCTTCAATCAAAGCGCTGGTGCTTCATACGGAAGTCTCGCGATAGGATGTCTTATCCTCATTCCCTGTGTGCACAAATTTGGTCGACGACCTGTGTACCTTATAAGTGCAGTGTTGCAGTTTGCCGCTGCAATTTGGTATGCGAATTTTACAACCGCCGGCGAAATGATCGCCATTGGTTTGCTATCTGGTATAGCAGGCTCAGCCTGCGAGGCCATAGTGATGATTACCATTGCCGACCTGTTCTTCGTGCATCAGCACGCTCGAATGAACGGTGTCTTCATCTTTATGCAGAGTCTAGGTACACTGGGTGGTCCCATCGCCGGGGGGTACATTTTAAGTACTATGAAGCCGTGGCGATGGATGTGGTGGATAACCGCCATCCTCGTGGGTTGCAATTTGCTGCTGGTTCTATTCTTCTTCGAGGAATCCAAATATGTTCCGCGATCGAGATCAACTGGGAATAAAATCTCCAAGAGGAACGAGTATCCAGATACCAATGGCTTCTCATCATCTGATAGTGGAGAGAAACCCAACGACAGCAACGAGCCACCATATGACTCAAACTTGGAATCCCAAACCTACCCTCGCAAATCATATCGTCAACGCCTTGCACTGGTGACGAAGACCGATGTTCCGATCCTCCAGAACTTCTATCGACCTCTGATTACCCCTTTCCTGTTTCCCGCCGTTGCATTCACTGCAATCCAATACGGCTTGATCCAGACATGGTTCTCTGCTACCTCAACGGCCGGAGGCTATCTCTTGCCTAAGCCACCTTACAATTTCCAACCGAATGACATTGGTCTTTTTAATATCGGAGGTTTCATTGGTGTTTTACTTGCTGCAGGCACGGTACCTTTCCTGAGTGATTGGCTTGTTGTTTGGCAGTCTCGCCGAAACAAGGGTGTCTTCGAGCCGGAAATGCGTTTGTGGCTGCTTTTCCCTGCTCTCCTCCTTAACTCTGTTGGCTCCTGGATTTATGGTATTGGACTTGCTCGGGTATGCTTTGTCTTTCCTTCTATCCAAACAATCAACATGGTTAACATCTCGTCCTAGTATTGGCCCTGGATTAACCTTGCCGTTGGCAATGCAATTTTCGGCTTTGGATTCATGATCACTGCAGATGTCTGTCTGACATATCTAACAGATTGCTATCCCCTAGTAAGCTCATTCCAAGTCTTAGGATGAAATAAGGGACCATAGTAACAAAGTCAGATCCTCAATGACGCCCTTATCTCTGTGGTCTTTATCCGCAACGGCCTGGCAATGATTGTTAGGTTTGCATTTACCGACTGGTTCCTCGGGATGGGTACCCAAAACACATTCGTTCTCATCGGAGTTATTTCCCTCGTTTCTATGATCATGCCGGCTTTACTCGTGGCCTATGGTAAGAGTGCCAGAATACACACGGCGCACAAGTATGTGGAATTTGCTGCCCATCAGCAAGCTCAGAGACCAGATCATCAGCAGAGACGTCGGACACAACAGATATCGTAATCTGTCAATTGGAAAGCTAGTGTGAAGAACTGAAAGGAAAACCCCAGATCATGTGGCTTTGTTTGCACTGTTTGTCTCTATGTATCCAGTTTGCCTGCTCTCTTTCTCTTTCGCTGTCTCTTCTTCTCTCCAGTTTGAAGATTCTTGTAAAATGTCACTTCGTCTTCTTCGTTGAATCGGACTCGCACATCTAGCAGAAGATCCAGGTATTAATGATAATTATACAGTTTAACTACAATTTGTCTCATGGAGCTTATATCCCATTTTGATGATTTTGAGATTTGCTTCCAACAGAGACTAAGACTTTGCACGTAAGAAAGCAGGCTTTTGTAGATGTATAATTCAATTTTAACGCGATACTGATCTCTACTGAGAAAGCACTTGAGCGATAATATAAGCTCAGTGCTTGGACATGCACAAAAACAAGCCAGTATGAAAGGCGGCGAATGAATTGTTTTTTCAAGAAAAAGTACTTGAAATCCATGCTGAAGACCCATTAAAGTTTCGACAAAATAGAGACAAGGCAATAAAAAATGCACAAGACCAAACAAGCCATGGACGCCCCTCTATTCAATGCGATATCACCAAATAATAATTACTTCTGGCTGACCATCAATCAAGTTCATTCAAACTTTCGCCAAATAAAGCATAGACCACGATTCTACACGCGCTCCCGCAGCGCCCGAGCTCCTCGTGTCGAAGCCTCAGTAGTAAAAGCTGGAGTAGTAGTCTCCTCAAGGTCAAGGTAAAGAAAGGGGGAAATAACGTCTTAATTTGGGAGAAATGGTTGGTTCCCATTGGCTTTTTAACAACGGTAAAATGCCGTTGTGAAAAGACTCGCAGTTATGTGAAGTCTCCTGTCCATGATATGGGCCGTAAAGCTAAATTAGATTCTTTGCGATTTCATCATACAGTAGGCACTACCATAACGGTACATGTCGTGATGAAATTTCCTTTTTGAGAGTTGCCCACGTGCTCCGTAACATCTTTTACAGATATACAAATTGTTCCGACCGAAGCAACCTGGAAAGCATGAGTGTCGTACTAGTAATATTTTGCGTTGGATCAGCGCGTGGTACGATTCACCCAGAAGAAAGGGAGGGAACAGAACTTCCAAAAAAAAGGGCATTTGACTCGGATAATTTGTCATACTACAGTATTGCATATTTGAGTGATCAACGGTTGTTGCTACGGTGAATGAAGGCAAGAAATAGTGGGTCATTATGTGGCTCACTTCAACAATGAACGCTGATTTACTGTTTTAATTAGCCCACAGAGCCCTTCTAACTGCCACACCCCCTTGGGAAGCTATGACACACCATAACGTGACTGTCCAAATATGATCCTGGTGTACGCCCACCGAAGCGGTCTTTCGTAATTCCGAGACAACAACCTGACCTATGAGGATTTATAGGACAACCGAATCAACGCCGGTCAAAGATTTGCGACAGCCATCTTACGAAAGACGCTTTGTAGTTCGACTTGGCTGACTGCCGACTCTTGGTCTTTACTCACCATATGCACCTCTGTTCGATTGAAGGATCCATTTCGAATCTTTCAGTCCTGTTTGATTTCACCTCCTATGTAGGAGTTCGCCTCTACGTCCTGGTTGATTTTGCATCTGGTGGTCTTGTTTCTGCTAGTTGGTCTGAAAGACTGTTCAATCATAATAGTGGGTATAAGGAATTTCAGCAAATTGATTGTTGAATACAAGTGATGACGTCTTAGCTAGATCACACTCACTGCCTTCCACCTTTCTATGGAGAGGCACTTGGTACTCCTTGGCCAACTCCCTGTTATTCAGAAGCCTGTAAAAATCATGTTTGTTGGTTTTATGCCAATAATTCCACCATATCACACGTAACCGAGCAGCACGGTCGAAGCCTAAAAGCGCACAATACTCCATAACATCTTGAGCCGAAAGAAACCGTTCCAAATCTCTGATGTTACTGTATACTCGTGCAGCCTGAGTTACAGCAAATATTCCATAAAAGATGGCCCATGAATTGATGCCATCTTGCATGCAGTATGGAAGACATCTAGCTGCCTTGCTGATGTAGAATGCGGCGAGATGATGCGGCGCATTTTCGAAAGAATGATTGTCAATTCGCAGACATTCAGGCGTGTCAGCCATGGCGAGAATCTGGCATTGGCGAACGAGTGGATAAACATAAGACCACGAGGTCCAGAGGAAAATATAGAGGTTGGCTTCATCAACAGTATCGAATTTGTAGGCAGGACCGAATAAATCACATGTAGCGGGTACTGCGGTTTTTAATTCACCACGGGCATATGTAGAAGGGTCTCCATCAGAGTCATGACCAAATTCATGACTTATCTTGAGATAAAAGTTCATATGCTGCTTTTCAAGTTCCAAGCAATCATTTAACAACAATTGACAGGCTTCGTGATCGAGAAAATCAGCACTTTCAACAGCGGCAGAAAGACGCGATAAATCCGTAAGAAGCTGGATTAATTCGTGCAACAGTCCTTCGCCGGGTTCTTTCAGCCACGCAGTTGTCGTCTCGGATAGATGCATAAGTTTCGAAAGCAACTGTGTTCACAATTAGGGCATCGGCATACTAGAGAGCAAAGATTGACAGAAGCATTCTCTTACCACTTTGATTTTCTGGTGTTGACCATAGATGGCAGCTATGATAGGAGACGTGATCTTTTTAGGGCGGTAGATTTGCATGATTGCGCTTAATCCGTCTATGTGCGCAAACCATTCGTTGAGCGAGTCCGGGCAATGCTGGGTCTAGCTTTCTGTGAGCCTTAACATCTACCGAAGGGAAAACAACCCTGACCTCAATCTGTCCAAAGAGCGTACATGTGTAAACAATGTCATCGCTGTAAGCCTTACGACTAAGTGCCTTTGACATGTCCTGAATTGCCTGGTTGTAAAGACAAAGCCCATATCGCAAGAGAGGTTTATCCTGGTAGAGCTTGCCAATGAAAACGCACGACAGTGCGGAACTGGCCTTTTCTAGCATCGGGGTTTTCTGAGGAAGCATGTAGATGCCCGAAATAATGACATGTGGATTGTCAAGCGCACACGTGGGCCTAACTTTGCGCGGGGAAATAGTCACTGAGATAGGACGAAAAGAGTTGGCTGGCGATCATCGAGCCGGGGGCGACAGCCTGGGGTAAACCCGAGATCTGCGATAGGGCTAGTCGCCGAGACCGTTTGACGAGCTGGACAAATGAGTTGGGCTCTATCTTGTCACTACAATTGACGAATATATGGGCAGGTCGGGGGCAGTGGCTAGTCCGTTCCACCTGCTTCTCCTTGCCTCGCTCTATGGTGTTGTTGGTCTGGTCGCAGAAGATGAGTTCCCATTCATCTCGATATCCAGTGCATTTTTCGTGCGCGCGAATGCGCAATGGGGACGCTGCTGTTCGCACGGCACTGTATATTAGTACCACCCTCGCCGACATGAGAAGAAATTACTCCACCAATTTGCCCTACGAATGCCTAACTTGCGCTTTTTTTTTCTTTTAGCAGTAGAAGAAGACTTATTTCAAATATAAACGAGATTACACCGTGGATAAAACGAGTGCAGCACTAATTCTCGACAACACCGAAAGATGCAACGTTGGCGTTAGATCCCTAAAGAATGTGCAAGTTCCAAAGTCCGGCTGATCATGGATATAGATCGGCAGTAGCAGCACTACTGTGAAATGATGTTGCTACTAGACAAAGATTTACCCAGAATCAAGATAAGCACCATGGGTGTACTGTATGAGACGACTGAATGATAAGTATGATACACCGTTCCCTCGTTTCCAGAGAACAATCAATCGATATCCGACATTCAAGTTTAAATTATTCCATATTTGTATGGCTTTGTTGAGTCCTTTTTGCCCTTTGGCTTTTGCTGAGACGGCGAATCTCCTTTAGACCAAACCTTTGTCATGGTATTACACTCGTCGTAAGGGTCCACTCGGTAGATGTTATCGACGTTGGAGTTCCGAGTCAATGCAGGATACTCCCACCCTATTGACAGAAATAAAATCAGCACCAATCTTCTCATGATTTCCAGATAGGGAAAGAATATTCTTCTTTCACTCACCTCCCCAGGTGGTGCTGCTGTCCCAATTATTGTCGGGGGCGACATTCTGTTTCAGCAACACAATGACATCCCCATGCGCCGACTCTGCGAAAGCCTGAGAGAAATTCTTCAAAAACCTATCTTGGTAATACTTCCTGCGCTTCTTTGAAAAGCCAGCATTCTGCATTGCGGTTCTCAAGTTATTAGCTGTATCAGACATATACGAAGGGTCCGCAAGGCGATCCCAAAAGGCGAACTTCCAGTTTGCCTTGGTGGCGCCGAGATCCTCGTCAAAATAATCCAGTCCCCAATGAAATGCCACATTCTTATTAACGGGATATGCGGTGAAAAACACGTCTGGAAGGTTGTCGGCTACACCCCATGCTTGGATTTTGGAGAAGCATTCGTTCACACCGGGGACAACAGGGAGATCGGCACGAACGCTAAGAAAACTGTCGGATTTGTCGTCTTCTCCTGGTGCAGGTAGATTGCGGATTCCGCTGTATCGAGATAGGGCCTCGTTGAGCTGATCTGGGCCCGAAATCTCAAGTTCCGCTGGGCCGGCTAGAGGTGCTGTCCAACCAAGGGAATACAGGAGGAAGAACCAAACGAGTAATACTCGCGGCACAGAAGATGATGTTGTGATATACATCTGGAGAATAGGAGAAAATAGAAAAATCACTGTATATTCTCCGACTGAGCCTTAGGGCGTATGCGAAATTTCTCATATAAGAGTATCCAAAAAATAGCACGACCACAAATAGTGGAAGACCTGGTTAAGACTAGTGGATAGAACATTTTCTCGAGAGAATGCTTGCGGTCAGACAATGGGCCCCAGACTTCTGTATTTCAGATACACAGCCTGCCCACGAGGCATCAAGGCAAACCTTCCATCAACATACACTAGGAGATAAAGAAAACGGCCCAGTCTTGGAAAGCAGCAGCGAATGACTTTTTGAAATTAGGCCTTATCCTAAGGGGCATTATAACTATTGAGGCATAGTTGGAGTCCCTCATATGCGAATTTCCAAGAACAATAGAAGTTTGTTAAAACAGGAGATTGCGCTAACTCTGTGAAAGGATTGCGATCAGACACCGGCCCTCAAATTTGCAGACCCCAGATTCACAGCCCTACATAACTAGGGGCCAGCAAACCTGACTACTCATTTTGACCTAATGACAAATGGAAAGCATACTACTCGAGAGAGCAGAGGTAGCTTTATATTTGGAGATATGCCCTATCTAACATGACTCACGTGGTTGATAAGCCAGTCGCGCACTTCCGCCTTGACGAGGATCTATTCAATTTGATGCGACATTTCTCCACAACAGAATGGAGTCTACTTCTAAAAAAAAAAAAAAAAAAAAAAAAAAAAAAAAAAAAAAAAAAAATCACCTTCAGCCCTTCAAGCCATCTAGAAATGTGATAGAATTAGCGTCCGCCAAACTGGCAGGACCTATAACGTGACTGAAGCAACTATTCGCGACAGGATGAACGGACGACGCACTCGACAAGATATCCGGCCTAATTCTCTGCTCGAGGATCCATAAGAACAAACTCTTCTAGAGCAAATACCTGACCTGGATTCGTGAGTAGGCCCGGTTAGCTGATGTTGAAGATATGGCCAATTTGCTGCTTGCGAACCGCGCCTTAGGACGTGTCGGTAAGCGCTAAGTTATAAACTTTATCAAGTGATAGCCAGAACTGAAAATACGCCAAAATCGTGCATACGATTACCAGAGATCCCTCGCAGTATATGAGCCCGAATATAGCGAGCCTTACGTAGTCCCCAACATTCAACGCATGGAAAATGCCTCATTGAGTTGAGTATCTTGGCTTCGCCCCCGAGGTTGGGGGGCGGGCTGTTTCATGACGTGTGGGCGTCCGAGCGTTAGTGACAGGCGCTGCATCTGCGGGGAGAAATATTTCCTTTACTACAAATGCCATCTGGCCAGTTTACCCCCCATCCCGGCGTGTCCCTTTTCCTTCCCCTTTATTGCGTTCAAAGAAATATGTCACAAATTGAAGAAGATAACAGGTCGGACAGGTCGGATGAAGAATTCGAGTAAGATTACCTGCTTCTTTTTTTTAACATGATCCTCAGCACCTCACCACCTAACCTCGCATAAAGTAAAATAATTGGAGTCCTAAACATCGACACTAGTTAAATAGGACGAGAAAGAGGGTTCAGATAGCTGACTTACCTAGATCATTAGCCGATTTCGAAGACGCTGTGATCAAAGAGAGCCAGAATCAAGACCCAAACAAACTAGAAAAGCTCCTGTGCCGGCTCAACAAGCACATGATCGAAGAATCAGCCCAAGAAGCCTCCGTAGTAGGAATTAAGTGCATCTTAGACTGGATCGCACCTACTTATCACCCTGCCGCAATAAAATCCGCCCTCGAGTCCAGCGCGATGGCTGGGAACGTCGACGTGTTCCGATATCTGCTACCCCTAAACCCTGATCCTTATGTCGGTAAGGATGTGCTTTATTTTGCTGTGGAAGGGGGTGTTCCAATTTGGGAGGCTTTACTAGAGTTTAATCATGATATCATGAACTGGGGTATTGGACATTATGGGGATGTGTTGGGAGTGGCGTTGCATATGGGGCGGGGTGACCTTGTGGCATTCTTCTTGGAGCGAGGGATTGATATATCGCAAAGTTCATTTATGGGGATGCCTATCTTGCCTTTTGCGAAGAGGACTAAAGGGGTTACGCAAGAGACAATTGATCTTTTGGTAAAGTATGGCGCGAAGGAGGATTGAAATGCGAGGTTTTCCTTTTTAGGTCTTTATGAAAGTGAAGAAAGAAATGGAATGAATAAACAAAAAAAAAATCTAAAAGCCTGTCTCGTAACTAAAAACCTCATCCGTATTGGTATATGCTACATAATCAAGGGTTTGGTCCCTTTCTGTTGTCGCACTGTATAGCCGTCCTCGCCTCGAACTATTATGCTAAGAGAGGCTAGAAATATCAGACCCCTATCGTGTCCATGCACCCCTGACGATGCATTGGGTTCAACGTGTAATCGATCACTACAGGGTAGCTAAGACATCCTAGATAGTTACATATTGTTCTGTCAACTATGAACAATTACCGGTCAGAGCTTAAATGTGCCTTCGACACTTTTTGGCGTGGCAGAATAGTTTTGCACACACTTTGGTCAATATATATGAGCCTAGTATATTTAACGAGTGGTAGTTGCGTAGATTGTATAATTTCTGCGAAGTATGCTTCGTAGAGGTACAAGCAAGAATAAGGTGGTGGTGCAGCAATCCTGTTCTGGCGTTGGTCCTTTTCTTTGGTGGGAAAGTAACCCGCCCTTCTGGGCGCATATATTGCTAGTGTCTTCGAGTGCATGTTGCGGGATTTTATGCAAGATCATACCAATGCGTCAACGCCGATGACAGATCAGGTTTTGTAACATTCGTGGATATAGGCAGAGGTAAATATCCTCATCAGTAAAGGGGAATATCGAATCTGAGTATGACTAACCGACATAAGACATTAGGAATCTTCTTTAGGTACACATCCTCGTTACAAGAGCGGCATTGAAAGGCTCCAGAAGTACGAATATGTCGAAACGGGATGCGCTCCTCGGAGTTGATCCTCGTGCTAAATCCGTACCAACATGTGTCATATCAATTAATCCAAACAGCCGTAAGCATCGAGTCCTGATTAATATAGGACTATCCTAGCGTCGGGTCATATGGTTACGAACTTGGGATAACGTTTTCGAGTGGTGCTCTGCTCGAGTAAAAGAAATTACGTATATATAGGAGCGACCTTCCTTTTTACAAAAGTTTACCTTTCCTAGAAGACGGATGGTGGGCCTCGGGTTTGTTGAGGGGTTGCCAGTCGTTCTTAGAAACTAGGAACTTTGAGCTAAGAGAAGCTAGTGCTTCCATCGATGATAAGCCAAGCTCTAATAGATCTGTTCTCAAATACTAAGAATGTCAAACCAACTTAGTGTTTTATAGAGGATATCATGTCCATATGCCTAACCTCAAAGGCAACGAAATGGACTAATTATGTGGACGAGGAGAAGAACAGAGAAATAATGTCGAGAGCATAAGCCCTTTGCCACATCCTAGTGTGCCATCCGAATTAAGTCCTATAAAATATTAGTCCTACTAAAACTTTCTAGCCACGTCTAGAATATTACAAGCCCATAGATGGTGACTAGGATCCATTGATACCAGATGTGATGCATTCCTTGTCGCGAATATGCACTTGTGAAAGTCTATTCCATGAGATATACCACTGTGAAATACCAGAAGTTTTCCTTGTTAAAATAAAGATCGGAGTGGTAAGGAATCCTCACAAATGTAGACGGTGCTACACGTGCTGGTTAGTCCCTAGTCAGATATGTCGGGATTCCAGGATGGATCCATGAAAGTTATGCAACGCTAAACTGCTATTGTTTTTTGAGATTCTTGGCATTGTGCGCTCATTTCACTTACTATGCGTTCTGTTCTATTAAAGAGATAGCTGGATTATATTCAGAAGGCCAGACACATCCCGCGTCAGGTGATGAGTGGCCAATCAAGGATCCACTTGGTCAGACACTTCCTATTAACTATAGAAGTACCAACCCCATTACATGCCCTGGGCCTTCCGGTTCAAGTTCAATATTGTCTGTGGGAACACCGCCATCTTCTATAATTTTCTACGTAAGATTAAATTTCCATAAAGAATACTCCAGTCTTCCTATTTTCAGCCCCTTGTATCCATGGTAGTAATCCGATCAGTCACCGTGATTGGGTTGAACTGTAGAGGGTGTATGTCTATTGGTTTGATTTGATTTGATTCCTCAGTCTTTTCACGACCTTAGGTGCAACCACCTAGCTGTGTGTGTATTGGAGGGGGTGCAGGATGCCCCCCTTCAACTACTTGTGAAGAAGCCTGACCAAGCACGGATGAGTATGGGAATCTAACGGAGTCACACAGGGGAAATAGATGGCCTCCTCTTGAGGAGTCATTTGAGATGGGTGTGCAGAAATGGAGACGGAAGGTGGGAGGCGAGTTTGAGGAAAATGAGAAAGCTGCGTTTCTGGATCTGATGCGCCGGATGCTGTCATTCCGGCCGGAAGAGAGACCGACTGCTGAAGAGGTGCTAATGTCGGAGTGGATGGTCAAATGGGCATTGCCTGATTACGAGCGGAGCTAAAAGTATTCCCTTTGAAATATCCAACACTCAAGATCTATGCAGCAATACAAGGATCGATGCACAGTTTCTCTGTATAAAATGGGAATATAAAGACAGCAGGTTAGAATAGGGAGCAACAGACCTAGAGTGCCAACATGAACGTAGTCATTGAAAATTTCCTGTTGTAGTATAAGACAACTATATACATCGGAATTCTTGACACTTGTATCGGTCGTTGCCTGACATCTAGCACTGAACAAAACACAAGTACCAGCCTCTCCAAATTGGGCAAAACATACTTAGACGCCGATATCGAAACCCCGAAATGACATACCCGCCTCCAAATTGGTGAGGGCCTGACATTTGGAGGCGGGTATAGCCACTCTGTTGTGATATTTGGTTGCAACAGATTCACCTTTGGCACCAGAGGGCGCTCAGTATTCAACATGAGTTGACTCTGATATGGCACCTAACTTTGACCTGGTAGGTGTGAGTAGCCGATGGGACTGTCTTTATATTCTTCAAGGAGCTCCTCGGGTGGCCAAACAACCTTATCAGAGTGCGGCCCACCACGGCGAATGTTGTCTGCCTTCTCCGAGGTATGAGTAGCTTCCTTAAGAACAAAGTCCTCTTTGCCGTTGGTATACCCGTGTGATGCAACATGATATTCACGTAGGAGTTGATCGCTGGCCTTGAAGGCGAAGGTCCCGTGCCAGCCATTAGGATCTATGACATGTCTGCCCTTGCTGGTGGTGGTATTGTGCATGTCAGATCTGAATAACTGGTTAGCATAAAATATATCAAGATATACACCTGCACAAAGCTTTGGCAAGGAAATGCATTTGTATGTGTACCAAGGTAAAGAAGTGGGCGAAGCCAATTGTTGATGGCAGGGGAAAAAGTTTGGCTGGCTCGAAATTGTATGTATACGTATAGGAAACCTGAATGCAGCCTGATGTCATGTTAGCGATTCAAGTCGTGTGCAGAGGCTTCAAGAAAATCAAATTGCTGTATAAAAGCCGCAACACAATAATTCTTATCGCGATAGTGTCAACCACGAAGTTGTTCAACCCCCTTTGGAATCAGCCGAGGCGTTTGTACAGTCCCAGGAATACAGTATGGATGGATGGACCCCTTAGTTACAGACGATGATGGCTGTGATTATTTCATTTACCCTGACCTCTCGCGAGTTGACCGAGTCGCGCGAGACGGTGTCTGGTTTACCTCTCTCACACTTCTTTTAAGCCTCGCAGCAGACTCGACACGCTATTAAACGCGTCCCCAATTTGTCTCCTTAGTTCCCTTCGCAATTCACGAAACATCACCCATTCTGTAAGGGTTAAGCAACCTACCCCTGGTTGCAGTACTAGTTATCTCGATTTTTTGTTCATTTAGCTTTGAGGTGGAGAGGTGACAAGAAAAGTATTTGGCCAATATTGATGATTGCTGGATCCTAAAAGACAGAGGGTGTGTTCCGCGGCTTCGATAACGCTACATGTGAGACTGAGCTTTTGAATCACCCTCTCTGAGAAATATGTTCCTAATATTTCTGCCAGACACCCGGAGAAATACAAGTGCGTCGAGAGCGTTTTTGGAAAATCTTCAATTTCGCACACACCAATCCGAATATCCAAAATCGGGCGACGATATCTTCTGAATATTTCTTATCTGAACCTACTGACACCAAATTTATATGTATAAATAAAAAGCTGGGTGAGATATATGTCCTTACTAAATCTCGACGCACTGTTTGTACAACGCGGTTCCCGGCTCAGACCGCAGGCTGATGAAGCAACCCAATTGGGTTAGCGTGACAGAATCGGCAGAATTCTGTCTCATCATTGGCTGAGGCCTGAGGAACTAAGGTAAGTCTTCTCACTCTACTCCCTTTTTATCCCTCCTCCTCCCCCAGCCGTCCCTAACGAAAATCCGAATTCCTCGATTTCCCGCATGCTTAACACTTGTGCTTTCTCATAACACCGGTTTTCCATCGGGTTTCAGTGCTCGTCTTTTACCATCTCGGAATACTACGCGGCGGTACTTGGTTTCGTTCACTCCATTGAATTTGGACACTGGCTTATTTTTTCTGACTTTTCTCTAGATCCATTGCAAAATTTTCTTTTGTCTCGCGAGAAGAGAGTATCACTTAAATTACTATGGACCTCTCCGCCAGATCTGGTCCAGCTCGTTGTGCGAACTACAGCGACTCTGCCCCGGAACTGCCATATCCAACGACCTGCGGCCTTGCGCTCTTTGAACGGTCGAATGCCACCGAAGCGCCCTACGACGTACTAAAACAATGCTGTGCGAGCGGTCAAATCGGGTACTACCCAAACTCTCTCCAGGATTGCTTCGCCTACTGTAATTCCACCAGTCAATCCCAACAGCTACAAGTGAAAGATTGCCTTTCGACCTCACTGCAATTGTCGTCATTCACTTGCGCAAAAACGCCGTCAAGTGGTGGACCTCACGCACTCGCACTTAGCTGGGGTACCCTCCTTCTGTCCGGGTTGCTCTTGTCGGTTGTGCTCGGACTTTAGGACGCAATCGGGCCAAAAGAGAAAGCGACGAGTTGCAAGGGAAGAGAAAGAGAGGTGATTTTCGGTTCTGTCGTGTTTCAACTTCGCTTCCAGGACGATATGGTCTTTACGAATATGATCTTTCGCATCGTTCGTATATCGCAACAGCATCACCTGCGTAATTAAATCAAAATTGAAGTGATTGCTGCGCCACAGTTGTAGAACTCCATTATGCCGTATTATGGAGTTGATGACAGTTTCTCTCATGTTCAATCAACCTAGACATGTCGAATGTTAGCCTCGTCGCGCAGGCTCGACTCGGCAGTAATCTTTTGTATTTCTGCAATGGAGGGTTGAACATTCGGAGAAGATCCAATCTCATGATACGGGATTCCTGAGCTCAACCCATGCACGCAGCACCGGAACAGGAGTTGAGTCTAGCTCTGGCTTCGCGTACAGCGGGCGAGCTATACGGGAAGCTTCAGGTGGGATTATTGGCTGTGGATTTTGCTTTTTTTCCCCGCACTAGAAGCCAAACCCCCAGAGCCCCCAGCAATCCTAGGGCACCAAGAGACAGCCTGGGAAGGGAGAAGGGGGGGGAAGTACGGCATCTATGGAGCTGACTTAAAGACACCCGAGATTTAGCCACTCCAATTGAACTTACTACAATAGGAAATTGTGCCTATTGCGTTCTCGGCTTTATAGGTCCTAATCCGTTAGCCGCAGCTCCTCTAACTATACATCGATACGATCCATTCAACTTCTATCGTTGTATTAAGAGCATCCCTAGGTCTCGCCACTCAATAAAATTTCGTACATTGGTACTTGCGAAGAATACAACGACAAAGGAATCTCTTCCTAATTTTGATTAGTCTAGGTTTTATAGTTTAAATTGATACTACGATTAAAATCAGTTAATACGCTACTACCTAATCTAGGTATAGCACTATTATATAGAGCGCTCTCTTTGTATATTCTCGGGTCTACTAAGCGATAGGTTCATAAGTTGACGCGGACCTACCTTATTTAGGATAGCTCCGAAGGATAGTGCTACCATGTGGCGGAAAAAATATTTTCATTCATGCCAGCTATAACTTTAGTGAAATCTATTCTCTCAGCGTTACAAGGCTTCTTAATCTCACATAGCCTAAAGTTAGTTAACTCTATCTAATAGATTGGCTAGGGTCGCGAGTTGCTTTAGTGAGCAGGTGAAAAATAACTCTCGCTATAGACTTGGAGGGTACCCACCCCTAGTAGTCGGGCCCTCACCAACGGAGAGCGGTGAGGGCCCGACTGCTAGGGGCGGGTACAGTGTAAAGTATTGGCATTCTTTTTGTTTCAGCTGGCAATAGAGTTTGTCTGTAGCCACTTTCTATCATTTGGTCTAACCTGAGCAGCTTAATACTTGCAAGCTCTTTTCCTTGACCTTTTTTGGTCCATCACCGCACTCGGCGGTTGGAAGTGAGCTGGGTGAGCGAACAGGTATGCCAGTCCATTCTCATTTTCCCAACGAATATACCATTCCTATTTCGTTTCCCAGAGTTCTCCAATCCTAATGTTGGCTTTCTGCTGGTCCGTCAAGGCCACAGCATCCATCTTTGTAATCCAACATGTCCAACAACTATCTTTCGACGATTCCTCACCACTTTCCTTTAATATATATTATAGGGGCTTGTCTATAATCTAGACAGGTATCCTTTCTCTCCTCTATGACGACTCCGACAATGCCAACAATATTGTCCCTAGTGTATCATCCTTCAGGGAGTCTTGAGTGAAGAGTATTCAGGGTGCTGAACTGTCGCCTGAAGCCGCCTGAATAGCGCGCGGACCGCCCAGGACCGATTGGGAGACTCTGGGTGACCACCACCGTACTTTGACTGTTGCATGTCAGCCATGTTTTGCACCCCTCAGGTTTAGTGCTCCTTCCCTTCCTACGCTTTTTTATTTATTTGTATTTTTGTTAGCCACTTATTCTACGCGGCTAATCCTCTAGGAGCCAGCTCTAGCTAGTTGTCTTCAATATTCTCACACAGCGACGACTCTATCCATAGGATGAGTGCGGATGATATAGTTGAAATTCTTTCACACGCCTTTTCGGCTGCTCTGTTTTACTACAATTCTTTGACCTTGACTTCTTCAGGTATGTCGGTGCCCCTTCGAGGGCGACCATGGGTGAGGTCAGGTCTACAAGAGATGCAAAAAAACCCACCGGATACTGTAATTAGATTCTACCACGCGATACCCCCTAGTTCTAACCTTAATTGAGCCAAAATATGGCCATATTATCGGTACGAGTGCAAGTTAGCCGTTCAAGGACGTCGTGTTGTTAGGGATTAACCAGCTTAGCAGCGTAAATAGACTGTCCTTTACGCAAGGAGTATTGGAGGAGACGGGGTCTTCAGCTTCATGCTCAGGGTTTCGGAGGGATGATTTCGTCCTAGTCCATCACATGGTGGATCATGAGAGATTCTTGAAGATTCCCCTTACCCGCAGCGAAGGTCTGGTTTACTGCACGTACCTCTTCCGGCGCCCCGCATCGCCAACCAAATTTACTAGTTTCCTGTGGGCGCGACGGTTCGTGCATTAAACTTCAGGAGTGGACTGCTCGGGCACCACAGTCCTACACTGGCTAGGCTTGTCTACATCTAGGGTGGGTTGGAATGTTTAGCTACATTAAATTAGTTGTATCGGTTAAAACTTTCCTCCCATCGAAGAGAATTAGGAAAAATCCCGGTGGCACAGCCTGCTTGGCCCTAGTGTTATACTAATGCTACTTACTATTATGCGGGGTACATTCGAAACGGCCCAGATATCCCCGTCGAAACGGAGCTGTCGCTCTGCAGCGTTGCATGAAGAGGGCCCCGTGGCAACGTATAAGGCTACTTCTCGCGAGCATCAGAGGTGGAACAAAACCATCCATGTAACTAAATCACAATCCGCCGAAAAGTCTGAATTTCAATTTTCCGGCAACCAGAACTGATTTTTACACGGCAGGCTTCTTGGGCAAAACTTTCCTAGTATATATCGGTCAGTACTCAGCACGATGCTTTAGACCAAGTATTATATTGTAATTGATGATATTTTTATCTTGGTGTTGTTCAACTTCATTGAATGATAGCCTTATTATATAGCACCAGAAGCTAAGTTACGTACCTTTCCCGATGTGTTAATTAAGTATAAAGATTTTCCAGTCTACTTAATAATAAACTCAATTATTATCTAGTCTTAGAAGTACTGTCGATTAAGTTTGGCATTCAATCTGCTTTCAATATTAACCGAGCTTCTAGACTTGACTGTTAATATCAAGTAAATAATGCACACTCTAGCTATAACTATTGGAGGAAAATCTTGCTGCTTTAGTGCCGCATGCCACTACTAACCTAGAAACCGGGCATCGTGAAAAATTGAATGAAGATTATAAAAGGATAGGCTAGATACTGCGCAGGCCTGTTTTTGTTCAGTGGATGTTTAAGCATCTGGTCGCTGATTCTTAGTCTGTTTATCTAAAGGTGATCAAACATGTCCTCACGATTAAGCATCGAACATGCCTACGTAGTTGCTCTTGGCCTTGTTGCCATGGCCTCTCTTATCGACGCTGCGCCCTGTGACATCTACTCCTCCGGCAAAACACCCTGCGTCGCCGCGCATAGTACCACTCGTGCCTTATACGACGCCTACACTGGCTCCCTCTACCAAGTGAAACGCGGCTCGGACGGTGCCACGGCCAACATTGCGCCGCTTTCCGCCGGCGGTGTCGCAAACGCCGCCGCCCAAGACTCCTTCTGTGCCAGTACGACCTGCCTCATCACGATCATTTATGACCAGTCGGGCCGCGGTAATCATCTCACCCAGGCTCCGCCCGGCGGCTTCAGCGGTCCAGAGTCCAATGGCTACGACAACCTGGCTAGCGCTGTTGGCGCACCAGTCACGCTGAATGGTCAGAAGGCGTACGGCGTCTTCATGTCTCCCGGCACCGGCTACCGCAACAATGCCGCCAGCGGCACAGCTACAGGCGACGCGGCGGAGGGCATATACGCAGTCCTTGACGGAACTCACTTCAACGATGCCTGCTGCTACGACTACGGCAACGCTGAGACCAGCAGTACAGATACGGGGAACGGCCACATGGAGGCCATCTACTATGGCGACAACACTGTATGGGGCACTGGCTCTGGCAGTGGCCCTTGGATCATGGCCGATCTCGAGAACGGCTTATTTTCTGGCTCCAGCGCTACCAAAAACGCTGGTGACCTATCAATTTCCTACCGGTTCGTCACTGCGGCCATCAAGGGGGAGCCAAACCAGTGGGCAATTCGTGGAGGTAATGCTGCGTCCGGCTCGCTATCGACGTACTACAGCGGCGCACGTCCAAGTGTATCTGGCTACAACCCGATGAGCAAAGAGGGCGCCATCATTCTTGGTATCGGCGGCGACAACAGCAATGGCGCCCAAGGCACGTTCTATGAGGGCGTGATGACCTCTGGCTATCCGTCTGATGCCACCGAAAACTCGGTGCAAGCTAACATCGTAGCGGCTAAATACGCTGTCACATCGCTGACCAGCGGCCCGGCGCTCACCGTTGGTTCCTCAATCTCGCTGAAGGTCACCACGCCCGGCTACACGACGCGCTACCTCGCTCACGACGGTTCTACCGTCAATACCCAGGTCGTCTCATCGTCCAGTACTACAGCCCTCAAACAGCAAGCCAGCTGGACGGTTAGAACCGGCCTTGCCAATAGCGCCTGCTTCTCATTCGAGTCCATCGATACCCCCGGCAGCTTCATACGGCACTATAACTTTGAGCTCCTGCTCAACGCCAACGACGGTACGAAGCAGTTCTACGAGGACGCCACGTTTTGCCCGCAGACCGGCCTAAACAGCCAAGGCAATTCAATTCGCTCATGGAGCTACCCTACCCGCTACTTCCGCCACTACGACAACGTGCTCTACGCTGCGAGCAACGGCGGTGTTCAGACGTTCGACGCCACCGCCTCATTCAACGACGACGTGAGCTGGTTGATCAGCACCGGCTTCGCCTGAGTCCTGGTCCAAATCCCTAGGCACTATTCGGAAGTAAACTCTATTTCCCATTTTCCTCCTACGGAGTGTCGGTTGTGTGCAATTGATGATGGGGCAGGGTGGTACTGGCACATGTGGAGTTCTAGTTGTGCACCTTGTTAGTAACTTGGTCAATCTAATCAATATGCATATACCTAGGTAGGTAGTTTAAAGCAGAAAATATGAAGGATACCAAAGAGAGATGACTTGAATTTCTCATAGGTAACTGTTAGAAATGTGTCGGTGGTGAGTGGCTGATTTAATTTTATTGGTGATACAGAATCTTACGTATGCAAGCGGTTGACCTTTGCCCTAACTATTCAGATTTCTCTACATTCATCCTCGTCGACTGCCATCCCAAGCCCTACGCGGAAGTATAGGTATTACCCCGCGATTGGCTAATTAAACCATGTCCTACCTATCATCTTAAAATGTATATCTACCCAGTGTTTGGGTCAAGCAGTACGCCCCAATGACTTCAAATTGTAGTTCAGCTGAGAGGGTCAGTACGACGATCGCACGACTAGGGTGATTCTCACCAGGATTCTTCTACTATAGCTATCTCGTTAGTTAACTTAGTTACTTTCGACTGCTGGGTCTAATCTTGTTCAGATTTTGCGTAAACCTTTATAATAATACTTGCGCAACCGTTATTAGATAGTCCTATTACTCGTATTATTAAGGTTAAGCTTTCTGACTACTCCCTTAAGAATCCTTACAGGCTCGGTGGTAATTCCAATTAGTTGATTCCAGGGTGGAAATATTGTGGTGTTCCAATTGGCTTCCTATTGATTGCATTGCATGCAGTGATCCCCAACGGAATGGGTCAACAACAAAGGACCCAACAAAATGAAATGCGGCTGATGGTTGGAATTTATCTGTCTCGACAATGCCGTGCCTTCATGTGATATTTTCCTCGTCTTCGTCAACTGGGATATCTTGACCACGCCCACATCACGTCCACAATGGCTTCCTCTACACGACATCTTACGGGACCAGGCAGCAGAGGAGGGTCCAGACCTCACATCACCGAGACGTCCACAACATGGGGGAACTGGTACCAACACATCAACTGGCTGAGCGTCTTCTTCATCATTGTGCTCCCGCTCATGGGCTTCGTCGCGGCCTTTTGTTATCCTCTTCAGCGCGCCACTGCCGTCTTCGCCATTTTCTACTACTTTAATACTGGGTTGGGCATTACAGCCGGTGCGTCCACAAATATCGTTGACGAGGGAGATGCTGACTCTGCACAAGATATCATCGTCTCTGGGCGCATTCTTCTTACCGAGCGTCCACCCCTCTCAAGATATATCTGGCGGCCGTTGGTGTCGGCGCCGTCCAGGGCTCGATCCGATGGTGGTCGCTGGGGCACCGCGCGCACCACCGGTATACCGATACCGAAAAAGATCAGTATTCCGTGCGCAAGGGCTTCTGGTATTCCCACCTGGGCTGGATGGTGATGAAGCAAAACCCCAAGAACATCGGCCGGGCCGATATCACCGACCTGAACGAGGACCCGATTGTGGTCTGGCAGCATCGACACTATCTCAAGGCCGTTCTCTTTATGGGTCTCGTATTTCCGACGCTGGTTTGTGGCATCGGCTGGGGCGATCGGGCGGGCGGCTTGATCTACGCGGGCATCCTACGGGCGTCGTTTGTGCAGCAGGCCACGTTTTGCGTCAACTCCCTGGCCCACTGGTTGGGTGATCAGCCCTTTGACGATCGGAATTCGCCTCGTGACCATGTCATCACGGCCCTAGTGACCCTGGGCGAGGGCTACCACAATTTCCACCACGAGTTCCCGTCCGACTACCGCAATGCGATCGAGTGGTGGCAGTACGACCCGACAAAGTGGGCGATCTGGACGTGGAAGCAGCTCGGGCTAGCATACTACCTCAAGGAGTTTAAGCAGAACGAAATCGAAAAGGGCCGACTCCAGCAGCAGCAAAAGAAGCTCGATCTCCGGCGGTCCAAGCTCGACTGGGGCATCCCGCTTTCCCAGTTGCCCATCATAATGTGGGACGACTTCCAAACCGAGTCGGTCCAGGCCGACGGGAGAGCCCTGGTGGCCGTCGCTGGCGTCGTGTATGACGTGGCCTCCTTTATCCCCGGGCATCCCGGGGGCAAGGCGTTCATTTCCTCAGCGATTGGCAAGGACGCCACAGCCACCTTCAATGGCGGCATCTACCAGCATTCCAACGCCGCGCACAATCTGCTCGCTACAATGCGCGTGGCAGTTCTCTACGGAGGTGGCGAGGTCGAGGTCTGGAAGCGGGCCTGCTCCGAGAAGCAGAAGGGTTTCGTGATTTAAGATAATAAAGGCCAACAGATTGAGGACGTTATAAACATCTCTTCGCCACAGAACGGGCCCACAATCTAGATCAAGATGCAGGAGGGCGGAGCAGTCACACCATAGACCTTTGTATTCGTGATTCATCCCTAGTGCTTGGTAACTGCAGATGAAGAACTCATGACCCATACGCTTTACAGACTATTTTACTGGACGCTGTTAAAGTAGTGTTTCTGGGCCTGTCTTATCGAGACAGCGCGAAAGCTAATTCAGGCGGCCCCATTGGCTGTAGGAGTTTCTGGGGAACCGTCATGGACTCGGAGCATTCCATACGAGGCTCTCCGAGTGTCGGAGGCCTAGGCGACGTTCTCGACCTCCCGAGCAATTAATCTTCCGTGCCTGCGGTACTATACCTGCAGCATCAAATGAGCGTTCCTAGTGTCCCACTTGAACAGGTTGAGAGAATGGACACTCGATTGCGACACTGTTGAACGTTGCTGCCCCTTCCTGGATCGTCTAACGCAGCGGCATCTTCGCTGTCTACACATCATCATATTCATACGCACGCAAGCGTTTAGGGTGAAGGGCTACGAATAAGACAGCGCCAGGATGCTTACAGCTACGACCACTGCTATCGCCCCCGTTCTGTTGACTGCGTGACCAGAACCTGAAGTCGAAGTCCGTTATTAGCGGATCTTCATCCTATATATAGTATGCGGGAGAAGACTACGTAAAAGTCTAGGTAGAAGGACCATTCTCTAGGTTTCCTTTAGCCTCTCCGGTTCCTCTTAGGCTCCGTAGGAGTAGGAGGTTTTATAGCAGGGTCATCTAAAGGGGTAGGGATAGAAAATACATATTACTTTGCAAATGGTGAATATCGATATACCACCCTAACTGGAGTTCTGCATAATATCGACCTAGAAGTCATGCGGTGTCGTCACGAAATTTCATCAAGAGCCGAATCCCGGTTAATCATAGAAGTGAAGATTCCGTAGGGAAGAAATGTGTTGCAGAACCAACTAAGAGTGGAAGCCTGCCCGCGTCGAATGAAAATACGGCCACCGTTGAGAACGTCACTAACAACGTTCCTCGCCGCTATGTCAACATTCTGTTTGTTGGGGTGTACGATAGTCTTCTTGTGACGATCTATGACCGTCGTTATTTTCCGGTAGTGCGAATCCGAAGGCAGCTCAAGGTCCGCGATATTGGCGGGGTCGTTTCCGCTAGTCTGGACGCCGCCGAGGATGACTGTGACAACTCTTACACCAAGGGGAGCCATCTCGAGACGCAGCGTCTCTGAAATTCTCGTTGCAGCACTCCTAGAGCTGCTATATATACCTACATAAGAGTAAACATCACAGTTGAACCCTCAGAGATAGCAATAAGGACTTACCCGCCCATGCAAAAACCATTTCGCTAGACACTGAACTGATGTTACACATGATTCCCTTGGCCTTTATGAGCATTGGTGCGAACGCGTGAGCCATGGCAACAATACTCCAGACATTTGTGTCGTAAACCTTCTTCGCCTCGTCGAGGGACGCGTCTAGGAGCGGCACTATGGCATTGACTCCAGCATTGTTGACAAGGACATCGAGTGTCCCACCTGTGTATTTCATAACAGCATTTGCGCATTGACGAATAGATTCAACCGATGTGACTTCTAGATCGACAATCTCTATGCCATCCATTCCAGCCAAAGATCCGGCCTTAGCCTTGTTACGTAGTGTCGCGAAGACCCGAAAGCCTTTAGCGCGATAGACCTTTGCCATTGCCGCTCCTAATCCTCCATCGCTGCAGCCGGTGACTAAAACTGTTTTAGACATTCCGACACTTGATAGTGGTATAAGAAGTTGATCGTCTGTGAAGAGGTAGTCGATAGAATGAGTCCAGTTGGCGCCGTGGCCAGGCGCATGGGCACGACTTCACTTATATTCATAACATAGAGTGTAAGACGTACGTCATTCTAAGTGAGTTAGGCGGATTCCGGACAGCCAAGTCCTTGTTATTGTCGAAAGGAATTCATATCCCTTATAGTCGAGTCAGTGGAGTGGAGGAAGCGAAGGGAATTCAGTCCACGGCAGTGCTTGGCAGTCAACCCGTGACTTTGCGAACGGACTTCGGGGACGCAATCCGTCGGCATGAAGGGGAAGTAACCCCGGCGGAGGTCCCCCGTTCAACAAAAACACAAAATGTATCTCTAAAGCCTGGTCACACGTACACACGTACATATCACCAACTGAGGTATCCATATCCGGACCTTTTGTCATAGCTTGCCCCGCCAGTAATAATAATGTGGTAGCCAAAGTTATATAACTATCTCCAAATCTATAGATGCAAAAAATGAATTTGGTATGCTGGTCATATACCGAGATACAAAAGAAACTCAAAAAGCGAACGACAAAAGCTAGTTACAACTCGACCAAATCCGAAGTGGGTAGCTCGATACCATCAGAATCCAGACCTCGCCGCAGGCTAGACATGTCCTCGTCCTCCAAGAGGTCCTCTTCTGTGAGAATGCCAATACCACTGTCAATTCGCCTCCGGTTCTTGCCTCTTCCCACCTCGACATCAACAAACCTGGTCATGCTCACCGGAGTGATGGGCTCACTACCGTTCACCGTGGTTCCATCGGACATGAGATCATCCGATCGCAGCTCCCAGTTTGCGGCGCGGACTTTGGAGCGCCGACGCTCGGATTTGACGGTATCTTTCATAAAGGCAAATGAGCGCGCTTGATCTGCTGCCCATTTATGTAGCATGTCATCCCGAGCTTCGATCTCAAGTCGTAGCTGTTCCTCCAGACCAGCGTTGACCTGGCGAAGGCGCTGAGCTTCAGACCGCGTATCCTCAAGAGAAGTGGATAGATCTGAGATGCGGACATTGAGGGTGCCAATATCTTCCTCCTGGCGCTGAACCTGGTCGTTGGTTTTGGCTTCAAGGCTCTCAAGTGCTTTCTGGTGCTCTTTCTCAAGTGACTCCATCTGCGCCGTCAGGTCACAAGCACGGATCTGATTCTGCTCGACGGTCTCTTCCAGTTCTCGGATGCGACTTTCAGACTCCGAAGCAGAGATCTCCGCGGCTGAACGTAGCTTCTGCTCATCAGCCACCTGGCTTTCAAGGTCTGATATTTGTTGCGCGTAGTCCTCCCTAGCGGTCAGGTTCTCTTGCTCCAGGCTGCTGACAAGCTCTTCCAGACTTTTCACATCATCACGATACTTGTCGAGTGCTGCATTTAACCTGTCAATCCCAACGGCCTGTTCATGGCCTTCGCACTCGAGGTCCTGCATCCGCATTCGGGTGTGCAGCATGTCACCGGCAGATGAGGCAATCGATTCCTCGAGCTTGTCTATTTTGTTTGCGGCAGTTTCGTATCGTGCGAGGAGAGCGTTGAACTGTCCTCGTAGTGCTTTTTCGCGGCCCAGAGACCCGCTATGGTAATCCCGTTCGATTCCTAGATCTTTTGCAAGGGACTCCACGCGCCCCACGAGCGCCTTCAGAGTCGCCTTACCATCTTTCAGGCCCACGCAGGCCGTCTCTCCGGGTATGGCACGTTCGAGTTCAAGACGCGCGGAACGGAAGTGGTTTCGCAAGTCCGAGATCCCGTCGTTGGCATTGGTAGCGGTAAAGCCCAGATCGGAGAATTCTTGGCTGATACTTTCCAGTGTCTGTGCAGCATCGGAGGCGCGTGAAAGAGCCACCGTCAAGACGTTGAGGACTTGGTCAAAGAAATCCGGTGGAGGAGAGGATCGGCGGAACATTTCACTGATGGATGGATCGTCTAGGCCGGAAACACGCGAGCGGCAAGCGTTAAAGAGTTCTTTCTTTTCGTTCCGAGCTGCCTCCAAGTCGAGAGATAGGGCGTGCAGTTCGGATGTTTCAGTAGAGTTCACGTTCTGCGCTTGTGTAGAGGCATTCACATTCGACGGCTGGGTCTCGAATAGCATGAGACTATCCGTCACCGGCGGAAGACCATTGCGGATGCCACGGAAGTCAGGCGAGTTGGACACGATGGCACTGTCATTGATGATGAAGGTATCTCCATCATCATTGACAGAGGGATCAGGGCCGTCTAGATGCCGACCGGCCTCGATTTCTGACTCTGAGAGCATGGTAAACTCTGATGAAGAGAAGTGACCATCAGATCGACTCTGCTTCAGAGCATCCATCTCCATCCTAAGAGCATCTCGCTCCTGCATCAAGGCCCTTAGGGTCTTCTCAAAACTAGCCGTCTCCCGCTTCTCACGCTCGATATGAGTAATTTCATCACTGAGCCCGATACGGCGAATGCGGCGCTGCGTTCTCCCATCCAGGATTTGGCGCAGCGGCGTAAACTGCATGCGCCTTTCGGAGCATGATTCATCAAACGGTGCAATAGGGTCAAACGACCGCTGGAAGCGCGGTGTCGGAGCCGATGACGTGCGTCGTCCGCGCCGGCTAGGCGTGCAGTCTCCTCTACGCGCCGAGACAGCATCTGCAAACGAGGAGCGGCGCATTGCCGGAGTCAAGCCGGTCGATCCGAACTCGGCATCGTGTACTCGAGGGCCAGGGTCAGAAAAGCGGACTTTCTTTCTTCGCTTTTGTGGTGTGCTGACCGCAAGGGCTTGGTCAGAAGACAAGGCGACGCTGTGTCTTGTGCGATGGGAGACAGGGAGGTCGTTTGGTGAATTTGAGACGCAGCTGCTTTTGCGCTTCCTGCCCGTCTGGGTGGAATCCATAGTGGAAGAAGACAACGGCAGTATAGAAAATCAGCCGAATATGGGGTGGGGTTATGTTGTGTAATGAGACTTGAGATAAACATAAACAAAGATGCGGCGCTTCTTATAGATGCGTATGTATAAGTAGACCACGATTGGATGTAAACAAACAGGAGTGGAGCCGCTGCAGCCTGTGTCAAGACGCGCTGGGATGATATGCTTGCCTGTTTGGGCGAAGGGTAAACACGCTGCTGCTTTGGGTTAGTCATCACGTGATAGGTTCGAATCGGGAGCGAAGTAAATAGAGATAACTAGTTAGCTAGTTAATGGAAACTACATATGGTTAAGGCTATGGTTATTGCGGTTACTCTGTTGTTTCCAAATCAACCGGAAAGATGAACTGATCTGTTCCTGAATCTTGAGTGAACGGGTCTACTGGCCGAGCGACCTTGTAACAGCCACCTTCTATCTTCGTACCTATATTTCTGAATTCTCTAATAATCCTGTTTTTCGTCTTCTCTTTCCCAACGGTTACCTATAACCATGGCGCCTAGTCATCATAATCCTGTTTTCGTGTCTCTATACAGCATGCGGAGCTTATCTTATCAGTCCCCACCGAATCCAGTCTCTCCAGATCGACCAATAACCCAACAACGCATGTCCATTCTGGCGTGTCCATTATTCTTGTTAGACCATGTATTAGTATTCTTCATCCAACCGAGACTCACACCTTCTCCTCTTCCTCCCTTTCTTCCCCCCACTGCGCAGTCCAACCATGAGTTTCTCCGTCCCCCAGTGATGTCATCCGCACTACCACCGCAGGGGTCAAGCATCACAAACCCTCGAACACAATCACACACTCCTCCTCTTCTCTACGCCCCACTAACCCTCTCCTCCTCCCTTAGCTATACTCCAGGATGGCCGATGTGGCTTCTATCCCTGAGGTAGGCCCAACGTCCAATCCACCTACTCTATATCCGCTGGCTCTCCCGTGGTCTGATGGCGCTGACCCGCTGCAGCATCGGAGCGACCGCCTCCCCGACCACCAGCACTTGATAAACAACATCCTCTACGACCACTCATCCTCGCAGCAGCCATCCTCACTGCTGGACAAATTACCCGCAGAACTCCTCCATCAGATCCTCTCCCACCTCCCTGCCGCCGATCTCGCTTGCGTGTCCTCCACCTGCCGTGTTCTGGCCGAGCACGGGTCGAACGACCTGCTGTGGGCGGAGTTGGTCAACTCAAATCTATCGCACCGGATCCACGATCCAGGACCCTTCCCTTCATTTCGCCGTCTCTTCCTCGCCCACTACCCCTACTGGTTCCTTCCTCGGAATAAGATCTGGTTCGCGGACAATGAGCACACGGGCACTCTGATTCTGGCTCGCTATGACAATCGACGGGGTGTGATTGAAGCGTACCGTCTTGTCGCTGAGCGGCGAGAGCCGATGTTTCACATTTGGGAATCCAACCCGGACGTCATCATCCAGTCATTCACCCCCAAAGTCAGCTTGTGGCTGGACGACCCGGTCTTGCTGCTGAGAGATGCCGATCCAACGAGCTCCGTGGCGGAGTGGCAATCTGACCCGACCAAACGCCGTACCCCCATTGCCTTGGAGTCGCAGCGGATCTTTTGTTCATTTTCATTTTGCGACAAGCAATCTTCATCTCAGCATAACCTGAGTCCAGACCAGCTCTGGCCCCCTCCGATCATCCCCTCCGATTACCGCGCCCAGCGAGATGTCAAAAACCAAAAGGTGGAGAATCCTCAACGCTTTTCTGATATTTCGGACAAGGCGTTCCGCATGAAACGATGGGCGACCTTCTCCAGGATGCAAATGAACATCCTCCTGTCGCCGGGCCATCAAGAAAGGCTGTTGACGTACGGGACCCTTGATCCGAAGCTCTATACTCCGACCAAGCAAAAGCCTTATCAGGGAATCTGGGTGGGGGACTATTCGGCCCACGGGTGTGAATTTCTTCTGTTTCTCCAACGAGACCCACCGGCATCCAGTCTGCCCAGAGAAACGCTTGCCGCTGACGGCGCCGAGGAACACGAAACCAGCGAAACTGATGCCTCTGGTATTGTGCATCAGGGTGGGCTGGAAGCGATCAAGCTGACCGGCGACCCCAACGTTCCTCGCGGAGAAATAACGTTTGTGGCCGAGGATATCGGACCCAGAGGTCTTGTTCGCATAGCGGAAGACGAACCCTACAAATCTGCCCGTATTGTGCGCTGTCTGGGACATGTTGCTGGCATCGGATTCCGTGACGGTCAGCAGTCCTCTTCCCGTCAATCACGCCCTATACGCATACTAACCTAGGTGGCTAGACACCTTCATCACATCACAGCTCATCCTCATCTCCACCGACTACATGGCCCATTACTGGGAGGAGATGGGCCACATCTCCTATTTCCGGCGTGTTGATATCGATGCCCTGATGCAGACATGACCGGCGTTTTCTGTCTTTTTTTTATGATGTTATGTTTTCTTTTGTCTACATTCCATCCATGGATACCCCCCATGTCAATGACCCGCACCTGCTTTTTAGTCACGATGGATATCATTCATAACCTGCTGCCACGACCGGGAGCATCCGTCCGTACCTCTACCGAAGCATGCATGCACCGATGAGATTAAGCGAATTTCTACTAAACGGAGCTCGTCTAAGGAAAGAGAGAAAGCAAGACAAAGACCGCCCACTACTATACATGCCGCCGTATTGACCAAGGCCCACTGCAGCTGAACCAGAAGCAACTACCTATCTCTACTAATCGTTCCTTTCACAGCAATATGGCTAATCCAGATGTTGGGCAGTATGGATATGGTGAGATGTATGACTGGCGGAGCATATAGAACAGTACACAAAAAAAATATCAAGGTATCGCATAGAAAAGAAGAAAGGGGGAATCCAAGGACGCCGAGACCCGTGAGGAGGGTCAAGAAAAGTCGGAGCAGAGAGAAAGATATGGATGGATGTTGGTCGTTCACTCGTCAATCCAGCCGAGGCGGAAGCCGTTGCAGAATGTTGCTCGGGTCCCCACGCTGTAGTGTGCAGACACACCCGTCCAAGGCACACATGGCACAGCACGCACCGCGGTTGACAGTCAAGCTCAAAATGCAGAGAGACAGAGGCAGAGAAATTATCACCGCTTCCGCTCAAACCACCCAGAAGATCCCATGACGGCAACGGACTGATCCATCACCCACTCGCCCACACCGAGGTAGTTATCGATCCACCGCTTGATTTCTTTGTTGTCTGAGATTTTGTCTGAGTTGACACTGGGGCTGTGAAAGACCCCACACGCACAGGACCTGGACATCACCAGGGGGGTGCGCATGGGTTGGTCGAGTTAGCTTGCTGCTCTTCTCTGCTCTGTCTGTATACCCGGGGTGCGGTACATAGTGGAGTTAGGGAGGTGGGCGGGGGCATTTACGTGAGGCCGGTTGAGCGCTTGACGCCGGCGAGAAAGGCGGATACTATTGAGTTTGTTAGTTGGGGTTATTATATGAGAGAGAGAGGTGTGGAGGCGAAGACATACGGAGGACCGCATCAAATGCGTAGTGGGTGAGACGGCCGAACTGTCAATAGGATCGAGTTAGTCCTTTGTCAGGAATCCCGAGGATAGGATAAGTGAGTGTTGTATTAGTGTCATACCATCTTGGAGAACAGGTAGAGGAAGAGCATGCAGTGGATGTGAGAGCGAGGGTAAAGGTGCAAGTGATGATGCGGGTGAGTGGCCGGGGTGATCACATGATGGGGTCGCACATGACAACGCTCGATGTGGCTGGTGCTATCTGGACCAGCCACTTTAGGCAAAAAGCAGTGTGGCTGGGATACCCTATCGATAAGAAACATCCCACCGGGCGCCCTTTTCTGGATTGGAATAGTAATTGGGTGTGGCTATTTGTCACAATAGATTATGGCCGATAGGAGGACTCGAATGTACTGCGAGTAAGCCAGCACGGGGCACTCCTAGTGCCTCTCAACTCGACAGCTGCTTTTTGGGCTTGGTTTGGTTTGGTTTTGGTTTGGTCTCTTTTTTTTTCCCCCCTACTGTAGATATTTTCACCCCTCTAGGAGAGTAGTACACTGACCATAATAATATCAGGGATGCACAACCTGAATTGGAATGCCAGGAATAGGATAAGAAGATAATCACAATCAAATAACACCAATGACTATGTACTATATGCCTACGTGTGGTTACGAGCTATGGTGTTGGCCCACGGGTTGGGGCGGACTTGCTCCATCCGGCGGGCAACATTTTCCTCTCCCGCCCCTCACTAGCACTTTTCCTCTTTTCTCCATCTCCCTTCACTCCTGATTATACCACCACCCACATACCCTTTTGTTTCTGCAGATACTCTTCACACAAAATGGCGGCCACTACTTCCCTTGACCACCTCTCCAACCCCTCCAAGATGTTGTGGCACTCCAAGCTCAACACGGAGATGGTCCCCATGAAGAACTTCCGCCGCACCTCCATCATCTGCACCATTGGTACGTTTCCCCCATCCCGTCCCCCCTCAGGCCCAAAAATCGTGGACTGACATTCAATCCAGGACCCAAGACCAATGCCGTTGACAAGATCAACGCCCTCCGCACAGGTAGCACTCTCCATGCTGCTCCACTCTTTTGACCTGTCACTCACCTCATCGTAGCTGGTCTCAACGTCGTTCGTATGAACTTCTCCCACGGCTCATATGAGGTCAGTCCCACTCTCCCCAGATCATGCAGCCAAAATTGACATCGAGCCCAGTACCACCAATCCGTCATCGACCACTCCCGCGAGGCTGCGCGCGTCCAGACCGGTCGCCCTCTCGCCATTGCCCTCGACACCAAGGGCCCTGAGATCCGCACGGGTAACACCGTCGGCGACCAGGACATCCCGATCAAAGCCGGTACGGAGCTCAACATCACGACCGATGAGCAATACGCCACTGCGAGCGACGACAAGAACATGTACGTCCCTTTTTCTCATCTCGTCACAGCCAGAGCTAACAGAGTCGTCTCCGACATAGGTACCTCGACTACGCGAACATCACCAAGGTGATTGCCCCCGGCAAGCTCATCTATGTGGACGACGGCATTCTGTCGTTCGAGGTGGTCAAGGTAGTGGACGACAAGACCCTGCGGGTCAAGTGTCTGAACAATGGCAACATTTCTTCGCGCAAGGGTGTCAACCTGCCCGGCACCGACGTAGACCTCCCCGCCCTGTCGGAGAAGGACATTGCCGATCTGAAGTTCGGTGTCAAGAACAAGGTCGATATGATCTTTGCCTCGTTCATCCGTCGCGGAAGCGATATCCACCACATCCGTGATGTGCTCGGCGAGGAGGGCAAGGAGATTCAGATCATTGCCAAGATTGAGAACCAGCAGGGTGTTAACAACTTTGATGAGATCCTGGAGGCCACTGATGGTAAGTCTGTCGCTTTGGTCGTAGTGATGATCATCGCTCATTTTTTGCCCAGGTGTTATGGTCGCCCGCGGTGACCTCGGTATTGAGATCCCCGCGCCCAAGGTCTTCCTTGCTCAGAAGGTATGTCATTTTTTCCTTGCAGGTGATCGAAACGATACTGACCCGACGGCCAGATGATGATCTCCAAATGTAATATGGCTGGCAAGCCCGTTATCTGTGCCACGCAGATGCTCGAGTCGATGACATACAACCCGCGCCCGACTCGCGCCGAGGTGTCGGATGTTGCCAACGCCGTCCTCGATGGTGCCGACTGTGTCATGCTGTCCGGCGAGACCGCCAAGGGCAACTACCCATGCGAGGCCGTGACCATGATGCACGAGACCTGTCTGCTGGCCGAGGTTGCCATCCCGCATTTCCAGGTGTTCGACGAGCTGCGCACCCTGGCTCCCCGTCCCACCGAGACTTCCGAGTCGATCGCCATGGCTGCCGTCAGCGCCAGTCTGGAGCTGAACGCGGGCGCCATTGTCGTCCTGACCACTAGGTAGGTTTCTTTCGTATGTCGCTTTTTGTTTCGCAGGAGACTGATCGTGAAAACAGTGGTAAAACCGCCCGCCTTCTGTCGAAGTACCGCCCCGTCTGCCCCATTCTGATGGTCACTCGCAACGCACGCGCCTCTCGGTATTCGCACCTGTACCGCGGCGTCTGGCCCTTCCTCTTCCCGGAGAAGAAGCCCGACTTCAACGTCAAGATCTGGCAGGAGGATGTCGACCGCCGTCTCAAGTGGTAAGTCTCTCCCGAGATCCAAATTGTAGTTTCGGCAAGCTGATAAAGCAATCGCAGGGGTATCGGCCACGCTCTGAAGATGGGCCTGATCAACAAGGGCGATCCCATCGTCTGCGTTCAGGGCTGGCGGGGCGGTATGGGCCACACCAACACCGTGCGTGTCGTGCCCGCCGAGGAGAATCTGGGTCTGGATCCCGAGCTCAACTAGGTAGACGATGCCATTGGATGGATAAGTTTGGTTGGATATGGGTGCATGGACAACCGAAAATTTGGGGCTGATCTGACCTGACCCGATGCATTTTTGCTTTTACCCGTGTATATGAAACGAATTTAATGCTTTAGTCTGTCTGGTTTTCTGTTGCTGTTTTGTCGGTTAGTTGTTCGTTGGCTTGGTTAGATAGACGGTCTAGACAAGAAGTTTCTCGTTGCTGTTCCTGTTGGTCTCGGTGTTGCAGTGGCAAAGGTGTAGGTGTAGGTGTAGGTGTCTGTTAGTATAGGATAGGATATGATAGGAAAAGCAGGAGAGGAATAAAAAAGAGAAGAGCAGAAAAGAAAAAGAAGAAAAAGTGCCTGAACCAAAAGAAAAGAAGCACCCGAGCTCAACCCGAGGCAGGCATGTGCTCGCTCTTCCGAAATTCTGTCTGCACTGGTCATCTCCGCATTGAGGGAGTGGTCAACACGCGCCTGCATCAAGGCACAGAACAGAGCAGAGCATAGAAGAATTGAGAATTGAGCGAAAAAGAAAAAGAGAGAGACGAGAGGGGGGAAATAAATTCGTCACTCCATCCTGACTGGAGACACGGGCTAAATACTATTCCCGAGGCCTTTTCGCGATCAGCCCCGGTTTCAGCCGAGGGAGATCCATTTCTTCAGCGACAAACCCCACACTACTCTATTAGAGCTTGTAATTGGATTAAAAAAAAAGAAGAAAGAGAGATGGGACAGAATATTCAATAGTAACTTGGTTTGTATTGCATCAGCAGTGTCAATATTATCAAAAATATATATCCAAGACTCAACCTTTCAATCAAAATCTCTCCTTTCAACATATGTCAGTGTTATCATCGAAACTCTGTCAATTATCTTATGTAGTATTCCGTCAAGACCAGGTTGAACTTCATTGATTTTATTGTCATTTATGAGTCATTATGGCATCACTTAATGACTTGATTAGAGCTGATCCAAAAAGCCTTGACCTCAAAAAAAGATCAATATCTTGTCCGAATGGTAACACTCCTCACCCTTGACTCTTGATCTGTGAAGAAACCTCAATGGACCAGGACACAAACAGCGATGACGATAGCGATATACTTGAGGGTCTTCCAGACACGACCCATACATATCAATGGAAGGGGAGTCAACACTTCAATAATGTGATTGACCAAGAATATGAATGGTTCCAAGGCGACCAGACAGGCGAATATAGTGAATGGGTAGCATTCACTGGTCTCAATGAGACGACCTACACCCACAGGTTTATAAATTCCTCAGACCTAAGGAAGTCATGGAAATCCTACAGTCCCTCTCAGCAAACGCTCCTGGTCAAAATGTCGCTCCCCGTGCATGGCCACGCCATCCAAAAATTTCATAACAAAATCATCTCGTCATTGAACAACAATGCCCTCGAGGATGAGTTGAAATACTACCCGGATGTCAAGGTAAAGGGGCAAACAAAGACCAAGACACCGGACAATGGACTGGGGCCATTCGAACGTCCACCGAATGTTTCGAACAAATGGCCAACTATCGTGATTGAGGTCGGAGTCTCAGAGCGCCCGGCCAAGCTACAATCCGATGCGGAATGGTGGCTCACTAATTCCAATGGTGATGTTAAGATTGTTTTCACCATGTCCATCAACCGAAAGAACCCCCATATCACGGTCATGAAATGGGAATCGGAGGCGGAAAAGAACAAGTGCTCCGTCATGCAGACGGTCACAACCTGGAAGGATAACATCGGGAATGTCGACACGACTCGGACGAGCGGTACACCACTCTCAATCGAATTTAATAAGCTCTTTCTTCGGAAGCCAGTTTCTCGAACCGAGCACGATATCCTGATGGATGAGAACGATCTACGCAGTCTGGCGCGCAGTATCTGGAGGGTCCAGGAATTCTGAGCATTGCTGTTTGAAGGGCCGGGGAGCGGAGGTGCAACTATTTGTGACTCTTGCCTGGCTAGTGATTTTTTCCGAGAAATGGATTTCTACACATTCTCTGTGGATAAAGCATTCCCGGGAGTCGGTTCCTCCAGATATCTCTGGCTGCAAATTTTGTGGCTGAAATAAAAAAAGCAGAGGCAACGCCCAGTGGACAGACAGAATGTAGTAAATTTGGATAAGTGTCCTGCTCGTGCTATGTTCAAAATATACAGACGAATAAAAATAAATAGTCGTAAAAAGAAGGGAAAGGAAGGGAAGGCATCATATCATGTTGAATAGAGTATCATGCAGTCGGGAGTTAATGCTATGTATAACCTCCCAATCCCTGCCCCAAGCGCAAACAACAGAAAGGCTTTGGACAGGACATCATCTTCAATGTTATCATCATCATCGGAATCATCACGTCGTTAGTCATTATTAAGTAAATATGTGTTCGGCGAAGGTTGAAGGAGCAGATCATCAACGCGAAACGCCTTCCACATTGCCATGTTGATCGACTGCATCCATATCAGCCAGATGGGATACATGACCACCGGACTGGTTCTCGCCCTGCGGGTAGCGGTACATTGCACTGGATTGGAACTGGTGCCAGCAGCTAGTGATAGCAAGCACACAGTTAGCACTGAAAGGCAAATTAAGCGAACAAAAAACATACCTCGGAGCTTGGAGGACATATCTCGCCATCGCCTCCCTAAACCGACTCTTGTATTCTTTGGGACTAGTCACCGTCGGCCGGTTGCGACCACCGCCCGCAAATCCACGATCCTTAATCCAAGACTCAAGCTTCTTGTCCCACGTGTAGGTGCGAATGCAATCGATAATACCAACAACCAGCTCGCTGCGTGACTCGTCGATAGCGATCATGAGTGAGTAATCCATGACATTTTGACGGCCCAGGAACAGCGTATCGTTCCAGACGCTCTGACTGAGCAGTTTCTTGGAGTGTTCGCGGACAAAGAGCGGAGTCTCGTAGATGAAATCAACCATGTTCTCGTCGAGAAGCACTTCGTCACGCTCGCCGGTGCTTTGGACTTTGCGGTTGCGCATTGAGCCCTTCAGGTCGAAGAGACGGGTCGGCACGCGGTCGTAGAAGAGGTTCTCCATTAGCAGCAGGAACCAGTTGAATTCGGTGCCTGTGACGGGGTTCTTAATGATGACTTGGTAGAAGCCGAACATCTTTGCGATGGCGGAGGGGAGTTCATGGAAGAGGGCCTCCGACATGATTTGGAAGTAGGCGGGTGCGAATTTGAGGAAGGCCTGCGTCTCGATCGGGGATAGGGATTTGAGGATAAATCGGTCATCGAGCGTCTTCAGGAACAAGGACTTGGTTTTGCCGCCCTTGGAGTCCCACTTCGCGCAGCGAGAGAGCGACTCGACGATGCGGTCTGCCACGCCACACTTCTTGCGGAGAGCGTCGAATTGCTCCGCATAGAAAACCTTGCAAAGCATCTTCGCCTGACCTTCCTGGAATTGGTATTTGAGGTGGGTACCCGTGGCGCGTAGGAGAGCGTGCTCCACGCGGGCCTCGTTCGCGGACTCGGTATCATCCTCAGACTCCGGCTGAGAGTCCTCCAGCTCATCATACCGCTTTTGGATGCTTGCGAGCTTCTCCTTGTAATCCGAGGAATCCAAAGCAAAGGCAACTAGAGAGCTCGGCTCGTCTTCCCGCACGATGATATCGCAATCGGCGAAGACATGATCCGTCACGCTGAGCGGATACGCAAGAGGCGCCCAGCCACTGGCAGACCGCTCAGACCAGAAATTGGTCAGCATCTTCACTAGTGTTGTGCGCTCATCCTTGGGCAGGTCTTTGAAATCGTCTTCGGGTAGCGACTTGGCCTCTTCCAGGGAATCCACCTGATGGAGTTCATCGACCACCGCTCGATCTTCGTCACTGGGAACTTCATCCGGTTCGCCCTCAGACAGCAGCTGCGCAACGTCCTTCAATTCGGGTATAGATTCCTGTGCCGCTGGCTTCTCCTTCAACTTGTCATCCGGCGATTGTCTTGCAGACTCATCGCTCTTTCGGCCACTGTCATCTAAGGGGATCCCCGGAGCAGGAGGCAAGACTTCCTCGCCATCCACCGGGGGCTCACGCTCCTCAACAGCCTCTCTCACATTGCGGTACACCTCCACGATAGGCTTTGAAGAGGCCAAGGGAAAGGCGCGCGAATGTGTGCCTCGGGCAGCGCGCTGTCGTCGTTCTTTTTGTCTCTCCTTTTCAAACTCGCGACTCAGTTGCTCGAAGTGTCTGGCCAGATTTGACACGCGCGAGCTGCCCTTGCGATTCGGGGTAGAGCGTGGTATGAGAGAGTGCCCTGAAGTGAACCGGCCTGGTTTCAGTGCACTTAGGCCAAGGGAGAACTTTTTGTCGGGAGATTTGGTGGGTGACTCGGGGGATACGGTAGTGTCCAGATCAAAGTTAGGAGGACTCAATTTGATGCCGGAATTGTCTCGTGAAAGGTGGGCGGGCTGGGACTGGGCGCGTAACAAAGGCGGAGATCGCGCTTTTCCTGATCGTCGGAATGCACCCTCGGTGAGTCTTGGAATGGCCGAGGGTCGAGGAGCTGGAGTGTTTGGTAGATTCGCAGTGGCACCCTCTGCATCGCTTTCCATGGCTTTGCTCTCTTCGATGAGTCCTGCATTTTGCGAGGGTGGCGGTAGTTTGGCAGAGTTGTCAAGAGCAGGTATTTCCAGCACATCTGACTTGGTCACAGGTCGGTGCAAGGGCGAAGTCGCGTCCAGAGGCGAACGTGGAGATTGACCTGAGGGAACGGCCAAATCCAAATGACGGACTTCTTGCGCAACAGCTTCATCCTGAGGAGATGCCCTCTTGCCTTCCACCGCATCAGTCGACAAAGCCGCAGCCTCAGTCGGAGGTGGAGATGGAAGCGGAGGCAAGTCAGCATAAGATTTTTCGCGGTGTTTCCGGCCCGTATGCTCCTCAACAACCGAAACCAAAACATTTTGCGCCTTCTCCGGCGAGAGTGTCATGCGCCGCCTCAGCCGCGGCCTATCCAGGGCTTGCGTGCCCTCATCCTCCATATCAGTGGGGGATTGCAGAGCTTCTTCCGCTGTTACGGATGTAGCGTCTTTGTCAAGGAAGATCTTCTTGAGCTGCAGCGTTGCCATCCGCTTGATATCCTTTTCAGATGGGAAGAAACTCTGTTCGAATTCGGCAAATAAGATGTCCCACTCGACAACCTTCTCTTGAACGGCACGGAGCACCTCGTTCAGGGGGATCACCTCCCAATAGCGGGAGCTGGTGTACCTGTCTTGCAGCTGACGGATCAAAGCAGCATGTTCCTCGTGTCCCTTTTTGATTAAGGACTCAATCTCCTTCTTGCAGTCATCCGCCAGCTCGGGCACAACGCTCTCGACATTGATCCCCTTCAGCCGCGCAAGCACCGACGCCATGAATTTGTTGAGACGCTTCTCTGTTTTCGAGTAGATTTCGTTTCTCAGCTTCAGATCATTGTCCACCTTCCACGTAACCCGAGGCCGCGGAACAACAATCTCGAGGAGATGAATCGAGTCGTACTGGATTCGAAGGGCAACATCTTTGAAGCCGAAATAACGGAGATGATCTCGCTGGAGATCGTGGGGACAAACACCAGCGCGCGCATGTAGATCTCTGCCCCAGAAAGAGACCTCTAGGTACTTTCCAAATGAATATTTCCAGGTATTCTCCGACATGGGAACAGCCTGTGTCTCATTTCCGCAGATCTTGCAACAGCTCCACATCAGGACAATATCCTGCAGGCCTCGAAGCTTGGAAGGATAGGGCTGAACGAAGACGCTAATCTGCGCATCTCCGTGGACGTACTGGCGATGGTGCTCAGACATACGCTTCTCGCAGCCGTTTGCAGTGCATACTGCGTTCGCTGAGTGGCAGAGGTCCTCGACGTACTGCCCAATTGTACAATCCGGCTCAAAGATCGTGTCGTCGCCGTGCTCATTGTAAAACTCTAGAGCAAAGATATCCGGCCCAGAGCAAGGGATAGAAGTTGTTGTGCACACGAGACTGTACAAGACAACAACATTCTGATGAGCATACGGGTCAAACATATTCGCATTACCGGACACATAGGCTTCCCACTGGCGTTTCTGAGTTTGATAATGATAGAGCGCCCGGTCATATTCAGCATCGTGGGCCGCATGCAGCACTTCTTTGACCTTAGGCGGGGCATCATGGGGTGACTCGTGAACCATCTCAGGGGTGATGAGCACAAACTTCTGAGATTTGGTCTTCTCGTCTGCAGGAGGCTCGCAGCTTTGATCCTGATCACGAAGACGTTTCAGATAGGCCAGCCGGCGCTCCATCTCTCTGGTGCGCATGAGCAAGTAGGGAGGTTCGAATTTGACAAAGGGGGAAGTGGAAAGGATCTTGGTATCGACGTCTTGGACCATATCATTATAATACGTCGGCATGGGAACATCATCTGGAACGTCGGTGGCTTCGGCCGCCACGGGTGGCTTTCCATCAAGAAGATCGCCAGATTTCTCATTGTGCTCTTGCTGAGAAGTGGAGACCTCCTGCTCGCCCTCATTGGCGATTGGCAGGGGCGAATTCTTCTTGTCTCCGTTGTTGTCGATCTTTTTCATCTCGCCCGTGGGCGATGTTGGTATCTTTGCAAACCCATCTCGCATCAGACACGTCTCCAGTCGAAGGTTGTATACCACATAGATCATGAATTCCGTGATCCGTTTCACTTTCCCGAGCACCTTTTCGTCTCCACCTCGAAGAACGATGGTGCAGCCAAGCTCCTTTGGACAACCGGAGATGTACATGTACGTCTTCCTTCGACCACTGTGGACGTAAGTTTTCACGTCAAAGCTGCTGCACTCGCTGCGCACGGGTGTGGTCAAGAGCTTGTCCATGGATGTGACAATCCTAGTCTGAGTACACCGAGACACAGCCTCCAAAACTGATGGCTTCACATTGTACGCAGTTGCAATTCCAACTTGCTCAAGGAGGACCAGAGCTAGTCCGGACACGTTCTTCTCAACCAGAAGCAGATTGGGTCTCAAAGCAGCGATTCGACTGACAAGATTCTCCAGAAACTCGCGCTCTTGTCGGATGACAGGCTCCAAACTCATGAAGTGCTGCTGCTGGCGAGCATATTCCAGTGGGAAAGTGATGATTAAGATGTTCGGATGCGGAATACTCCGGGGCATACTTTTCAACGCCAGATTTTTGGTGAACACCAGTCCTGAGACGTAGGATGTGTCACCTGGCCGGCCACTGGGGATTTTCTTCAGCTTGATGTAGTGGCGAATATCCATGTCGTCCCCTCGCTGAACATCTGGATCCACTTCATCAGCGGCCTTCAACAGAATTGGCAGAAGAGCATTCTCCCAGCCTTCACCATGTGGCACAGACGAATCCGCGAGTAGTTGCCGTAAAAGTTTGCGCACATGCTCCAGACTGGTTCTGTTCAACTCAAGAGGAGGGGCTCCTGCCCCTCTCATTGACGAGCTTCGGGTCATCTTGAATCCGCCTGGATTTCTAACGACAGTAGAGAATGGAGAATTATGCAGAGAGATGTCAGGGGGAAATATGGTGTCTTTTGACGCCCGTGGTGAGTGGCGATGACTGCTAGCAACGCTGAGGTTTCGACGACGATGAGTGCGAGGCAGATTCACAGCCTTTGAACTGCTAATGCTGGCGTCATCTGCATCTCGCATAGAATGGCTTATGCTGGGGGCACTTCGATCTCCGAACGCGGATCGACCTTTCTTCATGGCTGAGCCAAGAAGGCCACCAAGGGTTGCTCTCTCATGGTCACCACTACCTTTAGCGAAAGAACCCTCAGAAACCGCAGAAAGAAGGCTAGGTTGCTCATCACCGCTGGATGCGTCATCTGATAGGTACTGAGCCAGGTCGGGGTCAATGATGTTATCTTTGTGGAATGCAGGAAGTCGAGATTCAGATGCAAAGTCATCACCATGGCGGCGCTGAAATGGAGCTCGATCTTCATGATATGATTTGAAACTTCGGATGTATTGTTGACGAGAGTGGTGACGCTTGTGGCTTACGGAGTGTGGCCGTGTATTCAAGGACGCTCTTAATGACCGCGAGGAGGTAGGTCTGGTCAAGGGGCGGTCTGAATTGATTTCAAGGACTGCCGAACGGCTATTATGGCCCTCACCAGCACGGCGAGTGGCTGGAATGGCCATTGTTGGCGTTTTTAGAACTTGGTCAATCGACTGAGAGACCACAGATGACGTATCGTCATCGTCCGCAGAGGTGCGTCCATTATTGCTCCAAGCGAACTCGGAAATTCGAGGGTTGGTGACAATGGGGCTCTGCTCGCTGTCAGAAAACTCGGAAGAGTCATCCTCATGCCCGTTGATCATGGCCTCGCAGGGCTTGCAAACACGGATGGAACCAGGTTGCCCAAACCGAGTTCCGGGTATCAAGTGAGTACATCTTGAATCGAAAATCTGACCACATGTGCGACAATGGTGTTTTCTGCGGAATGTCGAAAAGGGTTCCCCGCAGTGAAAACAGTCTTTCGCATTCTCGTCGCGCATCCAGAAATCTTTGCTAAGTAGTTTGCTTCGCAGCTGAGAGAGGACACCATCCCCGCGGGCTATTGGCTGACGGGCGTTGCGTAGACCTGCACCGAGGCTTCGATCAACGGCCGTATTCAATGGTGACAATGAAGATACTGTTGTAACAGACTCGGCAGTAGACGCTCGCGACATCACATAGCCAGGCAATCGGCCCGTTTTGGCCGGCATGCTCGGCTGGTCCTTGGATTTACCCGACACAGGGGCCTTGGAAGACTCGGTTGTCTTCTTTTTATCGCGAGGCATGGCAACCACACTGTTGTTGGCAGAGTCATCCGCCTGGTATAGGTCCTCTTCATGTTGGGGAAGTTTGTGGATGCTGGTCGACGCAGGGGCCGGTGCACTTGACTCATTTACTCCGATAGACGCTCTCGAGTTTGGCCTCTCTGTCGAGCGTGCAGGGGCAAGATCTTGTATTGGCTCGGATTGTTTTGAATGTCGCGATGATATCGGCGCCAGTGCGTTTTCGGGCAACCCCTGTTGCTCTGCAAGTCCGGATTTCCTTGACTGGTTATCGGAGGCCTGGATTGCTGAGACGAACGATGCATTAGCATCCACTGCTCCTTGGTCTTCATGATGACTGTCCTGCATCTTTGCTGATATGACCGGAGAATGCGACACGCTTGGGTTTAAGACAGAGGATGTCTGACTCAAAGGATTTTCGACAGGGCCATCTCTGCTGCTAATACTTGCCACCTCGTCTGGAATCCCGACCGATGCAATATTGCCCGAGCTACTTGCTGAACGGTGGCTTTGACCGATGGCATTCACATGCAGTTGAGTAACGGCAGGATCTACCGCGACAGAGCTGCCGGTAGACTTTGTCAATGGCGCAATGTTCGCTTTGCCAGCGGGAGCGGGCGAAATCGAAGTCTTGGACGATACACTGGCGCTCTGTGAGGAACCCTTGGATGTTTTGTTGAGATGTGAATGCTGCGCGATGTCTGGGTTATGCTGGAAATTCGACGCCACTGGTGAGTGCAGTCTCGAACCTTGCGAAGAGTTGGGGTTCGATGGCGGATACTCCGTCGTGCTGCCCGCCAGGTCCGAGACAGACTTGGTCATCGACCGCTCCGAGACAGGGCTCTTGATCGCGGGTGGTTCCACAGCATTCTTCTCCGCCGACTTGCCGCCTCCACCTCCGACTGAAGCTCGAAAACGGCTATAGAGCCCACTGAGTCCACCCTGAAGCCCTTCCGACAAGTTCTTCTCTTCCGACGCAGAGGCTGGTGGCGGTGGACTGGTGAACTCGTTGAATAGGGTCAGCGAACCCGACTGATAGGCTGTGCTGTGAATCTGATCTAGGGCGGCATTCATGTTCTCTCGTTCGGTCTGTGTGGTGGCCATCGATCCCCGCGACCCCCGCCGTCCGAGAGGAGAAAACATGGGTGACACGGAGGGGCTGGGAGAGCCATAGGACTTCTGGGACGCCATGCGCTCGGTGGCATAGCCAAGGGAGGAGAGGTCTCGGGTCAGGCACGAAGGTCTTGGGCTGAGCTCGCGAGTTTAGAATATGGCCGAGTGTAGCCGACCATTCGGGCAGATCAAGAATAATGCGGGTGCGTTGGTATCAGCGGACAAGGCCGCAGATAGACAGCGTTGGGAGCAGAAAGAAAGAGAGAAAGAAAGAAACCTGGGGGAAGGAATGACGTGGGGGATGTGGCGGTGAAGGAAAGATGTGGCGCAGGAATCAACGCGTTTCTTTATCGCGGCGCGTCGTGTTCATGATTAGGAAGTCGCACAGCTTACAGATTATTGGACTTGACCATGATCCTTCCCCATTATCCTCCACCCTTGCGATGATGACACTGTTCCTCGCTCATGACAATCCTGGGTCGCTACAATGATCCCAGGCGCCCCCTGGATTGCGTCGGCCGTCGAGAGCTGTCTATCCTTTTATCTGGGCTTGGCCGAACAGGTCCCGGTCCAGGTGTCGGACGATGGATGTAGCCTTCATTTCACCCCCCATGGCCTCCCGCACCCAACCCTGGCGGTTATTGACCAAGTAAGCATCTTTCCTGCGTGCAGTGGAGCGAGCCATACTGACCGAATGTTTTTCTTTGCCAGTGGGGACCCAGCCGAGCAACATTGATGGATGCACAGAATCAGATCGATGCCACCTTCCCCCAAGATGCCGTCGATCTCGCCCTGACAGACCTCCCCATCCTGCAAATGCATGACGCTACAAAACGCCTGATAGAATTGCTGGGCTTCACTGTTGTCTTTGTGTACTCGGAAGCTATCCCCGAGGTTTACTTGCGTGTCAATCGATTCAATGTGCACTGGTCTGAAGTGGACATCAAATATGTGCCTACAAAAAAGCTGCGGAATACCAGCACCATCAAACCTCTACTGGCAATGGCCTACCGCGAAAGTCGACAGGCATTGAAGGAAGCACGTACCGACCAGAGTCCAACAACCAAATCTATCAGCTCCCAACATGACCAAACTCCCGTTCCCGATCTTCATCGAGATAGTTCACCGGTCGGCGGGTCGCAGCAGCTCCAGTCCCAGATACCAGCTCTGCATAAGTCGCATGCTATGCAGAACACGGGCAATACTGGGCGTCCTTCTTTGAACGGACCAACCGACCTCTTGCGTCATCTCGAATCAGATCCCAGCAAATCCTCTCGCAATACTCCTCAACCAAGTGGCCCTGAGGAAATCTCCACAGCACAAGACTCACATGATGCTAACTTTGTGGCGAGCGACGCTCGTCAAATTTCCCGTTTGAATGGGGATTCGGGCAATCAAAACTCCCGGAATATTGAGCCCAGGGCATCTCAAAGGCAGCAAAGCCGAGCCCCAGATGCCCCGCAATCTCGCGATGGCTTCAGCAATCCCGATTCCCCAAAACTTGACAAGCAAGCCGAAGATTTAGTTCGATCTGAGACCCATGCAGTTAATAATAGTTTTACGCGACCTCAAAACCCTCAGAATACACAGACGGATGAAAACGAACGCCTATCAAAGAAACGTCCGCGTGCAAGCACCGGTGAACCGTCCTCGGCGCACCAGACAGATGGCTTGGGGCCGGAAGGACCAAATGGTGCCGCACCGTGCAAGAAGAGGCAGTGCGTTGAATCGGAGAAGGATAGCACGACAAATACAAGGGAAACCGAGAATGTACAAGAAGGGAGAACGCCGGCGCCGCCCCAAGAAACCCAGCAACCTGTCACAAAATCGGATGATCTGGCTCACTCCCCGAAACCGTCCCCGATCAACCCTTGGGAAGGACTCTTAGCGATATCTGACCACGATGTCACAATCCCCAAGGACCAAGCAGCCTTCTTTGACGACAAACTGTGCTTTATTCCGCCCAAGACGGGTGAGCCGACTCCCCAAGGACATGTGCCACCAACTCTGTTAAAACAGTGGAACGACATCGCCAGACGAAGGCATGAGGAGTTGGCACGCAAAGAGCGTCAGAAAAGTCCTCCCTTAACCACTCAAGAGTCCGTTCTTTCTGGCTCCGAGTCAGAGAGTGAGTCTGACGCTAGTGAAGCGTTGTCATGGGAAGAGAGCCCGCCTCAGTCTCGTCATGTCAACCTCATACCGCCGGAAAGCAGCCCTATTGAGCAACCAAGACTTTTCAGGCGTCCTACTGCCAGTGGTGACGAGAATGATATGTGTCCCTCCCAGCCAGCAGGCGACCATAGCCTGGATATGGTGAATGCTTGTCAAGACCCATCTCAGGTGGAATTGAACAATACTCCAATGTCCAGTGCGCTAGAAGCATCCACACACCGGGATCGGGAAGAGACAACTGCCAATCCTCAAGTGCCAGAGACTCTGGAGCAATCGGCTGAGCCGACACGTCTTGCATCGAAATCACCAGGCGCGTACATGGGTGATGAAATCCAGAGCCAGCTGGCGCGTGAAAGTCAAAACTCACCCAGAGAGAAATCCCCATCACCAATTCCTTTTCAAGCGCCTGAGGATAGCTCGGATGACGAATCCGTGATGGACACATCTTTTCCACAAGCGCTTGATGAAAGCTCGCACCCGCAGCCATTCGATAGCCAGAATGGAGAGGACATTCCTAGCTCGGGCCCCTCCCTGTTAGGCGTCACTGCCGGGGGGCATGTTCAGGTTGCACAGACACCCGCTGCAGAAAATACCCGTTTGTGTCGCGACAAGGTGCAGATTGAACATCCGCCTTCTGACTCGCAACAACCATCCCCCCAAAACAAAACATCCTCTCAGTCACGAATCTTCAACACTTATCGTTCTCACGGTAACCATGGCATGAGTGACACATCTTACGAAACATCAAATCCATCCTCGCGGCAGTCGAGAGATGAGCCACTCCAGGCGGATGTAATGGGAACCCAGACTCAGAAAAACAGGGAAAACTCTCTGTCGCAAAACACTTCTCTTCCTTCGCATCTGTCGCAGACAGGTGTTGTTCTCGACTCATCTGGTCCAGCGCATCGACATCAAGACCCAAAGTCGTCGAGATCAGAAGTCCCACCTGCGATGATTTTATCCTCGCTTCACGGTGTACCACAAATGTCTCAATTCTCCCAGCAAACGCAAGACTCTTTGCCAATAGCCTCTTCCTTAGACACGCACATGTCTTCGCAGGTCTCGCCTCTGAAACAACCCACATCCATCCCTCGAGTTCAAGAACAATCTCCGTCCACCGATCGTCACAGCTCAACCCGGGGAAGTGCAGGCTACAGCCGAGTGCTGTCTGGCACTCCGAACTGGGATGTGGTTTCTCGACGTGAATACTTCGTCAGCAATTCCACCAAATATTTTGATGAGGCACGGAATGTTTATCAGAAGTTCCGAGATGATTACCCATGCTATGCGGGAGATTTTGCTCATTTCGCAGAATTATGCGCGAAGCTGCAAGCCCTTCGGAACAACGGTCTTCACCTGCAACGGTCGTATCTCTGGGACGACTTTATCATTGGGCATCTCGAGACCTACCCGCGCCACATCGAGGAGTGCATGTCCCAGGGATCGAAAATATCCACTTACGAAGATTTTTTCAAAGATCGTTTCTCTGTCCCTCGATACAAGAAGCGGAGCTTACAACCCCGTGGCATTGAAGTAACTGCCGCACAATCTGCCAGCATCAACGAAGCTGCCGACCACCCGACCCAAACAGAGCCAGCGCGTCAAAGTGACTCCATGGCGACTTCCTTTACCGGCAGTCTCGTGAACAGACTCTCGAATTTCCATGCCCATTCCCCATTCGGGGATGCTCTTCACAATGACCGGCCGGTTAATTCCCTATCAGTCGCTTTTCCTGCCACGCGTTCATCGCCTGCCTCGTCCATTTCAACTTCTTCAAGTTCGGTCATCATCAAACAAGAGGGCTCCTCATCCAGTGATGACGACGAAAGCCGAATAACATCATCTCAACATTGCTTTCTAGATTACGAAGGTATAAAGACAGAGCCTGACCCTGCCTTTCTTGACGAGTTTCTTCAAAGCAGTGCTCGCGCCATTGACCAGGATGTCGACATGCCCGAAGTCGAACAACCAGATAATGACAATAATGCCAATATGCGCGCCGCAGAGGACACCGAGTTTACCGCCGTCACCGATCAGGCAGACAATGAAAATGATGTCGATGTGCCGGCCGCACAAGAAACCGAGTTAGCCGCCGATCCCAAAGAAGAAGAAGATTATGATGACGATGATCCACGCCACGAAACAGCCAGCATCGAACTCGGTGATGATGACGCCGATCTCACCGTGCACCTCTCGCGCGCCGAGTCCAGGCTCCTCTACGATACGGAGGCAGCCGACGCCGACGAAGAAGACGAAGGAGAGGAAAGCGAGCCTGAGAACTGGTTTCATTCTCTCCGGCACCTGCGCTCCCCGGACCCGGGTGGTCTGACGATCCCTTTACACCATTCAAGCTGTGGGCACGAGCCGATCAAGATGTACGCGTTGAACGACGTCGTCGCGGCGGTGCGAAGATTCTTGTTGATGAGAAGGGGGTTATTCGACGACCTACTTTATCGTTGAAGCGTTGAAGCGCTGGGCTTGTATATTACATGTTGTTGGTCTCGCTGCAATGAAGCGTTTGCTCTATGTTATTAATAACTCCGATGATAATGAACAAGAAGGGTCACGGTATGACATTGCCCTTTCCAGATGATTGAGGGACAGTAAATACACCAAGCAAAGTGCAAATTCGCCACTAGTCCCATGGAGAGCCTTAATAATTCACCGTCTGATTATTGGCAAAGTTCTGAACCCAGGAATCAATATCGAGCTGCGACTCCGCTGGGTTATAGAAGGTGACGGTTTGGTCATCGAAGTCCACCGAGATAGAAGCGGTATCACAGATATCCTCCGACACGACCCCGGCTGCACAGAAAGTGGGACAATCAGTCGAACGTCCCAGGCGATAGATGAATAGAGTAGAAAACCGAATCACTTACATCCAACGCATACTCCATCTTCACCCCAGGCCCCGATAGGAACGTTGCTCGACCCGGTGCAGCCATAGAACTGGTTGAGGTGAAGCCAGCACTGGGTACCTTCACCAGTAACGTCCACGAACTGGGCGGACGAATTGACCTCGTCTCGCGCCTCCAGAGAGGAATCGCCTGAACCTACCAGGCCGGCCAGCAGCGCCCTTGTGGTCAGGAAAGCAGATGGGAGATGCATTGTGAATAGATTGCGAGGATGTATGGGTATGGAGAAGAATCAATGTAACGGAATTATGGATATCAGATCAGGAGAAAGGCTCCTGTTCATATACTATTGTTGCGACTTTGGCCCCCTGTCGCCTTATTTTAATTATACCTACGCCCCATCCGGAACCGCAAGATCTGCTCCATGCATGTGGAGTACAGTCCATACACAATTCCTTGGCTTAGCCATGAAACCTCTTGATTCGTTAGATTACGGGCATTCAACAATAAATCCTTTCTAGGTTGGGTCTAGCTTGAATATTGGGGCTCCTTACAAGGAAGGCTACGTGATTTTAGAATTAGTCTTATCGGGGTTATGATCGGCGAGCTCTAAATAGACGATTCTACAACGGCAAAGCAACCAGCAAACCCAAGTAAATTCATTTTATGTATAGAATTTTTATTTTAGAACCCCGGAATCTTCGTTAAACCCGTCTTCGTCAAGTAGAGGAATTACACCGCATATACGCGGAATCTATATATACCATGTTGGCCCCTCCTCTTGGCCGTCCGCCAATACCTTGGCCTCCGCCGCCCCCAACTTGGTGGAGTATGCATAAACACATTGCGTAAGCTTACTTTATTTTCTGTTGGTTACATCTGTAGACCTCCAAGTTTGCGCACAACCAATTTTTCTATCTATATCTATTTTAGTTGGCTTAAGAGCTCAGGAACGGGGGCCCTTGGTCTGTAAGTGTACAATTGACTGTCCACGGGGGCCTAAGATACTCCTACCCCTTATAGGACTATATCTCGCCCAGGATTTGTCATTGTCTTTACGTACAGATAGTGTAGAGTCTATACAATATTTATCTTCTATTCAGTTCGTGAAAATGTGAAACTACAATGGGACGGGTCCTGATGGTTGTCGTCCTACCCTGTCAATGTTTATAACCTTTCAGGCATCGCCAGGCAGCAGCTGCACTGTTTTTTGCAAGCCAATAGCGTGCCACTGCCATTCAAGTAGGCAACACTCTTACTTTTCTTACGTCCATCGAACACTACTCCTTCACCAACCTTGTCCCCTTTACTTTCTTCCAACACCAGTGTATTCCGACCTCGAAAATGGCCTTGAAGGAATACAAACCCTTGCGAGTGCTTCGGCCAAATTGAAGGGTATCAACGAATTTCCGGTTGATAAATCGTTGATGAGTGGACTGGCAAGATCCCGAAAAACTACAATTCGTTCAGCCTCTGTCGCATGTCGGAGCGCAGAAATACCCCCAGCGAGCATCAGGACCTGGGCGCCTTGCAACTGGTGAGGGATGCTCAGCTTGAGGTGATTGATATTCCGGCAGACACCTTTTTCCAGTCCACTGAGCTACAGTTGCGACGATGGCCCCATGCGCAAGCTTCCAGCCTTCCCTCCGCCGAAGCACACGAGACAAGTTCCGCTTCTGGGAAGGTCCGAGCGAAGCTCCCAGCATAGCTTCCACCAGCGTGATATCTATTTGGACTGCTATAGCTGTGGCAGAATGGATCACGCCTGGCGTCAAAAAAGACGAACAAGTTGTGAACGAGTCCTTGATCAGCCTTCCGCTGTCATAATGAATATCCCGAGCGTGGCCTGTCGATGGACCTCTGGGCGCAGACCTTCCCTACTGTCCGTCTCGGGAACAATGAAATGACCGCGTGGACTGATGGTTCCCTTGAAACCCGTTAAGGTATCCAATCTTGATGAACGGCGACGACATATTTTCTTTCAGTCTGGAACTCAGCTGAGGCGATATGGTGGTCAGACATGGCCGTCATACTGGAGTGCGGGGGCATGTATACTAGTGGATGATGGCAATCATTTCATCATTACATATGTCTAAGGCTCAATATGATGTGTGGTGTCATTACGTGGTGTGCCCAGGGTCCATGATCCGTAGTTGACGCTATCCCTTTTCTAAGTTCAGCTTAACTCGTTACCTACATATTTCAATCACCTGGACCTGGCTGCCCACCATCTTCACTGCCAACCTTCAGCATCACATGGATAGTTTCTCCCTCCCCTTTATCAATTTTCTGACGAACTGTGCTTAATATCCATCTCCCCTTCCCAATGTCACGCTCTCTCTCTCTGTGTGGAGATGGATGGGCAGACCTTCCGTCGGCGACACGGTGTTCTCAAGCAACTTTATCAACGAGTCAAGGACTATGAACCATTCTTCCTCTCCCCTGGCGATCTCCAAGATCTCGGAATTCAAGCTCGTCAAGTGGGCATAACAGATGATGGAGTTCTGCAATTCCACCCGTGCTTTTTCCGGCCTTACCCGGAAAGAGTCCTCCAGAAATATCCAATTGCCACTTCGCGAATGACCAAAAACATTTCACCGCTGAACCGCCACCTGGACTTTGATTCGTATTTGAGAAGCGCCCACGAATATGGGAATTTCCCAGACGCTCTCAAATGTGCAATTGATGATTACGCACTTCATATGGAAATATTGGGACCGGATGAGTGGTTCAGCCGCGCCACGGACACAGAGCGTCACATCGACGACCAGATTGGGGCTGCTCGAAAAGGACGACTGAAAGACTCTTCTCTCCTCAAACTTGGAGCGCTCGACATCATGTGGCGGTAAGTGAAAAGAGAAGGTTTGCGAGTTTGCTAGTTTTCGAGTTTCCAATTGTGTGCTAAACATGAACTAGAACTAAAGAGAGGAGAGGAGAGCCCCCGACAAGTGAGAGTGGCCGTCCGGATCCAGTCTGGCAGATAAAAAACATTCTCGAGGATAGTGACGAAAAATTCCCTATGCCACATGCGATTATGACAACTCTCGCGCACGTTCCCGCAAATGAGGCAGACCAGAGTCTCACTCTCCATGAAGTGAGAGCCATCGTATACATGACTCACCTTCGAACATCCCACAGGCCCTTTTCGACCCATCCGATCCATCCAGTAAGTAAGAATACACCGTCACAGCCTAACTCTTAACTGACCCATGTCTGTCTCCGTGGATAGCTATTGGTTATCTCTTACATGGGCCAAAAGCACGGAAGGATCATTCAAGCTTCGTTTGATGGAAAGAATTTGGTTCTACAATACTCGCAATTGTGGAGCTTCGCGGACGACGATACGGCACCGGTGGAGCTGTTCATTCGCTATTATATTAGCCAGCTCGTTGGGATTCCTTGTCGAAAATGCTATACCGCTAGACCGAAAGTACCCTGTGCTTGACTAGCTAATACAGTCATTTCATAGTCGACACGATTCCTGATGGCAGGCCACTGAGGAGTCTATAGATTCAATGGATCTAGATTAGCTATCTGGTACGAGGCTCGGTGTGTGTTGTTGCTGTTTCTGGAGTAGAGCTCCGTACACACAGATTACCCAAGTTGGCTAGCTCCATAGTGAGCCAACGCCGTCAAAAGTTAGTTGGGCTGCTGAGTTCCACTAACTACAAACAGTAACTACAGTGGGGATATGTATGGATCGGCTTAAGATGGGCCCTCATTTGCTCGCGTAGTGCTTGGCCTCCACCGGGTTATTAGCATCTAACCCAGCGGGGAGTAGTCGGGTTTGGGGTAGACAAATAGAGATCGTCAGGGGGGTCGCGCGCACGGAGCAGAGAAGGGGGTGAATGGGAACAACGCAAGGACCCGGCGCCACTGAGGTCACGAAGGCTTGTTTACTGGGATCAATCAGATAAATCAAGTTTTCAGGATAAACACTACTGGAAGATAATCGCAATGATGAAATAATAGGTATGGTATATTTGATTCACTCTGAACATGTACGGCATGCCAAATGCCTGAAAATACGTAGTTGGATATGGTATCGTCATCAATCACACACGAAAAAGAAAGTCTTCGTCAAGTAGGAATCATGAGAAAGGTAAAAAATGAGAAAAGAAATGCCCTGTCATTTGGACAATCACAGTAACGCCAGAAATCCCAAGAACGCTCCACGAGACGAATCGTACACGAACAAATAAAACACCTTGTAAGGATTTTACTTAGTTGCGATACGGCTCGTAAGAGTGGCCCTGATGACCATGAGGACCGACGGGCTCATAGTTGTACGGGGCTTTCTCGGCCATGATACCATTGCCACGGTTCTTGTGGTGGTAGGGCGATCGACCGGAGCAGCAGCAGACGGAGAACAGCCAGAAGATGTTGGCGGCGATAGCGAAGGCCGCGGCGAGCCAGGTAGCGGCGTAGATGTTCGTGCCCAGGTTACCGGTGACGCCGTAGGCCTTGAGGTTACCCTCGACGACGCCCTTGAGGATGACGAACATGGCGGTCGAGGTGGCGGAGGCGGCGATGGTGAACAGGCAGGCGGCAGTCGAGAATAGGAAGACCACGCAGCTGCCCCAGCGGCTGCAGATGGCGAAGGCAGCGAGGATGAGCTCGAGGCAGGTCGCGACGAAGGCGATGATGTACGCGATGAACATCCACTTGGACACGGCCTTGTAGACCTTCATGCCCTTGTTGTACGCGCTGGGCAGCTCATCCCGCATCGCTTGGGTGTCGATGTCCCAGACCTGGAGCGGGTTGAAGTAGAACTCGCTCTTGGGCTTGGAGCACCAGGTGGTGTCGAACTCATCGCCGTTCTGGACCGTGCCGTCGCAGTAGCCCCAGAGACCGATGTCGTAGAAATCCTTCAGGTTGACATCGTTCTTGACGGCGTCGACGAAGTTTTGCACCTGCTGAACACTGATCTCATTCGAGAGGTGGGTGTCCTCCAGGATGGTTTGGATCTCCTGTGTTGTTTTGGTTGAGGTCGTGATGTTCTCGGTGTTGATCTATAGGCGGTGATCTGTTAGTGACATCTCTCGATTGGGTGGTGAGTACACATACCCGGAAGAAGTACAGGTTGTTCTTGGTGCTGGACTTGGAGTCGGTGCAGCCGATGCCGACGAAGATCAGACAGATCAACGAGGCGACGGTGAGCACATAGGGCGTGAAGATACACGCGATACGACCGGCTTTGCCCATGGTGATTAATTAATTAATTCAACGACGGCGATGAGGAAAGACGGAGTTGGGAGAGAGAGTAGTTGAGTGAGGAAGGGGGATCAGAGCAGGACAGGGGAAGCCTTTCTTTTAATGTTGATCTCCTGGTACAGCCCGCCCTCCACCAGCCTCCCACGCAAAACCACACGGTCAGGCCAATCAAGCCGCGTTGCACTCAGCCACGCTGCTTCTATTTGTGGCTGCGCTATTCCTGAACAGGCAATGTCCCTGGCTTTTCGCTGACTAACCATCTGGATTTGGTCCTCAAGAGTGTTTACTTACTCTTCTGATTGATTCTTTTATTGTTACTATTATTCTATACCAGACAAAGCACACTACTCGACTCCTACATCACTGCATCACAGACGACGCCGCGTTTCCCAGTTCTTCTCGATAATCACGATCGTCATACCACTACCCGATGGAGCACACACGGGCCTCGTCACTTCCCAGCCCTGTGGGTCACTTCCGAATTTTCGTGGCACAGCCCTTTCGGCCACCAGTCGCGCCAAGACTAGGCATCTCCGTTCTGCGGCATGTGGCACTGGGTTTTCCCTCTTGAGGCCTGAAGTGCCGTGTGGCATCTTAGCCCTGCCCGATCCACAGCCACAGACCTCGAATGGAGTGTTTCTATATTTATTCTGCCGTCCATGATTGATTACGTACTTTTCTATTCCAGATAGAAACTGCCACTGCTGACGAACCTCTCCTATACATGTTGGCTTGATCGGTGCGCAGCCTGCCACGAATCATGCTCGTCATGTACAACGTGTGCTACGGACTTGGCTGGTGCCTTGAACGGCCTAAACTCACCGACCGTAGCCTTGGTAGGACTACATACTACTCATGGTATGATCACATACCAAAATCGTGACATGCATAAAAAGCCAGAATCCACGAGCTATTCCTAATCCAAGAGTAAAATATATTAATTATCCAATAGGTACATAGTATTTCACATGAAGCTATGACCCCGTCGATGAGATTAAACAGGATTAAGCAGCCATGCCACGATAAATCCTGTTTCGACCCCACACCCCACCAATATGTATACACTCTATTTCTGGCCGGGCCTTGGCAACCAACACGCAGGTCGCGAGATCTGCGCGAACAGGGAGTGACGTTGGAATTCGAGCTGCCTCGGTCTAGATTTGGGAGAGTGCCTTGGGACACTATCAGGCCGTCGCTGGGATTCGGGTAATCCCTTACAACCACTGAAGAAATCAGCGTCTATAAATGTTGGATAAAGGGTGCTGTTTCACAGCCCTTGTGGTGCTACTCCTCAATGGTGACTTTTTACTTCATTATATCTTGGGTGTTGTTGGTTGATGAGAGTACTTATTCTTGCAGGAAAGAAAGGGCCGACCCAGCCAGACCTTTCATCCCCAATTGCTTTCTTCTAACTACAGATACGGCTGTAGGGTAGACATCATCCCCGTATAGGCCTCCCCACTAGGCGGCTCCATGCTAAACATATAGTCCCCCCACCACGGTCCGGCAGCCCACCACATAGCCCCCATCCAGACATCAGTGTTATCAGCCAGATAATCCAACATACCCGTGATGGCAGTCTCGCACACATCATTGACACCGCCGGCGAACTCGCCTATGACGCCGACTTTGCTGTTGTCCTTGAGCCACTGCGTTGCGTTCGTGACTCGCTCTTCGCCAATGGTGGTCGAGACGCAGTCTGCGCTGGTGCCGGAGCCGTCGGAGTCGAGGTACTGGTGCATCTCGTAGACGATCTTGTTCTGTGGATCCGTGAGGGCCTTCAGGTTGTCGTTCACGGTCGTCCAGGTCCATGCGCCTGTGTAGGAGTTGCCCTCGACGAAAATGTATTGCGAGGTCGCTCCTGCTGCGCGGATACCGTCGATGGCGGCTTGGTTGAGGTTTAGCACGAGAGTCTGGTCCATGTCGTGGTATTCGTTGTCTGGATATAAGTCAATCAACAATTATCACGTCTTATTGGGAATAGCTTACTTGTGTCAAAGATGGCTAGGTCATTCGACTTGAACTGGCCTGCGACATTCGTCCAGAAAGTCTGGAAGTCTGAAGTGCTGCTGATGATATCTCCATTGCTGTACAATCTCGTCAGTATTCATCCAGACCAAGAAATGGTGACTTACTATCTTCCATAGTTATGCGGATCCAGCACAGCATGCGCGCCTGCATCGGTAATGGCATTCACAACCTGCACCCTGTCAGTACTTGATATATTTAAGCCACGAAGACGAAATTACCGTAGTGAGATTCTGCAGATAGTCCTCGTCAAACGACCCCGTCATAGAAGTCGGCACAAGCCGTTCCATCAGGAACGTCACCCGGAAGATATTCATGCCCTTGCCAATGAGAATCTTAATGGTGCTTGGGTCGGGGAAGATGAAATCGGTTCCCTGCAAAGGAGGCCAGTCAGTAGATAGAAGAAATCTTGAGGGTGTTAGTTAATTGAGCACATACGTAAACACCGGGAATACTGGTCGAGCCGAATTCCGCACCCGACTCGCTCGCTCCGAACCCTGTGTTATCAGATTAATTTCAATGCGTATGATTCAACCAGGTTAATGGATCTAGTACATTGGAAGGGAGATGCTCTTTTCGCAAAGCTCTTTGACGGAGCTGCCGCTGCGGATCCAGCCGCGGCAGCGAGGAGAACAAGTTGGTTGAGTCTCATGCTGATATAGAAACTGGGAATGGTGAACCACAAGAGGATAGATGTGCCAAATAGAAATCCTGTCCTAAGTAACACGGGAAATATCCCACTTTATATTTCTCCGTAGCTTATACGTCTAACCCATCTTTGAAACACTTGGCACGGAGTTTGAATATTTGCTCTATTTCAAGACAGGTCCTCAGTCCGTCTGTGTCCGTCTCGAGTCAATGCATAGACGGCACGGATTTAGTTAGCACCAGCAAACCCGGGTTAACTAATATCCTCCAGTCTTGGGGCGAGCAATTCCTTCAGGGACATATGCAGGGCCTTCTGGGTGGCAGGTTCCTCCGTTCGAGGGGTCGTGACTAGGGCTATTTCCGTGGCGCTTCAGGCATCGATCGGCAGGAGGGAAATTGGAGATGTGGTTGGCGGGTGGCTTGTTTTAGGTTTTGTGGGGTTCCTCGGAGAAGGATGGATCCTTTGTTGTTTCATGTTATTAGCTTGTCTCGAATGTATAGAGAGATTAATTTGGAAGACTTCTGCTCTATATAACTGTCGAGTATGCAATTATGTGAATGCAAAATTCTCAAGAAGATGCAAATGGCAGGAAAAATTCCAGAGCCCATCGGGCTTAAATTGACCAGGCGCTAACTACGGTGCTTGTTTATTCCATCTGAAACAGGGGATTTCCGGTGTAGACGCATTTTATCACAATTAATGAAAGTTTTAGTCGCGGATAAGATTAAATTGTCAATATCTAACCGTACCTGCATCGGAAATATTGTCATTTCTACGACCGATATCGAATGTTTCCTTCTCTTTACCACGCCCCAAAGGGATGAAGATACTTCTTCATATCAGCAGCTTGCAGCTTATGATACTTCTGGCCTGGATGATAGTTATTCCACCAAACACAGCTGACACCATCGTCATTGATACAGGTTGCATTCGGGTACCCATATGCATTGGGGCGGTCGAGGACATTTGTCATAAAGGACCACGAGTCGTAGAGGATTGGTGTTGCCTGCAACAATCAGTACTAAACACAAGTCAACACAAAACCGAGAAAATACGCACATCTTGGTGCTTCGCTCCAAAATTTTTGACCATCGAGCTGAGCGCATCATTAAACACCTTCAACCATGCCGCGTGCGCTTCCACCACGTCCGACCCCTGGTCAAGGAATAATGGGGACCGGCTCGTAGGCGGGACATTAAGAAACAAGAACTTGCGTCCGCCATCAGAGTAGATTTCCTCTGCCAGAGATTGGTATTTGTTAATCAAGACGGGCACCATGTCGCTTGCGTTATAGCTTGAGAATGCCCGGCCGACACTAGAAAAAACAATGTCAGTATCTCTTTGTTCACAAAAATGGGAGGTGACAGTAATACTCATTGATCCCAATCCAGAATCCAAAAACGACATCGTTCGAAGACCATGGCGCGGAGGCGGGCTTGCTGGCATAATAGGTTTGGAAACTGTCCACTTGCGTCGCCATATCTTCGACGGTAGCGTTGATGATGTGGTTGTCGATGGTTGCGCCTCCTACAGCGAGGTTGTAGCCGAGGATCAGAGAGGAGTTGTCTACTGTTACCAGGTCCTCAATCCAGTTGAGTCCGCCGCCTGTTGTTCCAGTTCCTTAAAATTGGGTATGAGTATTCTTTTTTCAGGTAGTGGTTGCAATCCTAGCTGTCTTACCCAATGCCGGATTACCCATTGGGTCTGAAGGCGATGGCTGCACGCCCGTAACATCAAAATCACTTTGCGAATAAGAGTCACCGCTGTACAATGTTTTAGTTGGTGTTTAGTAGATAGTACACAGAAATACTTCTTACAAGGTAAAAAAATAAGTAGTCTTCGTGCTCGACCACTCCTTCGGCTGCGGCGATGGTGCCGCTGCAGCCATGGCTATGACCATAAAACAAGCGAGATGCTTCATGGTGACTGAATTGACTACAATACACAAAATGAAGAGGTTGCAGTTGTATGTATGGCGGAGAAAATAAGAGTAAAAGAAGTAACTACTGCACATTCTTCGACTAGCGGGTCTTATATGCTTGCCTTGTTTACTCCCTTGCTACGACTCTCATTCCCCACGCTAGCTGTGGAATTTTAGTGACAGGCGCAAAATCCGGAGAAAATTAACGCCCCAATACCCTGTTTCCCTCGTGACAGTTTATCGCCCCCAATTCCTTTCCCTTGCAGGGTTTATTGGTGGGGTTTCAACCTGCGTACGCTCATGCATGGAGTAATTCCCGAGCCCAGGACATTATTGCGGGGCAAGGCGATTGTTCTGCATTTGCCAAGGGCTGAAGAACTCAGGCATTGAGAACGATGCGCCGGTACCCCGGCCCGGCGTATACTCCGCTGTTTATGGAGACGCGGGGTAGCTGGACCATTCCTTCTTGAACACAGCATATACGAGCTGGCACTTGTAGAGCACACCCGGAGCTAGCTGGCGATGCTTAGGACATCTGAAGATAGTTATCAGATATGCATGCTGACACGTTCATTAATCTTTATCTACACCCAGCATTGATCTATATACATCGAGCATTTACATCGTCATCACACATCCTCACCGCAAGTCCACCTCATACAATTCCATGCCCACGCCGCAGACCAACAGTTTTGGCTGCGCTCCATCAGACGCAGATGCATTATTGTTCGTGACCGCCAGCTGATTCCTCCCCACAAGGCCCAGCGACGAAACATCAGCCACAGAGCTATATCTGTCTAAGAGGTATTCGACGCGGATATCCCGCAGCGCGGGATCCACAGTTACAGACCAGATCTTGACTCGGTGATCGTTACCCGATGATGCGAGCGTTATACTTGAAAATTGATCTGACTGCTGCGACTGACACAGGACTTTGACGGCGGTTACCGAGGCGGCGTGCGCATCGGGAACAGATACGGTACCAACGAGCGCGTTCGCACTGGGTTCAGAGAGAGACGTACTTAAAAGAGACACAGACAAAGAGTTATCATCGCCTCCGGTCACGATCAGAGTAGCTGTGTCGGATAGAGACACCAGCTCCATCGCTTTGATGCTGTTGGAGTGGATCTGATACCGATTCTCGCAGGTGATCTCCGCCGGCGAGGTAGACGGAAATGATGGCCTAGCAGCCAGAGTAGACGACGTGATTGTGTAGAAAAGCTCAAGGCCAGCGGTGAGGTCCCAGACAGTGAAGTATCCATCAGTCGCGGCCGTGATCAGACTCAAGGACGAGTCCTTCAGCACAAAGTGCGCTTGAGTAAGGCAGTTCGTCATGTATTTCCCTTTGGCGAGGAGAGTGAAAGTAGAGGCAGAGGGCGAGAAGTGGAAGATCTGTAACAAGGTTAATTCCACGCATTACTGGCAGACGAAAAGAGTGTGTTTTACCTTGAGCGTGGAGTTGGAGAGAACAAGACAGATCAGAAAACCCTGGTTTACGCCCTCACCTTCCACATCCAGGACATCGAAGCTCGTTATGCGAAGATCGGACTTCGGGTCACTTTTGGGGCTGGCAGCCATCATCATGGTGGCAACCCCGAAGGAAGGAATCAATCGGACTCTCCAGACAAAAAACTCCTCGGAGGCAGCACTGGTGAAAAGATAGCGACCATCCTTCGACCAACTGACCTGTTGAATCCCAGAGTTGTGCATATTCAGCAAGCGCAGAGACTCAAAGCTCCCCCACGGGCTTGCGCTCGAAGTAGCTGACGGCGTGAATATACGCACAGTGGTATCTTCCGCACCAGTAGCGAAAAGTAGTTGTCCTCCACCAGGGGGATTGAAGACATCCAAAGCCTTGATTTCCCGCCCATGGCCTCCAGCTCGTAGGGAACGATTAATATCCGCCTGGATCCAAACCTTTTTCAGTTCTGTTCCTTCTCTCCATAGAAGCAAGGCATCTTTGATTCCTTCAGTGCCGGGCTGGAACACCCAGCTACGGCGAAAGCCACCGGAAGCGATGGATGTGAGGTCCATTTGCTTGGACTCGTTTCGCAGGACAAAATCTTGCGATCTGAAACCGTACAGCATCAGATCGTGTGTGTTTGCATCGAAATAACCTCCGCAGATGTTTTGGCCAAGAGAAGACGAGGTACGATGCACCAATCGCAGGGACATCTCTGCGTTTTCTTTCACCTCCATTTCACGAAGACAAAAGTTTCCGTCTCGGCCGCAGGTCAACAAGTATTCCAGCTCGGAGCCGTCGGTGCTGTTCTCTGATGATACCGTGCTAATGTGCGAGACACCTTCACGGCCATGACCGCGCCGGTCGTTCACCAGTGGCTGCGGGGATTTGCTTGCCCCTGAAACTCGATGTACGGTCAAGCCACCGAGTTTGGATCCCAGGATCAGATATCGGCCACCAAAAATCAAGGATGCACACGACACCGTAAATGGGGGTGGCAGGTAGATCTCAAACGACTCAATTTGTGGATGGTCGCTGTTCCAGCCCGTTACTGTAAACAGCATCGCCTTGTCATCTTTTAGAAAAGAAGCAAGGAATGAAAGCTTCTCATTTTCAAACGAGCGGTTATCAAGAGGCCACAGGCCAAAGGGTCGTTCACCAATTTCCAGAAGATCAGAAACTGACTTCTTGCTGTGGTTATACAGCCGGATCCGGCCTCGGCTGTTGCTTATCAATGCCAGCCCTCTCTGGGGTATACCGCTAAGAACGACAAAAGAGCGAAATTCTTCAAAAAGGCACAGGGTCTCCCAGGTGACACCCACGTCCGTATCTGAACTCACAGACCCCAGCTGGATCTCGCCGCTAGTTGAACAGGCAATGAGACAGTCCTGTGCCACAAAGTCAAAGCATCTCCATCCTTCGTATCTGGACTGCTTCTTCACTGTTCTGTCGACTTCATTGATTTTGAAGCTCTTCAATGCACCGTCTGCACCCCCGGTATAAACAACTGTATCGTTATCCTTGGCGCAAAGATCGAGTGACCAGATGTGTTTTCCAGAGTGATGGTGGACCGAGGAAATTTGCCGAAGGTGATAATTTGTCTTTTGCTGTGACGACGTCTCCCAGCTGAGATCCCAAATAATGCACGTAGAATCCTCCCCATGAGACACCAGACCCAACCTCATTTGGCTCTTTTCCCTGATGGGATGAAAACGAACACCCCATATGCGAGCATCGTGACCGAAAGCCTTTGCAACACAGGATTCAGAACCGACCACTTGATCCTCCCCGGCATTAGCACCAAATCCAGTACTCCGAAGCTCGAATCCATCCGAGGAGTATGCAGAGGGATCCAGTGCATTTTTGTGTTCGCAGTCCGAGATATCCCATATTCTAACAGTCCGATCATCACTGCAACTCGCCAAGAGCCGACCCGATTGACCATCATTCAAAGAAGGGATCTGGGGCGATATGCGTACATCAAAGATCGAGCCGTCATGACCAGTGAAGAAATGATGGATGGAGCCAATTGCTTTGCCTTGGTCCAAAAAGCAAGACCAGACGATAATCTCCCCGAAAACCGTTCCAGCCGTGACCAAGATGTGAGATGCAGAAAGTATTATCACGTCGGCGGAATACAGCATAGACTTGACGCTTGTGACAAGCTGGTGGATGTGGATGGCGGCCTTGTACTTGCCGATCTCGGCTTCAACGAGCTTCAGACCCAGTGCTGCATTGTTGGCGGTAACAAGATAAGCCGTGTCGTGTGCATTGTCGATGGCGGCGCATCCGCTCATGATCCAGTCCGGGGCAAGGAACTCGGCAGTGGCCAGCAATATCGAGACATTTGAGGCGTGCGAGGTTCCACTTTCAGAATTCAAGTAAAGATTCACCACGCGTAGGGACTGGCCACCCCAAACAATGACCTGAGCATGGTGAGGGTCATGATTGAGAGGGATGAACCCGTGGACATTGTTGCGTCTGAATGTCTGGATTTGGGCCGCCACATCCCCGGTCTTCTCATCAATGACACGGAAAAATGATCCCTGTCCTTGAAATATAAACCTACTATCGCCCCAAGTAAACGCCTTCAACGCTGTTATGGGTAGACAAGCATCGACATGCTGTATTTTGGGAGTCAGACGAGCAATTTACAGTTAAAGCGGACACTGACCTTGAGAGTGAAAGACATTACTGGATGCTCTATACATCTAGACAACAGACAGCAGGCCGACTGGCTTTTCCCCTCCACGCAGTAAAAAATGACTTCCGTCTTTTTCAGTCCATCCAGACTGCTTATCTAATCTCAGCGGCACTATCCCCAAACAAGAATAATTGCGCACGTGACCTCGCGCCTTCTCTCGTGTTGGACCATGTCATCGCATCCAACATCTGAGACTCCTTCGTGATCTCCACGATGCGAACCATCACTACAGCCTCCCCCTGTAACTTCATATCATAACGTCACCTGCCTCTGACTCGCCATGGGTGTCACCGGGCTGTGGACAGTCGTCCAGCCCTGCGCCCGGCCCGTCAAGCTCGAGACCCTCAACAAGAAACGGCTGGCCGTCGACGCGTCGATCTGGATCTACCAATTCCTAAAAGCCGTGCGAGACAAAGAAGGCAATGCACTGCGCAACTCACATATCGTGGGTTTCTTCCGCCGCATATGCAAGCTGCTCTACTTTGGAATCCGACCCGTTTTTGTCTTTGATGGGGGCGCCCCCGTTCTCAAACGACAGACGATCGCAGCGCGAAAGAAAAGACGCGAGGGGCGCCGAGAAGATGCGGCGAGGACGGCGGGGAAGCTGCTGGCTGTGCAGATGCAGCGATCTGCCGAGGAAGAGGCCGAAACGCGGCGGCGGAATAAGAAACGGCCCGAAGATCAAGAAGAAGTTCCTGATGCCCCGGTATATGCCGAGGAGACCTTCATGACGGAGAAGGAGAAACAACAAAACCGGCGATTCAAGAAGAAAGATGCCTACCATTTACCGAACCTAGATGTTTCGCTGGAAGAGATGGGAGCCCCCAACGACCCGCGGATCATGTCGCAGGAAGAACTGGAAGAATATGCGAGGCAGTTTCACCAGGGTCAAGATATTAATCTTTATGACTTCTCTAAAATCGACTTCGACAGTCCCTTTTTCCTCAGTCTGCCCGCCACCGACCGATACAATATCCTCAATGCGGCAAGGCTGCGAAGTCGGCTGAGAATGGGATACTCGAAAGAGCAGCTAGACACGATGTTCCCGGATCGTATGGCCTTTTCCAAGTTTCAAATTGACCGAGTCAAGGAGCGAAATGATCTTACGCAACGATTGATGAATATCAATGGCATGAATGGGGAAGAAGCATTCTATAACTCTGGTCAGCGGATCGCTGGCGAACGCGGGAGAGAATATGTTTTGGTCAAGGACAGCGCAATGGAAGGCGGATGGGTCCTTGGTGTTGTGGGAAATAAGGACGAAGGCCAGGAAGACAAGCCTATTGATCTTGATCGACATGACCAGGCGGAGCCTTTGTCAGAAGACGCCGAGTCAGAAGATGAATTCGAGGATGTTCCGATTGAGGGCCTCAACCGACTCCCCAAGCTTCCTTTCCTTCGTGAAGGTGTATTCGACCAGTCGCTTCAGCGGGCGAGGGAAGATTCAGGCGTGCAAGAAGCGATTGACAGGTCTCGCCATGATTTACGGAGAGCTTCGACACATGAAGACGACTCGCTGTTTGTTCAAGGCGGAGATTTTGGCAGCGAGATGAACCGTGATGCCGGTATCTTTGAAGATGAGGAGGATGAGGATCTCCAAAAAGCCCTCACATTATCATTACAGCACGATGAAGAGCAGAACGACGAAGACATGCCCGATATCGCTATCAATCGACCAAAGGAGCCAATATTTCCTCCTGAGCCAACAAAAGACATAGCACTTGAGAGTGACGACGACATGGACTTTGCTGTCGCCATGGCGCAATCTAAGGTTTCCCAAAAAGAACGACCCAAAAATGCATTTTCCGGACCTCTTCCTTTTGAATCTATCAAACTTAATAAAACCAGAAGAGATCAGCCTGCTGAAAATGACAAGGAGGCCGGTGGATTCGTGAGAGAATCCAAAAAGCCGTCGAAAAAGAAAGAAGGGCCACTGCCGCCTTGGTTCGTGGGTGAACGCGATGATACGCAATTCATTGTTGATTCGACAGACGTTCATGAGAGAGATCAGGAGCGGCAAATGGCGCCAGATCATCTTTTCCTATCCAATCGCCGATCACCAGACATAATTGATGTTGACAACTTGCCAGAAATGAAGGAAGTGGTCGATCTCGAGGCCGATTCAAAGAAGCAGGTGTCCGAAATGGAGAAGCTTGAGACGGCCATTGAGGTAGACGACGCGGTGAAGGAGGTGCCTGATTCTATATCTCACAAGAGCATAGATATGGAACCGACAGCCATTGAAGTTCCTAAACAGCCAGTCGCAGTTGAACAAACCCTCGATGAGCCACACCCGCAGGTTGTTTCCTTGGGCGTTGAGCAATCTCAGTACCCGGAGTTGAAGGAGGAATTGACTGCAACACCGGCAGAGATCGCAGGCGATGCTGCCCCTGCGCAGGAATGGCCATCACAGCCCCAACGTTCTCTCTCGCCTGAATTTGAAGATGTCCTGCCGTCTACAACGGGCCCTGAAATCACTGTCAGCACCGTCGGTTACTCCGCTCCAACTGCCCCGCCTCTTGAAGACACCGGCCGGCCAGAGGTCCTGGCAGAGGGCGAGGACGAATACAGTGATCCAGAAGATGAAGAACTACTGCAACAGCTTGCCGCTGAGGGGGAAGAGCATGTCCGGTTTGCGAAAACCCTCAATTCGGCTGCTCCTAACCAAGATGCCTTCGATTACGAACAAGAGCTCAAGCAGCTGCGCAACCAGCAAAAGAAGGATCTTCGTGATGCAGACGACGTGACCCAGATCATGATCAATGAGTGTCAGCAGCTGTTGGGACTCTTTGGGCTGCCCTACATTACCGCCCCCATGGAGGCAGAAGCGCAATGCGCCGAGCTCGTCTCACTCGGCCTTGTGGACGGAATTGTTACGGATGATAGCGATGTCTTTCTGTTTGGCGGTACGAGGGTCTACAAGAACATGTTCAACCAGAGCAAGTTTGTGGAATGCTACCTGACCTCGGATCTGGAGAAAGAGTACTCCCTTCACCGAGAGAAGCTGATCAGCTTTGCGCACCTTCTCGGCAGCGACTACACGGAGGGCATTCCCGGCATCGGTCCCGTCACCGCGCTGGAGATCGTGACCGAGTTTTCGAGTCTCGAGGAGTTCCGCGACTGGTGGATGCAGGTGCAGATGGGCATGAACAACCCCGACGACAGCCACGCCGCATTCCGGAAGAAATTCCGCAAGAAGGCGTCGAAGATCTTTCTGCCCCCCGCGTTCCCAAACCCGCTGGTTGACACGGCCTACCTCGAGCCCGAGGTCGACGCCGACCCATCGCAGTTCCAATGGGGCGTGCCAGACCTGACCGGCCTGCGCAATTTCCTGATGACCACGATCGGCTGGAGTCAGGAGCGCACCGATGAGATCTTGTTGCCGGTCATCCGCGACATGAACCGGCGCCAGCAAGAGGGTACGCAGTCGAACATCACGCACTTCATGCAGGGTTCACTGGGGGCAGGGGCATTTGCGCCTCGCGTGCACCGCAGCGGACCGAGTCGCATGGAGAAAGCATTCAGCCGACTGCAGCAACAGGCGCAGGACCCTACTAATGAGGGGTCGGAGAAACGAGGGCAGAAACGCAAGGCGCGCACATAGATTAAATTAAAAATGCACTAGGCAGTCCTAGGTGGCAATTGACCCAGTGGTTGAAGTGCACATCCCCCACCGATCGCCCGAATTAAGCAGTGCTTTGGCATACCTCCACTACTGACGATCTGGATCAAGGACATAAAGTAGATGGATGACTCCAGGAACAGTCAGCCCCTCGATGCAACCCTGGACGAACCGACTCATGACATGATCGAGTGCAGGAACGCAGAGTCATGACATCACGACCATTGGTTGCTCCATGACGTGGGGATAGTACAGTAGAGTCCTAACTAGCAAACTACTAACGAAACTAACTGCTTCAGCACAGCCTCGCTGGAGGGGATAAGTGGGATCGCGACGAATCGGGTAAGGTCCGCCCCCTTCTCGACGTCACCAGCATCGGCAACCTCAGTCAAGCTCTCACTACTTCAACGCCGTCTACTCTCTGTCTCCCCTGAAGACCCAACATTTCCCTCCCCTAAAACGGTTGCAGTCAAGTGAGAGCTTCCGTCGCCTCCGAAGCTCCCATCTCCCCACCCAACTCTTTTTTCGCTCACGTCACTACTGCGCAACGCACTTCTGCACGTTTCCCTCCTCCTTTTCTTTCTTTCTTTCTTCCTTCTTCTTTTATCGAAGATTCTCCCGATCCCTCCCCCTTACTTCCTTACTGCCGGTCGATACCCTATTCCGCCCACGCCCCCCCCTGAGCTAAACCCCAGCCACACACCATGCATCGCACCTATTCTATGCGCCAGTCGCGCGCCCCGACCGCCTCGCAGGTCGAGAACCCCCCGCCGCCATTGTCCTCCACCAAGACCAACCGCTGGCTCGGAAAAGGCGGAATCGGTGAGTGCGCATACCCTGGTGTTCGCTGCGGCATTGCTGGTCGGTCGCATTGCCTCCATGGCAGCCTGATCGGTCCAATTCTCCGCGTCCGTGCTCGATCGGGGGCGATGATGGCATGAGAGGAATGCTGTTGAGACGAACACCACACCATTTCCGACGAGATCGCAGTTATGTACTGACAATAGCTCAGGACATGCGTTCCGTAAGAACACCGCCGGTGCCTTCGGGCCCGACCTCGCCCGGAAGCTGTCGCAGCTGGTCAAAATGGAGAAGAACGTCATGCGCAGCATGGAGCTCGTCGCGAGAGAGCGCATGGAGGTGGCGGTAGGTCCATAGCCCGGCGGTGCGCAATTCCTACAGAAACTGAACTGGCAACAGCAACAACTCTCCATCTGGGGCGAGGCCTGCGACGAGGACGTGTCGGATGTGACGGACAAGCTGGGCGTGCTGATCTACGAGATCGGCGAGCTGGAAGACCTGTTTGTCGACCGCTACGACCAGTACCGCGTCACCATCAAGAGCATCCGGAACATCGAAGCATCCGTACAGCCTAGCCGGGACCGTAAGACAGACCCCACCCGTCCCGAAAAGTGGAGATGAGAGAGGAACGAACCATGGGCTGACCCATCCCACAGGCAAGCAGAAGATCACCGACGAAATCGCCAAGCTCAAATACAAGGACCCGCAGTCTCCGCGCATCGTCGTGCTGGAGCAAGAGCTCGTCCGCGCGGAGGCCGAGTCTCTCGTCGCCGAAGCCCAGCTGTCGAACATCACGCGCGAGAAGGTTAAAGCAGCCTTCCAGTACCAGTTCGACGCGCTGCGCGAGCACTGCGAGAAGGTCGCCATTGTAGCCGGCTACGGCAAGCACCTGCTGGACCTGATTGACGACGCGCCAGTGACGCCCGGCGAGACGCGGAACGCGTACGACGGCTACGAGGCCAGCAAGGCAATCATCCAGGACTGTGAGGACGCGCTCAGCAACTGGGTCACGTCCAAGGCGGTGGTCAAGTCCGGGCTGTCGCAGCGCTCGCGCACCCTCTCGCAGCGCCGCCAGGACAACCTCAAGAACCGCGACGGCGGCGTCGATCTATCTGGCCAGGACCAGCCGCTGACTGGCGACCGGGACTCCTGGTTGCCGGCTGATCAGCACCCGAGCTATGAGGAAGGTGAGGAAGGCTCCGTGGAGGGAGAGTTGCGCGGTCGTGAGGAGGAGAGGGAGGCCATCTCGGGGTAATTGATTGCCTGGATGACTCCGATTTCCCGAATACCCCCCGCCACTGTTTGTATCTTCCCTGATGACTCTGACGGCTTTAATTTTTTCTTTTTGTCTGTTTGGTGTCCGTTGTGATTCCACCAAAGTCCAACAATACTCCATTCATTATTGGCTGCTTCTCAATTGATGCCCCTCCCCGGATGCCTCCGTGTTGTTTTTGACTGAGACTTTGATGAAGCTCCGTCGTGTCGTGATAAACGTTCTGTTCCGCCTGCTTGCTTTTGCCTTTCCCTTCAAAGTGTGGAAGTGTGCTGTCTCGCAAGAAAAGGAACCCGATGCGCCGACTGAATCGTTGTTTCTTAATGTAATACCATTTGTGCTTGGTTGGGTGCTTTACTTTTCACTTTTTATGTTCAATGTTCAATGTTTCCTTTTTTTCTTCGAGTTACCTACTTTATGATCTTCTGTCTTTCTATCTAGGAGTTAAGTGTTGGTTGGATACGCTAAGACAGCGGAGGAGGTAATAATGGATATGTCTGCTTGTGCTCTTCTTAAACCTTTTTCTGTAGTCAAATCCTCGGGCTTTAAATGGAGGGGCTAAATTATACTTACTTTGCTGTGCACTCAGGTACAGTCCAGCTCGGGCCCGCCATTACGAGGACTCGACTAGGCATTCTACTCCTTTATAAAACGTCCCCGTCTGGTAAGTCGTCCTTTAGCAAACACAGAGGGACCCATACTTTCCAGAATGACCTTCCTAATAGCCAAACGGCCTCTTCGTTGTCTGCTTCCATAGCAATACAGTGCCAAGACTAGACCAACCTCAAATAGTTAAAACTCCAAATACCCCTGCTCAACACGTCAATAATGGCATAGTGGGGGGCAGTCCCTCGATACAGGGAAGAATTCTAACTAGCTGGCACAGCTGAGCGCTTACATCGTCCGCCAATACCCCTCATTCGTTTTGATACTCCGTGACAGTTTTTTTATCGTCATTTCTATTGTTGCTCCGACACCATATATTTGAGAGAAGGACAGGCGACTAGAACATGGAGTCTCAAGCGTCCACGGGAGACTCTTCCGAGCCGTTGAGAATTCTCTCACTTGGTAAGACCCCTCTTTTCATCTGTCAAGGATCGCTAACATATTTGGAGATGGCGGTGGGATTCGCGGGATTTCAAGCCTCCTTATCTTGGAGGAAATTATGCAAACGATTCGCAAAGTTCGTCAACTGGACCAGGTCCCGCGACCGTGCGACTATTTCGACCTGATCGGGGGTACAAGCACTGGAGGGTAAGTAACGCTATCGGCCTGTGCGCCGAATCAGCTCGCTAATAAACCATTATTAGGATCATTGCTATCATGCTTGGCCGGCTAGGAATGACCGTGGATGAATGCATACGAGCGTACCGGAAGGTTGCGCAGCAGGCGTTTACTCCTAAGCGATCCGCCTCTTTTCTCCCTGCGCCACCGAAAGGAGCTTTCTCCGCTCAAGCGCTCGAAAGTGCCATCAAACAAACAGTTCGAGAGTTCTGCCCGGAGACGGAATGTGTGAGCCGTCGGCGCGAAGACCGTCCGACAACTGATTCGTGTCCGCACACTGACTTGGCCTTCCGCGATCAAAAATGCACAAAGACGGTCGTTTTTGCAATAACTAAGGCTAATATCGACGCAAGCCCCACGCTCTTCGAGACGTACGACACGTCGGCTGCTTTTGACGGATGCACTATATGGCAGGTGGCGCGTGCCACTTCGGCTGCGACTACGTTCTTCAAGTCCATTCAAGTTGGCCGAGATGGGATCGAGTTCATTGATGCTGGTTTCGGGTATAATAATCCATGCGAAGAACTCATCAAGGCAGCTGAACAAACCTTTCCCGAACGCCGGAATCGACTAGTTCTAAGCATTGGGACCGGTCTTGGAAATGTGGTCGATATCAAGGATACGCGGCTGTCGATTATCAAGGCCTTAAAGTCGATGGCTACATCGTCTCAGAAAGTCGCCGCCAACTTGGACCATCGATACGGGGACAGCGACCAGTACTTCCGATTCAACGTGGATCGGGGCCTCGAGGATATCACTTTGTCAGACTGGGAGCAGGCAAGCAAAATCGCCGCTCATACGACAATCTATCTTGCTGCGCAGTCCAGAACGATTGAGAAGTTTGTTCATGTTTTCACGCGGCGCGCAGTGGCGGCAGATAGGCATGGAGTTGAGCCGACCCCCTCTGACGGCCATCAAGCGCAAGGGGGAGATGGAAACAACCTATATGGCCGTTAGTTTAAGAAGATTCTAATCTAATGTCAGACATGCTAACCAGCACTAGACAACCAATTCAAGCCTGTCCATGTTCTTCCCACTATTGCAAACCGCCACTTTAGTGGACGTGACAATACGCTAGCTTTGCTCCAGCAGAAGCTTTTCATCCAGAAGGAAAGCCCAAAGATGGCCCTGTACGGACTAGGGGGTGTCGGCAAAACACAAGTCGCTCTACAGCTTGCGTATTGGGTTAAAAAACATCTGCCAGAGTATTCTATCTTTTGGGTGCCAGTCTTGAGCGAGGCGAGCTTCGAGCAGGCCTACACAGAAATTGGGAGAAAGCTTACAATTCCCAAAATCTCGGACGATGAAACTGTCGTAGAAACGGTGCGCCGGTATCTTTCTTCAGTGGCAGCCGGAATGTGGCTTCTTGTTGTGGACAACGCAGACGACATGGATATGCTTTTCGGTAATGCCGATGTTCCCGGTGGGCTCTACAGGTACTTTCCTACTAGCGACAACGGCGTGACTTTCCTCACTACTCGTTCCCGCGAGGTGGCGGTGGAATTTGCAGAGATGCACATAATTGAACTCCAGAAAATGAACCCGAAAGAAGCAACTGGCCTTTTCAAGAAGGTCGTGAAAGGAGACTTGCTCCGCGATCAGGTGGCAACGACGCAATTGCTTGAAGAGCTCAATTGGCTGCCTCTAGCCATCACGCAGGCGGCTGCATATATGAATAAGACCGATATCTCAACTTCGAGGTACCTTGAGCTAATGCACGGCACTGAAAAGGATAGAATGAATCTCGTGAGCAGGCACTTCCATGATAGCACTCGCTACCCAGAACTCCAAAATGCTATTGCCCCCACATGGCTCATTTCTTTCAACAAGATCAGGGAATCGAACCCTTCCGCCGCTAAAATACTAGAATTCATGTCTTTCATTGAACCAAAAAGCAATCCCCCGATCTATTCTTCCTGTCCTCGACTCAGAGGAGGAAACGGAGTTCGCAATTGGCATGCTCTGTGGCTACGCATTTGTGACCAAGAGAGAAAATGGCAACATGCTTGACATGCACGATCTGGTGCAGCTATCGACGCGACTGTGGTTGCAGAAGGAGGGAAATAAGCTACAGGCTATCCAAAGCTCCACAAGGCATATGGAGATGGTATTTCCATCCAATGATTATACGAACCGTGAGCTCTGGAGGGCATACTTGCCACATGCTCTTAGAATTCTTCGACATGATGAGACAAAAGACATGGATGAGAGATACGAACTATTTGGTTGGATTTCACGGTGTCTGTTGGCAGATGGCCGGGCGAGAGAAGCCGTTGGCTATTCTGAAGAATATTCAAGATGGGAGGAGAGTCACCATGATAATGAAGAACACGCCGATCGACTATTCTCTCAGCATCAGCTCGCAAGCGCATATCTTAAAGCCGGACAAATCAAACAGGCAATAGTACTGCTTAAGCATGTGGTCGCAGTGGAAGAGAAAATACTCGACGAAAAACACCTTGATCGACTCGCATCTCAACATGCACTTGCACTTGCATATCATAACGACGGACAAATCAAGCAGGCAATAGTACTGCTGAAACATGTGGTCGTAGTGCAAGAGAAAACACTTGACGAAAAGCACCGTGGTCGACTAGCGTCTGAGCATGAGCTAGCAAGCGCATATCTCGATGACGGACAGATTGAACAGGCAGTAGAGCTGCTTAAGCATGCGGTCGCAGTGAAAGAGAAAATACTTGACGAAGAGCACCCCGATCGACTAGTATCTCAGCATAAGCTCGCCAGCGCATATCTCAAAGATGGACAAATTAAACAGGCAGTAGGGCTGCTTGAGCATGTGGTCGCAGTGAAAGAGATAACACTTGACAAAGAGCACCCTGAACGACTAGCATCTGAACATGAGCTAGCAAGCGCATATCTCGATGACGGACAGATTAAGCAGGCAGTAGAGCTACTTAAGCATGTGGTCGCAGTGGAAGAGAAAATACTCGACGAAGAGGACCCCGATCGACTCGCATCTCAGCATCTACTCGCAAAAGCGGTCAAGGCATGAAGAAACCCAAGGCGAAGAATAATATATGTCCATCCATTTGATCTAACCATTGGTAGTGATAATGCCATGCAAGCCTTATAATCTGTGTCAGAAGCTTGTAAACGAACCTCTATATCTTATTTGCGCCTCCGCATTCCCAATTTCTCGTTGATCATCCTGAGTGAAAAAAGTCTCTGCATACTCTTATCTCTTAAATGGGACGATGTTGTTGTGCATGACAATCCTACTAAAGAAATAGAGCTAGCGGGTTGTCTGGGCCTAGCGATGTGCAGATAGCCTGTCTTGCCATTAAGGCTTGGAAAAAACCCAAGATTACATTGGCAGAAGGCGATTTTGCAAGGTAACACGCCATGCGTGGCCCTCATCTTTGCAGGTGCGATGGCGGGTACGGTAGTAAGTTGGGAGCGACTCGAGACTAGACTCATCGACTCAACCCCGCAAGCCACACATTCCGGTACTCCTCCAGTATTATCCACTCGGTTACTGGTGTGTGGAGTCCCACAGCATATAACTTATGTGGCAATGAAGGGATCTTGAAAGAGAGAAAATGAAAACGGCGCATATATATGGGAACGATATATATGCTACCGGATTCAGTTTGCGCGGTGTTATCGGGTCTGTCTGTGCTGGGGCTGCGAGGCGTTGCTGTCAGCCACTTTGGAGTCAAACTGTCAGGATTATCCAGTAATTGCGCGGCGTGTTCTGCGTGACGTCGCCTACCACCGGGCAGTCGAGATCGCAAGGCGAAAGGGCCATACTAAGTTGCCAATCCGCGACGACATGTTCTCCAGAATTGTCTCTCCCTGAGAGCTAAGCCTTTTTATCAGAGGCGGAACTGACCTTCTCCGCTAGTAATTTGGATGCCAAATGATGATATGCAGATTTCTGATTCTTAGTAATTCTGACAATCTGGATTAACTTACTTATAGTTAAGTTAGGGCCATCCTGCGTGGACCCCCTCCACCACCTGGCCCTAGCTTTAGATCGATTGCGTATCTTATTACTAGTGAACTAATGGTAATATACTAGACATGTGGCTAATTTCTTAACTACCCAATACATAAGTTATGAAGGGACGATGTGCGTTTCGTTTGGTAGGCGTACTCTGGCCGCTTATCCCTGGACTTAGGATAGGCATAGTGAGCGAATCAGGGCGATCAGAGAGTGGATTAGGCCACTTAGAGGAGTAGTCAGGTGATGCTCAGTGAGCGGATCCATGTGATTATGTCATGCTCCATGAACCGATCAGGACGCTCAGCGCCGTGCTCAGTTCTACTCAGCGAGCAAGCAGTGAGCAGCACTGAAACGGAAAGAGCAAGTCACAGGGCGGCAGACATTATCCTCTCTATACGCACTTCACTTCGGATCCAAACCCATGAATTGAAAAAAAAAAAAAAAAAAAAAAAAAAAAAATTGGAACATCGTGAAAAAAAGGACTTGGAACCAGACAGGCAGCTAAGGAGAAACCAAACCACACAACATCGATCTACTTTCATGTCAAGGTTCGCTCACACAACACCGCCGTCGATTTATTCTCCCGTTTCCTCCCCTGAGATTTGGGGGGAAGAAAACACGCCAGAAAGACAATAGCAATGGAGGATAAAAAGGGGGCCTGGGGTCAGGAGTAGGATAAGAAGAACCAGGCGCGAGGGAGGTTTCGGGGGTAGAGAGTAGAAAGAAGCAAAAAAACAACCAAATAGCCAAGGAATCCCGAAGTTCAGCATAAAAAGGCACAGACCAAGACCGAGACCGCCCAGAGCAAAGAAAAAGCCACGGTCGGGAGAATATCCAGGGTCCGAGCAGAATTGGAAAGGTCGTGACATCGTCAGCCGTCTCTGAAGATGAGGGGAGGTAAAGAGAGCACACTCGAAGGTGGACAGGATAGAACCCGCATGCAAATCAAAAACAAAAGTAATCTTTGATAGTTGCTCGGGGCATACGCTCAGGGCAAATAACAGCAACAGCACAGAGATGATACAGGAATAGCAAGCCAAACACCAAAACCAACAAAACTTTGTCTTTGCATATCACTCATCAGTGCCGACGCCCTTCTTTTTAGGTTGAATATGTTTTTGACCGGAGCCGCTGGAGCCACTGGAACTGGAGTTCTTCTGCTTCAGGGCAGTGCCGTCACTAGGAGGTGGAGGCATAGTGCGGGTGGAAGTAGCCTCATGTTTTTCGGTCAGGAGATTCTTGAGCCAGCGATTCTCCATCTCGAGCTGGGCCACGCGAGCCTCCAGGGAAGCGTTCTTCTCTGTAGTCTCACGGACGGTGCGCTCGAGAACCTGCTCGCGCTGCTTCTTCTTCATGCGGAAGCGGGCGGATGCGGCAGTGTTGCGGCGACGACGGTCCTCCTCGGCAGCGACGCGGCCATGCTCCTCCTGATTGAGGGCGGCGGCGATGCGGTCGCCGGGGATGGACGTGGAGTACTTGGCGTTGCTCATCTGGCCATTCGGCGGCGAGATGGACGACGACACATCCGAGGGCGTCAGAGCCCCTGGGGCATGGCCCAGCTCGTCCGGCGCGAACGGCACGGGCGGGTAGATCGAGTGAGCCGAGTACGGCATCATATGATCGGGAATGGAGTAGTTGATGGACTTGTCTCCCGTGGCGCCTAGGGGGAAAGTAAGCACTGATTCAAGGCTTTGTGATGCAGCGGAAGAAGAAGAGAGAGTCCCATGGAGGGAAGCGCAGAGCACGCAACCATCTCGAAAAAGGGAAGAAAAAGGGTTCTTCTGGGGAAGGATGAGGGGGGCACAGCATAAGAGGGCCGGTTAAGCCAGGGTCCTGCAGTCATGGCTGCCTGTCCTCGGTAGTCATTTTGATGCGCGATGGCGTGCTCACTATCGAGCAGGACCGGTGATCTCATATTCCCACAATGAGCAGAAATGAAATCTCCGTGCGAGAGGCTCGTGGCAATTTTTTGAGGGGTACCAAAAAAATCCAGCCACGTTTTTGCGGACAGGGGGAAATTGAGGCCCTGGCTTAACCGGATGATACAGGTGGAATAGGATTTGGAAAGAGAACTGGTCCCTCAACAGATGCAATCATGCTGCAGCTTTCTGTCTGAGCGTCTTGCGATGTGTCTCAAGACGAACCACCAAGCATGCCGATGGCGCAAGAACTGCCATCTCTGGCAACAATGACAAAATAAAAAAGCTTCAACATACCATGATAGGGATATCCGCGGAGATCTAGCGAAGTGCGCTCGTCTTCTATGCTATCGTACGAGCTGACGGAAAGTCCGCCCATGCCCTCAGTCTGATCGTAATCCATATTGACGTTGGCAAACGGGACCAGCCCGGTGTCCCCATCAAATGAATAGTGCCGAGTCTTGGCCGCAGGATCGTGACGCGAGAGCAAGAAGTTGAAATTCTCGATCTTATCGAACGCCGGGCCAGGCAGATGAGGGACCTGAGGCTGTTGTTCCTCAGGCATGGTTGGATGAAAAAGGAAGAGGGAACGAGGGGGAGAAGAAAGGGAAAAAAAGGGCCCTCGGCCTCTGATGCCAGTTTAGGGTTAAGAGTGAGAGGAGGGGGAAGGCGACAAGGACCAAATCAGACCCCAGACCAGTGAAGGAGGGGAGGTACTTTCTCCCCGAGAAGATGATTGACTGATTGATTGAGCACGACAGAGACACGAGGAAGGATTATTCCATTGCCTGTCGCATACCGCGGGAATAACGCCACGTACGCAAGGAAAAGTAGGGGAAAAGGGGGAGAGCGACCGGGTGTGTAGAGACACAGATCGCCTGGGAAAGTGAGGCTAGTCGATGATCTGATGAAATGGAGAAATGTCGTGATCGGGGGCGCTGGTTCGCCCGCGGGTGCGGCCAGGGGGGGTCGCTTCACCGCTCTGGGAAGCAGCCCTAATTCAGGGCGACGGGGAGGGATTTGAAGGGAAGAAAAAGGTTGTGCGAGTCAAATGATGAATGGAATCGTCTGGCCAGAAGATTCCCCGGATTGATGTACGGAGCAGAAAATAATAAGAACAAAAGGGGGTTGTTCTCGGTCTTTCTTGATTACTTGTGATTACTGGTGTCAGACTCCGCCTCGCCCACAATCACACCCTCGGAGCCCGTCTCCACTGCTGATGACGCGGATTTATTACTTGTAAAGTACCAAAGCTTGGCACTTTATTACAATCCCAAACACCGCCCGCGCCGATCAGAGCAACCCTATGACATACGTGGTTCCAACATTCGGGCAATGATCTGGGCGGCATCTTCAACGGTCGTGCCTCGTGTGCGATGTTCCACACGTTCCTCGCCGAGGACCGTCTCCTCCGCGATGGCCCGATATATCTCTGCAAAGGCCCCGTACACTCGGGCCCCTGTTCCGCCCCAATGGCCATCCGTATCGAACGCCTCCCCGATTCCGCTCATTTCATCCACCCAGCGGTATGCTTTGGGGCTCATGCCGATCACTCCATTGCGGGCCAGCGCGGCTGTCCTCGGCGAATACTGATCGAGATGTTGGAGTAACTCCGGCAGACAATCGGCCTGCTGGGCGGTGGAGAACGACAAGATAGACAACGCCGTCAGGCCCTTGGTTAGGCTGGCGAAACTGAGTTTCAGCGTCGACGCACCGCCAATCCGCGGCGAAACGATCTTCATGTTCACCACGTCGGCCAGACCGGCAAACGTGGGGGGCAAGGACTCCGTCGCGGCGCCCGAAAGTACGACGCTAGGTTTCGTCCACGCTCCGTCCTCTGTGTTCTTCTGCGCCGGCGGGCCCCCAATGATCCCGCCGTCCAGACAGTGGCACTGCACTGACGTGGCGGACTCGTCGCGAAACAGCGCCGCGATCTCCTCCGCCAATCGCGGGGATGTCGCATTGAGTTCAAGGAAGTAGAGCGGACCACTGCCCTCGACAGCGGCTCGGAGTGCTCCCGTATCCGGTAACCTGCATGCCTCCGCTACGCGTCGTCCCGTCGCCAGTGCGTCCCGCGGCGGCACGATAGAAAAGATATAGTCCGCTTGGACGACGAGCTCTTGGTCG